TTAATAATATACGAAAAATTGTACACGAAACAAGAACATTTAAAATTGTCAATCGAAAACCAATACGGAAACATAAATTTTGCATTATATTCAGATATTTTAGAATCATTTTATGTAGATTTAATGAAGCTATATAGCCTAATTCGTAAATTACTTTCGGATGGATTATTTTTGTATTGGAATTTAACAAGGTGCAATAACCGATATCTGTCACTCAAACGCCATTTTTAACTTAAATTAAAACTTCTAATGAAATTGCCCGTTAATTGAATCATTTATAATACGAAAAGGATCAATAATTTAAAAATAAATAGAAATAAAAATCTCAGTATTCAAAATATGAAAACTTTATAAATAAATTAAGATATCAAAACTTTATATAATTATAAATAAATCAAAATAATTTTTTTTAAAGACTTCGCGTATTCGAATGAACAAAATTTATTTCTCCTTTTTTCGAAATTCAACTCTTTATTATCATAATAAAGCATCACGTATTAAAAAACAAAATTTATAAATTTTCAAATTATTTGATTTCAAACAAATTTTCATTGATTCAGATAAATTTTCTTTGATTCGAAAAAGTTTTCATTTAATCAAGCAAATTTTTTTTTATTCAAACAATTAAACTTTTCAAGAAAATTAATTCTACAGGAGTGTTAGTTAAAAGCATGAAAAATTCAAATTAAAAAATTCAAGTTTTCAAAGATTTTAATTTGAAACCTTTTCAAAATTCAATTATTTCTAAAAATGCATGCTATAATGCTTTTAATATTCAATTATTATCTAAAATTTTAACTGAAATTCATTTTTAAATCACTTTTTAATAGAAAATTTTAATATGTATATGAAAATAATTGAATTCTTGCGAACGATTTTATTAAAATTGTTTAAAATAATTGAATTTTAAAGAAAAAATTTATTATTTTCAAAAATAATTGAATTCTTGTGATGAATATTGTTATTTATGAAAATAACTAAATTTTGCAAAGAATTTTATTAAAATACCTAGAAATAATTGAATTTTCGGAAATAATTTTATTATTTATCTTTAATAATTGAATTCTTTCGAAGAATTATTTATGTAAATAATTGAATTCTAGGGAAGAATTTTATTAAAATCTAAAAAAATAATTTAATTATTTCAAAAAAATTTAATTAAAATTGTATTTAAAATAATTGATTTCTGTCGAACAATTCTATTAAAATATTTGAAAATAATTGAATTCTTTTGGAAAATTTTATTAAAAGATATTAAAAATCATTGAAAAAATTTTTGGAAAATAATTGAATTTTTGCCAAAAATTTTCTTAAAATTTTTGACAATAATTGAATTTTGGAGAAGAATTTTATTATTTATAAAGATAATTGTAACTTTGACGAAAATTTAAAAAAAAATTTTAATATAATTGAATTTCTGCTGTAAATTTTATTATCTTTGAAAATTATTCAATTTCTGCAATAATTTGTAACTTCTCCAAAATTCAATTTTTAATGCGTTTTTAACTAAAAAATTCTTCTACAAATCTATTATTTCCAATAATTAATTAAATATATATTTAAAAATTTAACTAATTTCAATAGAATTTAAATAATTAAAATTTTTCAAAAATCTAAATTCTTTAAAATTTCTAATTAAATTCATTCAAAATTGAAATTTTATAAAATTTTAAATGAAAACCTTTTTTAAAATTCATCTATTTATGAAAATTGTAAACGCAACTCTTAAAATTCAATTAATTTTGAAATATTTAAGTAAAATTATTCTATAAATAATTTCTAAGTCATAATTTTATGATAGTTTTTCAAGAATTAAGGTATTTAAAAAGAAATTATTATCAGAAAAAGAAAAATCAAAAGGAATATTTCCTTTCGATTTTTGCAAATAATTTCTCTATAAAGTAATAAAATAAATCCATTGTTTCACTATTCAAAAAGAATGAAAATACAAAAAAAATCTTGTGGAAAACAACAAAATATTCCAATAATGCAAACTTAAAAAAATTGCTAGCAAAAAAATGGATAAAAAAAAATTCAGCAAAATATAGAATTCTGAAAATTGCAGTTCATCCCGTTTAGAGTCAGGCGGGCAGGAAAGCATTTGGCTCATTATTCACCACCACGCCTTCCCCCAGGTCGCCATGCGACTACACAAGCTTTGCACGTACGCTCCAAAATTCTTTCCAATAAAATTACTACCTCCATCTATCCAAACTCTCAAAAATTATACAATAAACAGTTTCCCAATTTACCCAACGGTTTGTGTCTCAACTCATCTACATTACCGACCAAGCAGAAAGCAAAAAAGATCCCCTTCCAACCGATCGAGATTTATTGAGAGAAAAAAAATGCCAGAAATAAGAAAAAAAAAAACAAATAAAAATATTAAAAAAAAGAGAAAAAAAACAAAAGGAACGATGAACCTTGCGAATGTAAAGGGCCGACGCCCCCTTTCTCAAGGTGAGCGACTTTCCAAGAGATTACAGCATTTTTCCACAGTACTATATTCGTGGAGATTGTTTTGTTTTTTTTGGTCTCTCGTTTCTTTAAATAAAAATAAATCTCTTGATACTTTTCATCCGAGGAAGAATTTACATATACATGTATGTTGGTCCTACTCTCATGAACGAGTTGTACGAGAAAATTTTGCAAAAGAAATTGACAATTTATTTCCAATTGTCACTATTTTCGCAATATTGTCAATATTATCGTAATTTTTTAACTCTTTCTACAAGAACTTGTAGCATTTTTTCAGTTGCTTTTTTTCTAGCTTTTGAAAATAAAATTGTTTCAAAAACTCACCATTGGAAGGCGTTGAAATGAAAATAAACCAGACCCTGTCCGTAGAGAAACGATACATCTTTCCAATAATCCCCTTTTAGATTGTAGAACTTTTGATACGCTGACATAGCTGTTAAAAAATAAAATATAAATATTAAATAAATATTCATGTAAATATTCTGTAAATAAATATTCATTTACAGGTATTTGTTATTTTTCTACTTGAATTAAACTGAAAAGTTGCGATTAAATTCAATGGGACTAAAAGTAAATTACTATGAAATAGTTGAAAAAGGATATTACTAAAAATTGGATAAGAAGGAAAATATTACCCTTGTTGTAGTCTTCGAGAAGTAAATGAAAATGGCCCAGTTTGCAGTATGTTTTCGGATCAATGCTTATACCCCGATCATCATCATCATCATCGTCATCGTCGTCATCATCATCATCATTCTCTTTTGGTTCATCCACATTCATTTTCGTACTATCAGCTTTCCTATGCTGCTTTTCCGATTGTGCTTGTACTATCATTCTCTCTAAATATTTAATTGCACGAACAACTAAAGCCTTCTTCTTCGCTTGCTCCGGAGAATTTAACTTTAAAAATCCAAATTGGCGGCTGAAAAAGAAAAAATATTGTAATCACAACAAACTAGACAAAACTAACCTAAAAAACTACGAACTCCATTTTTCGTCTTTCGCCTCACGAACAAAATTAATCTTAAATTACAAAAAGAAAAACGTATGAAATCTCATTTGTTCAATAGAATACTAAATTAACAATTAACAATTAGCAATTAACAATTATTAATAAGAAATAAAGAAACAAAAAATAAAGTTAATTGGACAACAAAAGTTGTAAACACAAAGTTTAATAATTTCCGAAAGTTTATCAAAATATTCTGAAGTCTCAATATTTCCCAAATTATTTTAATCATTTTTCGATTCCTAAAAATTGCTAAAAAAAAAGAAATAGAAGCAAAAATAGAGACTAGTCAGAGAAAAAAAGCTACAGGGTAAAAGTCAAAACAATCCGCCCTTGGAGTGTTTACTTCTCCTTTAATAATCATGTTTTGGCGAATAATTGAAATTCAATCTCAAGATATATATTTTTTTTTGTTTTACTTTTCTTAAACCGTATATACGTTGTTGTTTGAAATGTAGAACGGAGTGAATATGTAGGAAAGGATGTCAGTAGGTTGTACGCGAGAATGAAAGGATATCGCTTAAATTGCCCGCCTATTCCTGTCAAAACTTTCACACAGGTTAGATTTCAGTGTGATACCGGTTTTTTTTCAATAATGAAAACGACGAAAAAACACCCTCAATATTTCAAATTTTCTTTTAAATAAGAAATTCACTGTAATTTATTTACCTATCCAACTCAGAAAGTATCTGCAATTCCTGGGGAGTTAAGTTGATATCGTCTGTTTCCTGGGCCATTTTCACAAATCGCACTCTGTTTATATTATTAACGTCAACGATAGAGAGAACACATTTTTTAAGAAACGATGAATGTTAATTTCGACGATAGAAAAAAAGGCCACGACGCGCACTCACTGCATTTGATCACTTCATTCGAAAAATACAATTTTTTTCGAAATTATAGTCAGGTTACGTCGAGACGGCACAAAGCACGCGACATGAAACCTCAAACTACTTTCCCTTCCGTTAGTTTAACCGTTTACTTCCGCTACCGCCGCACAGATGGCGCGAAATTTGAATTTGGAATAAAAAATTCAAACAGTGATTTGTACTTTTTCGAAAAGTTTAATAAACTATTTATTTTTAATTAATCGATGTTTTTAAATGTGTACTTAAAATGTACTTGATTAAAATATTTCTATTTCGAAAATTTTCGTATTTTTCTCAGAGGACTTGGAGAGGGGAGAGAGGGTATTTTCAATTTAGCATTTAATTAATAAAATTTATAAATTATTCATTACGTTTACTTTAGTTTGTTAATTAAATTGATTGTTTTGATATTATTTTACCGATATTCATAATAAATTCTTCAATAAATTTATAGATTTATATTTTTAATAGAAAATGAAAAAAGTGAGGTTATGTTTTCCCGTCATTTTCCTTTTGCGATAGAATGCAATAAAACTAATTTTTTCTAACATTATAATTAATATATTTTAGTGAAATAGGTGAAAAATTAGTAAAATTAGCAAAAGGAGGAAAAGTTAGGTAAAAATTTAAATCTTACGTGACAGGAGTTAAAATGATTCACTCGACTGACGTGAAAGAATTTACGTTTCTTAATTTACCGTCTCCTTGAAAAGTGTTAAACGCGTTTTAATAGTCGTCTGCAATTTTTGTGAGTGGATCGACTTTTTTTTAATTCTTCTTATTCAAATTACTTAGGTGAGATTTATTTTGCATACTAATATTTCTAATCTAAAGAAAAAAAACGATTACCATTTACTGTTCGTTTGTGCTAAATGTCCCGGAGACTGAACAAAAAGTCTTTGTCGACCGGAGCAACAAAACTCTTTAAACGGTAGTTTTTTTATTTATTTAAAAAACGTGTAGCTATCAAGAAATATTCACCTTCAATATTCATTTCTAGTAGATATTGGAATGTTTCGTTCATAAAATCACTGCCTAAAATATGTAACATCGAAGGAGAGAATAAGTCATCGATATTTTTGTCCGCATTAATTACAATGCTCTATCTTTGTTTAAAAAGAAATTCGCTTCCTATTGTCATTAAATTGCTTTGTTTATTTTGTCAATTATTATTATTACTACAATATTGTTATTATTAAAAATCAGCTAAATTATTTTATTTTATCTAAAGCAGTATCTATACTGATGCAATTTATTGAGCCAATTTTAAATTTAGCTTTTGTATTATATTTTTTACTTCTTTTACTATATATTGACATTTCTAGGAAATTATTTACTACGAAGTTATAAATTCTTCGACAAAGATTATATAATGGCTAATCATTGCTTTAAGGAATTTTCGGATAATCCTGCGGGTTTTAACTGGTAAAACCCCAATAAAAGTTTCACTTTTCTGACAAAGATTTGTCAGGTCTTGAAATTTATTGCAACCCACAAAGAATGAAATGAATGAATGAATTTTTGCTTCTTTTTGGATGGAGAAACAGTTTTTTTTCTTTTCTTTGAAATTCTATTTGTAAATTATTTTTTACAGTATTAAAATGAGCGCTCCTAATATTAAGAAGAATAAAAACGACTCTAACAGGGATGTTAGTGATACAGACCTTTCAAAGGAAGCGAAAAGTATGATAGAAAAATTCCTAGGCGATGTCAGCAAAACTTCAGCTACAAAACAAATTATCATCGGCACTACGTCAGGATGGTGTGTATTTTTTGATATTTCATTTTTTCTCACCAGGAGAAATTATATCCTGGAAAAATTAATTTTCAAAAACAATTTAATTTTCTATTTTTCTCCAATGAAACTAAAAAAAAGTTCATTTTACAAGAAACAGAGATCCACCGAGTAATAACAATTGTTTTTGCAAATATTTACAAAATAACATTGTATCAGACAAAATAAAATTGTAAATTATTTCAATTCGACAATTATTCTAAAAAGAGAAATGAAAAAAAATTGAAGAACTATTTTTTTAAGACGTACGACCAAATCACCTAATTCAGTTTTAATTAATTAATTAATTAATTGATTGATTGATTTTTAATATCAAAAAAACGAAAAATTAAACTAATAAATCAAGAATTGTAACAAACGAATAAGTCTAATATTTTCTTTTCTTTTTCATTCAGGATGACCGGATTTTTGACGATGAAAGTAGGAAAAGTTGCGGCATTCGCACTGGGAGGAGGAATTATTGTTCTGCAAGTTGCTGCACATCAAGGATACATCAAAATAAATTGGGATAAAGTACAGAAGAAGGCAGAGAAAATTACGGACAAAGTCGAGGAGAAAATTACTGGCGAGGGACCTAAAATGCTAGACAAGGTAATTAACTGCGACAAAAAAGTAAAATTAATACTTTGAAAGAATATTTTTTAGTTCAATCAAAATTTACTGTTAATTTTCTTTCTTTTTCAAACCATAAAATTTCTTTTTCAAATTTCAAAAAAGACCAATATTCTTTCATTGCAACTTTTATTTTCATTTTATTTTTTTGTTTCTTTTATTTTATTTTTTTCCCCAGTAAAAGTTTTATTTTCACAAAAGTATCTCAATTTTCGTATTCCTTCTCATTTCAAAATAACAATATTTATTAGAAAGTAAATAAAATTTTTCCAAATTGTTAAAAATTGGGGGAAAAATACTCAAAAGTTTAAAAAATTAAATTTTCTGAAAGTAAAAAGTCAAATCTTGCAGAATTAAAAAATTAAAAAAAAACCGTTTTAATCAATAAATTAAAAAGTTAATAAACAAAAAATAAATTTGTTTTTTAATTTCAAAAGAAATAAATTTAGAAAAAAATTGGGAAAAAGTTAAGATTTTCTGTTATTTACAGGTAGGAAATTGGTGGAAGATGAATTCCTTTCTGGGGGCGAGTTTCGTCGGCGGTTTCATAATTGGCCTAGCTTCGTGAATATTCAAAAAAAGAACGAGTCATTTTTTTTCCTTTTTTTTTAAAAAAACAGCCCTGACAGAAGTGTACCTTATAAAAACTTTCGATTTCGAGTCTTAAATTTTAGTTAGAAATGAAAAAAAAGTCAGTAAAAAATATCTCTAAGAATTATCGAATCTTTAGACTAAACTATCGAAGTGTATCTAGTTTTTAAGAATTCAAAGAAGTCTTTCATTTCTATTATAAATTATTTTTTAAAGAAAAGAATTGTAACTAATATTCGTAATTTTCTACAAAAGACACGCTTTGTTGTCGCAATTTTTCTCGCCTCAACTATAAAATTAATATATACTTTTAAAGTAGGACAATGTACTCTTAGATTATAATTTTATACTTTTCTTTGACAGATTTTTTAATTTGTTTAAATTGCTAAAAATAGACAATGATTTCAAAATTTTTATTTGTATAGAAAAAGAAAAAAAATTTGAAATCACCTTAAAATGGAAATCTCTAAAAAATATATCTTAAAAAAGTACCTTAAAAAAAGTTACCTTAAAAAAGTATCTTTAAAATTATCTTTAAAAATATTATTTAAAAATAGGTATTTAAAGAACTATCTTAAAATGTTAATTATAATTTTCTATATATTCGAATAAAACGTGTCTGACAAAATTAGTTTTCGCCTAACTTATTGTAAAACTAGATTCGTTTTTTTCTTTCCTCCTATACTTTTCTTTTTGAAACCCAATTTTTTTACTCAACTTCTATGAAACTTTCGGAAAAATGAACTTAAATTCAGAACAAGACGATAAAAATAATAAAATGGTTAAAAAAGAAAAAAAGTAAAATTCCTAAAATCAAAAAGGGAAAAAAATGAGATCGGAAAATAAAACTTGATGAAAGAGGGAAATATTTGGGAATTGTTTGGAAATTATTTGGAAAATAACAAAATATAAAATGAAAAATTTTCAAAGAGAAAATTCTAAAAGAGAAATTTCTTCTTTCAGATGGAGAGGTTCGTCGACAAGAAATTAGACAAAGCTGAGCAATTATTAAAAAATGGAGAGAGAAATACGCGTCGCTGGTATCATTCAATAACTGGCGATTCCAGTTTCAAAGTGAAGGAAATTCACATTTTTCTCGCAGCCTTTGGAGCTGGTGTCGCAATTGGCCTCGCATCCGCCAACTAGGTGTCATTATGCTGTAATCTGAATATAATAAGTAGATTTCGTTCGAGACTTTTGGAAAAACACACATTAGATCGACATCCAACTGATGATGAAACAATTAATCAATTGACGAGAATAAGCGAAGGAAGAAAATGGTTTTTGGATCGTACAAAGTAAGAAAAAATCCCTAAAATTAGTGTCGACACGCTGAGAATCGAAAAATATCTATCTTTCACAAAACCAAAACAAATTATTCAATTCAATTTTTCTAATAATTTATGCCTAACAAAATCACTAATAACTAATAAAAAAAAAAATAGTTTTCGATGCTCAGCGTCGACGCCAACTTCTGGAATCTGTAAGAAAAGAAGTAAAGAAAAAAGAAATGAAGGAAATAAAAAACAAAGAAAGAAGCTAATTTTTCTAATACTAAAATAATTATCGTCGACCAAATGAAACTTTCGCTCCTAGATAACACGTCACAGTTTCTTTTTGACAATATAATTAAAAACACTTAAAAATCAAACACCCAAAATAAATACTAGTTTTAAAAAATACACTAAAAAAAACTTTCAACCACAGAATCCGAATTAAGCAAAAATTGAAATTCTATAACGAAAATCAACGTTTAAAAAATCCATTTCGTTAAACAAAATAAAATTAATTAAATTGTAAAGTGTTGAAATAATAGAGAATTTAAGAAACTTAGGAGAAAAATTAATTATTAACTAAAAGTAGCTTCTACAAATTTTAACAGAAAAATTTCCATATTTTAATTTCGCGAAAATCTCGAATTGAAGAAACAAAATTATATTCAGACTACAGCATGAGTTTATACCAAAAAAAGAAAGGAAGAAAAAAATCTCTTGTAAAATCTACAAAAAAAAGTCATGATTGTAAACTCGATGTAGAATTTAAGGAAAAAAAACTGCGAATTATGTACTTTTTACGTACTAGTCTACGATGAAAATCGATTATTATTTATATACTCGCGGGTATGTTAATTATTCTTTCGTCTCATCCTCATTTTGGATGATACTAATTTTTTTAGCTGTGATTTCTCTCGAATCTAGTTAAGATAGCTCAGCTTTTTATATTGTAAAAATACGCTTTTTCTTTTTGGATATTATTAAATATCCTTCGCGAGTATTACTTTAATTTTTTCCAATAATTAATTTATTAAAATACCAATTTTCTAAAGTCTGATTTTTTTTACGAATTGGTAATTTTCAAAAAATTGCTATTTCTTTTTTAAGTATATCGAAAATACGGAAAAGAACAAAATGTAAATGAAAGAAAGTTTATACTTGAATTATATTAAAATTAAATATTTAATATATTTAATACGAATATAATAAATATTTGAATATTTGAATTCACTATTGAAAAAGATAGATTAAGGTCTTTTAATTTTATATAGGCGAATAAAACCTTTATCCCTGAATTTTCTCTGAATTTTTTTTTAATAGAGTAATATTTTTATGCTAAACAGCATAAATCGTAAAAAAAAAGTTCCTGGATGCGCGACTCTATTGTATTGAGACCAGGATTAAATATATTGACTACTCGATTGTTGAATAATATTATTAACATTTGTAGAGAGTTAATTCACTGTAACGCGAAAATAAAAAAATTGAATCCCTTGTGAATGGGATATAAATTAAAAACTATCAGTATTTATAAGTGTTTAATTATTCAGTCTTACCCGTATATAATAAAATGTTGATCAATATCTTTTCAGGCACTGCATAATTATACCCCTCAGTCGTCTTCTCAATTTTTGATCGCCATTACAAAATATGTGAGTTGAATTGTCCCCGATTTGAATTAGCGTGTCTTCATCTTGCTGCAGATATAAAAAAAAATATTTTATGAACATCAATTTAATAGAGAATTGAAAATAAAAATATTTTCAAAAATATTTACAATTTAAATAAAAAAAGATTTAAATATTTATTAATTTTCTTAAATTTGAATTTGAAACCTTTCAGAATTTAACAATTTTTAAGAATTGATATTGTGACTTCTCCAAAATTATTTTTACAATTTCAATTCTGAAGTGAAAGCAAGTGAAAAAAATATTTTCTAGATTTCTTCTCTAAATCGATTTTTTTAAAAATAATTTTTGATTAAGTTTTTTCAGCATTTAATTATTAAAAAAAAGAATTATTCGGAAATTTTTTAAAAACTGACTTCTGCAGAATCTTTTAGTTAAAATTATTTAAAATTTAAATTATTCTAAAATTTTTATTTGAAACTTTTTGAAATTTAATTATTTATCAAAATTACCAACACAACTTTTATTAAATTCAATTACTTTTGGAATTTTTAAGTATAGAATTTTTGAAATCAACAAATTAAAAAATTTATGAAACAATAACAATAATAATATTTTTTAGCATTTTTTAAAAATTGATTTTAAGGCTTTCGCCTTAAATAATTTATTGTTTTTTTTAGTTAAAAATATCGGTGTATCTTCCTCTTAAAAAAAATTAATTTTATTGAACGTAAAACGATTATTATTTTTACTATTATATTTACTGGAATCGTGGGAAAAATTCTTACCAAGTGAATACTGGTTGAAGTCTGATTGTGTTGCAATTTTGCTCCCTGAATGCCCTCTTGGATTAATTTATGAAGCAATTCTTGTGGATCAATGTTTCCGTATTCCTGCTTTTTCGCCTTGAAGACCATTTCTTTTATTGGCACTGGCACAACCGTAGGATTTCTTCGTTTGCCACTTGGCCTGTCTTCAATATTCTGTGAGATAAGTTTTATTTTAAAACAATGATATTCAATGTTAAACTACAACAGGCAGCACAGTGATTTTATTTTTTCATTATTAGGTAAAAAAAGAGGATTTTAAATTTTCAAGAAGAGGATTTCCATATTTTAAAACGGAAATTTTATAAATTAAGTAGAAAATTATTTCACTCTAGCGTATACAGGTTTATTTGAAGGATTTTCTACTTTCTTTTTTTTAATTGCAGCTTTTTTCAGAGCTGAAATTGATTAGAGTCAGGGCTCGTATCAGTGAAATTAGAAAATTAGAAAATTTCACGAAAATTCCATTATTTAAATACAAAAGTACATAATTTATTGAATAATTGAATTTTTAATAATTGAATTCTTTGGACGATTTTTAATAAAACTTGCATAAAAATAATTACTTTTTTCAAGGAATTCAATTAAAATTGTATGAAAAATAATTGAAATTCTGCGATGAGTTTTATTATCAGTAAAAATAATTGAATCTTTAAGAATTTTATTACTTTTGAAAATAATTGAATTTCTGCAATAATTTGTAACTTCTCCAAAATGAAAGTTTTTTCTAGTGATTTTAACTAAAATTCTTCTATAAATCCATTATTTTTAATAATTTTTGAAAAATTTCTTTGAAAATTTTCAAATTCATTTGTTGACAGTTCAATTTTACAAAATTTCAATTATTCGGAAGTTCTTCAATTAAATCCTACATTAGAAAATAAAAACTTGAAATAATTTCAAAAACAATTCAATTAAACGTTTTCAAACATTATAAATATGAAAAATTCAGAATTTCAATGATTTTAATTTGAAACCTTTTCAAAATGCAATTATTTCTAAAAATCCACTTTATAATGTTTTTAATATTTAATTATAATCTAAAATTTTAACTGAAATTCATTTTTAAAACAACTTTTATAAGTAAATTCTACAAGAATGCAATTATTTAAATACAAAAATAAATAATTTATCAATTTATGTAATGTTTCTTAAAATTAAATTGCCATAAAAATTTTTTAAAGAATTAAATTCTTTAGACGAATTTTAATAAAATTTTTAAGAATAATTACATTTTTCGAGGAATTCGATTAAAATTGCATTAAAAATAATTGAAATTCTGCGATGAGTTTTGTTATTAGTAAAAATAATTGAATTCCTAAAAAAATTTTATTATTTACGAAAATAATTGAATTATTGCGAAGAAATTTATAAAAAATTTGTAAATAATTGAATTTCTATAAAATTTTTTCTTACTTATGAAAATAATTGAATGTTTGCGTAAAATCTTATTCAAATTTTTTTTAATGGCATTTTTTGGAAAATTTTATTAAAATAGTAGATAATAAAAATCATTGAATTTGAGGAAACTTTTGAAAATAATTGAAATTTTGCCAAGAATTTAATTACAATTTTGGAAAATAATTGAAATTAAGAGAAGAATTTTATTATTTGTAAAGATAATTGGAATTTTGACGAGAATTTTAAAAAAATTGAATTTCTACGAAGAATTTTATTACTTTTGAAAATAATTGAATTTTTCTGCAATCATTTGTAATTTCTCTAAAATTCTTCAAATTATATCGGACAATTTACGAACTTTTCGTCCTTTTTTAATTAAATTACGAACTTTACGGACCATTTTTCAAAAGAACTGATTTTTACAGAGTTGAAGCAAATTTTTCCTGTTGATTATTGGCATATTTTTTCCGCAATCTCGGATTTTTCTAAATTTTGAACCAAAATTTTTGTTAGAACACTACATTTGTTCTAAACTTCTCTGAATTTTACTATATTCGAAGTATATTTCAGTAAAAATGATTTTTAAGTTTTACAAAAATAAAATTTGTCCAAAGTTTGCAAAAAGGAAAAATTTTCTTTCTTCAGTAAAAAAAAATCTCTAAATTACATGAGAAAATACATAATACATAATACATAAAATAATAATAATAATAAATAATAATTACTATTATTATTATTATATATTATTATTATTAACTTTTTTTTTTTTTTTTTTTTTTTTTTTTTTTTTTTTTTTTTTTTTTATTATTATTATTATTATTATTTACTATTATTATTATTATTTTTTATTATTTATTTTATAATACATAATTTTAGGTGTTTTAAGGAATTTAATTAATTTAAAGGGAGAAAAAAGGGAAAAAGAGGAAAAAAGGAAACTGTGATTCCTGCTGCGAGTGAAATTCGCAAAATTGCATTAAAAATAAACCCCTTTAAAATAATAGTGAAGAATATTAAAAATATTGAAGTATTAAAAGATCAAAAAAGTAAAAATACCTTAATAGTATAAACATTATCCTTGACCTCCAATTCTCCAGTGACTGACGAGAGGCTCAAACCAGGACGAACTTCACTTGGAATAATATTGCCAGCTAAGTCGGGTTCTATGAAAATTCGACCCTTCTTTCGTTTCAGAGGCAACTTAACAACTTCTCCACGTTTAAAAGTGATGAGTGGTTTCTCCTGGTAGGAATTTTTATCAATTAGCAAAAAATATAATAAAGTTAATGTATGACGATTTTACAAAATTGGAAAATATTCTAATACTTACGCCTACTGGTTCAATGATGAGATCAGTTCTCAGTGGAGCTGAAATTGGTGCTTGAGTATAGCATTCGGGAACAACAAGATTTTCCGGCTTCAAGTCTCTAATCAATTTATTGGCTTGAGAAAAATTCAACGAAGTGTCAATTGGACAGTGAACGGCTTTCATCGCAAGTGGTTGAAAAGGCGCCAGTGCATCCAAATACGGAAAGTCGGGTTCTGTTTCATTCAAAATCGAAAACAATTAAAAATGTTTAATAATTAAAAATAATTAACAGTATTTAGTTGAATATTTAATGAACCTGTGAAAATAATTGTGTGCTGTGGATTGTTGCCCCAAAGTTGCACAAAATGAACTGCATCTCCATATCTTAGACTCGGATGTCCACAAAATACGACGCAAGGTTGTCTGTAATCAGAACTGAAACCCTCAGCATAGGCAGACGTGTAATGTTTTAATCTCGCATTTTTCACAAGGAAGGCATGTGGAAATGGTTCCTCGGGAAGATAAACTTTATTCTGCTTACTTGTCGAGAGCCTGAAATGTTTAAATTCGAATTGAAATTATAAATCCAAAGTAATTACATTATTATAATTATGTAACTATGTATAATGATTATAATCGTGTAATTATAATGATTATAAATAATATATAATTATAGTTATTATTATAATAAGGCAATTTTAATAGTTTATAAATGATTAAAGTTAATTTAAACTAAACAATTCTTACCATTCAGCTAGAATATTAGAATAAGCTAGGGAAGATTCAGCCACTGGAGATATAAAAAAGAGAGGCACTTGTGTGAGTCCATTTTTATCCAGATGTGTACTTAGACATTCAAACAAATCATAAACAACTCCCGAAGGATAGCAAGGAATTAGAACACATCCTCCGCTTCGTAATGTCATTGCTGCAAAAATTACAAGAAAAAAAAATGTTAATCTTGTGAATTTAAATTAAAATTTTTTATTAGAATAATTCATTTCAACGTTCAGAACTTTAGAATCGTAATAAACTAACTTCTTCAAAACTTTTAATTAAAACAATTCAAAAATCTTTCTCTGATTTCTCTGACCAATTCGGTCTTCGCACTCGATAATTAATTTTAAAAAAGTAGCAAAAAGTAGTTTTGAAACCAAACAAAAAGCAATAAAAAAGTAACTAGGAACAAGAAATTAAATTTGACGACCAAAAAACTGGTTTTAGACACTTTACAAAATTGACAAAAATTCCATTCGATATTTTTTATTTTCTGAAAATTTAACATTTTTTCTTCTCTTTTATGGCATTTAGCTTCAATATTTTTAGGCTCTTCAAAAACACTTTACTTATTTAATAGTCTGCACCCTTTGGTAAAAAATAAAAAACTATCAAAAATTCAGAAAACCGAATTTTTTAAAATTCAACATTTTTTCTTCTGTTTTATGGCATTTAGTTTCAATATTTTTGGGCTCTTGGAAAATGCTTTACTTATTAAATAGTCTCGACTCTTTGGTAAAAAATCTAAAATTATCAAAAATTATCAAAAAATTCGAAAAACCGAATTTCTTAAAATTCAACGTTTTTTCTTCTTTTTTATAGCATTTAGCTTCATTATTTTTGTGCTCTTCAAAAACACTTTACCTAATTAATTGTCTCCACCATTTGGTAAAAAATCTAAAATTATCAAAAATTATCAAAAATTCGAAAAACCGAATTTCTTAAAATTCAACATTTTTTCTTCTCTTTTATGGCATTTAGCTTTAATATTTTTGGGCTCTTCAAAAACACTTTACTTAATTAAAAGTCTCTACCATTTGGTAAAAAAATTAATAATATAAAAAATAATTAATATTAATTACAATTTTTCGATTAATTAATTTAAAATTTTAATATTAAAAATAATTGCAACTCTTTGATAAGTTTTATTATTTTTGAAAAGAATTAAATTTTTGCTTAAAATCTTATCAAGAATTTTTTTTAAAAAAATTGAATTTCCATGAAAAATGTTATAATTAGTGAAATTTATTGAATTATTGTGAAGAATTGTACAAAAATTTTGTTAAATAATTGATTTTTTTGAAAAAGCTATTCTATGGAAATTTTATTATTTAGCAAAAGAATGGAATTTTGGATGAATTTCATTTATTTTTTGTTTAAATAATTTAATTCTTTTGTGAAATTTTATAAAAATACTAGAAATTGGAAATAAATGAATTTTGAATATTTTTTTTCGAAATAATTGAATCGTTTTAAAGAATTTAATTATAATTTTTGAGAATAGTTTTTTGATTCTAGTATTAGCGAATTTAATGTAGTGTAAATTCTAAAAAAAAAACAGAAATAGTAGCTTTTAGTGACTGAAATCTAAAAAAAGTACCCAGATAGTAGCATAACGTAAAAAAAGTAGAGAATAGTAGGATTTAGTAGATGAGTGCAAAGCCTGACAATTTTTCTTTTCCTGACTTTCCTACTTTTCCTGAACTGTGACAATCCTGATTTAGTTACATTTTTACAGTGAGAAAGAGCTCCTCTTTGTAAATTCAGTTTGTAATGTAAAATTTGGATTAGAAATTAGTAAAAATTTGCTTACCAACATTCATGCACAATTCGCCCAACATTGTATCTGGATTAGCAGTAGGCGTTTGCGTTAAACCAGTCAAAATTAACATATTCGCGTGTTTCAATGTCGTCTGATCCATGGGACGTGGATGAGTCGTTAAAGTCGACGATCCACTGACAAAGGCAACTTTTTCGTGATCACACGATATTAACCAATTACTGCTTCCTAAACAATAACCCGAACTTATCGGGGTCACCGTTAACGCTCCATATATATCCTGAAAATGATAAAAACAAAAATATTAAATATAAACAAATTTGTATTTACAGTTCTGTATTTTCAGCAAAAAAAAAAAAATATAAAGAACCAAGAAAAGGATTAACTTACTAATTTTTGATCATATCCAACCAATTGTATATTTGACAATGCAGAATTCACAGCCTGAATTGAATAAATATGTTTCCATGATTTTGGTTTTAGTGCATCGGCCAGAGGTGGTGGTAAAATATGTATCATTTCCTTCCAATGTTTCGCTAATTTAGCTCGTGGCGTTTGCTCAATATATTCAACTAGTTCCTCCATAAAAAATCTTCCTATTTGTAATGTCGGCTCAGTGGCATAAATCACACCCTTAAAGCCTGTGCCTTCAGTGACAAATGGCAATGCCAACATACAAGTATAATTGGAAATTAAAATTGCATCTATCTCGGAAAAGTCGATAATTTTCTCCAATGGTGGACAAAATTCCGGTGTTGAATCAACAAACAATCGACCGCAACATTCCTTTAATTCCTAAAAACAGAAGTAAAATAAAAAAACATTTTTTTAATTCCTAAAAACAGATAAAAATAAAAAAACATTTTTCCATTCCTAAAAACAGATAAAAATAAAATACTAAGGTTGTCAAGCTTTTGCTCCTTTCAAATTCCCTGGCTTTTCCAGGTTTTACAGGTTAAAAAACGGAATTTTTCCAGGTTTTTAAAACGAAAATTATTCGAAAACATCAATAACTTCATTTTTAAATAAATATTTAATCACTTTTTTTTATAGAAATTAAGTTGTTCAAAAATTTGAAATTGAATAACATATAAGAATATTATTATAAAACATTAAGATATCGATCACTCCGAGTCGAAGACTCGGAGTGATCGCTTTCTTCCTGCTTCATAATTAAAACTTGCTACATTGTTACTGCAACTTCTTCAAAAATTATTTTCATCATTACGATGATTTCTTTTAGAAATTTTTATTAAATTAGTAGATATTAAAAATCATTGAATTGAGGAAAGTTTTTGAAAATAATTAAAATTTTGCCAATAATTTTATTAAAATTTTTGAAAATAACTGAATTTCTGAGAAGAATTTTACTACTTTTGAAAATAATTAAATTTCTGCAATCATTTGTAATTGCTTCGAAATTCAATTTGTTTTTTAAATCAAAATCTTTTGAAGTTGATCTACTTATGAAAATTGTAAACGCAATTCCTTTAAAATTGAATTAATTTTGAAATATTTAAGTAAAATTAGATTTCAAGAATAAACACAATAATTTTAGAAAACAACAATTTTCCAGGATTTTGATTAAAATTCCCTAACATTTCCAGGTTTTCTAAATACAAATTTAATTTGTTTTCAATTTAAGTATTTATGTTTCATTCTCTCATTATGACTTTTTTATTCTCTCATAAAAAATGAGAATGTATTTTCTAAAAATGTTTGTTAAATTTCTAAAAATTATTATATTCTCTAAGAAATAATTAAGAAACTTACTCCTTCAATTTGCCAGTCTTGTTGATTATCACGCGGTAACCAGTTCGGCAGGGAATCAAATCTTGCACTAGGTACCAAAGGCATTGGCATGAAATTTAACACCGATTGCATATTTAATCCACAATCTAACATTAGCGTAATTCCCTTGAAACTCAGAACAAGACATGGTTTCGTTGGTTCACTATTTAGACAATACTGAAATGAAAATTTCGATATAAATAAACAAATGCGGAAAATTTTATTTACAAGGAAAAATTAAATAAACACACACCAAAAAAATGAATAAAAAAAATGAATTTGTAGACAAAAATTATATTTTTTTAAAAACATTTTTCCCAAATGTAAGTGAAATAAAAACAAGAATCTTATCCATTTGTAATAACAAAAATTATTGTTTTCAAGAGGTTAGCAATTCCAAATGCGTTTTCCTCGAATTTTATAGAAATAAAAATAAAATAAATACTCGCATACTTACCAATTTCATTTTGACGAAATATTAATAGACTTTAAAACACTTAAATATACGTATAAACATTTGTTTTCAATTATATTTTGCCGCTTTCAATGATAAAGCTTTATCACTCTTTTGGATATCGCAATTTTGTTTTGTCAATTTTCTATCTGCAAAAAAATTACTATAATTTACAGCAACTGGTACTTTGTGTAATAAATGAAATGTAAACTTTTGATATTACGAATAGTTTATACGAATTTACATGTTAATTTTGTTTAAAAAACAAATACTCGGCACTCGCGATATTAGTTTATAGGTTATGTTTACAAATCGTATACGATTGTCGTATGATCATTCGTGAGACGGGTTGCCTACATTAAGGCGTCGCGCTACTACAATTTTCCTCGTAATTTATTTAACAAATTACGAACAAGATTAATAATAATATTGATAATCAACTAAGAAAACGAAATTTTTGAAGTAAAATCAATAAATATTTACCTTGTCGATGTATTTCTTTCCACAGAAAACGATGAAATTTAGTCAAGTGTCGCAATTAAAGTTATTAGAACTCGGAGATCCCTTCTCTTGGTTATTAACAAAATTTCTATTCAAAAGAAAGAAATTTTTGAAAATAACTTTTATCAAGAAGACCGAGTTCTAAAAAATATAATCATTTTCTTCCTTCTCTGCCGGCGTTGCAGGATTGTCGCATTTTGTACCAGAAAAGTAATCTGAAAATACACGAAATTACACAATTATATGTATTTATTTATTATCCCTTTTTGCAAAATATCTTGCTCCTTCAATTACGGAACACATTAATGAAGAATATTTTTTAAATAAAAACCACAAGACTCACCAAATGTGCGCACATGCACAATCCCAACGACAATGGCGGAAAATTCTTCAACAAGAATGAACAGGAATGATAAATTGGCGGGAAAGTACTACTGACATCTATCGGAACTTTGTGGAACTCTTTGCATTAACTTTTCTCGCAACGCGATTCGTCAATTGAAATAAGCGGGAAAAATGTCAATATTTAAAATTTGAGGAAAATTTTTTATAATTTAAAAAAGAATAATTTTTAGAATTTAATTTTAATTAGTTTGCTCAAAAGGAGGTGAAAATGAAAATTCGGTATTGATTTCTGCAAAACCATGATTAGAAATTTAGAATTAAAAATCTCTTTCAATTTTCCAAATTTTCGGAGACCTAACCTCTAAAGTATACGCAACTGACATGTGCGACAGTTGACAATAATCGACAAGTTTTCTTTTTTAAATTTGTTTATTTGCCGTGTTTGACTGTTGTTTAACGAAATTGTTAGATTATTATGATTATTATATAGACTGGTAAAAAGTTTACAATAAAAAAATGTTCAAAAGTTTCAATAAATTCGCAAAAAGAATATTGTGTGGAAAAAAGGTAAACAATTTGAAAATGTACAGAGAAAAGTGTGTAAGTATGTATAAAAATTTAAAAATTAATATTCTTGGCATTAATATTAATATTTTAGGTGTTAAATTAACATTTTAGATAATAATATTAATATTTTAAATGTTAATATTAACATTTTAGATATTAATATTAACATTTTAGATAATAATATTTTAGATGTTAATATTATTTTTTTAGTTATTAATATCAAAACACTAGATGTAAATGCCATTTTTTAAATATTAATTCATATTTACAAACATTATTAAATTCGAATTATATTTTTGATTCATTTGCTAAATTCCATAAGATCAAATTCCATCAAATCCCGTTCGGTAGGACATTCACGGTACCAAGGATCTTCAAGGTCAAGGAAATCGGGATGCAAATATTTTCGCCGTTCATTGCGCGATGACGCAACAACCGGATAATTTGTCGTATCGAAAAATCTCTCAATATCGTCAATATCGCCACCAGTAGTGGCGTAATTATAATAATTATCATCATTATCATTACGACGAGGAATTGGCGGCATTGAAGCTTTAATTCTCGATTGACAGGGAAATATTGTACCGTCTTCGTCCTCCTCGAATGATACGTCACCCTCCATAATGTCTTGCTCGAGAGGAATATCATATCTAAAATCATCGTCGTCAATTTGATTTGCAACGCGAGCAAATTGCTCATCAATTCGTCGCTGTGCTTCTCGTTGACAATGCGCTTCTTCTCGTCTGTCGAGAAATTGACGAGCATTCGCTAAGACTGCCTGATGTCTATCAATATCCACATTCAAGTAGGAATCATCAACGTCTGGTAATTTGTAAACAAATCTTGATGGCGACTCCTGGGGAAGAGGACCCGATTGATAGGATAATGGACTTCCGGGCAGGGGAATCGATGATGTATTTAAATCGTCAGCGAAACTTACCTGGAGATTATTTTGAGTTTGGTTAATAATTCGCAAAAAAAATTGAAAGGTGAAGAAATTATTTTTCTCTTTTTACGATTATTTTTAGTCTTTTTTCACGATTTATCTTCTATTCTATTTTTTGCATTCGTTTCTATTTTATTAATTTTATTATTATTATTCATTCTATTTTTTGACTAATACTATTATTTATTTACATATTTATTTATTCATCTGTTTACTTTTTTTCAGGGTTGCCACAGGTCAGGGAAGATAGGGAAAAGTCAGGGGAAGTAGAATTGATCAGAGAAATTATCAGAAATTTTTATCAAAAGTACTAGAAAAAATTAAATTTTTAGAATTCATAAGAAAATTCTGAATTTTTGTTGTAAAAGTAATAAAATTCTTCACAAAAATTCAATTATGATCAAAAGTTTAAAAAAATTCTCGTCAAAATGTCAATTATATTTAAAAATAATAAAATTCTTCTCCAAAATTCAATTATTTTCAAAAATTTTAACAAAATTCTTGTCAAAATTTCAACTATTTTCAAAAATTTTTCTCAGTTCAATGATTTTCAATGTTCACTATTTAAAAAAAACTTTCCAAAAGAATTCAATTATTTAAAAATTTTTTTAATAAAATTCCATGCAAACATTAAATTATTTTCATAAATAATAAAAATTTCACAGGAATTCAATTATTTACAAATTTTTTCTACTTTTCTTCGCAGTAATTCAATTACTTTCAGAGCTAATAAAATTAATGGCAGAATTTCTATTATTTAAAATTTTTAATTTCTATTATTTAATTATAATTTTATATTAATTTCTAGAAAAATACAATTTATAGGATTCTTAAAATTTTCAATATTTTAGTAAAATTTTTCAAAAGAATCCAATTATTTAGAAAAAATTTTGATGAAATTCTACGCAAACATTTACACAATTATTTTCATAAATAAAAAAAATTTCCAAGAAATTCAAGTATTTACTACTTTTTTAAAATTTTTTCACAATAATTCAATTATTTTCATAAATAATAAAACTCATCGCAGAAATTTAATTATGTTCTGAAAATAAATAGAATTCTAGTCACAATTTTAATTATCTTTATAAATAATAAAATTCTTCTTCGATATTCAATTCTTTTCAAAGATTTCAATAAAATTCTTTGCGGAAATTCAACTATTTTCATAAATAAAAAAGTGTTTAGATAAATTCAATTATGATAAAAAATTAAAAAAGAATGTCGAAATTTCAATTATCTAATTATAAATTTAATAAGATTCTTCTCCAAAATTCAATTATTTTCAAAAAATTTAATAACATTTTAATAAAATTCTTAGCAAAACTTAAAGTGTATTCAAAAAATTTTCTCAATTTAATGATTTTTCTATATCTACTATTTTAATAAAATTTTCAAAAAGAATAGTATATTCTTTGTTCAGGGAAAAAGTCAAAATTTTGTCTCGAAATCATGAAAAACTCAGGAAAAAATAAAATAAAATTTTTGTGGCAACCATGATTTTGAATTTTGTTTTAATTATTAAAATATTTAATTTTTGAAGTATTTGTCTACTTATTTGATTTTTTTTCAGATAATATTTTTAATTTGTGCTTACGGCGTTGCTTGAAACATTGGCGATGGCGAGGACAAAGTCCCTCCTTGCATTTTGAAGATCCTGGAGTTTATTTTGAACGACTAAACACTCGGCAATGTCTTGTTCATCGAGAGTTTCTTGAATTACCTGAATGGACCGATTTGCAGCATCAACGACTGTGCTTCTTTGACCTAATGAGTGTCTTCGTTTTGACACTGAACCCGGTAATCTACCACTGGTATCGGGTATTGTTCGTCTACTATTTCCTTTAAATTGTTGAAAATCCTCTCGTGTCATCTTGCTCGGTCCAGATCTCAATCTTGATTCCTATTTTCAATTTACTCTTAGTACTTCAAAATATTTCGTTTTTTTTTTTCTTTTTCCAAAAAGAAGCAGTTTTTTTTTTTTTAATTTTCAAGTAAGGAGAGAAATTAATTTTTACTAAAAGTGTAATTATTTTTTGAACATTTTATTTTTTTTCAAAAAGAAGTAGTTTTTTATTTTTTAATTTCCAAATTCCAAGTAAGGAAAGAAATCAATTTTAACTAAAAATGTAATTATTTTTTTGTAAATTTTATTTATTTTCCTTTTACTCTAAGTGCTTAAAAGTATTTTCTTTTCTTTTTCCAAATTAATTTCTCATTGAGTTGAAAATAAAATAAATAAAATAATTTTATTGAAAATTAATTTCTACTTTAGTTGGAAATAAAATAAATGAATAAAACAAGAAAAGAACAAAATAAATAAATAAATAAAATAAGAATTTAAAGTAAGGAAATGAAAGAAAGAAATAAAATAGAAAATAAAAAAATAAAATGAAAATTGGAAATAGAAATTTTAATTTTTCTTTCTGTTGTAGAATTACATGAAGAGTCGATTTCTCTCTTCCGAGTCGGGCGTCGCCTCCTGGAGGAGCTGCAGTTCTTCGGGGACGTCCGGCGATGGCTGCCTCCTCGTGTCGTCGCTTCTGTTCCTCGGCCTCTTTCAATTTCTGAACGTGCTGCATGCGAGCCATCATCGCCTTGGTTACACCGGGTTTACTAAATTCGAGACGCTTCGGCTCAAGTGGTGGAGCACCGACCCGAGCGAGACCAGTTCGCACACGACGAGGATTCGGAGCTCCTGGTGCTTCTTGAAGTCTCGAATTAATAATCGCCGCCGATTTCGCCTGACGTAGTGCCTGCGCTCTCGTTGTCGCCGGTCTACATATTCCCCGCGCTCTCTCCGATGATGCACCAGTTCTTGTTCTTTGATGTCGACTTGCCATTTTTCTTGAATATTGTTTTTTCGAATTGTTTCCTACTCGAGATATTATAATCGTAAGTCTACAAACTTTAGTCTTTTTTAATTCACGATTAGTAAAAGAATCACAAATTTTATTAATTATTTTAATAATAGTTTTACTGAATGTACAGTCGAAGCAAGTGAATTATTCTTACCTTTTTTTTCTTCAATGAATTACGATAATTTCGAATTTTTATATAATCATAAATATTCAAATTTCGGTACAGTAATTTTATTTATTTCAAAATTTGAGAAAACTTTATTATTTCCTTGACATTGTGTTTGAAATTAAAAATTTTTATAATCAAAAATATTCAAATTATGAGTCCAGTAATTTTGTTTATTATTAAATTTGAGAAAATTTTATATTCCTTCACATTGTGTGAAAATTATTGTAAACTCTGCAAAAGAAAGAGAAAAAAATGTTATTTTCAATTAATTTTCATTCTAAATTATTAAAATAAATAATATTTACAGGAATGTTGAAGAGACGGAAATTTTGATTCAAGATTCTGCCGAAAAAGGTGGTGTGAATTTGTGAGACGTCATCTTCTGATCTTCTGACGTGAAGTTTTATGGTTAAAAAAATGAAAGATAAAAAAAACTATTTTCTTTGAACTAACAATTGAATTTCTTTGTTCTTAATGTGAGGTGTCAATTCACGGAAATTTTTTTTCACGAAAAAACAAAAGACGATTGAATTGAAATTTCAGAAAAATTGTGAAAAAAACCTTAAATTTTATATTCATTAAAATATTCTTATTTGGAATAAAATACAGAATAATTTGTATTAAATTCCAGTAATAATAAATAAATAATGAGATTATTTTTATATTCTTTTTAGATAATATTTTTTTAAATCACCCTCATATATGTGACCGGGACTGAGAAAAGGGACCTACTTACCAAAATCAACTTTTCGAGAAAAACGCGTTTAAAGTTTTCTATCCAAATAAATTAGATTTCTTGAAACATTTTACATTTTAAATTAACATGATGAGTGTTCTTTATGTATTTTTTTATGCTGAATCCGATTTTCATGGTTAAATAATTGTTCAAACAACCCTGTAATTGTTATAAACAATTTATTTTGCAAAAGTCAAATTATGGAATTTTCAAAAATAATTTAAAAGACTTCCGGATGTCCTAGAGGTCTGAAATTTTGTATGCAAGTTCAGAACTGATACAATAATGAATAATTCTAAACTCTACAATAATCCATAGTTATTCTTTGACTTGCACAACCAGGTTGCCGATGACGGGGTATACTTGGGGTCATCTTCGAGGAATTAAGTCGAATTCTTTGTAAATGGTTTAGGCATTCAATTTAATATTTAGGGGATATATTCTTGACACTTAGACAACAAAGAGTAATTTTTGTCTTAAAATTACTTATATTTTCATAAAAAAAATTAAAAAAAATTTTTTTTTTTAAATTTGTTTAAACAATTGCAAAATTTTTTTTTAACAATCTGGACTGCTTGCATTGTATTTCTAGGACCTTAAACTATAAGAAACCATCATTAAAAAATCGATTTTTTGGTAAGTAGGTCCCTTTTCTCAGTCCCGGTCACATATGCGTTGATTAAAATTTTATACGGGCAGTGTAAGTACAAGCATTGGTGAGAAGTTATAGTGACTTAAATTACATAAAGTGTCAAAATTAAAAAATTGTTATTGATGTTTATGAGAGCTAACCATAAAAAACATACCCTAATCTTCATCCCAGCCCATTCTAACAATAGCAGAAACTTAGGGCAACCTTCAAGATTTAATTTGGTTCAACCTAGAACATTATATCTAGCATAGGTGAAAAGTTATGCTGCTCTAAATTACATAAAGTGTCAAAATTAAAAAATTGTTATTGAAGTTCTTGAGACAAAATCATGAAAAACATACCCTAATCTTCATCCTAGCCCATGCCATCGATAGTAGACACTTAGGGCAAGCTTCAAGTTTTAATTCAGTACCAAATAGAACATTATATCTAGCATAGGTGAAAAGTTATGCTGCTTTGAATTACATAAAGTGTCAAAATTAAAAAATTGTTATTGAAGTTCTTGAGACAAAATCATGAAAAACATACCCTAATCTTCATCCCAGCCCATTCTCACAATAGTAGAAACTTAGGGCATATCATACCTTCACCTAAATCAATCTGCAAAAGGAATGTAAAATATTTTAATATACACTTATAATTTTGTACTTTGCTGTAACAAGTATCTTAACCCAGTGGATACAGGGTTGTCTAAAAGACGTCTTAAAGACGTCCCTTTATGTCCGCGGACAATTCGGGAACAATGATGGCAATGTCTCTGAGTTATCAAAAAGACAACTAAAAGACGTCCTAAAGACGTCTAAAAGACATAAGAAAGGACATCCAAAGTACGTCTCAAAGACGTCTTTTGGATGTCTAAAAGACATATAAAGGACGTCTTAAAGTCGTCCTTTTTACATTCCTTCAGATTTTAAATAGACATTTCTTTTATATCATTATCTAAGTAATATTTAGTAGCTGGAGTATCTAATATAATTGTTATCCATATAATAGCAATTAAAATTAGCTGCGATTACTAATAATTAGTGGCGTTAATTAACTTTTTTTCTCCGTGCATATAAATAATTTAAATGGTTTATAAAATTGTTACACCCTAATGCTTTAATGCCTTCCTTCCGATTGAGTTCTGCGCATCAAAAATAAATGGAAAAACGATGCGCGGAAGGAAGGCATTAAAGCATCAGGGTGTATTATAAATATCGAGTTATTATTTTTTTTTAATTTTGTAATTTTTGTTATGCACTACAAATTTTCTTAAAAGTTTTAACATTTTAGAAAATCAACGACATTCTTTTAACACAGTTGAGCTGGTCTGACCCTACTATTTGCAAAATGACAAATAGCAACAGTGACAAATTCATAAAAATATTAATTTGAGAAATGCAAATTAGCAAAAATAAAATATGCAAAACAACAATTAGTAGAAATAATGATACACAACAAAGCAGTTTCGCAAAAAATAACAATTAGCAAAAGTATCTAACAATTTGTAAAACTGCCAACTGCCTATACGGCATTGCCCGTATAAATGTTATAAATAAATAAAAAAAAATTTGATGTAATTTGACCTCAGAAGTTCAAAAACGGTTTTTAAAAAAATGTCCCGATGTGTGTGTATGTACTAACATTACATTCACCTCAATATCTCAGAACGAGGATCTAAAGGCTTGATTTTTTTTTTAAATTGTAGGTCTCCCTGGGGGACGTAAAATGAGATTATTTTCAGCCCGATTCATGAAGTTTAACTATTTTTTTGCATTTTTCATTTTATAAAAAAACGTTCTTTGGCCATAACTTAAAAAAATGTTGGGGCACCTATAAATGTTTTTCTTTAGTTTTGCAGAGTTTTTTCAGATGCATCATAGGGTTTCGTGGCCTAAAATGACAAAAAAATAAATAATAATTTATTTAGAATTTTTTTTTGTACTTAAGATTGAAATTTTCTTTTTATTACCAAAGTAACGGTTGCCACGGTAACTGTTGTTATGACAACCATTAACATAGCAATGGATGCCACGGCAACGGTTGTTATGACAACCATTAACATAGCAATTGTTGTCATGGCAACGGTTGTTATATCAACCATTAACATAGCAATGGTTGCCATGGCAACGGTTGTTATATCAACCATTAACATAGCAACGGTTGTTATGTTGTTTCGGCCCTTGGCCACGATACCCTACAAACGCTTCTATTGATATACTTTTTAACCTGATTCGGTCAAAAATGATCAAATTATTGGTATTTAAAAAATCAAAAATTGTGGAAAATATCATTTTTTCAACATTCTTGTTTATTAACTTATATGTAATTATTAAACTATTATATTAAACACATTTTTGGACCAAGATTTAATGATTTTTAACTCTTTTATAAAAAGTAATTCTTATATTTTAATTATTATTATTTCTATGAGGAAGTAAAGTGTTCATGAAATGAACACCAAATTTATAAAAATGTACAACTTGGCATCAGTTTTTATTTTTTTTTAATTTTTTTGCTTAAATTGCTATTTATGCGTTCACGAGTCCCCTCGATTGCCATCGATTGGGGTGGTGTCGTTGTCTCTCTCCCTCTCCAACTACGGTTGGAGAGAGAGGGGTAGAGCGTTAAGTTAAGGCACTGCCACAGCTCGCTGCTGCCTGCGCAGGCAGCTGAGATACAATGAGAGTGAGGGAGAAAAATCATGAATTTGAATTTTCTTTCTCCCTTAATCTCATTGTATCTCAGCTGCCTGCGCAGGCAGCAGCGAGCTGTGGCAGTACCTTTACTTTACCTCCGAGTACGGTGTGAACTCGGTGGAGAGGCGGCTTGTTGCTTATGTTTCAGATAAATCATGGCTGTATGTGAGAGGCTTTAAACCACAGTACGTTATTTTAGTGTTGCCACTTGCTGTACACTCGTGCTCATTAATGCCTTCTCTCAGGGAAGGAACTAATTTGACGCGTTTTGCCCACTTTCTATATTTTTTATAGTTCGTGCCAATAATTCCATAGGAATTTTACTTTTCCATTGGCTGATTTTTTATACAATATAGATGGTAGGCAAAGTTCGTGAAATTTAATGCCTTCCCTCAGGGAAGGCATTAATGAGCACGAGTGTACGTCATTTTCAACAATAATTCGTTGAATCATAACAAAGATATTTTTACCTTTTTAATTAAATTATTAATTATTAATGTTTAATAAATGCCGATTACAGTAGAACATCAGACTTTAATGCCCTTCCAAGATTCTCAACGTAGTTGGACTGACGATTTACCAGTTTGCAAAAAATCTGGTAAGTTTATTATTGTTAAATTAACCTAAAAAATTTTGCATTTTCTTTATTTTATTTTTTTATCATGTGAAAAAAAGACGGACGAAATAAATAATATTGCATAAAAAGTTTTTCAATAATTGGTTTAATTTTGTTTTAAACTTTATTGCTTTTATTAATTTTTATAATTTTTACTGGCATTTTTAATTTATTGTTCTTTAATATTATTGTCGAATTTGTTTGTTAATGGGAATTCAATATTTCCTGGTAAATCTTTTTCTAGTAAATTCTTTCTCTCTTTTTAATTCTCGTTATAACTAACAATTCGAAGAGAAAAGAATTTTATCGAAAATGAAAAAATAAACTGTGTTTTTTGAGAAATTATTTAGAATATTTATTAAACTTATTTTTCAGGAATAGGATTTTCGACTAATCAAATATATCGAGAAGACGGTTGTCGACAAGAGGAGCATCCTTTTGAGGATCGTAGTTTTCATTTTCGTTGCGATGATTCAACGTTTCTTTATGGTGTTTTCGATGGACACGAGGGTACAAAAGCTGCGAGTTTTGCCCTTCAACGAATGGCCGCTGAAATATTATTGGGACAGTTGAATGAAAAAAATAATGACGATGAAGTTAGAGAAGTTCTTCGGTAAAATTATTTATATCCTTTAGCGACAAAAATTCGTTTATTCGATGTATTTGAAATAGTTATTTCAAATACAACGATTAAAATAATAGATTAATTATTATCATCGCTAATTTCTCCTAATTTCCTTATTTCTAATTTTTGTTTTAGCCAAGCATTCATTGCCGTTGAACGTGGATATTTAGACTCGATTGGCGATATTTTGGCAGAACGTGCAAGTTTACAGTTCGATATTCCGGACGGTCTTAATTCATACGAAACGTATCAAAAATTTCCACATTTGGTTAGTAGAAATTTGTATATAATTACTCGATTTTTTCCATTACATTCTAGAGGAATTAAATTTTTTTAATAAGCTTAAAATAAAATTCATCAACGCTTTCTCATAGAGTTGTAAATTTTCGTTTATTTTCGTTGCAGGTAGACAAATTAAATGCTTTAAATTGTGAATTATCGGCGGGAACAAGTGCGGCGGTGGCATTAATTCACAATGGACGTTTGTATGTCGCTAATGTTGGCGACAGTAGAGCTTTATTGTGCAAAACTGACAGCAATCAAGTTTTAAGGGTCATTCAACTCAGTATTGATCATGATTTAAGGAACGAAGACGAATTATTGCGATTATCACAACTTGGCCTTGATGTTAAATCAATTCGACAAGGTAGCTTCTCGTTTTTTGTTTGCCTCGCATAAACTATGAAATTACCACAAATTCTGAACTGTCAAAAAATTATTTCTTATAAATTATTTTAAATGAATAATTTTACTTCAATATTTCAAAATTTTTTCACATAAATAGATGAACTTCAAAAAGTTTCAATTTCAAATTTTTATAAGCATTCACTGTTCAAAGAAATTAATTAGAAATTGTAAAGAACTTAGATTTTTGAAAAATTTTAATAATTTAAATTCTTCTAAAATTAATTAAATTGTATAATATATTTTTAATTAATTATTAAAAATAATAATTTACAGAAGAATTTTAGTTAAAAATACTAATAAAAATTGAATTTTAGAGAAGTTACAAATGATTGCAGAAATTCAATTATTTTCAAAACTATTAAAATTCTTCGCAGAAATTCAATTAACTTAAAAAAATTTTTTAATTCTTGTCAAAATTTATATTATTCTTTATAAATAATAAAATTTTTCAAAAGAATTCAATTATTTAAAAAGATTGTTGATAAAATTCTACGCAAACATTTATTTATTTTCATGAATAATAAAAATTTCAGAGGAATTCAGTTATTTATAATTTATTTTAAATTTCTTCGCAATAATTTGATAATTTTTATAAATAATAAAAATTTTTAAAGGGATTCAATTTTTTCATAAATAATAAAATTCCTTTTAGGAAATAATTATTTTCAAAAATAATAAAACTTATTGTAGAATTTCAATTATTTTTAATTCAATTTTTAACGTATTTCTCGAAAAATGTAAATTATTCTTAAAAAATTGTATTAAAATTTGTTAGAAGAATTCAATTATTGAAAAATTTGTTGATAATATTTCTTATGAGAATTCAATTTTAAGAAACATTTAATTATTCAATAAATTATTTATTTATGTATATTTAAATTTTTAAATAAAAATTCATTTAAAAATTAATTTTAGTTAACATTTTAGATAATAATTGAATATTAAAAGCATTATAGAGTGAATTTTTCGAAATAATTAAATTTTGAAAAGGTTTCAAATTAAAATCTTTAAAAATTTGAATTTTTTATACGTTTTACTAACAATTCTGTAGAATTAAGTTTTTTGAAAAAGTTTAATTAAATTCTTGTTGAAATTATTCGAAGTTTTTATTTTCTAATACATATTTAATTAAAGAATTTCTGAATAAAATGGAAACTTCGTAAAATTGAATTGTAAGCAAATCGATTTGAATAATCTAATAATTTCTTTGAGTACCTAATAATTACCTACTTTTTATTAATTATTTGTCATTTTTAATCAAATTATTAATTTATTCAAATAATAATAAATCGTATTATTTAAATATATAATTATATTTGTCGATTGATAATAATTAATGATGATTAAATTCCAATTAAAGGATCTCATTTGGGTAACCAGGAGAACACACGTTGCTTAGGAAATTATTTAGTAAAAGGAGGTTATCGGGAATTTGAGGAATTATCCTCAGCTTCTATCGAGCCAATAATTGCCGAACCGGAAATCCACGGTGGAATTGAAATTGATGATTCCTGTCGATTTTTGATGCTCATGTCTCGAGGACTCTACAAAGCTTTAGAAGAAGCAACGCGTACCGAACAAGTTAATAAAGAAATCGCTCTTATGGCCGTCGAACAGGTAATTTTATTTTTAAATTTTATATACTTTCATTTTTTTCTAATTTAAATTTTTGTTTAAAAAAAATAATATTTTAGATTTGAAAACTATTTATTAAAAATTTAAAAAACTTTTTTAAATTTTCAACATGCTTTAATTTTAATTTAATGCATATTTTACATTTCACATAAAGTTTGCATCGTTTGCATTCATAAATGCACGAAATAGAGAAAAATATAGTAGAAGAATAAAATTAAGAACAAAATTTAGAAAAATAATTTGAAAAAATTACAGAAAGGGAACATTTATTTTTCAAATATTTACTAGAGAGAAAAATGCAGAAAGAAAATAAAATTTAGAAAAATAATTAATAGAGAGAAAAATGTAAGAAAACGAAATTTAGGAAAATAATTACGAGACATAAAAATATAGAAAGGGAATAAAATTTAGAAAAATAATTATTAGAGAGAAAACTGTAAGAGAAAGAAATTTAGGAAAATAATTACGAGAGAGAGAGGAATACAGAAAGGGAATAAAATTTAGAAAAATAATTACAAGAGAGAAAAAATATAGAAAAGAGAATAACATTCAAGAAAATAATCACTATTTTAAGGGGAAAATTGTTTGTGAGAGAAAAATACAGAAGCAGAAAAGAATTTACGAAAAATAATTACTACATCAGAAATTAATTTACAGTTTCGAGTTCAGTCAACATTAACGGGCGTGGCGCAAGCGGTGGTCGACAAAATAGTGAGAATTCATCACGACATAAATATGAGTCATTCCCCAAGTGCATCGACAAGTGGAAAACGCGAGGATATAACTTTACTTGTTAGAAATTTTAATTTTCCACTTTCAAATGCACTGAAAAGTCCAACGGCGCCTTCTGTTCGTTTTGATCCGATTGTTCAAACAGCACCGGCTCTCAATATGGAGGATCAGCAGGATGCTTACAGTATAAAAAGTGAAATATCAGATGAAAATTATGACGCATTTACTGCAACGACATCAACAACATCAGATGTCTATCCACCGGTTGCAAATCCAATGAATCGTAATTCCAAAATTAAACCGTATGTAGATTTTTCGGAATATTACGAAAATGTGGAAAAGAGACGCGAGGAGGGCACATTACCGGAAGGAATTGACTTTTGATTTTTGCAGTGTTATTTTCATTTCTTTTTTTTTTTTTTGAAAGACTGAAATAATTTTAATTTTATTCGAGGGAATGTTGAATGTTTTAATTGTATATTTTTTAGCAGATTTTTTTTAATCACGAACTTTTAATGAAATGAATAATAATCCATGATGATTAAATTTTGGAATTTTTGAAACTATTTTTGTTAATAAATTTGATCTTTTTGATTAAAAAAAGGTACTTTTTTGTACTTTAATTTCTACTCTAGTCACTTCTCTTTCTATAATTTTTAGTAATTTAAAAAAATTAAAGTCGGTTCGATTTTAGAGTCTATAAAATTGAAACTTTTGCACAACTCTAAAAAAAAAAGTTATTTTAAAAGTTTGATTTTTACGAATTGAAAAAAAATCGCCCCTTGAAAATATTTGATTTTAAAAGTAAATCATAAGAATTTTATTCTTTTTCTGGTTTTATCTGGAAAACTTTAAAAATTCCACATGCCCTTTAATTGAATCGTAACAGTCCAAAGAAAATAATAGAATCTAAATTATCGTCAGTGAAATGGTTACTTTCTTTGATTAAGCATAATTTTTCGACGATATTTTTAATTCAATATTTACCAAGATTCGTAATTCGATTTCAAAATTAGTTTAAAGAAAATTTATATTTTTTAATATTGTGACAATGGTAATTTTTTAAAATTAAAATTAGAAAGTAGTTTAAAATTGAAAATATTAATTAATAAAATTAGTTACTTTAATTATTACTTATTTGGTTACTTAGTTATTGAATTAGTTAATTAATAAATTAATTATTAAAATTCGACAAATACAATTTTTTTTAATGTAACCCTGTCGAGGTAAATTGTAAATAAAAATTTTAATTACCTGAAGACAGAAAGAAAAAAAGTGAGTTTTGAAAAATGGTAAAATTATCTTTATTATAAAAATGTATATATGGATTTATAAAAATATACGTATTTTCTTACTGTTTTGGAAGAACAAAATGAATAAAAGGAAAAAATTAATTATTTGACGGATGAAAAATTTAATTTACAAATATTTTGTTGGCATGCACTTGAGTCTTTCAAAAGCTGCTTTTTCCAGACATTCTCTATGATCGGGATGGGCTATTTGAATTAATGCGTTCGCTCTTTGACGTAATGTTTTTCCAAAAAGATTTGCGATTCCATGCTCAGTGACTACGTAATGTGTGTGCGCTCTCGTTGAAACAACTCCGCTGCCTAGATATTTTTATTTATTTCAATTAAATTATCGGCGATAAAAGATAATTTTCTAATTATTAACATTAAATAATTTAAATTGAATAATCCATAAATTAAAATAAATCAAAAATTAACTAAAGTAATTAAATTATAAATTAAATAAATAAACAAACCTATAGACTAAATTAATTAAATCTATAAATTCAATAATCTATAATAAATAATATTTTTGTGAAGTTTATAACGTTTATGATAATTATATTCAGAAAAACATTTTTCTAATGAAATTATAAACTTTTTTTTGAAAATATTCCTACAAAAGATAATTTACGAAATATTTTTGAAAATCCTGTTCCGAAAATAAGATTTAAAAAAATAGGAATTTTGCAAATATTTTTCTTCTTTTTCTAAAAGAAAATAATAAATTTGTTAAAAAAATTGTGATTCATAAACAAAAATAATGCAAAATAAATTGCATTATTATTAACTTTTTTTATAATTTTTCTTTTCAAATATTTTCAATTTTAAAATTAATATATTAAAAATCATCGAATTTTTGCAAAGAATTTTATCAAAAAATTTGATGATAATAGAATTCCTTCACAGAATTTTATTATTTAGGAAAATAACTGAATTCTCGCTAAGAATTTTATTAAAATTTTTAAAAATCCTAATTAAATTCTTTTAAAGAATTTCTTTGAATTTTTTTTTGAAACTAATGGAGTTTCTTTAATAATTTTTAATTGAATTGAAAATTTTGAAAGCATTTGAATTTTATGAAGAAGGATTTTATTAAAAGTGAATTGAAAATAATTGAATTCTTGAGGAGAATTTTACTATTTATAAAAATTGTTTCGAAGGATTTATTAAAATTTTCGGACATAATTGAAATTTATGGAAATATTATATTTAAAAATATTTGAATTCATCCGAGGAATTCAATTAAAATTCTTTTGAAAATCATTGGATTTTTGTAAAGATTTTACTATTGGAAAAAATAATTGAATTGTTTAGAAGGATTTTACCATTTTTAAAAATAATGAAAATGTTTCGCGAGAATTTTTAAAAAATTTAAGAAATAATTAAATTGTTATGAAGAATTTTATAGAATTATTTTAAAATAATGAAATTTTTTCGAGAAATTAAATTAAAGTTGTTTCGAAAATAATGGAATTTCTTTAAAGAATTTTATTAAAATTATGTATCTATATTCAAAATAATTGAATTCATCACAAGAATTTTATTATTTTTTGAAAATAATTGAATTCTTTCAATTTTTTTGACAAATATATTTAAAAATTGCATTGAAAGTAATTTAATTTTTATATAGAATTTTTTAAAAATATTTTGAGAATAATTTAATTATTTTTAGAGAATTTTAAATTTTTGTTGAAATTGCATTTTATGGAAATTTTTGAAAATAATTAATTTCTTTCATGTAATTTTATTTAAATTTGATTAAAAATAATTTAATTCTTGTGAAGAATTTTACTATTTTTAAAAATAATTGAATTTTTTGAAGGATTTATTAAAATTTTAGAAAATATGAACAAGTAATAATTAATTTTGTACTTAATAAGTGATTTTTTTTAATTTTGATTATGAAATGATTTTAAAAATTTATATTTGAAAATTAAAAATATTTGTAATTTGCATAATAATAATAATAATCACGTTCCACGCGTAAAATTTTCTAGTAATAATATAATATATACAAGCAATCTATCTAAAGATAACAAAAACCAAAGTATAAATAAAAGACAACTTCAGAGTATGAGGGACAGAAAAAGTGAATGAATCAATGAAAGAACATTCAAATTATAATAGTTAATTTGAAAAAATAAAATTTTCGGAATAATATTGTGGTTAATGGAATCAGGAAGTCTTTTACATATTTTGAAACCAGATTTTTTCAAAATATAGCTGCAACAACCCCCAGACGAAAGTCAGTGGACTGACCCTAATATAAATTTTCTTAAAATTATTTAATCACTAACAATTTTAATTTTATTTTTTTTACAATTAGACTTACTGTAATTGATGAGTGGACACAGTTAAACACACTTAAACTTCATAAAATTAATAAATAATAAAAACACTATTGCTGAACTAAACAAACAGACAAATTAATAAATAACAAAAACACAATGTCTGAACTATTCCAACAGACAAACAGATGAAAACTAATTTTCGAATCACACCTTCCTTGTCTTCTCCTTGCAGGCCTGACAGAAATTAGGAAAGGGTCGCTGACCTTGTGACGTATGCTGACAATTATGCGCAAAATCACGAAAACTACAACTCTCAAGAAGACTGTTATCGAAAGAAAGGTACAAGAGACTTGACAACAACAATAAACGAGACAGACCTATGATAAAAAAAACAAACAAACGACTCTCTCTCTCTCTCTATACTTCGAATATACAGAGTAAGTAACGAAACACTTCGTTACATTCTTTCCAGAACTTTGAATAAAATTCCCTGACATTTCCCTAATCAATTTTATTTTTTCCTATATTCACTAATTGAGGCTCCGGATCTTAAAAGGGCACTTTCAGCATTGATTTTAAATGATAAAAGTGCCCTTTTAAGATCCGGAGCCTCAATTTCCCTGACTTGTAGCTTGTGAAAATCCTGATTTATTATCAAAATAAATAGCCGCAAGAAAAAAGAAATTTTGAAAGAAACCTTTTTTAAGAATCGGTTGTATTTTGCTTTCGCCAGTGCTCGTGATGGACGGGAAAGCAATAATGGCCTTTCCTTTTCCATCTTGACCCATGGCAGCACCTCGAATGAAATCAAGTTGTCCTCCGAATCCAGAGTACATTTTGCAACCCAAACTGTCCTGGGAAACTTGACCCGTGATATCCATTTCAATGCAACCATTAATAGAAACCATTTTTGGTTGCGATGAAATCACTCTCGGATCATTCACATAACTGATTGTCAATATTTCTGAAAATTCGTCAATTATTCAATTTATTAAATTAAATACAATATTCTAAATGGTCTCTATAGTTAATAAATAATTTTTTACAGGACTCGAACCAGTGAAAGTATTTAAAAATAGTATTTAAAAATATATTACATATTTTCAAAAATTTTCAACTAAAATTCTTCTTTAAATCGATTATTTTTAATAATTTTCGAAAAAGTTCTTTGACAATTTTCAAATCCATTTCTTTACAATATTCAATTTTACAAAATTTCAATTATTCGTAAATTCTTCAATTAAATAAATATTAGAAAATAAAAACTTCAAATAATAAAAAAAAATCCACAATTAAACTTTCTCAAAAAAATTAATTTCAAAATTTAATTATTTTTAAAAATTCAGGCCATACTGCTTTTAATATTCAATTATTATATAAAATTTTAATTAAAATTAATTTTTAAATCAATTTTTATTAGAAAATTCTACTAGATTTCAATTATTTAAATACAAATAAATTGCAAATATATAATTTATTGAATAATTGAATGTTTCTTAAAATTTAATCCCATAAAGGATCGTTATCAACAAATATTCGAATAATTGAATTCTATCAACGAATTTTAATAAAATTTTTAAGAATAATTACATTTTTCGAGAAATTCGATTAAAATTGTATTAAAAATAAATAAATAATTGAAATTTTGCGATGAGTTTTATTATTTATGAAAATAATTGAATCCCTAAGAAGAATTTTATTACTTTTGAACAATATTGAATTTGTGCGAAGAATATTATTACTCTTGAAAATAATTGAATCTATAAATCCATTATTTTTAATAATTTTTGAAAAAGTTCTTTAAGAATTTTAATCTGAAATATTTTCAAAATTCAATTATTTTTAAAAATTTACTCTCTAATGCTTTTAAAATTCAATTATAATCTAAAATTTTAATTGAAATTTATTTTTAAATCAATGTTTATGAGAAAATTTTACTAGAATTCAATTATTTAAATACAAAATAACAATTTATTGAATAATTGCATGTTTCTTAAAATATAACTGAATTCTTTTGACGAATTTTAAAAAAAATTTTAAGAATTTTTTCGAGGAATTCGATAAAAATTGTATTAAAAGTAATTTAAATTCTGCAATGAATTTTATTATTTATGAAGATAATTGAATTTCGAAAAAGAATTTTATTATTTACGAAAATAATTGAATCCCCGTAAAAATTTTATTATTTATCAAAATAATTAAATATTTGCAAAGAAATGTATAAAAAAATTTGCAAATAGTGAAATTGCTGTGAAATTTTTATTATTTTTTGAAAATATTTAGAAGTTTGTGTAGAATTTTATGACATTTTTTTTAAATAATTGAATTCTTTTGGAAAATTTTATGAAAATAGTAGATATTGAAAATCATTTAATTGAGGAAAATTTAAAAAAATAATTGAATTTTGGAGAAGAATTTAAATATTTCTAAAGATAATTGAAATTTTGACAAGAATTTTTAAAAATTGTTGAACATAATTGAATTTCCGCGAAGAATTTTATTATTTTTGAAAATAATTAAATTTTTGCAATCATTTGTAATTTCTCTAAATTTCTCCAAATTATATCGTCCAATTTACGGAATTTTTACAGGATTTACAGACCTGGTTCGAGCCCTGGTTTTATAATTATTTTTTATAATTAATTGATTTTTAGTTAATTATTTTTTCATAATTAATTTATAATTAATTGTTCTTTATATTTAATTGCTTTTGTATTTAATTAACTATTTTTTTAAAAATTTGAATCAACTAACCGATGAAGGGATTATTGTGAATGAAGTCGTAGACTTTCTTCGTGCCAATGGCAAATGATCCAATCATTCGACCGCGATGTTTTGATTTCAATTGATTTGTGATTGCGCCCTTTTCCACTAAATCGACCATACCGTCGCCTAAAATTTCACTGTGAATACCAAGATCCTTGTGATAACTCAAGTGGCAGGCAATGGCTTCAGGAATATTTCCAATTCCCATTTGAATCGTCGAGCCGTCTTCAATTAGGACTTGCGCTATTTTCTTGCCGATTTCAATTTCAACTTCGTTTGGCGGTTCACCAGGATGGACGCATGGCAATGGACAATCGTGCTTTACTGCCCAATCGATGTGACTCGAATGAATCACCGAGTCGCCGAAACTCCTTGGCATGTGCTCGTTCACTTGTGCTGGAAAAATTCGTTTTTTTCAATTAATAAAGTATTTCTTTTATTTTTGATTTTATGATTCTTTCAAATTCAATTTTATTTCTTCAACAAATAATAATTGACTTACAAAAAAAAAATTAATTCGAATTAATTAATTAATTAATTAATTAATTATTTGTGTTTCAATTAATGAATTTGTTTTGCGAGATTTATTTGTGTTGAAATAAAGAAATTTGTTCTGCAAAATTTATTTTTAGTAGAATAAACAAATTTGTTCTGTAAAATAAATTTGTCATACAGAAATTATTTACTTAGTGTTTATTAAAGAACGTAAATAATTTTGATTAATTAATTTTTGTTTAAATATTAACTTTATGAACAAAATTTCTCAAAAGAAATCAATTCTTCTTCAAAATTCTACAAAAATTAAATTATTTTTTATAGAATTTCAGAAAATTTCAATTATTTTGCAAATTTACAATTTCTTGTTTATAAAATTTTAATTATTCTCAGAAATTAAATTATTTTCAATACAATTTTAATAAAATTCTATAATCAAATTTTTAATTTTTATAATTATTAACAGACACGATTACTTTAAAAAACTGAAAATTTTTTTTGTTCAATTCAATTATTTACAAAATTTTCAATTAAAATTATTTTAAAAAATTCTGTTATTTTCAAAAAACTTAAAGAACTTCTTCAAAAGAATTTAATTATTTATAAAAACTCTAAAAAAATTGTTCAAAAGAATTTTATTTTCTATCAATAATTTAAAAAAATTTTAATTATATAATAATTAGCAAAATCAATTATATTAAAAAAATTCAAAAAATTGTTTAAAAGAATTAAATTATTTTCAATACCTATTCTAATAAATTTCCTTGAATGAATTAAATTATTTTAAAAACTTGTAGTAAAATTCTGAGTAGAATTTAATTATTTGGTGAACATTTTAATAAAATTCAATAATTAAATTTTCAATTTCAATTAGTAACAAAAACGATTATTTTTTTTTTAAATTCAAAGAAATTCTTCATAAAATTTAATTAGTTTTCAATTAAAATTATTAAAGAAATTTCATTATTTCAAAAAAAAATTCAAAGAAGTTTTTCAAAAGAATTTAATTAGGATTTTCAAAATTTTAAAAAATAAAATTCATCTTAAGAATTCAATTATTTTCATAAATAATAAAATTCTTCGAAGGAATTCAATTATTTTTCAATTTTTTCCTATAATTCTTTGTAAGTATTCAATAGTTTTCAATACATTAATTTTACAATTGGAAACATTTAAAAAGAAAAATTATTAAAAACAACAAAGCAAACGACTAAAAAATTGATTTATATTAGAAAAAAAATTTGTCCTGAAAAATTGATTTAATACTCATTATTATTGTTAATAATTAAGTAAATAAACAAATAAAATAATAAAAACAATAAAAAAACAATATATAATAATTAATCAATTTAATTGTTTCAATTATTTAATTTGTTTAACTCACCAATAATAACTTTTGCAGTTGTTAAAACGGATCTGGTGCAATCGACGCTCGTTCCCAGGGAGCAGAAACCTCGAGGATCTGGAGGACTGACTTGTATGAGAGCAACGTCTGGAATTATGTCGCCTTCGCAAAATATTTTCGGCGTCTCATGATGGAAAATTGGAATATAATCCGCTCGTCCCTCGTTCACAGCTTCTCTCAGATTTGAGCCGATGTACAAACTTATTGACCTAAAGTGTTCTGAAAGAAAAACGAATTATTTAGTTAATTAGACTTTAAAAATGAATTAAATTTTTTAAAATAATTATTAATTCAAAGTATTCTGAAAGTAAATTTAATATAAATTAATGAAAATTTAAAAAATTAAAAATATTTAAAATCAACAAAGATTTCTGAATTTCTGAACAAAAGTGAGAATTTAAATTCAGAATTTTGTCTAGAGAATCATTTATTTAATTAAAATATATCTTCAATTCAAACTTATGAATTAAAATTATTAACTAATTTAGAATCAAAGAAGAATTTTGAATTTCTAAACGAAATTGACAATTTAAATTCAAAATTTCGTTTAGACATTCAGAAAACCTTTTTTTCATGAATAGAAAAATAATTTAAATACGATTAATTAAAAAATTCTTTATATGATTAATCAATTGAATTAATTTTGATAATTTCTAAAATATGAAATACGTAACTGTAAAAATTTGTATTTAGTAAAAATTAATAATAATAATTGTAAATTTACTCTCAAATTCCGGATGAACGAAAGGTGCATCTCCCTCGAGACCCATATGGACCAAACGAACTCCACGAAGATTATTGCAAATTCCATGCTCCGTTAATCCTCGAATTAATTCAAAAGGTGTCGCAGATCCGCCTTGAATGTAGACAAGTTGCTCTGTAAAAGAAGAAAAATTCCTCTAAATTATTTTTTCTTTTCATTAAAAAACACTTATTTTTTTTACCAAATTGTCAAAATTTTCAATGACATTTTTTCTTCACCAAAAAAAATTTTTTCACCTGAATTCACGATTTTTATCGCATCTTCAATGCAAACCCATCGTGGACATCTTTTTGATGGTTGAAAAGGTTCACGGAGTGCAGCGAGGGATCGATTACCAAAACCGCATAAACTTTTTTTCGTGTTCCTCCATTTATTGAGACTTGTCTCAATGATGCTAAACATTTTTGATTTTGCAAATTCAAAAAAAAAATCAAACTTTTTTCACAAATTTCACTAAAAAAAAATAAATGTTGACTGCCAAAACAATGTTTCGTTGATTACTTTTTTCCAAAAAAAGAATAATAATTGTCTTAATTTACAAAAAATTTTGAATAAAATATAATCTAAATTTCATTTTGCTGCTTCTAAGCAACCCGTCAAATATAATTTTTTCATGACGATTTTCAATTTTTTTTCGCTTATTTTTCTTATTTCATTTTTTTTTCTCGCGTTAAACAGCATTTTCACTTCGCTTTGTTTCACTTTGTTTAAATTGACAAAATATATTTTCAATATTATGGGAGAAAAAAATTACAAAATTTTTTTTTCCAAGGATCCGAAGAAATGATTTTATTTAAAATAATATTTAAACAGAATTTAATCTTTTTTTTGTTGTTATTGTGGAATTAAAAAAATAAATTGCCCTATAGAATGTTACACATATGTACAAATCAATTTGCATATTTCTATATATAAAAAAAAATTATTTTTTTCTAAATTCTCTCAGGCTATCATTTCTCTTGTTTTTCGTCGTACATCGAGTTTCAATATCTTTTCGAGACTTTTTCTTTTTTTCCTTTTTTTAACAAAAAAAAAATTGTCATATAACCACTGTTATTGTCAGTAAAAATATAATTATAAAGTCGGTGGAGTTCACAACCTTTTCGATCAAAAAGTAGAAGAAACAAATTTTTTTCCACGGCAGAAAACGATAGAATTTTGTTCGCTTTCTTTTTTTCAAATTTTTTTTCAAAGTATTTTCAAAGTAATTTAAAAGTATTTTAAAACTATTTTTGAAAGTATTTTGAAACTATTTTCAAAACTAATTTGAAAAAAATGTGTCAAACCTAAAATTTATAAATATTTGCGTGGAAAAACATATTTTTCTTCTTGATCGTTGATTATCGCTGTGAACATGAAAACTCAATTTTGAAGCACCCGAAAAAGAAGAAAGTGTAATTTGCCATTTTCTAAAGACCTTCTTACGTGACTTTTTTTATTTTGTCTCATGCAGAAAAATATTTTTTCTTCAAAAATAAATTCAAATATTCAAAAAGATAAATTGAATATTTTAGATAATACTCAATAGAGTCTAGTTATAGAATTTTAAAACAAATTCTCTCATTTAAAAATGATTGTCAAATTTTGTTTCGTAACGAAAAGATAAATAAAAAAATTTTCTCTGCAAAAAGAGAAGAAAAAATTCCAAAAAAAATATTAAAATTCTTTAAAAGTTTGAATAATTTTCGTTTTCAATTTTTCTCAATCAGACAAAACCTTCAATACAAAATGATGAATTTTCGTTTAAAATTTCTTTTCACAGAAATTATCACAAACATTCAAAGACTCTTCGCAAATTTTACATTCATCAACTTATTTAAAATGTCTGATAATAATTTTAAAAATTACTATAATTATATAATAATAACAATAATAATAATAAGTGTTTTATAAAAAATTTCAGGTCTTTTTTGTAAAGTCGGTAAAATTTGCTTTTACATCTAATGAATTTAATTTTACAAACGAATTTTGAATGAGATTTGCCGGTGATTAAATTCGTCTTTTTTTAAAAAGAAAAAGTTGCCGAAAGAAAGTCTTTAAAAAATGTCAAAGAAAAAAAACATTTAAGTTACTTTATGTCGAAGAAACGCGCAATGAATAAGGCGTATGTACATCGAATTACAATTATAATGATGTTAAATGCTATGCGAGTGAAATTTCATTTTTTCTGTTTTTTTTTTTGGCAAAAAAATTACTTAAGTGGTAATTTATGGTTCTGGCATCATTTTCAGTCGTTCGAAAGCCGCTTTTTCGAGCGATTCCCGATGATTGGGATGAGCAACTTGAATGAGGGCGTGAGCTCGTTGTTGTAAAGTTTTTCCAAAAAGACTAGCAATACCGTGTTCGGTGACTACATAACGAACGTGGGCTCTTGACGTAACGACTCCAGCGCCTTAAAGAAAAAGAAAATTCATTATATTACAAAAATTCTTTTCTTACATTTAATTTTTCTTATCCTATTTTATTTTTATTATTATTCTATTGATAATATGTTTATTTACAAATTTTTATTTAAGTTCTATTTTTATTTCCACGTATTTGAAATTCAATAATAATTTATAAAGAAATGCTATCGTAAATTCTCCAAAATTATTTTCATCATTTCAATTCAATTAATTACTAGAGATTTAAAATCTCTAGAAAATAATTAAAATTGAATTGAAAAATCAATTGTTTTTCATAATTTCTCCTCAAAATTATTTTCATGATTTTAAAAAAATTTTTTTTTTAAATTCAATTATATTTTAGAGTTTTTATCAAAAATTCTTTGCAAAATGAATTATTTTTTAAAATTTTTCTCAATAATTATTTTCAATAAATCAATTCAATTATTTTCTAGAAAATTTTTAACTAAAATTCATTAGAAAATGAATTATTTTTTATAATTTTTCTCCAAAACTATTTTGAAGATTTCAATTTAATTATTTTAATAATTTTTCTTCAAAACTTTATTCAGGGTGTCCAGCGATTCTAGAAAACAAAATTCAAGGACTTTTCAAGGTTTTCAAGGTCCAAACATATTTTTTCAAGGTCCATTTGTAGGGTACTCATTTTCAAAATATTTTTTATTTGTAATCGAGTATAATGGAGTAAGTTCTGTTTATTAGTTTTCCTCAACAAGTGTATTGCAAGTAAATTTTAACTTACTCTCTAAATTTGAATTAATAAAAATGATTACTAATTTGATTTAGTGACTGACTTTTTGCTTTTTTTGCTTTACTAATTTTTTAGTGAAATTTACTAATTAAAAAGCAAAAAGTCAGTTACTAATTCAAATTGGTAAACATTTTTACTAATTCAAATTTAGAGAGTACTTATAAACAATTTTATAATTTCTACATACAACAGTTATTCATAAATAACTTTAAATATAATTTATTGATAAAATATTAGAAATATAAAAAATATCTATTTAAGAAACATCAATCAAAATTGTTTTTAAATAACTGAATTTTTTTGGAATTTCTATTAAAATAATTGATATACAAATTATTGAATTAAGAAAAATTTTTGAAAATAATTGAAATTTTGCATTTTATTAAATGAATGAATTTTATTAAATTATTGAATTTTATTAAAATTTTTAGAAATAATTGAATTTTATTACTTTTGAAAAAAATTGAATTACTGCTAAAAATTTAGTGCTAAATTTTAAAATAACTGATTTTTGCGAAAAAAAAATAAAAATTAATGTAAATTTTTTTTTTAAAATAATTGAATTCTTGTGATGAATATTATTGTTATTTATGAAAATAATTGTATTTTGCAATGAATTTTATTAAAGTTCCTGAATATAATTGAATTTCGGCGAAGAATTTTTATAGTTATAAAGATCTATGTCTGGTTCTTGCATCAAGGGGTTCAATTGAAATATTGACGAGAATTCAAATTAAAACATCAAGGAAATAAATCTCATTTTTAAGAATTTTAATTTTTCAAGGTTTTGTCATAAAATTCAAGGTGTTTTCAAGGTTTTCAAGGAGCAAAAAAAATTCAAGTACTTTTCAAGGTTTTCAAGGTTGCTTGACACCCTGTTTATTGTTTAAAATTTTTAGCTAAGATTCATTAAAAAATCAATTATATTTTATAATTTTTTAAAAAAATAATTTATTGAAAAATCAAATATTTCGAATAATTTTTCTCCATAACTATTTTCAAGATTTCTATTTAATTATATTAATAATTTTTCTTCAAAACTAATTTCAATATTTCCATTCAATTATTCTCTAGAATTTTTAACTAAAATTCTTCTCTAATTCAATTACTTTTTATAATTTTTAACTAAGATTTATTAAAAAATCAATTATTTTTTATAATTTTGGAAAACAAATTTTTTGAAATCTCAAATATTTCTAATAAATTGTCTCAAAAACTATTTTCAAATTTCAATTTATTTATTTTAATAATTTTTCTTTAAAACTTTATTTTTTAGAATTTTTAACTAAAATTCATTAAAAAAATCAATTATTTCTTATAATTTTTGAAAATAATTCATTGAAAAATCAAATATTTCGAATAATTTTTCTCCATAACTATTTTCAAGATTATAATTGAATTATTTTAATAATTTCAATATTTCAATTCAATTATTTTCTAGAGTTTTTAACTAAAATTCTTCTCTAATTTAATTAGGTATTTTTAATAATTTTTCTTCAAAACTATTTTTAATGTTCCAATTCAATTATGTTCTAGAAAATTTTTAACTAAAATTCTTTAAAAAATTAATTATTTTGTATAATTTTTGAAAAATTATTTGAGAATTCAATTATTCAAAGAAAAAAAGGAAAATTCACCTAAAGTAATTCTAAAATTCCTTAAATTTCATTTCAATTCTAGAAAGTTTAGATTATAAGAAAATTTTTCAATTAAATATTCAAAAATTCACCTAAATTCCAAAGGGAATTTTAATTAAAGTTTTTTCAAAAACTAACTTCTTCAAAATTTTTAATTAAAATTTTGCAAAAATTAACTTGTTTAAAACTTTCAATTAAAATTATTTTAAAATTCAAATTTTCTAAATTTTCAAATTGAAACCTTTTGAAATTAATTTTTTAAAGTTCTGAACGTTCAAATGAACAAATTTAATTTATATCTTTTTCAATACATATTCGAATTTTTATTGCAATAATTATTACGTCTCGTATTAAAAAATATAAATTACATTGATTCTAATTTTTTAATTTTGTTTTTGCTTTTTACCAATCAATAATTTTTGAAAATATTCACATTGGCAAAAAATTTCGTTCATTTGAACGTTCAGAACTTGTGGATCATTTGAAATTTAGTTATTTATAAAAATTTTAAATGCAACTCATAAAATTCAATTATTTTTAGAATTTTCAAGTAAAATTATTCATTAAATAAGTTAAATGAAAGGTTTTGTATTAAAATTCGTGGTGATTTCAAAGTTTTTAAGAAAAAAAATGGAAATTCAAGAAAAATTAAATCTTTTTAATAATTTCAAATTCAACGGTTGCTGGAGACGGAAATTTAGATTTTTCTCATACATAAAATTAAAAAATTTAATATTTTTCCAGTAATTTCGATGATATTTCCTGACTTTTCCCTGATTTCTCTGACAAATTTTAGTTGCCCTGATTTTTCTCTGAATTCCCTCATTTTCCTGATTTCACAGATTTCTATGACAACCATTTTCTTTCTTTTTCAGTAAAAAATTTTATTTTCTAAAAAAAAATTTTTTTTTAGCGACTCACCTAATTGGAGGACTGGTGAAATTTTACTTGCGCCTTTATTGGTCGTCGATCGTAGTGCAATGATGGGTTTCCCGCATCCATCAGTAGCCATGGCAGCGCCGAATATAAAATCTAATTGTCCACCGAAACCCGAATACATTCTTGTTCCAATACTGTCGGAACTAATTTGCCCCGTAATATCAACTTCTATACAGGAATTAATAGCCGTCATCTTCGCTTGTTGACAGACTATTCTCGGGTCGTTCACATAATCCACACGCAACATTTCTAAAAGAAAAATACATTTTTTAAACAAATCCACAATTTTTTTGTTCTTCTCAAAAATAAAGAGAAAGGACTTTATTTTTGAAAAGGTATTTTGAAAAAATAGGAAAGGAAATTTCCTTTTATTTTTGAAAAGATATTTTTAAAAAATAGGAAAGAAAATTTCCGTTTATTTTTGAAAATGTATTTTGAATAACTTACCGATAGTTGGATTATTATGCATGTAGTCGTACAATTTTTGTGTACCAACGCAAAATGAACCGACAGTGCGTCCTTGATGCATTGATTTATGATTATTCGTGATGCATCCACGATTTACGAGATCGACAATGCCGTCGGCGAACATTTCACTGTGAATACCGAGATCCTTGTGATTTTTCAATTGACTAAGTACAGCATCGGGAATACTTCCAATTCCCAGCTGTAGAGTTGCTCCATTAACAACGAGATTTTCCGCTATATGTTTTCCAATGAGAACTTCTTCTTTGCTTGGTTCACTGGTTTTATGCTGTGGCAGTGGAGTGTCGTGCTTCACGGCAACGTCGATATGACTCTGATGAATAACTGCATCGCCAAACGTTCTTGGCATATGTTTATTTACTTGTGCTGGGAAAAAAACGAAAAAGAGAGTTAAAAAATTAATTTTTTTAACTAAATAAATCTAATTTATTAAATGAATAATGTGAAATTATTTTTTTTTTACTTTTACTTTTTGCAAAGTTTTACATTTGCTTTTTGTCAAGATTTACTTCAGGGTTGTCACAAAAAGTTAATTTTCTTTTTCCCTGATTTCCCTTATTTACGAATTTCTTTAATTGTAAAATTACTTGAAAAACATCAATAATTTTTTTTAAAATAAATATTTAACAATTATTATTTTTCTGTAGGAATTAAAATTTTTCGAAACATTCAAATTCAAGCCTTTTGAAATTAAATAATTTATAAAAATATTAGAAAACATGAAGATATCGAACACTCCGAGTCTTCGACTCGGAGCAATCAATTTCTTCATGTTTTCTAATAATTAAAGATGATCGAGTGATAAAATCATTATATTAAATTATAAAAGTATTGTTAACTTCTTCAAATTTTACTTAAATATTTCAAAATTAATTGAATTCAAAAAAAGTTGCGTTCATAAATAAATCAACATCAAAATGTTTCAATTTGAAATTTTATCAAAATAATAGATTTATAGACGAATTTTAGTTAAAACCAATTAAAAAAATTGAATTTTGGATTATTTTCAATTATTTTCAAAAGAAATAAAATTCTTCGCAGAAATTCAATTATAATCAAAAGTTTAAAAACATTCTTTTCCAAAATTCAATTATTTTCAAAAATTTTAATAAAATTCTTCTCCGAAATTCAATTATTTTCAAAAAATGTGAATAAAATTCTTGGCAAAATTTCAATTATTTTCAAAAATTCATCATTTCAATTCAATTATTATTTTCCAGAATTTTTAATTAAATTTTAATTATTTTTAATAATCTTTTAAAAAATTCTTTGAGAATTTTCAAATCTATTTGTTTAAAATTTAATTGTATCAATTTTACAAAATTCCGATTATTCCGAAATTCTTCAATTAAATATATATTAGAAAATAAAAACTTAAAATAATTTTAAAAAAAAATTGAATTAAAACTTTTTCAAAAAATTTAATTCTACAGAATTGTTAGTTAAAAGTATGCAAAATTCATATTTTCAAACATTTTAATTTGAAATCTTTTCAAAATTCAATTATCTAAAATTTAAACAAAAATTCATTTTTAAAAAACAATTTTAATTACAAAATTCTACGAGAATTCAATTATTTAAATACAAAAATAAATAATTTATTGAATAATTAAATTTTTTTAAAATTGAATTCTGATAACGAATTTTGTCAGAAAAATTTTTAAAAAATTAAATTTTTTCGACGAATTTTAATAAAATTTTTAAGAATAATTACACTTTTCGGGGAATTTGATTGAAATTATTTTTAAAATAATTGACATTCTGCAATGAGTTTTATTATTTACAAAAATAATTGAATTCCTAAAAAGAATTTTATTATTTATGAAAAAATCGAATCCCTGTAAAGAATTTTATTAAAATCATTTGGAAAATAATTGAATTAATGTGAAGAAATTTATAAAAAAATTTGTAAACACTTGAATTTCTGTAAAATTTTTATTAGTTATGAAAATAATTAAATGTTTGCGTAGAATTTTATCAAAAATTTTTTTAAATAATTGAATTCTTTTGAAAAATTTGATTAAAATAATAGAATTTAAAAATCATTGAATTGGGGAAAAGTTTTGAAAGTAATTAAAATTTTACTAAGAATTTTATTAAAAATTTGGAAAATAATTGAATTTCGGAGAAGAATTTTTTTTATTTATAAACATAATTTAAATTTTGACCAGAATTTAAAGAAATGTTTAAAAATAAATTAATTCTTTCAAGAAATTCAATTAAAATGTATTGAAAATAATTATTAAATTCTAATAAACAAATTTTATTAAAATTTTTTAAAAATAATTTAATTCTATTGAAGAATTTTAATAACATTTTTAAGAATCCTATAATTGCATTTTTTTAGGAATTAATATAAAATTGTATTTAAATAATAGAAATTTTAAATTTAAAATAATAAAAATTTTGCCATTATTTTTATTAATTATGAAAATAATTGAATTACTGCGAAAAATTGTATTATTTGTGAAAATAATTGAATTTCTACAATTATTTGTAGCTTCTCCGAAATTAAATTTTTTTTATTGTTTTTAACTAAAATTTGTCTATAAATCCATTATTTTTATAAAATTTCAAATTGAAACATTTTGATGTTGATTTATTTATGAAAATTGTAAACGCAACTTTTTTTAAATTCAATTAATTTTGAACTATGTAAAATTATTCATTCAATAATTTATAAGTAATAATTTTATGATAGTTCTTGAAGAATTGAGTTATTTAAAAAGAAATTATTGTCAGAAATAGAAAAAATTGAAGGTTTTATTTTAGAATTCATGTTAATTTCATAATTTATGAGGCAAACAAAAAAGACAGCTAAATTCAGAATTTTCTTTTGAATTCTAAAATTTTAATTTTTTTCCAGTACTTTTAACAAAAATCCCTGACCAATTCTACTATCTCTGCCTTTTCCCTGACTTTCCTGATCTCTGGTAACCCTGAATTTTTGCTTTCTGCAATTATCTTTAGTAAAATTTTACTTTCACTTTTGCTTTTTGCAATTACATTTTGAAAAGTTTTACTTTTGCTTCTTTCTACTTTTTTGTCTTACCTACGACAACTTTGGCATTAACAACGGCAGATCGGACACTATCAACACTAGTTCCGAGGGAACAATATCCCTGTTCGTCGGGTGGTGAAACGTGAATAAGTGCCATATCCGGTTTCACTACTCCGTCATTAAAAATTCTTGGAATTTCGTGTAGAAAAATTGGAATACAGTCGGCTCTTCCTTCATTTACGGCCTTTCTCACATTTCCGCCAATAAATAAACTTATTGATTTAAAATGTTCTGAAAAAATATGAATAAACAATTATTTCGTAACGTAATAATTCTTAATTTCAATTTTGTTCTCATTATTATTTCAAAAATACCCACTTTCATTCTCGGGCGCAGCAAAAAGAGCTTCGCCTTCGAGATGCATGTGATATAATTTGACATTTTTCACATTAGACGATTTACCAACTTCCGTCATTCCTCGGCATAGTTCGGTCGGAGTTGCTGCTGCTCCTTGGATGTAGATTTTTTGTTCTAAAATAATAGAAAAAATTATATTTTAAAAATAATAAACGGTTATAAAATTCTGAGAAAAAAAAGATAAAGAATAATTTAACTACTGACGTCGATGAAGTTTACAACGTTTATAATCAACGATTAATAGAAAACAATTATTTTCCACGCGGAAAACAATAAAATTCTTCCATTTTAAACAAATCGTTAAAAAAAATTCGCAAAAAAATTATTCAAGCGAAAAATTATAATTAAATTTGCTTAGAAAAATATTTTTCTCCCTAATTTGTTGATTATTTTGAACTTCACCAATTTAACTGCTGTTAAAAACTGAGAAAACTGTAATAAAATAAAATCCAAAAAATTATTAAAAAATTGTTTTTTTAGAATAACAATAAAAGTTAATAAGAAAAAAATATAGAAATTACAAAAAAAATAAAAATTCCAAAAAAATAGAAATTCCAAAAAAAAAAATTTAATTTTTATTAAAAATTAAACAGGCGAAAAATTGGTAAAAAAAATAAAAATAGAGCTTCTTTTTTAGCCAAATGACAATAAAATTATTGACTTATGCAAGAGAGGATCAATTATGCAATAGGAAGCCGAGTTGTGCAAATAAATTCTGCAATTCAATGTCATATTTCTTTTACAAAGTCAAAGCTATGGTTACACTATCTTATTTCAAGATCATTATCAACAAGAAAGGCTCATTATTGTCTTTGTCACAAATTGAAACATTTTTCGAATTTTAATTTTTTCAAAACGAAATTTAAAAAAAAACAAAAAAAAAAACAATGTCAAAAAAGAAAAAAGGTCCCATTAGAATTATTTGCGAAAATGCCAAACAAGTTGAATTAAATGTACAACTATAATTTTGAAGGGGAAGAAATATTTTTGGATCGTACTTGACCTAGATTTGTTTCTAATGCTAATCTTCTTCATTGTGTACGTTTAAGTAAAATAACTGTTTATCTCTGTTTTTAGCAATATCTTGAAAAAAAATTGAAATATTCGACATTATATTTTCTTTCTTAAAAACTTAAATCCACTCAACTATTTGAATTCCGATTAAGATATTTATAGATACTTGAAGGAATATAATAAAGCACTAATAACTTGTTGACTGAATTTTAATTCGACGACAAGACACTTTGTTAACAAGTGAAAAAACTAATTTTTAATTTATACAATTTTTCTTTTCGATTTGTTTCTTTTATTAACGAAAAAATAATCTAAAAATTTTTTAGCTAAAATCGTTAATTAAATATTAATTAAAATCGTTAATGAAATTTTTAACTAAAATCGTGAATTAAGTATTAATATTTTATAATTTTATTTAAATTCCCTTTTTGGTTAAATATTAATTAGAATCGTTAATAAAAATTTTAATTAAAATCGTTAATTAAATATTAATGAAAAGTTAACTTTTCATATATTTAAATTTTTATTACTTAAATATTAACGAGTTTTTAAAATTATTATTCATTTTTTCCTTTTTTATTTGAAAATAAAACTAGTTGAGAATTATTTTGAAAATAATCGCTCATTGCAAAGTGTAAGTGGAATAAAAAAGAAAATATTTTTTTCCCCTCTGATTATGTCAATCAAACAAAGTAAAAGTTGTTTAAAAACTCGAGATTCAAGTTTAATGACTTAACGATTATTCGTCTTTGATAATATTTTATAATAATTCTCTCTTGCTAAAAAAAAGAATAACAAAAGAAATTGAAAACATATTTTTTTACAAATTTTCAATAAAGCCATTCAATGTCATTTATTATAGTTTGTTGCCAAGTCGATATGTATTTAAAAATTTTTGAATCAGGTATTGGAATGCTCAACAGACTCGACCTACTATTTAAATATAAATTTCCATTCATCTCAATTTATTTGCACTATTTTTTTAAATTTTTACCTTCGTAATGAAATTTCTCTAAAAGTTGAAGAGAAAATAGCAAAATAGCAAAAAAATTCAAGGAAAAAAGATACAAATTGAAAAAATAGAAAAATTGGTACAAAAATTAAAAATACAAAATAGAATTTAAAGAAAGTTGAAATTGAATGCTTGAATTTTCTTTTTTTTTTGACAAAGGTGTAATGCTCTTTTATAATGAAAAATATCCGCAAGAAGACTCTTTCAATTACTACCAATTTATTTTCGTTCCATGCGTAAGCGACAAAAACAATCATCAATTTTTCAATTTCCGAATGACAATTAGAAAAATATTCCAATACTGATAATTTGAATAAAAAATAAAAAATACACCTTGAATGGTTTTACGTAAAAAAAAATGTATACGATGCTAAATTGAATTCAATATTAATTGTATGCGCAGCTTGTTTTCCAGACCCTCCTTCATAATAAATCCACACAGTTTATAAATAAAACAATACCAAAGAACTAGTTTTTCAAATGAAAAAGAAAAAAAAAGATTTCAATAATAAAGATAATTCCAACAAGAGGAACTGATTAGAACTCTTTATCTTTCAAGCACTAAAAAATCGCGTCCATCAAGCATAGAATAAAAATATTTTTTAAAAATTAAAAAAAAAAGAATTAAAAACCAGACAGAATTAATGATTTCGATTAAACTTCTATTAGAAAATCTTCTTTTCAATATAGTTGAGAAGTTCTTCTTTAAAAGTATATAACGAGAGTAAAATGTAGGTCAAGCTCTTCGAACCTTGGCCAAACGATCACAAATTAATCAATGAAGTTCCCATTTATGATCTATGTAAATTAACGTTGTATAACTCTATTAATTCCTCAATCTCTCACTTTTCACAATTTCCAGCACACTCCAAAAAACAATGCAAAAGGCCCAATTTTTCAATTAATAAAAAATTAAAATTCGAATTTGGTAAATGCAATCTCATCCTCTATGAATAATTCAGAATTAATAAGAATTTCTATGTATATATACTTACACAAAAAAAAATATTTTTTAATTTTCGAAAAAAAAATATGACAAAAAAAAGGGAGAAAAAATAACGACAATGAATAACCAACCTGATGTCAGTCCAGCTTGTTGAAGAGCTTCTTCGGCACTTTTCACCCAACAGGGTTCTTTATCAGGAATTGGATACGCAGGTTCTTTGGAGTAAGTGTAAAAATTCTTCGAGACGAGAGCCTGAGTTGTTCGTGAAGCCGCAACGGCTTTAAAGGCTTTTGTTAAGCTGGTGATTTGCTTCAAAGCTGCCATTATTTTCCACCTGTCAAGAAACTGTATACAACACGTTTTATTAATTCTCCCTTTTACCTACTTGAAACGAAAAAAAATCTAATTCGAAAATATCCTAAATATGAATTAAAAAACGAACAAAGTGTTTATTTTACTTATTTGGGAAAAAATCCTAACCTCACTAGACTAATCGCTTCACGTCTCTCGTTATATTTGTGCCGTTCAATTTATGAATGAATGAATATTTAATTTAAAAACGCTTCAAAGAGATGACAATTTGACACAAGGAACAACAAACAACACGAAGCGACGACCAGCAACGATCAGCAACTAAATATTTGTGGGAGTCAACCAACCTTGTACCATGCGCTTAAAAACCCCTCTTTTTAATTCAGGAACGAACAATGTCACTTGATCGCCTTTTGACATTTCACTGTGCGGCACGAAATTTAATTTCCTTCATTAATAAGTAACAAATTTACCATATATTTAAATATTAATTACCTGGATGAATTTCGAATCACTTTTATCACTGAGAATCACTTTTATAAGTAAATCACACTTTTCAGGTAATTTATTTGACAATTTGGTAAAACTTGTCACTTTTCTTGATACGCTCCTGCTATTATTTTTCAAAAGAAATTATTTGAATGTTAGTCTATTTTGTAACTTATTAATTAATAATTAATAATTAACAATTAATAATTTATAATTAGAAATTGATAATGAATTATTGACAGTTAATAATTAATAATTAATCAATATAGTTAACTAATTAATAAACTTACTAGTTTACTTTTTGTAAATATTGAACCATTTCAGAGTTAAAAAAAATTTTTTATTTTTTTTTATTTTTTCCTAAATAAAATTTCTTACTACATTCCTACGTTTGCAAGATCTAAAGTACAAAGTACATATTTTCTCTCTTGTCTATCGAAAATTTGTAAGTACAAAGTCCGGAAAATAGCAAATTTTTCAAAATAATAAATACCGTAGTAATAAAGGTAATAAAATTTTTTAACCATATCGAAAATCTGTTATTAATTAAAAAAAAGAAAATAACTTTTACAAAAAAAAAAATTCAATGATTTTAAATATATTTGAATAATTTCGCGCCATTGTTATTAAACGACAACCGGAGTCAGAGTTGCAACTAACTTCAGGGAATAAAAGAATTTGACAGATAAACCTAACCTCAAAATTGTCTTGTTCGTCAAACTCGAGATCGTTACAAAAACAGATTGATTTTATAAGTTGGATAAATAAATATTTCTTGATTTTCTGATAAATTTAAAGGTAAATTGATCAGCAAGTAAAAGCCACGTGATCCCACGTGCTTTATTTTCTCTCTCTCTTCTTGAATAATACTAATCAGTCAAAACCGATTTACACCCGTATTTCCACCTTTCACTGAAATTAGTCCCAAAAATACATAAAACTAACTGTGAACTACTATTCTCCTTCTACTTTTGTATTACAAAAAAGGTTTAAATTTACCAATTTCCTTAAAAAATGAAACAGAAATTTCCCCCTTCCTTTTAGATTACAAGTTTTCGTCTCTCTTTTTAACGGCGCAGTGGCTAAACGCGCAGAGCTTCTGCTTTCTGCTTGTTTCTTCGGCACTGTGTCTCAGTAAGGTTTTCTCTTGTGAACTTATCTATAGTTATTAAACACTTTTTTGACAAGAAAAAATGTATCCCAATACCATCGGGAATCGTCAAGCTGTCAAGGAACATGTTTTGGCAGTTTCCAGGGATTTTATTTCACAGCCCCGTCTCGGTGAGTTTTGCATAGAAAATACAGAATTGTTTCAATTTCTCTCTCTCTCTCAAAATGACAGCGAGGTTTCATTCGAGTGGGCGTAGCAATTGATCGATCCTACAACTGGGTCAGCTGATTGCCGAATTTTTACAATTTTTTTTGATAATTTTCGACTGAAACTTGATAGTATGGAAAATAGTTAATAATTGTTAATCGTTTTTATTTAGTAGTTGAGGAAAAATGGAAGAAAATTGATTGGATTAATTTTAAGTGCGCTCGTAGCTCATTACTGTCATGTGACTTCTGCTTGATGATATATTTACCTCGGGATTTTCAACACTTGGGTTTTATATGAAAAATTCATTTTTAGAAGTTTTTTTCTTTTTTTGTAAAAACACAACTTTTATTTTCAATGGAATTTATTTATAATTTCTTTAAAGTTGGGATTTAAAAATAAAAAAATAAATGTAAACTATGAATAGAAACGTCAACAATAGAATGTTTCACGTGAGCTGCGGGCGTTTCCTTTTTTTATTTATTTATTCGGTAAATAATTATTTTTAGAAAAGTTTCTTCTTTTTAGAATATATTTCGAGGAATATTTTTAAATATTCGTGTAAACCATTTTCGGATTTTCAAGAGTTTTTCGTTTTTTTTCAGTCTACAAAACTGTGTCTGGCGTTAATGGACCGTTGGTAATTTTGGACGATGTGAAATTTCCCAAATACGCTGAAATTGTTCAATTGAAACTCGCCGATGGATCTTTACGTTCAGGATCAGTTCTTGAAGTTTCGGGTTCAAAGGCCGTTGTTCAGGTGTTTGAGGGAACATCTGGTATTGATGCGAAAAACACTCATTGCGAATTCACTGGAGATATTTTACGAACACCAGTCTCTGAGGATATGTTAGGTCGTGTATTTAATGGTTCTGGTAAACCGATCGATAAAGGACCACCAATTCTCGCCGAGGATTTCCTTGATATTCAGGGACAACCCATCAATCCTTGGTCACGTATCTATCCAGAGGAAATGATCCAAACCGGAATTTCCGCAATTGACGTTATGAATTCCATTGCTCGTGGTCAGAAAATTCCCATTTTCTCAGCAGCTGGTCTGCCACATAACGAGGTAAAAATAATTTTTTCCAGGGTTGCCACAAGTCAGGGAAATTAAGGAATTCAGGGGAAAATCATGGAAAATAAAATTGAGAAATCAGGAAAATGTCTGGGAATATTATCAAAATTACTGGAAAAATATTAAATTTCTAGAATTACTACAAAACTTTTGCTCTTTGGTGTTAGCAGAAATTGCAAATTACAATTTAAATTATTGCAAATTTTTAAAAATAATTGAATTTCAGAAGATTTAAAATTTAAATTTATAAAAATAATTCCAATTACTGCGAAGAAATTAATAATAATTGAATATTTCTTTTAAAAAATGAGAATTTAAATTTTTATTGTCATTTATTTATCTACAGAAATTAAAATTGTTTACATTAAATTAAATTGACGTTAATTAAATTGAATTGAATTTAATAATTAATTTCATTCTATTTAATTCAATTTAAATTAAAATTTTTTTAAATTTTAATTTCAAAAGATCTGAAATTCAATTATTACTAAAATTTCAACTCAAATTCTTCCAAAATTCAATTATTTTATATAATTCATCTAAAATTTAATCATTAAAAAATAAAAATATAATCTTTCAAAAAGTCAAGTTCTTTAGAATTTTTAATGAAAAATTATTCTAAAATTTTGAACTCAAAATTCTTTTATAAAGCAATTGTTTTTAATAATTTAAAGAAAATTCTTTGAAAATTCAATTATTTAAAAAGAAAAAAATATAATTTTTCAAAAACTTGAGTTCTTTAAAATTTTAAAAGTAAAATTATTCAAAATGTAATTTTTCAAAAATTCCAATTTTAAATCTTTTTAATTTTTATTTTAAATAATTTAATTCTAGAATAATCTTCTTGAAGTTATTAGTTTTAATGAAATTTAAAAAAATTTTGAGACAAAAAGAATTACAATCTATAGAAATTATTGAATTTCAGCGAAAAGTTTAAAGGAAAATTGTTGAAAGTTTTAATTTATGTAAAAAAATTTAATTCAATTGAATATTTATTTTGAAAAATATTTAAGTTTTGAATAATTTTATTTAAAATTTTGGAAACAATTAGGTTTCTGGGTTTAACTTTTTTCAATTAGGTTCAATTTAATTGTTTAAAGATATTTGAATTTTTTAAAAAATGTATTATAATTTTTATTTTACTTTCTTATTAATTAAATAATTCAATTCTAGAGTAATTTTCTTAAAGTTATTAATTTTAATAAAGATTAAAAAATTTTTAGTTAAAAACAATTGCAATTTACAGAAATAATTGAATTTAAGCGAAGATTTTAAACTAAAATTTTTGGAAATTTCAATTTTGTCAAAATTTTAAAATGTCAAAAAATTCAATTTAATTGAATATTTATTTAAAGAATTATTGTTTTAATCAATTTTATTTAAAATTCTATAACAAAAATTAGTTTCTTCTATCCAATTTTAAAAGTTAGTAACAAAATAATTAAAATTGGATGAAATTTAATTGAAAATAAATAATTTTGTTAAAAAATTATAGGTTTAAAAAAATCGAATCTTAATTTTAGAATGTTTTATATTTACAATCTTTTTAAAGAATTGAAGTTTTAAAAAATTATAATATTTAAACTTCTGAAAAAATATCTTTTTAAAATATTTCATTTCAATTTTCTTGAGATAATTGAAATTTTATAATCAAGTAATTGAACTTTTTTTGAAATAATTGAATTTTCCTAAAATTCTATTAAAAATAATTAAAATTAGGTTTTTAAAATATTTTAGTTCAATTTTTTGGAGATAATTTAAATTTCTCAAGCAAGTAATTGAACTTTTTTTTTAAATAATTGAATTTTCCTAAAATTCTATTAAAAATAATTGAAATTAGATTTTTAAAATATTTCAGATTAATTTTCTTGAGATAATTGAAATTTCATAAATAAGTAATTGAACTTTTTTGAAATATGTTATCGAATTTTCTTAAAATTTTATTAAAAAATAATTAAAATAAGATTTTTAAAATATTTCAGTTTAATTTTCTTGAGATAATTGAAATTTCATAAACAAGTTATTAAACTTTTTTGAAATAATAATTGAATTTTCCTAAAATTTTATCAAAAATAATTGAAACTTTTGTAAATAATCGAGGAAAATTCATTATAAGGAAAGACAAATTTTATTTTTAGTAAAGTTTGAAATCAAAGTTTTGAATTTTTTTTTATAGTTGAACTGCTTTTGAATCTTTTTCTTTATTGGGAACAGGGGAAAAGTAAAATATTCTCTCTGGAAATAAGGATAGGAAAGTTTTTGTGGCACTCTTGTTTTTCTATCTTTATAAATTGGTAATTTAATAATTAAATAATTAATTAATTTTCCTTCTTTTAGATTGCTGCCCAAATTTGTCGTCAAGCCGGTCTCGTTAAAGTGCCCGGTAAATCCGTCCTCGATTCACACGAGGACAATTTTGCCATTGTTTTCGCCGCTATGGGTGTTAATATGGAGACGGCACGTTTCTTTAAACAAGATTTCGAGGAGAATGGCTCAATGGAGAATGTATGTTTGTTCTTGAATCTCGCCAATGATCCGACAATTGAACGTATTATTACACCGCGTCTCGCTCTAACGGCTGCTGAATTTTTGGCCTATCAATGCGAGAAACACGTTTTGGTTATTCTCACTGACATGTCCTCGTATGCTGAGGCACTTCGTGAAGTGTCTGCCGCTCGTGAAGAGGTTCCTGGACGTCGTGGTTTCCCTGGTTATATGTACACCGATTTGGCGACAATTTACGAACGTGCTGGACGTGTTGAGGGTCGTAATGGATCAATTACACAAATTCCAATTCTCACTATGCCTAATGACGATATTACACATCCTATTCCCGATTTGACTGGTTACATTACCGAGGGACAGATCTACGTTGATCGACAATTGCACAATAGGCAAATTTATCCACCAGTCAATGTGTTGCCTTCATTGTCACGTTTGATGAAATCGGCCATTGGCGAAGGAATGACTCGCAAGGATCATTCGGATGTTTCAAATCAATTGGTAAGATTTTACTTATTTTTTTTGTTCTTATTACGGGAATGGAGAAAAATATGGAGTGGGTTTTACTATTTACGAAGTAAAACGAAAATTGTCTGGAGCTTCTGCGCGCATTTTTGGCAACTTTTACTATTTTCAAAGTGAATTTTACTGCGCTAAGAACTAATTTTTACAAAAATGTATTCGATCGTATCAACTTTTATTCCAAAAATGGCCAAAAATGCGCAGAAGTTTCTGTCAGTGTGAGTTTTACTTTGAAAATATTAAAAGTTACTACCTTAATTTCTTTTACAGACATTAAATTCAGAGAAAAAATTACAAATTCTCCAATTGACAGAAAATTATTTTAAAAAGCTTTAAATTGAGTATCGAAATAAATAATATTAAATTTTTTTAGTTTCGCAAAGAAAGATTGAAAATTCGTCAATTCTCAAAATAATTTGTTTTTATTGGAAGAGGTACACTCGAATCTCGCTATAACGAGAAGTTCGGGAGTCAAGTCTCCCTCTATTACGAGCGCAATTCTTCATTCATTTTTTTTTTAGTGTTTACAATTTTTATAATGTCAAAATTACAAACGTAACCTAGTTTAATTTGAACTTTAACATACAGAAATTTATATAAGCTAAAATTTTGAAGATGTTCGACTCATTGATATAATTTCAAATAAGAAGTGACTTTTTATGACTTTTTTTATTTTTATTTTATATAAATAATATTGATTTCAACCAAATTTAATCCAACTGAATGTGCATTTGTTTATAAATAGTGGGGGTAATCGGAAGGAAATTTTTCTCGCTATACCGAGAGACAGAGCCCTCGTTATAGAGAGCGCTCGTTATAGAGAAGGTCGTTATAGCGAGATTTGAGTGTATAGAATTTTTATTGATCCGAATTTTAATAGATTTGAATTTTATTTTTTCTTTGATTGAATTTTTCAGTTATAAATAATATTCCAGATAAAACTGTTAGTTCCCTTTTGTATTTAATTCACTTTTTTTTCTCTTTTCTTTTTTTTATCTCCTAAAACACAAAATCATAAATTTTCTCCACTCTTCCTCTTATTTTCAGAAAAAACTTATAAAAACTGTATCTTTTTAGTTAGAAAAATTTTTAGTTATGCTTGAAGAAAAAATTTGTTACTTTTTGCAAACTTTGCAAACTTTTTTGTTTTGAAACTTAAAAATCTTTTTCTATATTATTTCTCAGAGTTTTTAAACTTAGAAATTTTTCCCTACAAGACAGTAAATAAATAGTAACAATTAACTATTAAAAATTCTTATTTTTACAATAAATTTTACTATTTCTGAAGTAAATTTTTCTAATTTTTACAAAAAGAAAATTGTTTTTGAAAATAGTGGAAATTATTCTATAAATAACAGTTTTTAATATTAAATTTTACTACTTTTGAAGGAAATTTTATTAAGTTCAAAGTAAATTTTACTAATTTTCTACAGCAATTTACTTCAAGTATATATCATTTTTTAAAACAAAAATTTTTAATTTTAAAAACACAATATAAAATTTTCAAATTTTTAAATAAAAAAAGGGTCTTAATAAAAATTGTCATTCCAAATAAAAAAAAATAAAAAACTACGGAAAAGATAAAAAATATCAATTAACAGAAAAAATTTTTTTAAAAATATTTGCTTTAAAATTTTTAATAATTTTTTAATTAATTTAAAAATTACCCTTTTTAAAAATTAAAATCCCCTTTTTTTATTTAAAATTATATGAAAAAATCAACGTGATTTCTGATATTCTTTCTCAATTGTTTTATTTTTCGAAAAATTATATTCAAATAAAAAAATTAAATTCAAGTCTTTTTCGAAAAATTATATTCAAATAGAAAAAATTAAATTCAAAGAAAAAATTAAAACTTTTCCAATTGACAGAAAATTATTTTAAAAAAAGTTAAATTAAATATAAATTCTTTCTCAAGTTGAAGTCTTTTACGAAAAAATTATATTCAGAGAAAAAATTAAATTCAAAGAAAAAATTTCATTTAGAGAAAAAATTCCATTCAGAGAGAAAATAAAATATTTTCCAATTGACAGAAAATTATTTCAAAAAACTTTCAAATTAAATGTCGAATTAAAAAATATAAAATATTTCTAAATCAAAATTGAAGTTGTGCGATAAAAATTAAAAATTTGTGAATTCTCTGAATAATTTGGGTTGATTGGAGAAAGTGTAGAATTTTTATTCAACCGAATTTTAATAAAATACAATTAAATTTTTATTTTAATTGAATTTGTCAATTATAAATAATATTCTTTCGATGAATTTTTTATTTAGTAGAAAATTTTTACATAAGCGAATTTTCAGTTCGATATGAGTTCAAAAGTGTAATTTATTTTTAATCGACTTTTCTTTTTAGCAAAATGAATATTTAATGTTTCTTTGATTGATATTGTTTCTAATGATTCGTCATCCAGACGAATTTCCATTAGAAAAAAATTGTCTCGAAGAGTTTTTATTTACAAAATTGTGTTTTTATTATTTTGCCTACAAATTTATAATTTATTATTTAAATTTTTGTTATAACATTTTGTTTATTTGTTCGAACAAAAAATTTGTTGTATTTAAATTTTTGAATTTAAAAGAAAATTCTTCGAATTGTTATAGAATTTTATGCATTTTTAAATGAATTTAGTTTCGATGAGTTTAAAAGTTAATTTTATTTTTTATTCATTCGGCCCATTGTTAAAAATAAAATTTATTTAATGGCCGGATTTTAATTTAAAAGAATTTCCATAAAATGAAACTAGAAATTTTTTTCATTACCAAAAATTAGTGAAAATCAATCCAAAATTCTTTTCAGTAAAAATTTCGATTAAATAAAAATTCTTAATGAACCTCATTTTTCTAAATTTGAAATTTACTAACTTCTGAAACAATTATTATGTAAAATAGAAATTCTGACTGTTGAAAATTTTATTGGAATAAAGATAAGATAGAGAGATAAAGATAAAGATCAAGAGAATTTAAAAATTCCATTAAATAGAAATTAACATTTTTGTATCTAGAAGAAAAATATTTTCTTTGCTCCACTTTTCAAAATCTAATTTTAATGTAAAAATTTGCAGTACGCATGTTACGCCATCGGAAAGGATGTTCAAGCAATGAAGGCCGTCGTCGGTGAGGAAGCATTGACGCCCGATGATTTATTGTACCTCGAATTCCTCTCGAAATTCGAGAAGAATTTCATTTCTCAGGGAAGCTACGAGAATCGTACAGTCTTCGATTCACTTGACATTGGCTGGCAACTACTTCGTATTTTCCCCAAGGAAATGTTGAAGAGAATTCCAGCCAGTACCCTCGCTGAATTCTATCCAAGAGACTCGCGTCATTAATCTACTTGAAATTTATCTTTAGTTCTAATCATTTAAGAAGAAGAAAGCAAAACCCGATTTAAGAACAAGAATATTTTCTTCAATTTTTCCCATAGATATTTTTTCATATAAAAGATTTTTTTCAATAGAACAAAATTTTGGGGAAAAAAATGTGAAAAACATGAAAATATATTTAAAAAGATTGATTGAAAATTCTTTCTTGATTTTCGATCTAAGTACTATACAAAAATAATTCAGAGCCATTATTTCTCCGAGACAATAGAACAAATAATTTGAAAAATTTATGTAATAATAATAATACATAAATAATAGTTCGAGGATCGAAAAGAAAATCGGGTTTTTAAATATGCCTGGATATTTTAAATGTAAATTTTTAAATTAGCTGCTGAATAATGTTTATGTTTGTTTTTCTGAATATTTCTTTATAATAGGAGAGAAAAAACTAGCGACAAGTTCAAAAGAGAGTATATGAAAAATTTCAAAAAAGGGTGATATTTAGTTTAGCAAAATGCACTATACGTCGTTTTTCCATTCATCGGAAAGTTTGTATTTTATTAAATGGATAAAATAATTCTTATAAATTAACGTCGCTAATTATAAACAAAACAAAGAAAAAAGAAAGAACTTTCAACGAAATATTTTTCAAAAAAGCAACACCAAGGCCATGTGTAAGTTTTAAACATCTCTTATTTTTTGAATAAAATTTCCACTGATTGTTCTCTTTCACACACGTTAATTAAATTACGTCTGTTAAAAATGGAAATCGTAAAAATTGTAAATTGTAATATATCAGTCAGTATTATGAACGAGAAAAAAAAGAGCAAGTGCGTTAAAAAACATTTGTTTCAAATAATAAGCGCTCCCCCGCACATTCCAAAAAAAAATGAAAATTTTTATTCTTATCAAGTAGATAACATCCTTGAAGAAGAGAATTGTCGCCCAAACATCCACGTGTACAGTTTCTTTACCCTCTCGAGAAAAAAAATGTAAGTTTCATCGAATACACATTTTTTTTGTTTTTTAATCAAGTTTTATTGTAAATTTTAGATGTAATATTATGTATTAAATGAAAAAAAGAATAATTGCTTGATTTTGAAAAAAGGAAAGTCATTAGAATTTATTCGAATTAAATAATTGCTATGCGCCTGTTGATTATGAGGTTCCGAAGCAATCATTGTTATTAAATGTCAGTGATTCAAAAACTGTCGTGTATAATTATTTGAAAAAAGTTAATCATTTAAATTCTTTTAGTGTTATACAAAGATAAATGTACAATAACTATATTAAAAAAAGAAAATCTATGAAAGTATACTATTTTTCTGAATTTTCCGCCTTCCGGTATTTTTTTATTTGTTATGATGACGCAAGAAGCAAACCATTTTGAGGTTATGTTTGTGTCATTTTTTCCTTAATTGAAACTTTCTGTTCTTAATTTAAAACTAAAATCAGAATTTATTAATTATTTTAGGGCTAATGAAGACTATTAAGTCAGTGATTTTTATTAAAAGTTTCCTCCTTTTGTGTATTTTCATTTCGAGAGTAACGAACATAACCTCAAATTGTTTGCCTCTTAAGGGTATTTTTCCAACTCTCGTCATATTCACATTCTAATAATAAATTATTCATTGTATTTTCATTCAAATTTACACTATATATTAGATTTTCAAAGTACTTTTTTTCTTTTGTTTATATTTTCCCTGGTTTTTATTTTCTGTTTGAAAAAAATACATTAAATATTAACAATTAAAATTTATTGTATTTTTGTGCAAATTCTCACTAATTAACATAAATTACTCACTGAATTTAAGTTTACAAATCGTGTTTTTTCTCTATTTTAGTTTTTTTAATAATAAAATATTAAATTTACAAATTTGTCCACCAACCTCAATCTTATTTTTTTTTTTTTGCTAAACAAAAGTACCGTGATCCTGATTTATTTTTCTATTAGCATAGTTAATTTTAAACATGACATTTAAATGAAGAAGTGCAATTACCTGCAATTATAATTAGTTGTATAAACAACCCGCCAAAATCACGTGACAAAAATATAACCAATCAAATCAGAATCACCTGATTTCTTCCCCCACCATTTGTCCAGTTTTGCATCACACACACACACACACACACACACATCCATTAATGGCGTCGATGGCGTCCGCGAGTGAACAAAGTATTTTGTTTAAACATCTTTAAAAACGCATCGTATTTTTATTCTGTTTTTTAAAAATACTATTTTTTAGAGTGAAATATCAATAATTTGTGACGTGAAATACCTAATGATCGCAATTGAGATTTTATCCTAAATTGACTGTGTTAACAAAAAGGTAAATGTCTAATTACATTTTAATGATGTCGCTCGTGTTGTTTCGATAAATTAGGTTATGTTTTGTTGATATCACGTGTCAAGTATAAATTACATAAATAAATACATATATATGAGGAAAAAACTTTTTTTTTAATATAAGTTTTAACATAAAATTGACTTAATTCTCGATTATTGTGTATTGTGGTTCTTAATTGCGATGTGAGACTTTTTTCTGAATCGATACTTGCCTTCATCTTGTAGTATTTCAATATGTTTTTTTTCAGTTTTTTTTGGCTTTTAAAATTAAATAATTGTTAGGTATGCACTTTTCTTTTGTTTATTAAAGATTTGTTGCTTTTTTTGAAAGTCGAATACTTTCAGTTTTTTCGAGAATAGAAAATTCAAAAGTGGAAATTTTCTCTTAGATATAGTTAATTGTTATATTGTTAAGTAAATAAAATTTTGTTGATCGAAGATTGAAGGTAAAATGTCAGTGTTTGTTTATTATTTGATGAAATGTGGGGTATTAATAAATGCACGCTGTTCACGTAACGAGTTCGAGGTGAAATTCGTTTTAAAAGCAGGTTATCATTGTTCCCTTGATGAGAGGTAAATGAGAGAATGTTAAAAGAAATATAAGAAGCAGTGAAATAATTAACCTTCAATTTTGAATTCACGTCGGGAATAATTGATTCGAATTTCGAATTTGTTTTTTTGTAGTCTGAGAAATTTTTGCTCCTTTTCCTCTTGCTCGTAAATTCCTATAAGAAGAGAAATTTTCCTAGCAGACAAAAATTTTGTGACATTAGATAAATCGTTTGTGTCTACACGACTTTGTAGAGCTAGAAATTGTCGGCAATTTCAATTAATTGAGAGCTATTAGCGATTTACGACGCTTCATATTGTCCATCAATTTCCATACGTTTATTACTGTCTTTAAATTAACTCCTCAAGGTGCAATTGAAGTTTAGAATTCTTAATTCTTAATTCGTATTTCGCAATTAACGTATCATAATTATGATCTTAGATTTCCTTAAATACTGTCGTTAATTAAACCATCGATGAATTTTTTATTTCTCGACAAATTTTGGTTCTGGGTCAAAAAATTCGATAATTTGACTTTTTCTTTCTTGAGATCAAAGTTGTGTATTACTTTTAGTGTCTAAATCATTTTCTGAAGAGAAATTTGAATTTTCCAGTGAAGAAAAAATCATTATTTTTTTATTTTTTTTAGAATCTAGTGTAAAGGAATGTCTTCTTGGATTTTCTAGAATGTGAAAGGAATTTAAACGCACCAACTCACTGTGGGACTTGATATAATATAATACAAGGGACACCTCTCTCATCAAGACAGTTGATGTCTGCGTTTCAAAACGCACAGTCCAATGCGATGATTTCAGTCGTCAGCGTGCTTTGGCATAATTATTTGCTTGTGAGGCAGTTTTTTTTCTTTTCTTTTTCAATTCAAATTGTTGAAACATCGTAAAATTTAAAAATAGAAAAATTTGTGCCAATCGCAGCAAAGAATATTTTCTTTTATCAATATACTATATATAATAATCATTATCGAGATGATAGCTAGAGAAAAAAATTCGCAAGTGAAATCGCGATTAATATTAATTATTTAGAAATAATGTGTATTATTTTTAAAACAAAAATTTTTTTTGATATAATTTCAAGAAAAGAAAATAATTAAATAATTACGTGATCAATGATTGAGGAATTCAATTTAAGAATCAATAAAACACAGTGACTCAATGATAAAATACCGGAAAAGTTTTTCATTGTTGTAATAAAAAAATATTTTCAAGTGACACGAAAGGAGAATGTTGAGTAAAAATGAATTTTGTTACTCTCAATGCAGTTTTCATTTCTTTTCTGGTAATTTGATTTTTCTGTTATTATAAATTCTGTAAATTTTCGTTTTATTTTCTATTTATTGAATTTTTTCTTTTTGTTGAATTTTCTTTTTCTTTTATTTTTTTATTCTATTTTCTTTATATTTTCTTTTTTTATTCTATTTTCTTTTTATTTTATTTTTTTGAATCTTCTTTTTATTGAATTTTCTTTCGCTATTGAAATCGTTATTTTTTGCCGCAGTTGTGGAACAATAAGAGCGTTTTGAAATAGAAATTAATAAATGATGTAAACGCAATTTTATATTTAACATATAGAATGACTATTTGATAAATATTGCAAACCAATAGGGTCAAAAGATTGCAACAATAAGACACTATCGGGTCGAGGTCATGTCTTCTGCTCACGCCACTGGCACGTTTTTTCGGCCAGACAAAAAGAAAAAATTCATTTTATTTCCTCACTTTTCTCCCCTTTTTTTTAATCTTATCTTTCAAAATGAAAACTCGTGTTCTCAAAATTCTAACTTTCCACCACAATTTCCTCAAGTTGGCATTTTTTTCCTTTTATTTATCTTTTTTTTTATTTTCCATTTTCTCTTTTTAAAACTTTTTGAATATTTACTGCTACTAAAATTATTGTCCCTTTTGAAAATTAAATAAACTTTGATTTTATTTTGCGAATGAAAAATCTTAATTCTTCTTTGTTGTTGACAGTTGTTGCGTCATAAAATTTTTCTAATTGTCCATCACGTCAGACGTAAAACGTCAAAAAATTTAGAATTTTTCAACTTAAATAACAAAGAGAAGAAGGGAAAAAAACTTATCAGAGTTTAAAAAATACGGAATATATTATTATTATCAGTGATAAAAACGTGTTCTAAACAATAATTCGTGCAAAAGACTTCTTTTTTGTAATAAAATATAAGGAATATGAAAATTTTCTTTAATAGTTTTGAATAATACTATCTGGAAAAAAATTTCCTTTTCGCCTTTTGATAAATAGCAAATACAAATTAAATATGGAATTATTGAAAACTGCATTGAGAAATCTCGGATAAAGACAATTATTATTTAACCGGTAATTTTCTTCCATAGTTATAGGAAGCAAAAAAAAAAAAAGGAAAAATATTGGGACTATTAGGAGGAAAGTAGAATAAATTGTGTTCATTGAAATTTGTGAAAGTACCTAAAAGAGAAATTTTTTTCCGAAAAAAAATTGCCAGAAGGAAAATAATATTTTTCGTTTTTAATTTTTGATTCTTGTTTTAATTTTTAATTCTTTTTTTAATTTCTAATTCTTTTTTTTAATTTTTAATTCTTTTTTTAATTTTTTAATTTGTTTTTTAAGAAATAATTTCTTTCGTACTTGAAATTCGTTGATTTTCAGTCAACAATTTTTTTATGAGCTTCAATTATCTTAGGGAGAAATGTCCTTGGAGGAAACAGTGCATAAGTTTTTGGGGTTCGCTCTTTGTTTCTCTTTTTCTCTCTCTCTCCCGCTCTCTCCTTTCTAAGTGGTGAGAATTATCTGTAACAATTTCGTATTGTAACTGTGCAGAAAATGGTATTGTTTTGAAGTGATCAAAGGGTAAAGTAAAAGAGAATTATTCCATAGACTTTAGGCTCTTTGGAAAGTTTATTACAGTGATTATCAAATGAGAATTTAATAAAAGTGACAAGTTTTATTTCTCGAGAATTCACAGGCCATGCAATTTGAAGGAAAATAATTATTCAGTTCGAAATCAAAGTCAAATTCAATTCGGAGACAAATTCGATTCAAAGGGAAATTCAATACAAAGTGAAATTCAATTCAAAGGAAAATTCAATTCAAAGGAAAATTCAATTCAAAGGAAAATTAAATTTGAAGGCAAATTCAATTCAAAGGAAAATTAAATTTGAAGGCAAATTTAATTCGAAGGAAAATTTAATTCAAATTCAATTGAAAGGCGAATTCAATTCAAAGGAAAATTGAAATTCAATTCGAATTCAAAAGTCAAAATTAATGTTTTCGATGTCACTTAATAATCAATTCCTGGATCAGTTAATATATCTTTTTCCCACTGTTGCTTTATTCAATGACGATAATTTATAATCGATGAGAGGGTCTCTCTCTACATCTCGCTAAGTGAAATGAAACTCATTTGTGCGGTCCTCGCTCAATGTTATTGTTCTTGTGATTAAACTTGTGAATTTTGTCATTATTTTTTTATTTTTTTTTTTTTGTTATTTTAGGTTTGAAAAAATTTTGCCAATGAGACAATATGTACGGTTTGGTGGAGCTTTTCATCTTTTGCGGTGTTCTCTATTATTTATTTAATGACAGGTATGAGACTCATTAATAGGATCATTTTCCAATCTTGATGAAATTTTTGCTCTTTTCCTTTATTTTGTTTTCTTTTTTTCCTTTCAATTATTTTTAATTTTCTTTTATTTATTTATTTTTATTATTTTATTTTTATTTTTACGAATTTAATAATTTTTTAATTTGATTTAATTTAAATTACAATTTAATTCAATTAAATTATAATATCGATAAATATCAATAAATTTAATTCTTTTCCTTTTATTTTTTGAATTCCTCTTTCTATTCCTTTCTCCATTTTTGTATTTTTTAAACTCTTTTTCTATTTATTTTTTTATTCTTTTTCTACTACTACTATTCATTTTTTAATTCCTTTTCTATTCCTTTTTTTAAATTCCATTTTCATTCTTTTAATGAAAATAGATTTCTTTTTTTTCTATTATTTCTTTTTTTATTTCTTTTTTTTATTTCCTTTTTCTAAAAACTAGAATTTAGAAAATTTCGGAAAGTCAGAAATAAAATACCTGGAATTTATAACAAAGAGAAGAAAAAAAGAGGAGGAAAAATTTTTGTTTGCAAACAATTTTGTTTATAATTCATATATGACAGTTGTAATGATAGTTGATTTCCATTGGCGAATTTTTTATCAATCGTTTTGTCGTTCATCAATACAATAACAATTAGTGCTTTGTGTCAATTTTTTTTTCGTATTATTATCTAATTAATTGTTTAAATTAATGATTGATATATATGTATATATATTAAACAATTCAGTCTGGAGGCAAAGTCGAACATTTTCTGTTTATATTGAGGGAATTTATATTGTTTATAAAATTGCATTATTGAACGTAAAAATAGAATAATAATATTCCATCGGAAATTAAAGTCGATAAAATTGGTTCAATTTTTTTTTCTTTACGCAATTTTTCTTTACCTTTTTCAACAATCATTTTAAAGTATAATGATTTTTTTGTATACATAAATGTCAAATTGAAGGAAATTAAGAGATTATATTTATTAGATGAAAATTACGCTGTACAAAATTTTTTTTTGTATGAACTTGGGGAAAAAAAAGTGACAAGATTTTTTTCAAAATTATTCTAATTTGTGCTTTCTTCTTTTTTATAAGAATTTTATTGGGAAAAAAAAGTTTTTTCTTCATAATAACACTAATAAAAGAAACTAATAACAAAACTAATATTAATAATTTTAATAACAATAGTATTAATAATAAAAAAGTGCAAGTCTCGTTTATAAGTAAATAAATAAATAATAAAAATACATATATTAATAAAAATAATTATTATTAATTACTAATATTAATTTTATTTATTATATTTATTTTATTATTTACTATTAACAACAACAATAATAATTATCAATTGTTATTTTGTCATTACTAACGATAGTGATTAATGATAAATAAATAAATTATTATATGGTTCAATTAAAATAAAATAAATTATATTTAAATAAAATAAAAATTAGAGACTGTAAATTAAAAGAATATGATTCTGGGAAAATTCAAAATATGATTTTCGTTTTTTACTTACTTTTTCATTTGAAAAGATTAAAAATGAAAAATATGTTTATTTACATGAAAATAGTAAATGTTTTTTTTTCTATTACATTATTTGCAAACGACGAAACTCGATATTTACGTCATTTGCACTTCGATGATATATAATTCGTTTTGTGGGCATATCTGGTTATATTTAAAAAAGAAAAAAAAATTTTCCAACACACATGTACTTGCAATTCATTGGAAGAAATACCGGTTTTAGAAAAAAAGAGATCAATGAGCTAAAAACGTCATATTTTTTTGTAACGTGCAAAAAAAATTGATATTTATTTTGTTAAAAATATTTTTATTACAACAATTTTTTTTTTTGTTAAAAAAAAATTAAGAACCAAAGTTTGAGCAAAATTTTTTTTTCGTAAAAAAAAATATTTTTATTACAACAATTTTTTTTTTTGTTAAAAAAATTAAGAACCGTTTGAGCAAAAATGGAAAAATGATTTTTTTTTTTTGAGTCCAAACATCAAAGTTTAATTAACATATACTTGGTTTATTTTTTTAAATATTTTTAATCAAGAACAATGTGTTAATAAGGTGTGATCAGTGAATGTTTAGATAACGAGATGCATTGTAAAAATATCACAAAAGATTTTAATCATTATAAACTTTGACTTATTTTCATAAAGCATATAATCTTCATTGATAAATGTTTTCTTTTCTTCTTTTTTTTTTTTGTTTTAAATAATCAATTGTATGGTTTGAAAATGAAATATGCATTTGAGATATGAGAATATTACAAATTCAGCTGTTTCTCTTTTATTTATTTATTTTTTTTTCAAGACAAATTGTTTTTATAATATTTGTAATAATAATTTTTTTTTTATAAACAAAAAGAATTTTTTTATACTTTAATTAAGTGCAGGAAAAAGTTTTGTATGGAATTTAATTTTTCTTCCTGTTTTTTAAGTTGGTTAATTTAATTTAATTGTTAAATACAGATTTTTGTTTTGGAAGTTTTTTAAATGAGAAAAAAATATTCGTTTGGATTCTTTATTTGTTGAAATTATTTACTATTTTTACTATTTTCATTTATTTCTTTTTAATTTCAATTTTTTTTTTACTTTTGCTAATTACTTTTTTTGTTTAAATTTATAAATAATTTTATAATTTATTAAAAATTGATTTTGAATGATCTAATAATTAATTAAATTGAAAATTGATTTGTTTATTAATTTATTTATAAACAATTTACAGGCGTTGCGAATTAGTAATTAATTTTTATATTCTCTGTTTGTAATTTTGTTTAAATTTCTTTTTTAATTTACTTATTTTGTAACTTATATAAGTTATTTATTTATAAACAATTTAAAGTCGTTGCCAATTCGTAATAAATTTCAAATAATTAATAATTAACTTTTACATTCTCTGGTTGTAATTTAATTTATTTTCTAATTTCCTGATTTATTTCCTCTCGAATCACTCACAAAAGCAAGGGAAAAAAAGAAACTATAAAAATTGATATTACTACTGAATTATTATTATCATTTGCAAACTATCATGTACAATGTGATGTAATGATATTTTATTATCGAAATTCATCGACGATTAATCGCTTTGGCAAGTTTATTTCAAATATAAACAAAAAGAAGATCTCATTTTGTATCATTATATTTATCGAAGTGCGTTTAATTGAAATTGATAAGTTTTATCAACAAATTATGCTTTAGTAATTTGACAATGTGCGATAGATAATTATGTGTATTATTTATTTGAGAATATCGTTGAGAAAGCATTAACTGCTCTTTTCTTCTATACACTATTATTATTTGCGTGTATTTTATTTTTTAAAATGAAAAAAATAAATAATTTTTTTTCCAGAGCTAATAACATGGTAGATGTAATGTCAACACGTTTACACGAAGTCTACGCAAAATGGGAAAGACGAACGGAAGTGCCAAGAAATTTGGATTCAAATGCACCTCGACTTTCCCTCGGTGGTGAGAAACAATTTTTTATTTCATTATTTTATTTTATTTTCAATTTTATTTAACAATTTTTATTTATGAAATACAAAAGGAAAGAGAAAAAATATTTTAATTTGAAGCATTTTTCAATTTATTAAATAAAATAATTAAATAAAAAATAAATAATAAAAATAAATAAAATAATTTAATTTGAAACACTTTTAAATTTAGTAAATTAAAAAAAGAAGAAAAAAAGAAAAATAGTTTAATTTCACAAATTTTTTATTCAGGACTTCGTCGAGCGGGCCAACAAATGCAGAGAAGACGATTTCAAAATAAGGAACAAGCGCGAAAAGTTCGAGAGGCTAGTTTATTTAAAATTAAGGAATCTGAACCAATGGCTGCAGAAATTCCCAGAACGACACCATTCTTCTTCTACTGTTGCAGAAGTTGTACTCCGTCCTCAAGGGTAAATTTTTTATAAAATTTTCCAGTCCAAAAAAAATGCATCTATTTTTGTTTCTTTATTTTTATTTTATCATAAATTAATCTCTCTCTTCTTTTTTTTCTTGATAAGGAACTTAGCGCAGTTAAAAATACAGCAAAAAACGTACAATTTTCATAAGAAAATTATTTATTCAACTGAAAGTGGTTTTTAGAGAAAACAATAATGCTATGTAGAGAATATTTCAAATCATGTTCGAAAATTAAAAAAAAATCGTAACAATGCATTTATGTAGGTGAATTTTTATTTTTATCTTTATCGTATTTAAATATTTATCAAATAGTACACTATTTATTTTTTATTTTTTTAGTGGAACATTTTTTTTATTTTAAATTAGTAGTAATCAATCGTAAATAATTATTTTATTTTGTAAAAAAAGGTCCAAATACGGTTATTTTGGTTATAATGATTAATAATTTATGATTAATTATTTATGCAAAGAATTTAGTTTCTGCTAATAATTTTATTAATATTGCAAAAATAATAATTGAACTTTCTCGAAGAATTTCATTATTTATAAAGATAATTGAATTCTTTGTCAAGAATTTTATTAAAATGTTTTGAAAATAATTGAATTTCTGCGCGAAGTTTTATATTAAAATTCTAGAAAATAATTAAATTCTTTTAAGAATTTAAATTGAAAGTATTGAAAATAATTGAATTCTTATTAAGAATTTTATCAAAATTTTTGAAAATAATTGAATTTTGTGAAGATTTTTATTACTATTGAAAATAATTGAATTCTTGCGAAGAATTTTATTATTATTGAAAATAATTGAATTTTTCCGAAGAATTTTATTAAAATTTTCGAAAATCTTAATTAAATTCGTTTGAAGAATTTCATTGAATTTTTTTTTTTTTATAAATAATGAAGTTTCTTTAAGAATTTTAATTTAAAATTTCGAATATAATTGAATTAAACAAAGAATTTTTTTCAACATTCTAAAATACTCGTGTCTGTTAAATATTATAATTAAAAATTTGACTATTGAATTTTATTAAAATTGTGTTGAAAATAATTGAATTGTTTCGAAAAATTTATTAAAAGTTTAGAAAATATTTGAATTCTTTCAAAAAATTTATTAAAATTTTCGAAAATAATTGAATTCTTTCGAAAAATGTTATTCAAATTTTAAAAAATAATTGAATACTTTCGAGAAAATTTATTAAGATTGTAGTGAAAATATTTGAATTTATGCAAAGAATTTTACTAATTTATAAAAATAATTGAATTCTTACGAAGAATTTTATTAAAATTTTTGAAAATAATAAACAATAATAATTAATTACAATAGGTATTTAATAAGTAAATTTTTTAAATTTTGAATCTGAATTTATTCACAAATTGAAGTTTATATTTTAAAATGAATAAAAAATTTTGTAATTTGCATAATAAGAATTTAATCTAATTTAATAAGTAATAGTAATAATTTTATTATAGGCCTTCGCCTATAATAAAATTATTACTATTACTTATTAAATTAGATTAAATTATTAACTTCATTCCTACTAATTATTAAATTAGATCAAATTGTTATGATTAATTATAAAATTAGATTAAATTATTATTATTAATTAGATTAACACTTTATAATTAAAAAAAAGAAATCGAGATTCTGCTTATTTACGCACAAAAGTGATTGACTTGTGTGATAAACAAATAAAGAAGACACTCACTTTACAAGTTCAAGTCACGTGCTTTTTTCCCCTTCTACGTATTAATCTTAATTAAGGTATTTCACCTTTTGTTATTCACTGATAAAAATTAATTTTCTCTGTATTTTCTTCTTTTATGTACGTAATTTCGTTCTCTTTTTTCCTTTTTTTTAATTAAATATTTAGAATTTTTTCAAAGAGAAAAAGATTTATTGCCTTTTTTTATATTCTTGTTGAGAAATTTGATTTTAAAAAAATTGCGCTTTTGCAATGAGAAACATTCACCTCATTTTTTTGTTACAAAGAAATGTAATTTTTTTGTGCTTTAGAAAAAATTTTCAATGTAAAATGATTGAATGATTAATTAACAATTTTGACAGACTCTTGAAGATTTTACATTTTATTATCGATACTTTTTTTTTATCTTAGGTTCTAATATTTTTCACATTCTTAGACGCCTATTAGATTTCGCAAGTCTAGTGTATACCTACGCTGAGAGCCTACACTTGTTATCAACTATTTCCTTTTACCTGTTATTTAGATTCAAATTATATTTATTTTTTTAATTTATTTCTTATTCGAATTTTTATTACCAAATTAAGAATTTTTTCTGTTTTTTTTTTTTAAATTTTTTTTCATAATTGAATTGTTAGCTTAATTAATTGGATTTAATTGAATAATTAATCGTTAAATTATAATAAGTAATTTATTAAATTTAATTTAGTGATTAATTTATTAAATAATTAATGCTTTCATTTTTATTTTTGAAAATTGAATACCTTTTTTGGTAAAATTTTCCCCAAGAAGTCAAAAAAAAGGATAATTTAATTAAATATGGTAATTTTTGTTTCATTGTAGTTAAACATATTTTCCAACATGACACAAAATCTGTTACTAGTCATTCAAGATTCTGGCACAGAATCACTAACCGTTTGAATGTTCTAAAAATAAAAATAATATTCTAGTTGCTGCCGTTACTTACTTGAAATCGTTTGTAGAACTACGCGAAACTGTAATTTCTGTTACCTGTTCAATTTTACGATTTAAAGGAAAAAGAGATTCCTTTTAAAGTTCTATATTAATATAGTGTCATTAAAATTCTTCAGTTTCTGTTTCTCTTTTTTTTTTTTCTTCGCGTATACATAACATTTCGACTAATATTTGTAATGATTGGAAAAAAATTTCTATGCTGTACTAGAGAAAAATATTTTCAACTTGTAATTATTTAGAGTCATTACAAAATTTAAATGTTTATTAATTAGGAAAAAATTGTCTAATGGAATTATTTAATTATTTGTAAAGGAAAATATTTTTATGCCTTTTGCAATTATAGACATTTGTTCAGAGTTCGTTTTTTTAGATGAATGATTCGAAATGATAAATTTGACGTTTGGATTTCTTTATTAAAATCTCCGGAGCTTTATCGCCTTTTTTTACAATGATTTTTATTTCTTTATGATAATTATTGAAACAAATTATAATATTACAAAACTTGGAGTGATAAAAATGTTTGTGGGGTGATGAAATCTTTTTTACATTTTCCGAGAGTAACGAAATTTATCTATTTGGAATTTTTCATGTAATTCGCAACGAAAGCGATAAATTTGAATAGTTGGATTAATTAATAATAATAATTGATAATAATAATTAATAATTAATAATTCAGCTTGATATTTAATCTCTGTTTTTTATTTTAATTAGGTAATTAATTTTATTGTTTATTAATATTCGAAGCAGATAATTTATCTATTGTTTAATTATTTACTTTAATCGTAAAATGATTAATAATTTGATTAGATTTATTTTGTTTAATGAAAAAGGAATAATTCAAATCAACCAAATTAGTTGGTAAAAAAAAAAATATTTATCTAAAAAGGAAAATAAATGTACAGCAAATAAAAATTTATACTAATAAATAATTAGTGCTAATTAACAAATTTATCAGTTTATTAAATTAGTTATTGAATATTAAATAATTTTTTTCTTTTTTTTTCTTTTCTTTCTTTTTTTAAAAATGCACGATGACCAATTGCGCTTTTTCGATAAATGGTTGCGAATTGTTGTTATTCGCGGATATCCTGAACATGTGAGTTGGGAAAATAAATTAGCAATTATAATTAAGAAAAGTCTATCGTTTGATATTTACTTACATAAATAGAAATTTGATAATAGATGTAATTTTTCCTTTCTATATTTTTTTAATGCTTATTTTTGTTTTTGTAAAATATTTTTAAACAGTTTTTCTAATTGTGTCATATTTTTTCTTCTGTTTTCAGGATTCACTGGTTAATAAAATATCAACTCAATATCAAACACATGGCAATAATATTCTCCTCGTGAAATCGGGGACAAGTATTTTAAGTAAAATTTGCAGTTGTATAAATCAAGTCTACAATATAAAAAAATACGATTATCCTCAAGTAACGGAAACCGTAAGTAGAAAATAAAATTTATAAACTTTTCTCCCTAGTTTACGTCTCTAAAATTCTGAACGTTTAAATGAACGAAATTTTCCAGTCAATAATTTTTGGAAATATTAATTAATAAGAGACGCAAAAAGTAAAAAAAAAATAAATTAAGAGGAATTTTTGACAAAGAATATTTATTTTTCGCAGGTTCTGAATGATGAGAGATTGCAGGAAGCGATAAAATTAACAGCAACTGAGAATGCGGCTCACGACGGTGGAAATGAGGAGGATGAAATTGTAAAGGCAAAAATAAGGGCCAAGCAAATTTTGTTAAAAATGCAAAGCAGTTTGAGCGATAAAGTTTTAAGGATAGTGGCGTGGATTTGTTTCAAAGTGCTTCCATGTTTTATACAATCGGCCGTTGTACAACCATCGCAAATTGAAATGCTCCAAAAGGCAAATGACACTGGATTGCCAATGATTTTTATTCCTTTACACAGAAGCCATTTGGATTATATTATGACGACATTTATTCTTCTTTGTAACAATATTAAATGTCCATTAGTTGCCGCTGGAGATAATCTTCGTATTCCCTTCTTTGGGTATGTTTATTTATTATATTTTCTATTTTGTTATCTCTTTATTTAATTCAATTTATTTTCAATAGCGTAATTTTTTTGTAATTTTTACTCCTTATTGAGGATTTTTTTTTTAAAGACGTTTTTACAAAAACGTTTTTTTCTTACAAAAAAAAACATTTTTACAAAATATTTTTTTTATTTATTTGTCTATTTATTTTTTTAAAATTAGTTTTAATAATGCATTTTTTATTACTTTTACTGTTTATTGAGGTATTTACAAAAAAATATATTTTTACAAAAAGCCTTTTTTTTACAAACAACATTTTTACAAAAGTATTTTTTTCTTACAGAAAACTTTTTTATGGAAACATATTTTTTAATCAAAAAAAAAAATATTTTGCTGTTTTTTTTGTTTGCCTCGTAAACTATAAAATTACCACGAATTCTAATACAAAACCTTCAATTTTTTCTATTTCTCACAATAATTTCTTTTGAAATAACTTATTAATTCTTGAAGAATTATTATAAAATTATTAAATATTTATTTAAAAAGGAAGTTGATGAAATGTCACTGTGATCCCTGAGATGAACAAAATTACTGTTACTTGCTAAAAAAAATAATTGTTAATTTTTTTCAGGTGGCTCTTGAGTGGTTTAGGAGCATTTTTCATAAAGAGAAGAATCGATCCTGTTCAGGGGAGAAAAGATAAACTTTACAGAGCAACATTGCATACCTATATAATGGAATGTTTGCGAGCCGGTCATAATATTGAGTTTTTCGTTGAGGGCGGAAGAACGAGAACAGGAAAACCATGCATGCCAAAGGGAGGTGTTCTTAGTGTAATTATTGATGCCTATTTGGATGGTACGATAGAGGATGCTCTATTAGTTCCCATGTCGATAAATTATGAGCGTTTAGTAGATGGAAATTTCGTCCGCGAACAACTTGGTCAACCGAAGAAAATGGAATCTTTTAAATCCGCAATTACAGCCATGTGGACGACATTGATGGGAAATTATGGAATTGTCAAGGTTGACATTTGTCAACCTTTCTCCTTGAGGGTAAAGTTTCTTTTTTTGTTTTTCTTCCTTTTTTTCGAAACGAGAGAAATTTATTTTGCACCTTTTCCGAAAACGAAAATTTGATCTAAAATTGATTCTTTTTTAAATTGAACTAACAAAAATTTTTCAGAACATTTTCTTGTAAAAATTGAACTAAAATAGTTCGAATTAATGAAAAATGGTTTTTTTTGTTCAACAGGAGATGCTTAAATTCTTCCAAAAACAACAGACGAGATTAAATCCAACGAATAGTGATCCACAGCCAAAATCATTGAAGTATTCAATATCCAGTTCCTCTCTATTTGGTACTGATGTTGTTGTTGAAGATCGACAATTGGTTGAAAACATAGCACGTCATATCGTTTATGGTAAGAAAATAAATTTTTTGTAAAAGAACTTTTTGACAAGAATTTTTGTTCTTGTCAGAAAAAAAGGAAAAGTTGATCTTATAAAAGAAAGAGTTAGACAATCGGAATGAATATTTAGATTTAAAATAATTTTCTAAATAAATTAATAGAAGCTACGTTATTATAAGTAATGATTAATATTTTCGTTTATTGTAATCGTTCTTTTTCAATTATAATATTTGTGCAGATGGTTCCAAATCAACGCCAATTATGTCTACAAACGTAATTGCTTTTCTGCTTCTTTACAAATTTCGAGACGGTTGCACATTGGACGATTTAGTTAATGCCGTTGATTCAATGAGACAAGAATTGGAATTTGCAAAAAGAGATGCAGCCTTCTCGGGTGAAAGTATTGACGTCATAAATCACGCAGTGAGTTATTTTTCGATTATTTTATGTTTATAAATAAATTAATTAACATTTCGCTTAGATGCCTTGGGTATTATGACTTTTTCTACTTTTTTTTAACTATTTTCGAAAAAATGCAACTTTTTTCTACTTATTTACAAAATTTGTGACTTTTTCGACTTTTTTTCAAATATTGCAACGAAAGATCACATTTTTAGTATAAAATGCAAATTATTTTGATTTTTATGGCATGAAAAATAACTGTAGACAAATCTTTCAAAAATTGTTTTTGAATAATTTTTCTGATTAAATTTTCGCTAGAAATACAATTAAAAAGATTTTGAATAATTGAATTTTTGTAAAATTTAATTGAAAATTGATTTTTTTCAAGTATTATTATTACAATTTTTGAAAATTAACTTTTGAAAAATTTTAATTGAAAATTTTTGTATATTAACTTTTGAAGAATTTTAATTGCAAATTTTGGGAAAATAATTGAATTCTCAAAGAATTTAATGAAAAATCTTCAAGAGAAAATTTATAAAAATGTAAATTAATGAAAAGTAGCTTCTAAAAGTTATATTAAAATATTTTTGAAAAAAGTAATTCTTCGAATTTTTTTATTCTAATTTTTTTTGTTGATATTTCATTATTTCCAATATTTTTAATTACATATTTTCGAAAATTCAAATACATACATAAGTGCAAAAAATAATACGAACATTAAAATTTTTCGGAATTATTTTAAATGTTTAGAAGAAAAATAATCATGTTCAAAGTTTTTAATTAAAATTCTTCAAAAAATTTATTAGTTTTTTTTTAAATTGTACGAAAATTCTTTTAAATAATTCAATTCTTTCCAAAAAATTGCATTTCAATATTTTAAAAATACTAATTCTCGAATTGTTTTATCACACTTTTTAAAAATTCAATTACATATCTTCGAAGAAAGTAAATTAAAATTTTTTAAAAGTTACTTTTTTAGACTTATTAAAATTTTGGAGAAATCTTAATAAAAAATTCTTGGAAAATTTTATTGTTTTTTTTTATATTTTTCAAAAATCCAATTATTATTTAAAGATTTTATCAAATTTAAGTTATTTTAAAAATATTTAACCAAATTTGAATTGTCTGAAAATGTTTAATTACACAAACACAGACAGTTACAATTAGAATTATTATAAAAAATTGAATTTTTGTATTTAATAATTGAATTCTCGAACAACTGTCAAAAAATTATTAAAAATAATTGATATAGAGATGAAGTTTAGTTCAAAATTTGAAGAAAATAATTGAATTTTGAAAGGGTTTTAGTTTAATTTTTTAGAAATTATTCAGAAGGTTTTAAATTAAAATTTTTTCGATTTTGTTTCTCGTAAGAAAATAAAATAAGAAGAAGTATTTAAATATTTATTTAGCAAAATTTTTGAATAATTGAGTTTTGAAATCAGTGAACTGGGAAAATCAGGGAAATACAACATAAAATTTTCGTGATAACACTGAATTAAATAAACTACTTTTTCGACTTTTTTGTACTTTTAATCGACTAAGCGGCTTTTTTGCACCTTAAAGTCGATCCGAGATCTGTTAATAATTTCGAAGATTAGAATTAAAAACAAAAAAAGTAAATTGCGTAATACATTAATTGCAATTCAAGTAATTATTTATTCTTTTATTTCTTTACACCGTTTTATTTTAAGTAAGATATCAAAAATCAAACTTGAATACAAAATTATTCGAAATATAGACAAAATTAAATTGTAATGATATTGAAAACTTATGTTTATTTTATTTAAAATAATAAATTAGGTATTTGTTTAAATAATAAATTTTTTGTGCTAGTATTATTAAATAATTCTAAGTATTCAGAAGAAGAAATTTTAATTTTTCTTTTAATTAAAAAATGGAGACTAGAAATTAGAATTTTATTTTTCAAAAAAACTATTCGTATTTGCAAAAATTAACAATTAGTTACAAATTTTCCAGCTGGATATTTTGGGACCTGGTTTAGTAAAGCAACAGAGGCAAGAAATCACTGAAACAGTTAATAATCAAATAGTAAAATCAGGATTCAGAACTGCAATACAGCCAGTTTCAATTCTTCCAAATGTTATCGAACTATCGTACTATGCAAACACAATGGTTTTGCATTATATTCTAGAAAGTGTAGTTGGTAAGAAAATTTTTGTTATTATTGGAAAAATATAGTTTTTCTAATTAATTTCGGATCTAAAATTATTCAGAAATTGAGAAATTCTATAAATTCAAAAATTTTTATCTTTAAATATCGCATCAACATTTAAAAATAAAAATTTTGTAATTTAGCATAATATTAATAATGAATTAATTAACATCATTTTACGTTATATTAACGAAATATAATTGAATTTTCAGTGACGGCATTGTATGCGGACTTGAAATCACAGATGAATGATCCGAGAGCGATTGCGGAAAATGACATAAAAATATATCAAGATGATTTGGTGGAGAGAGCAATTGAAGTCTGTGATATTCTTAAGTATGAATTTATTTTCTGTAGGCCATGTCAGGAATTGGAGCACGTGATAGTCGATGTGATTCGTGGTCTTTGTTCTTCTGGTATTATTTCATTAATTGAAGAGGCTTATTTAGAAGAAGAATTGTGGAGCAGAAGATACGCGAAAACATTCGACGATAGCTCAGACGAAGAATACTCCAATGTTAATCGCACTAGAAAAATTCAGTACAAAGTAAGTTGACTGTTGTTTTTTCTCGATATTTAGTACATAATTAATTATTATTGTTTAAATTTTCAAAAATTTTAATATAATTCTTCGGAAGAATTCAATTTTTGCTTCCTCATGGAGGAAGTATTTCATAAATAATAGGTAACATTCTTTGAAAGAACTCAGTTATTTTTACAAATAATATAATTTTTTACAAAAATTCAATTATTTTTAACAAAATTTTAATAAATCCTTCAAAACAATTCAATTATTCTTTTTAAAAAATAGTAAAATCTTTGCAAAAAGTCAATTATTATTAATAAAATTTCACGAAAGAATTCAATTTTTTTCTTAATTCGTTGTGAAATTTTTATCGAAACAAATATATTATTTTTCAAAAATTTTAATAAAAATCTTTGCAAGATTTCAATTATTTTCATAAATATTAAAATTTTTCAATGAATTTAAATTATTTTTAAAAATTTTAATAAAATTCTTCGCAAGAATTCAATTATCATTATAAAAAATAAAATTCTTTGAAAGATTTCAATTATTTTCATAAAAAATAAAATTCTTTGGAAGATTTAAATTATTTTCAAAACAATTTTCATAATATTCTTGGTAAGAATTCATTGATTTTTATAAATAATAAAATTCTTTGGAGGATTTCAATTATTTTTAAAAATTTTAATAAAATTCTTCGGCATTTCAATTACTTTTATATTTCTCAATTACAATTATTTAAAAAAAAAACACAAAGAAATTCTTTAAAAGAATTTAATTATTTACAAAAACTTTAATAAAACTTTAATAGAAAAATTAATCATTACAATTATTAACAAAATCGATTATATCATTTTAAAAACTTGAAAGAAATTGCTGATAAACTTCAATTACTTTCAAAATTTTCAATTAAAAATTTAAAAAAAACTCCATTATTTAAAAAAAATCAAAGAAATTCTTTAAAAAAATTTAATTAGAATTTTTTTAAATTTTAATATAATTTTTTGCGAGAATTCGATTATTTTCATAAATAATAAAATTATGCGTAGGAATTAAATTATTCTCAAATTTTTCGACAATATGTAATTCTTTGCAAGAATTAAATAATTTTTAATAAATTAATTTAAAAATTAAAAATATTTGAAAAAAAATATTAAAATTTTAATAGATATTTGAATTTAGAATAAATTAAAAAGTAATTTTTTGAAATTAATGTTCACAGCTTAGTCTTATTCCGGAGCATTCAGATCGCATGGAATTTCTCCATAGAATAGCGAGACCTTTAATAGATACCTATTCGTTTAGTGCATTTTCGTTAAAAAAATTGGTGAGCCGCTCTACGATGGAGAAAGAGTTTCTTCAGGAAATCTTAAAGGAAATTAAATCCAACATCGATAGCGGTGCAGTTAGCTACGGTAATTATGATTACTATAAAATTACAATTAGTTGTAATCTAACTTTAATAATACTGCCTGACAATAAAAAATTTTCATTTTTACTTTCTCATGGAAAACTTTCTACTGAAGTTATTTTCCAAAATTTTTAAAATCATCGATTTTTATTTATTTTCATCATTTTTAAAATCATCGATTTTTATTTATTTTCATCATTTTTAAAATTAATCATTTCAACTAGAGTTCAGATTTTTATTTCGTTTCAATTATTTCTAATCTTCTTAATAGACTATCTAGATATTTTAAATAAATGTCTAATTAACAAGTAGTTAAAATTGAAAGTTAATTAAACATCCAAATTCTTTCTCATAATCATTTTTGGAGTGAATCAAAATATTCTTTATGGTCAGGAAAAAATTTTAAATTCAATCCTGTTGACAATTTAAATATATTTTAACTTTCGAAATTCGAAAATTAATTTTATTCTTCTTGTAATAAATTTACAGGTGAAAGTCTTTCGATTGATCCAGTTAAAAATTCACTGAAACTATTCGAAAAATGGAATGTCCTCGAATGTTACTCGCAGGAAAATACAAAGTTATTTAGTCTGAAGGACGAGTACGATGACGATGTTGCCATAAACAGAATATTTGAAAAAGTAGCGGCTTACAAATGGACGCGAAACGTTGATTGAGAAGTAGATTTAAAAAAAAACAAAAAATTATATTCCGTTTATTGGTGAACCAATTTTTTTTTTGCTCAGAAAAGGCAACTTTCACGCAAGAAAAAAAGGAATGAAACACACAAATTCGGAATTACGTACAATGCAACGCTCAAAACAAAACAAAAAAAACAACAACAATTAGACTGTTTTTTCTTTTTAGTACGAATTAGAGAAAATTCAGTTTCTCAGGCAAAGACTTATACATATTATATATATAAATATAGTTTTTATATGCGACATAAAAAATTAAGTATATTTATAGAGATCGGGCCTTTTTTTCTACGGGCGAATGAAAATGTCAGTGATTTCTCTCTTTATTTCTTTCTTTTTTTTCTCTTTTTATTTCTCTCTTTTTCTCTCTCTTTCTCTTTAGTTGTAATTAATTTTTGTTGCAAATGTGGCTATTTTATGACTGGTAATGAATGCAAGGATCGACTTCTTTTTTTTTTCTTTTGTTATAAACGGGAAATTCTTAAAAAAAACCGTTATAATAAAATTTATATTTTTCAAGATCGATTGTGTCAATAAAAGAATTTAATATCAAGTTTGAAATGTTGATTAAATTTCGATTCGAGACAATAAAGCAAATTTTTAATTTTCTAATTTGAAAAACTATTTATTTTTAAATGAAAATAAAAAAATTAATTTGCTTTTAAAGAGAAATTAATTTATTTAAAAAAAATAATTAATTTGTTTTTAAAGAAAAATATATTTATTTTTAAATAAGAATAGAAAAATTAATTTATTTTTAAATGAGAATAGAAAAATTTATTTATTTTTAACTGGAAAATAGAAAAATTAATTTATTTTTAACTGAAAGTAGAAAACTTAATTTATTTTTAACTGAAAATAGAAAAATTAATTTATTTTTAAATGAAAATAGAAAAATTTATTTATTTTCAAATTTATAGTAAAAAAAGAAAGAAATTGTATTAAAAAATAATTAGTATGAAAAGGGTTTAGTGATTGGATAACTTCTTCTTAGGCCCATACATTTTTCTCTATCGATGAAGAGAGCGTCGGTTTTGAATTTAAGATCTTCTTGTAGATTATTTCTTGTTTTCAACAATTGTTGATGTTGGGCTTCATTTTGTTGTAATTTCAGATGTATTTCATTTACCAATGAATTGATTGTATTTATTTCGTCAACTATTCTGTAAATAGTAATTTTCCCAGAATGTTTTCTGTTTTTTTTTTTCTCTAGGAATATTAGTTTTTAAAAGGAGAGGAAAAATAATTTTCGTTTTACCTTGAGTAGGCGTAGTCTTCGCATAATTCGGCCTGTGGTCGATGAGTTCTCGCTTCTAATCTTGTGTGCGCGACTTTTAGCGACAAACTTTTGTCGATTATTGACTTTTTCATTGAATCAATGTTCTTCTCGATGTGGAAAATTTCTTCTTGTATCTAGTGAAAATTTTTCAGAAATATTTGGAATTTGTGGAATATTTTTAGACGTTTTAATATTTTAAACACTTTAATTTTAACATTTTAAATGTTTGAATATTTCCAATTTTTGAATATTTCAAAAGCTGAAATATATTTTTTTTCGTAAGGGTTCAAAATAAAAGTAAAATTACTTTATTCAAGTGATTTTGTATTTTGCATTTAGCGTCAATTAGTTCCGTTATTCTTCTGGTAAATGCATTATTAGAATTACTCCATGAATTCCAAGTTTCTTGGAGAACGGAATTTATTGTTCCCTCAATGTTTGTTCGTAATTGACTCGATCTCGATCTTTCCATCTGGGATTTTTTCACAATATTTTCGGAATATTCCGCCCAATTTTGAGCATTCATAATACTGAATAATAATTTTATTGAAATTTAAATTGAATTTTTACATTAAATTAATTTAATTATTTAATTTATTTAATATGAAAACGAGAGAGATTTGTGGCCTTTGGAACAAAGGCCACGAATCTTTCTCGTTTTTATATTTAAAAAAAATTAAGGTCCTAAAAAAATTTATTAATTATTTAATTAATTTAATTAATTTTAAAAAGGAAAAATCAATTTTATTTCAGTAATTTACTCACTTATTGTTGTATTTTTCAATGCCACCGAAATATTGAAGACCGTTACTATAATTATTTAATTTATGACACATTGTGTCTATTCCAAGTGCAGTCTCCTTATTTTTTATGTCAATTTCAAGTTCATTTTGAGAAGCTCTTCCATTTTTAAGCTGAAAAATAAAAAAATAATTGTTTTATACTTTGAAAAGAAATTTGTTTTTTCTTTAAATTTGTTGTCAAAACTACTTGATTTTTGCATTTCTCGATGTATTCTTTTAGTTTCTTTTGACAATTTCGAAATGTTTGGATTTCCTTCAGTAAAGCTTGTTCCGTCTCATCGTGTACTAATTCCGAACCTTGTAAATATTTAATTATTTAATCAATTTAAATTATTTTAATAATGAAATTAAATTAATTTAAGTTAATTATTAAAAAATTTAATTAAATTAATTTAAATTAATTATTATAATTTAATTAAATTGTTTTAGTTTTTTAAATTAAATTATTACAATTTAATTAAATTGTCGTTACAAATTGAAGAAAAAAAATGACATTAAATTGTAATAATAGAGAAAGTTCACCTATTCTATTTTCTCTTTGATATAAACATTCTTGAGTAATGTTCAATGGTTGACTGTTATTTTTAATCGCTTCTTCTAAATTTTGAAAACATTCTCGCATTTTTTTATTCTCATCAAGAAGACGCTCCAATTCGGATGTAATTTCATTTCTCCAAAATCCAATATCGACGATTCGTTCTCCAAGTTTTCGGTCAGATTCTTTTTGATCTTCTTCAACTTTTTCCTTTGCCTTACTAAAATTTCATTTTTATATTTATTTAATTATTAACAAAGCAAAAAAAGAAATTATACTCTTTATTATTCTTTTTTAAAATCTCTTTAGAAAAAAAATAAGTATTTTAGTTATTATTCTTTTTTAAATTTTCTTTAGCAAAAAAAAAAAGTATTTTAGTTATTTAAAAAATAACTGAAACAAAATATTTTCAATACTCAAGGAAACCAAAAAGAAATTTTACCGGATTAAATGCTCGGTGTCTTTTCTCAAATTTGAAGAATATTGCCTATTCGAATCGGCCTCATTGTACAATTGAATTTGATTTTGAACCCATTCGTAAGGGGTGTATCTTGTATATAAAGCAGCTTTAGCAGCGTGTGTGGAATTTCGATCGAAGCCAGTAATTAAATTTGGAAATTTCAATGGTTCCGTCAAAATTCCTTTTGAAGAATAACAAGCGTCGACGAGTTCGTTTGTCATCGTCTTGGATGGACTGAAATTAATGGTAATAATCTCAAAAATACATTAATTTTAATTTCTTTTTTACTATAAAAAAAACAAATAATTATTAATTGGTTTATAAATAGTTTGTTAATTTATTAATAATTAATTTTTTTCTTACAGGGAATTTAATTCGATGTTCTCATAACCCAAAGTTGGTCTCCATGGATGTGGTCGTGGTGTTTTATAAAATTCTCCAATTTTTTTTGGTACTGGATCACCAGAAATTTGTTCCATGCAAGGAGAAGCTAGAAACGAACTCCACGGTTGTAGTTGCTAAAGAAAAAAATCATTCCATATTTCTAAATTAATTAATAATTTAGTTTACTTATTAATTAATTACATAAAAAATAAGAAAATAAATTAAACAAATAAATTAATAAATTAGTAGTTGAATTAATAAATTAATCAAACAGATTAATTAATAATTAATATTAAATAATTAATAACAAAAAAATTAATGTTAATAGTGAATATTTGAGAGGTTCAATGTAATTAAACATTTTTCTTTGAATCTAATTGAAAAATGTCAGTTAACTTTTAATGGAATTCTTATATTTAATAATTCTTCTTCTAATTGAAAAGAATATTTGTAATTATTGATAATTTAAAATTATTAAAAACCAGTTTTCGTAGAAAATAATAAAGTTTCATGGAGAAAAAAATATTTACTGTATACGAAACCGTTTCATCTTCTTTTTTAACAATTTTATTAAAATCCATTTTTTACGACGTCATCGAAAATGTAAAAAAGCAAAAGTAAATAACCAAAAAATTAAGAAAGGGGAAAATTTTCAAAACATTTTAAAAGTTAATGCAAAAGTGAAGTAAACTAAAGTAAACACAAAATTTTTAATAATAAATGATCTGAAGTGATCAAAAGTTAATTAAAATACGTAAATATTTTGTTTTCATTCTCTCAAATCTTTTTTCCCAAAAAATTAATTTTTCTAATTAAATTACATTAAAATTACTCATAAAAAATTAAATTCTTTTAAACAATTTTATTAAAGTTTTTGTAAATAATTACACTTTTTTTTATTAAAATTATCTTGAATATAATTGAATTTTTTCCTAGAAATTTCACTACAATTATATTGATAATAATTGAATTTCTCAGAAAAATTTTATTATATTTACAAAAATAATTGAATTCTTGACAAGAATTTTACAATTTATAAAAATAATTGAATTGTTTCGTAGAATTTTATCTAAAATTTTTGAAAATAATTGTATTTTTTGAACGAATTTTATTAAAAAAGTTGAAAAGAATGATTTTTTTAAAAAGAATTTCATCAAAATTGTTGAAAATAATTGAATTTATAATTTTATATTAAAATTCTTGAAACCTAATTGAATTTAATTAATATTTTTAAAAAATTGTATTCTTTCGAGAAATTTTATTAAAATTATATTGAAAATAATTTAATTGCTCTAAAGAATTTTATTATTTTTGAAAATACATAAATATTCTTGTTAAAAACTTTTGAAAAATAATAAACAATATTTAATTATGTACTTAATAAGTGAATTTGCTTGTAAATTAATAATGATTAATTAATAGCAGATTAAATACAAAAATTTAAAAATAGAAATACAAAAACTCAAAAATTGAATTGCAATCATAGTTTATAATTATTAAATAATTATTCACCGCGCGCCGTATATTTAAAAAATCAGAAAGAACCGGAAGTCGGTTTATCACGTGTTCCAACGTTCCACTGTGTCACGCACTTGTCATGTGACAAGGGAACGGACCAAAGGCGCTGTCTCTCGCAGGAGCCTTCTGCTACTATTGAAATTGTTAAAGTTGTCAAAAGAATAAAAAAGAATTTTACTAGAAAATTGAAGTGTTTATTTAAATAAAAACATGATTATCAATTTTAAATTACTTTGGATGATTGGATTGATGTGTGGGTGTAATATTTTAAGCAGCAGTGCAAAAGATTCTGTACCCATTTTACTGTGGGATCACTATGGTAAAATTTCATCGTTTGAACCTTATAATCCTTTTCATACAACTACACACGAAGAATTTGGTGTTATTTTGAAAAAAAGATGGAATAATTCTTCACCACCTGTATTGGTACTTATTAAGGAGACATTTTGCAGTGAGGATATGATACGGAACAAGGAGGTCAGTATTATATATTTCATTCTGTACGAATAACTCAAACTCGTGACTATCATTCTCAACGTTTTCATGTGTTGATTATAAATCAATATTTTTCAACCCAGAGTGTATTTTTATTGTAATTTATTTTTAAACTGATATTTTTAATTGTTGATACATACGCTCGATATTTTCTTGATTTTTTAATTTTAGTTTTTTAGTGACTTCGTCATTATTTTTGTCTCTTTATTTTCATATTGCAGGTTTTTTAATTCTTTTTTCTATTTTAGTATCTAAATTTTTCTTCTTTTGGAAAATTTTGGTAATTTTTGGTAATTAGTAGGTAATTTTTCTAATAATGAGAATAATTTTTTCTCTTTTGTAGAATTTAGTGGACTTGAAGAATGCCAGTATTATGTACCTCAGTGCGGTTAAGTCTCCAGTACCGTATTTGAAGAATTTATTTTCGTATCAGCAAATAGACGAGTCAGAAGTTGAGTCAATTGGTGATAATCAATTGGCGATGGTTAATGTGAAAAATGTCGAAGACGCTGTGAAAATTTATAAAGTTATTCGTGAAACGAGTCCCAATTTGGTTACGATTCTAACAGGAAATTCTTGTAATATTAATCTTGAACCAGTAAGGAGAGTACGAAGGGCAGAGGTTGATGCATCAAATGACACTTCTCTATTTTTCAATAAATCTGACGGCCAGGTGCTTTTATACTCCAGTCAATTTCCCTTTATTAAGGTAAAAATTGATATCAATTTTACGACACTTACTTTTAAAGTTTAACAGGATTGCCACAGGTCAGGGAAAGGTCAGAGATTTTTATTAGAAGTACTGGGAAAATTAATTTTTCAGAATTTATAAGAAAATTCTGAATTTTTTTTTGTTTGCCTCATAAACTAAAAAATATTGAATTTTGGAGGAGTTAAAAATTATTGCAGAAATTCCATTATTTTCAAAAGTAATAAAATTCATCGCAAAAATTCAATTATGTTCAAAAGTATTAAACAATTCTCGTCAAAATTTCATTTTAACTTTATAAATAATAAAATTCTTCTTTGAAATTCAATTATTTTCAATAATTTTATTAAAACTCTTTGCAAAATTTCAATTATTTTCAATAATTTTACTCAATTTAATGATTTTCAATATCTACTATTGTAATAAAATTTTCCGAAAGAATTCAATTATTTAAAAAAAAAATGTTAATAAAATTCTACGCAAACATTTAATTATTTTCATAAATAATAAAAATTTTACAGGAATTCAATTATTTACGAATTTTTTAAATAAATTTTTTCGGAATAATTCCATTATTTTCAGAAAAAATAAACCTTTTTCTGGGATTCAATTATTTTTAAAAATTTTAATAATATTCTTTGCAAGAATTCAATTATTTTCATCACTAAGAAAATTTATTGCAGAATTTCTATTATTTTAATAAACATTTTTCATAAAAATTCTATTATTTCTTAACAATTTTAAAAAAATTCTACGCAAACATTGAATTATTTTTAACAATAATAAAATTTTTTGCATGCGGATTCTATTATTTTCGTAAATAATAAATTCTTCTCCAAAATTAAATTATTTTAAAAAATTTTAATAAAATACTTAGCAAAATTTCAATTATTTTTAATACAATTTTAATTGAATTCCTCGAAAAATGACATTATTATAAAAAATTATATTAAAATTCTTCTAAAGAAATTCTAAAAATCTAAAAATTTAATAATTATTTTCTGTTCACATGTAATTAAATTTCTTAAAAAAACTCATTTATTTTCAAAAATTGTAATGAAATTTTTCAGAATAATTCTATTATTTTTAAAAGAATTTTAATAAAATTCTTTGTGGAAATTTTATTAATTTCAAAAATTTCAAATTATTTCAGAAATTTAATTAAGTTAAAAATTTTATTAAATATTCTCGTCAAAATTTCAAGTAACTTTATAAATATAAAAATTCTTCTAAATTCAATTATTTTCAAAAGTTTTCCTTAATTCAATTATTCTCAATATAAAAATTCAATAAAAAATTCTCATCAATTTTTCAATTACCTATTAATTATCAATTATTAAAATTTGTCCTTCAAAATTAAAAAATTTTAATAAATTTTTCGTAAAATTTCAATTATTCTAAATTATTCTCCTTCGAAATTCAAAAATTTTGATAAAATTCTTGATAAAATTTCAATTATTTTCAATATAAAAAAAAAATTAAAAATTCTCGTCAATTTTCCAATTATTAATTATCAATTATTAAAATTTTTCCTTCGAAAATTAAAAATTTTAATAAAATTCTTCGTAAAATTTCAATTATTTTAAATTATTTTCCTTCGAAATTTAAAAATTATAATAAAATTCTTCATAAAATTTCTCTCAATTAAATGATGTTTAATATATATATATATGTTCCAAAAGAATTCAATTATTTAAGAAAAATCTTGATAAAATTCTACGCAAACATTTAATTATTTTTATAAATAATAAAAATTTCTCAGGAATTCAATTATTTATAAATGAATAAATGAATAAATTTGAAAACTTAAATTTTTCATATTTTTAACTAACAATTTTAACCACAATTTTCTGGAATTAATTTTTTTTGAAAAACTTTAATTGCGAATTTTTTTAAAAATTATTTAAAGTTTTTATTTTCTAATATATATTTAATTAGACAATTTACGAATAATTTAAATTTTGTAAAATTGAATTAAATATCTACTATTTTAATAAAATTTTTCAAAAGAATTCAATTATTTATAAATTTCTTCACAATAATTCCATTATTTTCAAAAATAAAAAAAATTTACAGGGATTTAATTATTTTTGTAAATAATAATATTATAATTCTCTTTAGGAATTCAATTATTTTCGTAAATAATAAAACTGATCGCAGAATTTCAATTATTTTTAATACAATTTTAATTAAATTCCTCGAAAAATGTAATTATTCTTAAAAATTTTATTAAAATTTGTCGAAAGAATTCAATTATTTAAATAAATAATAAATGTGTTTACAAGGATTCTATTATTTTCATAAATAATAAAATTCTTCACCGAAATTCAATTATTTTTAATCAATTTAATAAAATTCTTGGGTAAATTTCAATTATTTAAATTCAATTTTAATCGAATTCCTCAAAAAATGTAATTATTCTAAAAAATTTGTTGATAAAATTCTTAATAAGAATTCAATTTTAAGAAACATTGAATTATTTATTTTTGTATTTGAAGAATTGAATTCTTGTAGAATTTTCTAATAAAAATTGATTTAAAAATGAATTTCAGTAAAAATTTTAGATAATAATTGAATATTAACAATATTATAACGTGAATTCTTAGAAATAATTAAATTCAATTATTTTCATAAATGATAAAATTCTTCAGAGGAATTCAATTATTTTCAAAACTTTTTATAAGAATTCAATTATTTTTAATAATATTATAATTGAATTCCTCGTAAGAGTTTAATTATTTTCAAAAGTTTTAATAAAATTCTTCTTGGGAATTTAATTATTTTTACAAATATGTAATAAAACTTGTCACAGGAATTCAATTATTAAATTTAAAATAAAAATTAATAAAATATTTTAAAGAAGTTACAGTAACAATATTTTTTTATAATACAAAATAATGATTTTATCACTCGGTCATCTTTAATTATAATAAAAAATGAAGTAATCGATCACTCCGAGTCGAAAACTCGGAGTGATCGATTTCTTCATGTTTTATTATAATATTCTTATAAGTCAACCCTGTTTAATAATTTTTCGAAATTTCTTCTAAACCTATTTAAATTAAATTCGAAATGATTTTTTTTTTAGTATGATATTATATTCTTTTTTTGTTTACAGACCAGTATAAACGGAAGTTTCGAGCAATTAACATCACTATCAAACGCATCGGACGCAAAACGTGTGAAAAATTCCATAATATTGGACCTGACATTTTCATTGCCTTCGGATCCGAAAATAGCAATAAAAATGAATTTCACCAAATCACAGGGTTACTATAATCTCATGAATATAACATACACCGATAAAAATCACCTTAATGAAATTGCATTGAAATGGAAAAAGAATCTATACGTACCGCAAAATTTCTCCTATAATTGTGGTGAAGAATTTCTCTCTCAATGGTTCTTTCAAAATGAAACTGGAAAGGATGCACCGAAACAAATAGTACAACTGAAATTTAGTGACATACAAATTCAATTGGACGCTAATAAGGCATTTAGTGAGGCATACGATTGCATTGGATTCACATCAATTCCAATATGGACGGGAATATTTGTAACATTTATCCTCGGATTAATTCTCATTTGGGGCCTAACAATGATTATTGATATTCGTACAATGGATCGATTCGATGATCCCAAGGGAAAGACCATCACCATTTCAGCGCAAGAGTGAAAAGAAAAATTGGAAAGAAAGAAGTTGTACATGTATAAAAGAAATCACTTTTTCCTCCCCCTGTAAATATAAGGTACGTTATAATCACATTTTTTTTCCTTTCAATTAATGATGTTAAAATACGCGAATTATTCGAAAAAAAAAATTTGCGCCTGACATCAGCTTATTTGATGAAAAAATGGGATTTAATAGACTATATTTATTTAGTAATCGTTTAAATTAGGACGTGTATCATAAAAGAAAAGGTGGTGGTTTCATTTTTCAGCTTGAATCATTCCCTCGTGTATGAGTCTGTTTTTATTTTTATTTTTTTGTCGTTTGAGAATGTTTATCTATAAAAGTTATTGAGTGTGAGAAAATTGGGGCCATACTGTGTATGATCCTTTATTTCACATCATCGTTCAAATACTCTGCACAAAACAGAAAAATTGTAAAGAATTTTTTAACTCTACTGACTAAAAAAAATGTGTCTTTTCGAAAAAAAATTCTTTGAAAATCTTTCTCTTTTTTTGCATGTAAAATTTTATATTTGACATTTTTTTTAAAACAAATTTTGCTAATTTCAAATTTTAGTTTCAAGATAAATATACCAGTCAGTAGAGTAAAAAAATTAATTTGAAATTTAGAAAAAGATTCAATTTGATAAATATTCAAAAACTAGATTATATTACCAAGTTACATGAATTTATTAGGAAGAAGAAAAAAAAACTATTGATATCGAAGATTCATTCCAATCTTAATTTATAATTATTAATCACGTCTAGATGGAGCGATTGATGTTTTTTTCTCTGTACTGCCACCTTTCATCGTTAATAAATTGTGCGTACAATGTAATGTAAAAAAATATCAATTTATGCTTAATTTACCAAAAAAAGAAAACAAATGTTCATTAAGCAAGAAAACAACTTGTATAAACACTGATTGAAATATGTATTATATAAAAATGATTATTCATGTGAATAAATCGTTGATTAATTGTAACAAAATAGTATTTCATTTCTTTTTTGAACTTTTCTTTTAATCGCAGAAAAAATAGTTGGAAAACCTTTTTAATTTTTTATAAACTGAAAATTAAATTAAAATCCGTTATTTATGTCGCTGGTATTTTTCTATTTTTCTAAACCTGTATTTTTTTTAATACAGAAACGAAACTTGAGAGAAAATAAAAGTGTTCTAAATAAAAAAGTCTTGGAAAAACCAAAAAGGGGAAAATAAAATTAAAATACATAAGTCGAAACAAAAAGTAAGATACAGACTAAATAGAATAGAATAGAGGTGTAAATTTAAAAAGAAATTCAAAAAAGATTTTCTTTCCGCTTTAGAATAACGAACAATGAAAAATTAAATCGTGAGTTAAAAATGTAAAAATCAATTTATTAAATACTGTATTAAAAACAAATTATTTTTTAGAGCACGCAGACATTTTGACACCATGCATTACGATAAATGCCATTGAATGAGCGGGTAAAGTAATAAAATCTCCAGTCTTCAAAAATACAGGATTAAAAGCTGGCAAATCGCCATTCGACGATAATTTCAATTCTTCTCCATTCATTTTAATTGTCCTGAAAACAAAAGTTTTAATATAAATTATTTGGATATTTTTACGCAGTCCTAGAAAGACCATAAATCGGTAAGAAAAATGTATCATAAAAATAAAGGAAATACAAAGAAAATAAATTTACACAAGTAAAAAATTAAAAAGTTGTCAGTGAAATAATAATTTTTAGAAAAATATAATATTTAAACATTCGAATATATATTCATGATCCTAAAGTTCTGAACGTTAAAAATAAACGAAATTTATTTCTTTCTTATTCAAATTAAATTTTTGCGTCACTAGCAAAAAAATTAATTTTTAAAGTTTTTAAATGTAAAATATTAGTTTTTACTTTTTATTGTAATCAGTAGGGAAATAATTAATGAAAATTTATCAAAAATATTCACTTTCTTCTTATTCTGGTAATAATTTCAATTCTAAATTTTTCTAAAATTCAATTATTTTCCAAATTTATGGTAAAAATTCTTCATAAATACAATTCTAGTATAAAAATAATTTTTAAAGGAAAAAACATAAAAATTTTTAAAATAAAAAATTTATTTCAATTAAATTTTACAAAATATCCAATTACTTAGAAATTTAATTTAATCTTTTTAAATTTATTTGCTGGTATTTAACTATTTTCAAAAAATTTTCTTTACAATTTTCCAAGACTAATTTTTTTTAATAATTTATAAATTAAACTATTCAATACTTGAATGATTTTTGTTAAAATCATGGAAAATAATATTGAGTTCTTTCGAAGAATTTTATACAAATTGTTTTAAATAATTAATTATTTTAAAAATATTTATGAAAATAATTGAATTGTTAGGGAAGAATTTTATTAATATTTTTCTTTAGATAATTTAATTCTTTTTTTGAAAATGTATTTAAATAATAGATATTGAAAATAATTGAATTTCATCGATTAAATTCATTATTTGTCGAAATAATTGAATTCTTGCGAAAAAATGTTTACAAATTTTTGAAAATAATTAAATTGTTTTTTTAAATTTTTTTTTTTTTTTTTTTTGTTTTTTTTTGTAATGCCAATTTAAAAAAAAAAGAAAAATGTATCTTTTAGTGTCACAAATCTAAAAGAATATCCAAATATGTAGTATCAAATCGTAAAAAAAGTAATTTACCATATTTTTATTTTAATTATACTTGAATAAATTAAATAATATACAAAAACTGATAAAATACCTGGATTGCAAATCATCAGCAGTAAGTGTATACAAAAATGTGCTACTTTTCGAAGAAGCTGCGAATCCTTGAATGAGAATTTTCACTGGATAATTATTTAAATTCATTCCGTAAATAGTGACAGCGGGCATTTTATTGATAAGCGATTTTCCCGCCGTACAATGAGCGTAAAGTCGGAGTGTTCCAAAATTATTAGCCGACTGAAGTTTTAATACTTTATTGGAAACAAAATCCTTATAGAGAACGCCAATCCACCAATCGGGATTTGGTTGTCTATCGGGTCCCACCATTGCGTAATTGCCACCAAAAAATGATTGTCTAATTATCACTTGAAGACCAACACTCGCCGAATATCCCAATTTATCGAGAAAAAGAAAGCCAGCGACAAATCTGTTTGACATATCCGGTGCACCGCCACCAAACGCCGAACCTGTCTCGGCTAATTTCAACAAATTTTTGTCATTTATTTTTTGTGTTTAGGTAAAATGATAAAAATAATGATTTACTTACATAGCCACATGGAAATATTCCTTTTCACAGAATTAATGACTTCTTGAATTGATTTTATTTGATTTGGCAAAATATTGAAAATTTCCGGGTTCAGAAAATCTGCAACTTTTGCTTCTCTTCCATTGAGATAATATTGATGCCACGATAGAAAATTAACAGAATTTTCATCATTTTCCAAAAATTCTTTGACATATTTGTCACCGTTTTGTGTTTTGTGTTCTGTATCTCCAATGTGATTTGCTTCAGGACCAATTAAAATACTGTCATCATATCCGGTTTCATTTAACAATGATCGTAAATTTAAATAATCTTTGGCTAATTGTTGAGCCGGAATATCAACGTTAAAGACGTGGCGAAAAGAATTTGGTTCTGTGAAATAATTATATTTTCCATAATACCTTTTTCAATTTTTTCACACTAAAAAAAATTGAATTTTGGAGAAGTTACAAATGATTGAAGCAATTCAATTATTTTCAAAACTAATAAAATTCGTCGAAAAAATTCAATTATGATTTAAAAATTTGATTTAATTTGTTCAATAGAATAAATTAAATAAATATTTTCAATAGAATTTAATAAATATTTACAATACATTTTTAATTAAATTTCTTGAAAGATTAAATTATTTTCAAAAATTGTTAAGAAATTTTTCCAAAGAATTATGTAATTTATTTTCTAAAAAATGTTAATAAATTCTTCGTAGAAATTAAATTAATTTTATAAAGTACAAATGATTGCAAAAATTCAATTATTTTCAAAAGTAATAGAATTCTTCGCAAAAATTCAATTACGTTAAAAAATTTAAAAAAATTCTCGACAAAATTTCAATTATCTTTAGAAATAATAAAATTCTTTTTTGAAATTCAATTATGTTCAAAAATTTTTCTGAATTCAATGATTTTCAATATATGTACTATTTTAATAAAATTTTCCAAAAGAATGTAATTATTTCAAAAAGTTATAATATAATTCCACGAAAACATTAAATTATTTTCATAAATAATAAAATTTTTTACATGGATTCTATTATTTTCGTAAATAATCAAATTCTACTCCGAAATTCAATTATGTATTTTCAACAATTCTAATAAAATTGTTGGCAAAATTTCAATTATTTTTAATACAATTTTAATCGAATCCTTCGAAAAAAGTAATTATTCTTAAAAATTGTATTAAAATTCGTCGAACGATTTCAATTATTTAAAAATTTGTTCATAAAATTCTTAATAAGAAAACATTCAATTATTCAAAACATTATTTATCTTTGTAGTTAAATCATAGAATTCTCGTAGAATTTTTTAATAAAAATTAATTTTAATTAAAACTTTAGATAATAATTGAATATTACAAGCACTATATCGTAAAATTTTAGAATTTGAATTTTGAAAACAATTATTTTAATTTAATTCGTTCAAAAAATTCAATAATTTTGTAAAATTTAAATAAAATTCTTCGAAACAATTCATTTATTTTTATGAATTGTAGAATCCTCCGCAAGAATTTAATTATTTTCATAAATAATAAAATTAATGTTTCGAATGAATTCAATTATTTTCAAAACAATTTTAATAAAATTTCTGGATAGAATACAATTATTTTTAAAAATATTATTTCGGTATTTTTTCAAGGACCTTGAAAATATTTATATTTAAATTCAATTATTTTAAACTATTCTTCAAAAAAATTTAATTATTTTTATAAATTTTAAAATTCTTGTCAAGAATTCAATTATGTTTGTAAATAATAAAAATTCTACTGAGAAATTCAATTGTTTTCAAAATTTTAAGTAAAAATTATTTTAAAAAACTCCACTATTTTCAAGAATATTGAAATAAATTCTACAAAAGAATTCAAATAATTTTGAAGAATTTTAATAAAAATCTTTTCAAGAATTAAATTATTTTCAATATACAATTTTAATTACATTTTATAAGTTGCAGGAATTCAATTATTTTCATAAATAATCTATTTTTCTTTTTAAGTAATTCAATTCTCGTATAACTTTCAAATAAAAATTGATTTAAAAATAACTTTGAGTTAAAATTTTAGATAATAATTAGATGCTAAAAGCACGAATTTTGAAAAATAATTGGATTTTGAAAAGGTTTCACATTAAAATCTTTGAAAATCTGAATTTTTTAAAAAATTATTAAAATTAACTGATTTAAAGAAGAATTTTAGTTAAAAATTGTAGAAAATAATAATTAAATTTCAATGATAAAAATAATTTTAAAGAACTTACAGTAGCAATATTTTTATAATTATAATAATGATTTTATCACTCCGTCATCTTTAATTTATTAAAAACCATGAAGAAACCGATAACTCCGAGTCGAAGACTCGATTTCTTCATGTTTTATAATAAATATTTTTGTAAGTTATTGAATTTCAAAAGATTTGATCATTTTTTGAGTAGCTAATATTTTTTAGAATGAATCAGAATATTTTTAGGTTCTCAGGGAAAAAGTGAAAATTTTCTCTGAAAATCAGGGAAAAACAAAATTAAATTTTTTCTGTCAACCCTGAATTAGTTGACAATTTTTTCCACTTCACCATTTCCAAGTTGCCAGTCAATATTCATTCCATTCGTTAGGGCAAAATTCAAAATTTTCCTTGCATTCGAATTATTCCAAGTTCCATTAGAATTACGAAGTAGAACATTAAAATCAAAGAGCATTCGTAATTTTGCTTTTAGTGCGAAGTTATATAAAAGTACAAAATCCTCATCTGTTATTGTAAAATTACTAATGTCATTATCAAATTCATTTGTTGTCTGACGATCGTAATTGTATGAAGTCTGAAAAAATAGTACTTTAGAGTTTTATTATTTTCTTTATAGTTTATTTTGCCTGCGAAATATTAAAATTTTAATAAATAAAATTAATTAAATAAATAATTAATTTAATTAATTTTTATTAATTAATTAATTAATTAATTAAAATTAATAAATAATTAAATTAAAATAAAATTTTACAAACCTGATTGAAATATAAACAATCAGCTGAAGTTCCACCGAATCTAACATAAGCTGGACTCAAGTGTCGTGCCAATTTAATAAAATATTCGTTTGCAATTGGAAATTCCTTCATATTTCTCAATAAAGATGAGTCGAGGCCAAAGGAGAGGAAATTTTCCGAAGTTGTTTGCAGAAGAGATTGTCGAGGATTCAGAAAAAATACATGTCTCTCCTTATTTGGTAGCGATCGATTCAAATTCCATACAGAGAGCATTAAAAAACAGAAGCACAAACTTACTATCAAAAAACTCAAAATCGAAGGTCTTCGTAAATCTGAAAATAAAAAATAGTTTATAACCTACAATTCTAACCTATAACTTTTTGTTTCTCGTCTCGTTCGTTTGTAACCTAATTTCACTTTTATATATAAATAAAACGAATTTTAAAAAATTTATTTTTCCCTCTGGAAATTATTTATCACCTAATTATTAAAAATTAAAAAAAGGCTTACTGCTATAAAAAGATATTCCATCTTGATTAAGATTTTCATACTGATTTTTTCCTCGATCTTTTCTAATTGAGTAACTCATAATTACAAAATATTTCGTCGTTTCCTTTTTCACACAACTTTCTCTAAAATATTTTGTTTTTCCATACAAAATTAATTAAATTAATCGAAATTGTAGGGTAGACACCGGTGATCGGTGATATTATCCATCAAACATTATTCAAAACCTCCTGAAAAAATTAACACGAAAACAGCTGATTTCTGATCACGTGACACAATTTACAAAAATTACTTTCAAATCACGAAAATTGTCGAGTGAAAAAAAACTTATTAATAACAATTAGAATTAAATATTAAGCATTATTTTTAATAAAACAAGTAAAGTTAAGTTCGTATACTAATTTAATAGTCAAATTATCGTGAATTATTGACATTTTTAGGGAGAAATTCCACTTTTTATTGATAATTGATAATAAGTTGGTAGAACTTATTTCGATGTTGGTAAGAGTGGAAATTTTTACTGAGCATGCGCAGTTGTAGCTATTACCGGAAATGCAAAAAGTACAAGTATGAACTAGAAGAAGCCGCCATTGGGGGACATTATCACACAAGACGTTGAACTGTTCGGTGCACAGGTAGAAAAAATATGGGATATTTGTTAATCCAGTTTGTATTTTTGAGGAACTGATCGAAATAAATACCAGAGAAAAAACAAGTAAGTGAAAACAAATTTTGTAAATTAATTCATTGATGTAAAAAATGATATAAAAAATTACAGGTAAAATTCAATTCTTTTATTATTTAATATCACATTTTTCTGTCTCAAAAATGCATTTTTTTTTCTTAAATATTACGGAATTTGAACTAAAATTTTTTAGAGAAACAAATAATATTTTCTGAAATTTTTTAGTTAACATAATGAATATATTTTATAATTTTTTAAAAGTAGTCAATTTTTGCGTACGAAGCACGTGTTAGCAAAAGAGAAAAAAAGCACAAATTTTGTAATTTAATTAAATTTATTAGTTAATCTTTAACTTCCGAGTTTGTTTTATAAATTATTTACCTTGATTTGCAATCAAATTTGTTTTTTACAAATTAATATTCTTTTTCGTTGCAACGAAACAAATCTCTGTGAAATTTAGACTTTTATCAATTTTCGTTTGTTTATAAGTATTTAATAATTCTGTAATTGTGAATTTTTTTAGAGAGATGCAATAAACAGGGTTTAAAGTTGAAACAAAACTAAATTAAAAGTTTATTTTCGTGTCAACTTGAAACCAAATTAACAAATCGAATTTAGTTTCGTGTCGATTTGAAAATTTAGTATCACAGTCACGAAATTAAGTTATTAAATTTTTTTCTTTTGTAATATTTCGAAAATAATTGCTTTTCTAATAATCACTTTCATTCGAATTTATATTTTCTTAGTTTTCTTTTTTATCTTTTAAGAGGCCCATAAAAACATTCTAGGGCAAGTTTAGTTTTATCTCTGTTTACATCTCCAAATCTAAACATAAGTTAACAGACAAAGAATGAAAGATTGCAGACTTTTTTTTTAAGTAGATTTTTATTTTCTTCAGAAATCTTAACAGTAATAGAGGTATATTCTTAATTCAAGTCGTGTGATTTTATCTTTGAAAGAATATAATATTCAGATTACTTCTAGACTTGAAAATGAGAATGCGATAATAATTTTCCAAGAAGTTCTGCAAGGAATTTAACACTTGGAAATACTTTGTGTCAGCTAAAAATTTTATTCATCTCACTGTGTGTGACGGGTTAAATAAAACTTTTATTTTTATTACCATTTCTTGGGGTAACACATGGTCCAAGGAATGTGTCCTTGAAAAATAGGGGAGGAAAAAGGAAAAGCTCTGAAGGTTGGAAAACAACTAAGGAAATGTTCTTTACTTGTGAGAATTATAGTTATAATTAAAATATTCGTACAACGAATTATTACTCATCTAAAATTTATAATAGTTAAATTAATTACAATTTTCAAAAATTTTAATAAAATTCTTGGCAAAATTTTAATTATTTTCAAAAACTTTCCTCAATTCAATGATTTTTAATATCTACAACTTTAATAAAAAAATTCCCAAAAGAATTCAATTAATTAAAAAATTTTTTAATAAAATTCTACGCAAACATTTCATTATTTGCATAAATAATAAAAATTCCACAGGAATTCAATTATTTACAAAGTATTTTCATATATTTTTCAATTATATTCATAAATAATAACATTTTTTTACAGAGATTCAATTATTTTCAAAAATAATAAAAATTTTTACAGGGATTCAATTATTTTCATAAATAATAAAACTCAATGCTGAATTTCAATTATTTTTAATACAATTTTAATGGAATTCCTTGAGAAAAGTTATTATTCTTAAAAATTTTATTAAAATTTAAACGTTATTTTCAATAAATTTTTAATTAAATTTCTTTAATGAATAAAATTATTTTCAATAATTTTAATGCAATTCTATGCGTAATAATTCAATTTTTTCAAAATAATTTTAATAAAATTCTTCGCAGAAATCCAATCATGTTTAAAAACTTACAAAAATTCTCGTCAAAATTTCAATTATCTTTATAAATAATATTTTTCTCCGAAATTCAATAATTTTCAAAACTTTTAATAAAATTCTTGGCAAAATTTCAATTATCTTGATAAATAATTAAATTTTTCTTCAAAATTCAATTATTTTCAAAATTTTTAATAAAATTATTGGCAAAATTTCAATTATCTTGATAAATAATACAATTCTTGTTAAAATTTCAATTATCTTGAAAAGTAATAAAATTCTTGTTAAAATTTCAATCATCTTGAAAAATAATAAAATTCATCTCCAAAATTCAATTATTTTCAAAAATTTGAATGAAATTCTTTGGTAAATTTCAATTATTTTTAGTACAAATTTCATCAAATTTCTCGAAAAATGCAACGATTTTTAAAAATTTTATTAAAATTTGTCAAGAGAATTCAATTATTTAAAAATTTTTTGATAACATTCTTTATGAAAATTAAATTTTAAGAAACATTCAATTATTTAATAAAATTATTTATTTTTATAGTTAAATAATTGAGTCTTCGTAGAATTTTCTAATAAATATTAATTTAAAATTGAATTTCAAATTTAAATCTTTGAAAATTTCAACTTTTCATACTTTTAATTAAGAATTCTATAGAATTATTTTTCCCAATAAGTTTAATTGGAGTTTTAAAAATTATTTGAAGTTTTTAATTTCTAATATATTTAATTTAAGAATGTCAGAATAATCGAAATTTCGTAAAATTAAATTGTAAACAAAAGAATTTGATAATTCACAAAGAACTTTTTCAAAAATTTTTTTAAAAAATTATTTAAATATTATGAGAGCATTGGATAGAAAAGAAATAAAAAATAGTTAAATTTTACAGTAAATGATTAATTTTTTTCTAAATTGTAAATATTTTTTTCAAGAACCATGGGCGATAATAGAAGCAGAGGAAGAGGGGATAATAGAGGAAGAGGCAGAGGTGAGAATAGAGGACGAGGTCGAGGTGGATCTGAAGAGTCGCAAAGACAATATCAACAGCAACTGCAGCAGCAACAACAACCACCAAGACAGCAACAACAACAACCAAGACAACAGCAGCAGCAACAACCACCAAGACAACAACAGCAGCAACAACAACAACCGAGACAACCGCAAGCACCATGGCAGCAACAACAACAGCAACCGCAACAATCTCAACAACAGGTGCAACGCTCTGCCTCTGGAGACTCAGCAAGAGCATCATCTGCAACTGAAGTCCTATCAACAGAGGTTGCGAGACTAAAAATTGGTACGTATAGAAAAATATTTTTAATTTCTTCCATAATTAAAAAATCATCAATATTTAAAACTTAATTCTAAAGAAAATTTGTTTTCATTATTTTCATGAATGAAAGGACCTTCAGGAGATTCAGAAAAAAAGAAATTCGAGAAACCTGAAATTCTTCGAACTCGACCTGATCACGTGGTGGATAAAAGGGGTAATTTTTGTATTTTAAATTATTATTTAATTGGTCAAAGTCGATTAGATTTTTTCTTTGAATTAAGCTATGTATAGAAATCCCATCGATTAGGACATTCCATTAAAGAAAGAAATTAAGCATATTCTGAAGTCTTCTGTTTTTACATGCTCGCGAAGTTGCCAATTTATTTTTAATAATTAATAAATATTTATTTGAATATTATAATGTATATTTTTCTATTCATACAATGTATATTTTTTTCAGGAAAAAATTATGGCGCTCTCGTACAATTGGAGACAAATTATTTTCAGTTTAACACCAAGACAAATTGGTCGTTACATCAATACAGAGTCGATTTTTCTCCAGAGGAGGATAGAACTTTCGTTAAACGACGACTGTTTAATCGCATACCAAACACAATGTTTGTGCCTAATATCTTTGATGGATCTGTTTTAACTACGATTCATGAAATAAAGGAGGTAATACATTATTTAATAACCAAATAAAAGAATTTGATACATTTACCTAGGACTCGAACTAGGTCCGTAAATCCCTTAAAAGTCCGTAACTTTGCTTGAAGTCCGTTTTTAAAAAAAAAAAAGATCCGTAAAGTCCGTAATTCGATTCAAAAAGGATGAAAAGTTCGTAAATTGTACGATATAATTTGAATAATTTTAGAGAAATTACAAATTATTGAAATAATTGAATTCTAGTAGAATTTTCTCATAAACATTGATTTAAAAATGGATTTCAGTTAAAATTTGAGATTATAATTGAATTTTAAAAGGATTAGAGAGTAAATTTTTAGAAATAATTGAATTTTGAAAAAGTTTCAGATTAATAATTTAAATTTTGTAAAATTGAATTGAATATCTACTATTTCAATAAAATTTTTCAAAAGAATTCAATTATTTACAAATTTTTTTTTTATAAATTTCTTCACAATAATTCCATTATTTTCAAAAATAACGAAATTTTTTACAGGGATTTAATTATTTTCGTAAATAATAAAACTGATCGCAGAATTTCAATTATTTGTAATACAATTTTAATTGACTTCCTCGAAAAATGTAATTATTCTTAAAAATTTTATTAAAATTCGTCGAAAGAATTCAATTATTGAAATAAATAATAAATTTATGTACAAGGATTCTATTATTTTCATAAATAATAAAATTCTTCATCGAAATTCAATTATTATTTTTCAATCATTTTAATAAAATTCTTGGGTAAATTTCAATTATTTTTAATACAATTTTAATAGAATTCCTCGAAAAATTTCATTATCTATTCTAAAAAATTTGTTGATAAAGTTCTTAATAAGAATTCAAATTTAAGAAACATTGAACTGTTCAATGAATTATTTATTTTTGTATTTAAAGAATTGAATTTTTGTAGAATTTTCTAATAAAAATTGATTTAAAAATGAATTTCAGTAAAAAATTTTAGATAATTATCGAAATGTTAACAACATTATAACTTGAATTCTTAGAAATAATTAGATTCAATTATTTTCATAAATGATCAAATTCTTCAAAGAAATTCAATTATTTTCAAAATATTCTATAAAAATTTTTCATAAGAATCTGAATTTAATTATTTTTAGTACAATTTTAATTAAATTCCTCAAAATAATTTAATTATTTTCAAAAATTTTAATCACATTTTTCTCAAGAATTAAATTATTTTAATTATTATTTTTTTTTTAATTATTTAAATTTTTTTTTTCAAATAATACGATTTTTCACAGGAATTCAATTATTTAAAATAAAAATTGATAAAATACGTTACAAGAATAATTGAAATTTCGTAAAATTAAATATTGTAAACAAATGGATTTGAAAATTGTCAAAAAACTTTTTCGAAAATTATGAAAAACATTCGATTTAAAGAAGAATTTTAGTTAATAATTCTTGAAAATAATAATTGAATTGATGATTTTATCACTCAGTCTATATTAAATAAAACAAGAAGAAACCGATCATTCCGAGTCGAAGACTCGGAGTTATCGATATCTTCATGTTTTATAGCTGTAAAAAAATTTAATTTATAGTTTTAAGTAAAGTGTTCTCTTATTTGACTCGGACTGGTTATATTTTTGTCAGTAATTGGTCCGTAAAGTCCGTATTTTTTAAACACTTTCACTGGTTCGAGCCCTGCATTTACAATTTTCTTTCTTTTTAAGAAAAATTTAATTGTATATTCTCTTTTTGACAGTCGATGGAATTCGCTGTTACTCACACCGAAGATGAGAGTAAAGTTGTGCACATTAAAATTCGTCATGTTGCCTCATTGTTGAATAAGGCCGATTATGGCTACATTCAACTTTTCAATTTACTATCACGTCGTGCCTTGGAAAATTTGAATCTTCAATTGATCGGCAGAAATTATTTCGACCCAAAGGGAACGGTAAAAATTTTTTGCTCATATTTATTTCATACTAATTTAAGTTCATATAATTCATGTTCATTAAAAAGAAATTAGTAGTTAGAAGGTGAAAATAAAAATTTTATTGAATTTCATTTACAATTTGATCCATGAATTTCGAAAAGGGCTCAACTCTGAAAAAACTAAGTCATTTTCACATAATAATTTTTTGTAAAGAAGACGCTTACGTTTTTCATAATATTATAAGTGAGTTCTTTTCGAAATTCACCATTTAATTTCATTTTTAAAATGTTTGGAAATTTCTAAAAAGCAAATTTTTATCTTTAAATTTACAGGTGGTTGTTCCTCAATACAAATTGGAGGTATGGCCCGGATATTTGACATCGATTCGTCAACACGAACAGAGCACTCTCATGTGTGCGGAAATTGTGGGCAAAGTAATGCGACAGGAAACTGTACTTGATATTCTCTCCAATTGTCAAAGAAATAGTCGTGATTTTCAGGTATGGAATTTTTTTTTCAAAAATTACAGTGAAGCTAAAGTTTTAGACAATAAATTACCTATTAAAAGTGCTGGAAAATAATTAATTTTTTAGAATTTATAAGAAAATTCTAAATTATTGTCTTCTTTGTTTGCCTTATAAAATATGAAATTACCACGAATTCTAATTCAAAATCTTCAATTTTTTCTATTTTTCACAATAACTTCTTTTTAAATAACTTAATTCTTGAAGTTCATAAAATCATAAAATTATTATAAATTATTTAATAAATAATTTTACTTAAATATTTTAAATATTTAAAATATTTCACAATAACTTCTTTTTAAATAACTTAATTCTTGAAGTTCATAAAATCATAAAATTATTATAAATTATTTAATAAATAATTTTACTTAAATATTTAAAAGTTAATTGAATTTTAAAAGAAATGCGTTTACAATTTTCATAAATAGATGAACATCAAAAGGTTTCAATTTCAAATATTATAAAATTTGAATTTTGAGTAAATTTAACTATAGAAATTTTAAAAAACGTAGATTATAAAAAAAATAATAGAAGACTTTTTCGTCTGTTTACGTATTTTCAATCGATCAAAACGACTTTTAGCGTCTTAAATTCAACCCGAGCTCTGTAAATTATTATTGTTTTTAGAACTAATGTAAATTTAAAATGTGTGAATCAAAATTGTTATTCATTAGTAAAATTGTGTTTTTTAGCGAGATTTTAAAAATGAAGTCATTGGAACAATCGTGATGACCACGTACACAGATCGTACCTATCGAATCGATGATGTTGACTTTAATGCCTCACCTTCACACACTTTTGAAAAGGGCGGAGAAACAATAAACTACGCGACATATTTAGAACAACGATATCAAGTTAAGGGTTTGAACATGACACAACCCATGCTTGTATCAACAACAAATGCTCGACAACGAAGATCTGGAATGCCTGAATTAATTTATTTAGTTCCCCAACTGTGTCGTACTACTGGTAATTTTCTTATTTTTATTGTTAATTTTTTTTAATTTTTATTATTAATTTATAAAAAATATGATTTAATTGACTCAATTATTTTCATGATCACAGGTTTAACTGACCAAATGCGCAATAACTTCCAGTTAATGAAGGAAGTTGCAAAATATACTTGCGCGGATCCGAATGTTCGTATTGAAAAGCTATTGTCATTTAATAAGAGAATATCGCAATGCACGAAAACAACCGATCAGTGGACCCAATGGGGCCTTTCTCTTGGTACTCAATTGGTAAAGGTCAGTGGAAGACAAATGCCACCGGAGGAAATTCTTTTTGGAGGCAATGCCAAGGAAGCCACTGCCGATTGGACTCGAGCTTTGCAATCGATGAAACCAATTGTTTCACAGGGACAGCTTAACAACTGGTTTATCTTACATCCAAAGCAATCAAGATGCATTCCGGTAATTTTTTTTTTATTTACATTTATTTTATACTTAATGGTCCCAGGATTGCTACGCAACCTGGAAACCTTGAAAATTGTTTTCTAAAGTTATTGTGTTTATTCCTGAAATTTAATTTCACTTAAATATTTCAAAATTAATTCAATTTTAAAAGAATTGCGTTTACAATTTTCATAAGTAGATGAACTTTAAAAGATTTTTATTTAAAATTTTGTAAAATTTCAATTTTAAGGTATTTGTCGCGTAAATTCGTTTTCGTCAGATTTTTTTTAAATTTCACATAATTATTCTTTGGATATTTATCTACAAAATAAGGCCTATTAAAATAAAATTGACCGTCTGTAAGTCTCAAAAAATGAAATCAAAGTTTCGATTTTTAACATGTAAGGTATAGGAAAACCATATGAAAACCACAGATTTTTAATTTTTGCACTTATACTAATCGTCAGATTTTTTAGAAAAACTAAAGTTTCATTTATTGAACCAAAATGAACTTTTATAAAAAAAATGAAAATTTTTCACCGTCTTGTTTAAAAGATATTTAACGTCAAACTTGAAAAATTATTTTAACAATTACTGTAAATGACAGGTGAATTCGTAAACGTGGCAATAGCGCTTGTTAAATACTACAGCTTGTCTGCTACTTTTGGCGCGAAATTTTAAAGACGGCCATACGCCAAACTTGCGACGTTGCCACGATCGTTTTTCATGCGAGAGGTTATGAATATACATTGAGAACATCTGTATGTCAAACTGTACGTCCGCAAAAGTTTTTCGGAAACTCGCATTCATAATCGTTTCATAAGTACAGTCAACGGATACAAACTTTTGACAGTGACCAGTCGCGCGACAAATACCTTAAATGAATTTAAATAAAACAAAAATTAAAAAACTTAGATTTAAAAAAAATTTTTTAACTAAAATTCATCTGAAATTAGTTAAATTTTTCAATATATATTTAATTGATTATTAAAAATAATGGAATTTATAGAAGAATTTTAGTTAAAAACATTAAAACAAATTGAATTTTGAAGCAATTACGAATGATTACAAAAATTCAATTATTTTCAAAAGTAGTACAATTCTTCTTAGAAATTCAATTATTTTCAAAAATTTTAATAAAATTCTTGGCAAAATTTTAATTATTTTCAAAGACTTTCCTCAATTTGATGATTTTTAATAACTGCTACTTCAATAAAAATTCATAAAAGAATTCAATTAGTTAAAAAAAATTTAATAAAATTCTACGCAAACATTTAATTATTTTCATGAATAATGAAAATTTTACAGGAATTCAATTATTTACAAAGTAATTTCATATATTTTTCAATCATTTTCATAAATAATAACATTTTTTACAGAGATTCAATTATTTTCAAAAATAATAACATTTTTTACAGGGATTCAATTATTTTCATAAATAATAAAACTTAATGCTGAATTTCAATTATTTTTAATACAATTTTAATGGAATTCCTCGAAAAAAAATTATTCTTAAAAATTTTATAAAAATTTATCAAAGAAAATTATTTATTTTTTAGGTAATTACCTTTGCAACAATTTATTTATTAGAATTTAAGTATTATTTTCAATACATTTTTAATTAAATTTCTTTAAAGAATGAAAGTATTTTCAAAAATTTTAATGAAATTCTTTGCGTAATAATTCAGTGTTTTAAAAATAATTTTAATAAAATTCTTCCCAGAAATTCAATTATGTTTAAAAATTTACAAAGATTCTCGTCAACATTTCAATTATCTTTATAAATAATAAAATTTTTCTCTGAAATTCAATTATTTTCAAAACTTTTAATAAAATTCTTGGCAAAATTTCAATTATCTTGAAGAATACTAAAATTTTTCATCAAAATTCAATTATTTTCAAAATTTTTAATAAAATTCTTGTCAAAATTTCAATTATCTTGATAAATAATAAAATTCTTCTTCAAAATTCAATAGTTTTCAAAATTTTTATAAAATTCTTGGCAAAATTTCAATTATCTTGATAAATAATAAAATTCTTCAAAATTCAATAATTTTCAAAATTTTTAATAAAATTCTTGGCTTAATTTCAATTATCTTTATAAATAATAAAATTCTTGTCAAAATTTCAATTATCCTGATGAATAATAAAATTATTAGCAAAATTTCAATTATCTTGATAAATAAGAAAATTTTTCTTCAAAATTCAATAATTTTCAAATTTTTTAATAAAATTCTTGGCAAAATTTCATTTATCTTGATAAATAATAAAATTCTTCTCGAAAATTCAATTATTTTCAAAAATTTGAATAAAATTCTTGGGTAAATTTAAATTATTTTTAGTACAAATTTCATCGAATTTCTCGAAAATTGAAATTATTCTCAAAAATTGTATTAAAATTTGTCACGAGAATTCAATTATTTAAAAATTTGTTGATAAAATTTGTTATGAAAATTCAATGTTAAGAAACATTTAATTGTTTAATAAAATATTTATTTTTATTGTTAAATAATTGAATTCTCGTAGAATTTTCAAATAAATATTGATTTAAAAATGAATTTCAAATTAAAATCTTTGAAAATTCAACTTTTCATACTTTTAATGAAGAATTCTATAGAATTAATTTTCCCCAATAAGTTTAATGGAATTTTTAAAACTTATTTGAAGTTTTTAATTTTTAATATACATATATTTAATTCAAGAGTGTCAGAATAATAGAAATTTCGTAAAATTAAATTGTAAACAAAAGAATTTGATAATTCACAAAGAACTTTTTCAAAAACTATTTAAAAAAAATTGACTTAAAGAAGAATTTATTTATTGGTAAAGGAAAAAATAAATTTTGATTGTAGAGTCTACTAGATTTGCTGCTGAAAGCATCAAGGGGAATGAACTTCACAATTGGAAAACCACAATGTGTTCCATTGGAAAATGATAATCCTGTGGCGTATGTAAATATGATTGAGAATATCATGACTAAAACGGTGCCACAAATGATATTTTGTGTTGTCTCGAGTGCAGCGGCGAATCGTTATTCGGCAATTAAACAAAAGTGTTGCGTGGATCGACCAGTTCCAAGTCAAGTTATTAAGGAAGCGACAATTAACCGCAAAAATGCATTATCGATTATGACAAATGTTGTCATCCAGATGAATTGTAAAATTGGTGGAGTTCCATGGAAAGTCGCTTTACCATCTAATGACGTGATGGTCATTGGTTTTGACGTTTGTCACGATACATCGAAAAGTGGTTGGGATTATGGTAAGTTATACTTCATTTTCATTTTAAAATAAATAAATATCCAATTTTTCACAACCGGAAACAAAATTTCATCTTTTTAAATTTTGATAATTTTTTTTTATCTATTTTCTTTTCTTTGGTTAAATTTTAATTGGTTCCTTATCAAAAATACGAAAAAACCGAAAGTCTAAAAATTCAACATTTTTTCTTCTCTTTTATGGCATTTAGATTAATTATTTTTGGGCTCTTCAAAAACACTTTACCCATTTTTTTGTCTCCACCCTTTAGTAAAAAAACTACCCCTATAAAAAATACTGAAAACCGAAATTCTTAATACAATATTCATTACAAGAATTCAATTATTTTCAAAATTAATAAAATTCTTCGTAAATATTTAATTTTCGAAAGAAATCTAAAAATTTTCAAAAAAATTCTCGTCAACATTTCAATTATCTTTATAAATAGTAGCAAAATTCTTCGACAAAAATTCAATTATTTTCAGGAACTTTAATAAAATACATTGCAAAATTCAATTATTTTTTAAAAGAAATAACATTCAATTACTTTCAAAAACTCTAATAAAATTTATGGCAAAATGTCAATTATTTTCAAAAAATTTTCAATTCGTCTTAATCTAAATTTTTCTAAACTTTAATCATTTCTACCATTGAAACATTAACTCTTTTCAATTAAAATTCATTGATCAATTAAAATTTTAATTCATTCGAATTTTTATTTCCTTAAATTTCAATTTTTTTTTCTTCTTCATTAACATTAAATTATAATTGTTTCTAAAATCGAAAAAATAATTATTAAAGATTTTAATTAATTGCAAATTGAAGCAGCTCCTTAGAATTTTAAAATTACTTTGAAATTGAAAGAATTTTTATACAAATCCTTAAATTTTTTCTATTTTTAATGATGATTTATTTCAAATAATTTAATTCTGGAAATATTAAAAAATTATTACTTGTAAATTAATTAATAATTTGACTTCAAAATTTAAAAAATGATTATTTTTCAGAGAAGAATTTAATTATTAATGAAGATAATTGAATTCTTGGCAATTATTTTATAAAAATTTTTGAAAATACATCATTGAATTTATTCGAAAAATTTGATTACATTATTTAAAAATAATTGAATTTTATCGAGAAATTTTATTAAAATTGTATTAAAATTGTATTAAAAATAATTCAATTTCTGCGAAGAATTTTGTTATCAATGAAGAAAATTAAATTATTGCGAAGAATTTTAGTATATTTAAAGATAATTACATTCTTGCTAAGAATGTTATTAAAAATAATTGAATTCCAACGAAGAATTTTATTTTATTTTTTGAAAAGAATTGAATTTCTGTAAAGAATTTTGTCATTTACGACGATAATTGAATCTTTGCGAAGAATTTTATTAAAATTTAAAAAAAAATACTAGCGCAGAATTTTATTAAAATTTTTTGAAAATAATTGAATTCTTATAGAACTTTCTAATAAAAATTGTTTTAAAAATCATTTTCACAGTTTCAATTAAATTCGTCAAAAAAATCCAGGAATTAAATTATTTTCATAAATGATAAAATTCTTCAGAACAATTCAATTATTTTCAAAATTTTGTAGAAAATTAAAAAAAAATTCAATTACCTATTTTTAGTTTAATTTTAATTGAATTCCTCGAAAGAATTTAATTATTTTCAAATATTTTAATAAATTTCTTCTCGATAATTAAATTATTTTTAAAAATAATAAAATTTTCCACATGAATTCAATTATTTAAAATAAAAGTTAATTAAATTCGTTGCAAGAATTCAATTATTTTCATGAAATATAAAATTCTTCACAGGATTTCAATTATTTTTAATATAATTTTAAATCAATTCCTCAAAAAATGTAATTATTCTTAAAAATGTTAAAAATGTTAATAAAATTCTTTATATGAATTCAATTGAGGAGCAAATTTTCAAAAGCTGATAAATCCATTTTTAAAAAATTGAGATAAACATAAATTTAATATTTTAAAAACCTTACAAATCGACCTGTCACTGTTAAATGTTAGAAAAAAAGTTTATTAACAACGAATTTTCAATTCAAAAACTTTTTGACATAACCAAGATGACTTAGAATTTTTATGTTTTTTATTAGAAAAAATTACCAAAACCTTTAAATTACTTAATTATGATAGTGTTTAATTAAAAACAGAACGTCTTAAATATAAAAACATTGTTGAAAAAATAAATTAATACAAATTTTTTAATTTAAAATTAACTATAGTGGTTATGTGAGAAAAATCATTTGTTTCATTTTCTCGAAATAAGAAAATATGGATTTATCAAGTTTTCAAAACTTGCTCCTCAATTATTCTTAAAAATGTTGAGGAAGCTCTTTATGAGAATTCAATTTTAAGAAGCATTCAATCTATATTACTAATTCAATAAATTATTTAATTTTTCTTTTTTAAATTTAAATTTTGTAAAAATTATTAAAAAAATAATTGATTTAAAGAAGATTTTTAGTTAAAAATTGAATTGAAATTATAAAACATGAAGAAATTGATCATTTCGAGTCGAAGACTCGGTGTGATCGATATCTTTATGTTTTATTAATATTCTTGTAAGTTATTGAATTTCAAAAAGGTTTGAATTTGAATCTTTTGAAGAGTTTTAATTCCTATGGAAAAATAATAATGATTAAATATTTATTTAAAAAAAACAAGTTCTTGTTATTTTCGAATAATTTTCCAATTAAAGAAATTCGCAAATAAATATATCAGAACATTTTTTTGACTATCTGATAATTTTTATATTGAATCGAAATATTTTTGTTATCGTCAGGGAAAAAGTCAAAATTATGCTATTTTCTTTGTCTTAAAAAGATTATGAAAATAGTTCAATTAAAATAATTTTGTATTTTATTTTCTTGACTTTAAATTATTTTTTCTTTAGGTGCAATGATTGCTTCAATAAATGGCGATTGCACGAGATATTACAGTGCCGTGAGTGAACACAAGAAGGGCGATGAAATTTGTGACACTCTTGCCGAGCATATCAACAAAGCTTTAGAGAGTTACAAAAGATTAAATGGAAGACTTCCCGGAAGAATATTCATGTATCGAGATGGAGTTGGTGAGGGACAATTGAACGCTGTCTATAAAGTTGAAGTCGCAAGAATTCAAGGCATGATAAAAAGAGTTTATGCCGAGAACAATACTGAAGTTGGAAAATTGTCGTACATTATTGTTACCAAAAGAATAAACAGTAGGTACTTCTTGAGACAACAGAATCCAAATCCAGGAACAGTTGTCGATGATGTCATAACCGATCCGGATAAGTATGACTTTTTCATGGTTTCAGCGAAAGCCAATGTTGGCACGATTACGCCAACTTATTACAACGTCATTATTGACGAAAATAAACTACGTCCTGAGATGTTACAACGCTTTACATTCAAATTAACTCACCTTTACTTCAACACAAGTAAAACGGTGAGAGTACCAGCGCCTTGTCACTATGCACATAAATTGGCTTTCCTCGTAAGCCAATTTATTCATCAGACGCCTTCTGAGAAGTTGGCAGAATTACTGTACTTCCTTTAAGGAATTATTTCGGATTGCTCTCTTTTTTAAACATTTGTTTATTTTGTTAAAAAACAAATTTCTAGAATCTCGAAGATTTTTTTTTTACTTGCATAAATATTTTGGTAATCAGTGTTTATCGAGGATTGTTTTTTTTATTTTACTTTTCGTTGCATTTGAAAGTAATTTTATTTTACTTAAGACGGTGATTTAAAAATTGTACCGCCTACGTTTGTATTGATATACAAATTAATTTTTTTTTCTTTTTAATTTGACATTTTTGTCTTATATTTAATTGTTGCCTGAAACAATAAAAAAAATTGTGTTAATCACAAAAGAGAAAGTAGTTATCGTAGAAATAAGTTACAAAAAAAAGAAATATACAAAGATAGAAAAATACAAGTCTGAAAAAATAGTTTCGTATGGAATGCGAGACCAAAGATAATAAAATATAGTTTTGTATATTACATGTGTAAGATAATGTAAGAATTTCTTCCTATGGAGAATGTTATTTTGCAATAAAATATTTTTCTGTATTTGACTTTTTTTCTTTTAAACAAAATTTACAATTGTTAACTACACGATAATTTAAAAAACTTGAAAGAAATTCTGCACAAAATTCAATTTACTTTAATATTTTCAATTAACATTTTAAAAAAATCCTATTATTTTCAATTATATTATAAACAAATTGTTCAAATTTAACTTCTTATCAAAAGAAACTAAAAAAGTTAATTTTTCTGGAAAACGGAAAAATACTAATTTTTTTACCCATAATAAATGAAAAACAAAAGTAATAAAAAAAATGTTTCAAATTAACATTTATTCACGATTGCAGTTCAATAATACAAAGAAAAATTAGTCTAAGAAATTACTCTCAAGTTTTGAATTTGATTAAAAAGAAGAAGAAGCGCCTGAGAATTCTCGCCTAGTAGAAAATAATAACAATCGCTCAAGTAATTAAAATTTTATTTTTAAATTCACTTATTTCACTATTTATTTATTTTTCCATTTTTCTTTTTTTTTTTTTTGAAAAAGTAGTTATTTCGGGCTAAATTAATTTTAAAAGCAGGTGGGTATTTTTCAGAAACCCTTTTGTTTTAAATATTCTCATCAAAAAAATGAGAATTATAATTATGTATTGTTTTGTTAAGTACGCGAATAGAAAAACAAAAAAAATTACAAATTGACGCGATAGCTTTTTTTCGGATTAGCTGAAAAAAGTTAGTCAAGAAAAAACCACGGTTAATTAATAGTTTTTAATGACGTTAGCTAATCAATAATTATAATAGATTTTTTTTATATATAAAATTATATTAAATAAGGCTAGGTGAGCTTCTTGGCTTTCTGATAAAGAGTATCGACGACTTTTCCCATGCTGTGTATCGTGTCAAGAGCTATTTCGTAGGTTTTATCGCGAGGCGTGTCCTCGAATACGATGAGCACACCTTCGCCCTGATCCAAGACACCCTTCAATTTCTTGTCGAGAATCATTTGAGACAATTTCTTTTCAACTTGAGCGATTGGTAACGATATGCAGGTCGCTATGTGGGCCACCTGAAAATATTTTTTTTTTTGAAAATGTTAATATATTTATTTGCAAAAATTTATATATATAATAAATATTAACTATAATAATATTATTAACTATATTAATCTGATAATTCTCATTATTATTTTTCCATAGAAATTAAGATTTTCAAAAAATTCAAATTCAAATCTTTTCGAAATTAAACAACTTATGAAAAATTGTTATAAAACATGAAGAAATCAATGACTCCGAGTCTTCGACTCGGAGTTATCAGTTTCTTCATGGTTTTTAATAAATTAAAGATGACTGAGTGATAAAATCATTATTTCATATTATAAAAATATTATTACTGTAATTTACTCAAAATTATCTTAAACAATATCTCCATTATTATTTTCTAAAATTTTAAACTAAAATTCTTCTATAAATCAATTATTTTTAATAATTTTTCAAAAAGTTCTTTGAGAATTTTCAAATTAATTTGTTTACAATTCAATTTTACGAAATTTCGATTATTCAGAAATTCATCAAATAAATACCTATATATATTAGAAAATAAAAACTTCAAATAATTTTAATGAAGCTCAATTAAATTTTTTCAAAAAAATTATTTCTACAGAATTGTTAGTCGAAAGTATGAAAAATTCAGATTTTCGAAAATTTTAACTGCAAACCGTTTCATAATTCAATTTTTAATCCTATTAAAATTCAATTATTAGATATCTTAAATTTTAACTGAAATTTATTTAGAAAAATTAGAAAATTCAATTATTTAAATACAAAAAAAATAATTTATTGAATAATTGAATGTTTCTCAAAATTGAATTCTCATAAAGAATTTTATGAACAACATTTTTAAATAATTGAATTCTCTTGACAAATTTTAATAAATTTTTTTAAAATAATTACATTTTTCGTGAAGTTTGATTAAAATTGTATTAAAAATAATTAAAATCCTCAGAAGAATTTTATTATTTATAAAAATAATTGAATCCTTGAAATTCTTTTAGACCAATTTAATAAAAATTGTTTTCAAAATTCAATTATTTCTAAGAATTCGCGCTATAATTCTGTTAATATTTAATTATTATCTAAAATTTTTACTAAAATTCTTCTTTAAATCAATTATTTTTAATTTTTTTTTTTGAAAAATTCAGATTTTTAAAAATTTTAATTTGAAACTATTTCAGAATTCAATTATTTCTAAAATAATTATTATTTTGTATAATTTCATTTTTTTAGAATATAAAAAAGTTTTATAAAATGTTTTGAAAATAATTGAATTCCTCTGAAGAATTTTACCATTTCTGAAATTAATTGAATTCCTGAAATTTTTTTAGGCAGATTTATTTAAAATTGTTTTCAAAATTCAATTATTTCTAAAAATTCACGCTATATTGCTTTTAATATTCAATTATTATCTAAAATTTGAACTGAAATTCATTTTTAAATCAATTTTTATTAGAAAATTCTACGAGAATTCAATTCTTTAAATACAAAAATAAATAATTCTTTGAATAATTGAATGTTTCTTAAAATTGAATTCTTATTAAGAACTTTATCAACAAATTTTTTAGAATAATTTCATTTTTCGAGAAATTTGATTAAAACTGTATTAAAAATAATTGAAAGTTACCCAAGAATTTTATTAAAATTATTGAAAATAATTGAATTTCGGTGAAGAATTTTATTATTTATTAAAAAAATAGAATCCTTGTAGAAAAATTTATTATTTATTTAAATAATTTAATTGTTTCGACGAATTTTAATAAAATTTTTAAGAATAATTAAATTTTTCGAGGAATTCGATTAAAATTGTATTAAGAATAATTGAAATTCTGCGATCAGATTTATTATTTACGAAAATAATTGAATTCCTAAAGAGAATGGTATTATTTACGAAAATAATTAAATCCTTGTAAAAATTTTATTATTTATGCGAAAATAATTGAATTATTGCGAAGAAATTTATAGAAAATTTGTAAATAATTGTATTCTTGTGGAGAATTTGATTAAAATAGTAGATATTCAAAACCATTGAATTGAGGAAAATTTTTGAAAATAATTGAAATTTTGCTAAGAATTTTATTAAAATTTTTGAAAATAATTGAATTTCAGCGAAGAATTTTATTATTTATAAAAATAATTGAAATTTTGACGTTTATTTATTAATTTTTAAAAATAATTGAATTTCTGCCTAGAATTTTATTACTTTTGAAAATAATTGAATTTTAGCAATCATTTTGTAACCTGCAATCATTTAATTTGAAATTTCAATTTGAAACTTTATGAAGTTATTCTAATTATGAGAATTTTAAACGCAACTCTTTTAAAATTCAATTAATTTTGAAATATTTCAGTAAAATTATTCATTAAATAATTTTTAAGTAATAATTTTATGATAGTTCTTCAAGAATTAATTTACATATTTGAAAAGAAATTATTGTCAGAAATAGAAAAATTTGAAGGTTTTGTATTAGAAGTCGTGGTAATTTCCTAATTTATGAGGCAAACAAAAAAGACAATAATTCAGAATTTTCCTATGAATTTTAGAAATTTAAGTTTTTTCCAATACTTTTAATAAAAATCCCTGTCTCGTAATTAAATTAATTTTTAAATTCTATTATTTTTAAAACTGTCAATTTTATTTAAAATAAGTAAGTAAGAAGTCAATTGAATTGTTGCTAGTTTGTATATAAAAATGAAATTCCAAAATAGAATAGCGAAATTGCATGTGTAATTTTTAGCTAAATAATTAAATTTCTTATCAAAATATAATGATTTGAATAAAATTTAATAGCGATGTGTTTTTTTACCTGCACACGCGAATAAGGTTCGACGATACGACAGAGATTTTGCTCCAACATGGAATCGTATAGTGATCCAAGATGAGCGCGAACAATAACGTCCTCCTCGAGTTCCTGTCGATATTGTTTAACCGCAGCTTGAAAATCGGCTAGTGAACGCTTGTGACTAGCATCGGCGACTGCACGCATCGCGTCCAAATCCTTGCCCGCATATTTCACTGTCAATTTTCCAGACATTATTGACTGAACGTCTTCCGGTGTTCGTAACATAATTTTCGACAGTAACATATACTTCAGTGCTGTCAACGCTTTTGGACACTCCACACTGTCATATCTACAATTAGAAAAAAAAAATTAGAAATTATCAAATTATCAAAAATTCAAAATACTGTAGTTTAATTGAATTAGAATATTTCTCCTATTTATAATTAGAAAAATAATTATAAACAAAAAGACGAAGAAATAAAAAATTATCCAAATTTACCCCTCAAATGCTTCGTAGAAATAGGAATAAGCAGTCTTGAAATCTCGTTCGTCAGCTGCATGCAAAATTCCCGATTGAAGATCAAGGGCGGCTTGCATTTTTGGTGGGCAGTAAATAGCATTAGCTGTAGTTCGAGCGCTGGTTAAAGCTGCCCTGGCTTTTGATAGATTACTAAGTGCATGATAAGTTTTACTCTCGAGTAATTGAACCTCAACGAGCAATTGTTTATCATCCAATTTTTTCAGTTCCTTAAGTAGTGCCGATCCCAATTGTAATGCATCGCTGAACATTCCCGTATCGAAATAAAGTGCTATCAATCTTGCCTCCAACGATTGTCGCAAAAATGTTCTGCGCTCCTCTTTCGCCCATTCTATACATTCTTTGCACAACTGAACCTATTTTTTTTTTGTCGAAAAAAAAACAAAAATTTTACTCTAAATCAATACATTTCTAATTATAAATTATTAATTAACAACCAAAATGTTGCGCGCGCTAGTACGCGGAACGTGCTGTTCCATTTATTATTGTTATGCAAATTACAAAATTTTTTTATTTCAAATATAAATTTTTAAATAATTTCATAAACAAAATTTAAAAAATTCACTTGTTAAGTACAAAATTAATTACAATTGTTTATATTTTCAAAAATTTTAACATAATTCTTCGCAAGAATTCAATTATTTTTATATAAATAAAAACATTCTTGGGAAAAATACCATTATTTTTATTATTTTTTGCAAAAAATCAATTATTTTTAACATAATTTTAATAAAATTTTCACAAAAGAATTAAAATACTTTTTAGAATTTTAATAAATCCTTCTAAACAATTCAATTATTTTTTTAAATAGTAAAATCTTTGCAAAAATTCAATTATGTTCAATAAAATTTAGCAAAAGATTTTTAATTTTTTTTTTAATTCGTTATAAAATTTTTCAAAAGAATTCAATTATTTCCTAAAATTTTAATAAATTATTCGCAGGAATTCAATTATTTTTATAAATAGTAAATCTCTTTGCAGGCATTCAATTATTTTCAAAACAATCTTAATTAAATTCCGCAGAAGAATACAATTTAAAAAAAAATTTTAATACATTTCGAAAAATTCAATTATTTTCTAAAATCTTTAAGAAATCCTTCGAAACAATTCAATTATTTTTATTAATACCAAAATTCTTTGTAGGAATTAAATTATTTTTAATCCAATTTATATAAAATTGCACGAAAGAATTTAATTATTTTCAAAAATTTCCATTATATTCAATTTCAACGAGAATTTAGAATTCTCTAAAAATAATTTAATTATTCTCAAAATTGTTAATAAAAATTAAATTACTTTCAATGCAATTTTTAAAAATATCCGTCAAAAAAATTAAAGAAATTTAATTATTTCAAAAAAATAATAAAATTCTTCTGATGAATTCAATTATTTTTAATATACTTAATTTTAATATAAGTCTTTACAGGAATTCAATTATTTTAATTTTAAATTAATTAATTTTATTTTAAATTAATAATTTAATTATTTGACTTTAATATAATTTCTCGAAAGAATTTAATTATTTACAAATATTTCTATAAAATTCTTCAAAATAATTCAATTATTTCCTAAAAGTATAATAAATCCTTCAAAATAAAATTCAATTATTTTTATAAATATTAAAATTCAAAGCAGAAATTCAATTCTTTTTAAAACAATTTTAATAGAATTCCTCGAAAGAATTTAATTATTTTCAAATATTTACATAAAATTCATTTATTTCCTAAAATTTTAATAAATTCTTCGAACAATATTCAATTATTTTTAAAAATTTTTAATAATTGTGTTATAATTCCTCAATGAAACTCTTAAACATTTAATTTAATCGAAAATATTCAATGATTTTATAAAATTTTAATAAATCCTCCGAAACAATTCAATTATTTTTTAATTTTTAATAACATTTTTCGAAAGAATCCAATTATTTTCTAAAATTTTAATAAATCCTTCAAAACATTGCAATTATTTTTATAAGTAGTAAAATTCATCGCAAGAATTTAATTATTTACAAAGACTGTTATAAAATTTTAACAGTAAAATTATTAATTACAATTATTAACAAAATTGACTATATATTTAATAAATTAAAGAAATTTTTTAAAAGAAGACAATTATTGTTAAAATCTTTAATAGTATCTATTCTTCGAATTTAATTATTTTCTATATTTTAGTAAAATTCCTTGAATAAATTTAATTATTTTCTAAAAATTTTAATAAAATTCAATAATTAAATGTTTAATTTTGATTATTATAACACGATTATTTTAAAAACTTGAAAGAAATTGTTTATGAAATTAAATTACTTTCTAAATTTTCAATTAAAATTATTAAACAAACCCCATTATTTAAAAAAAAATTAAAAGAAATTCTTCAAAAGAATTTAATTAGGATTTATAAAAATTTTAATAAAATCTTTCTCGAAAATTCAATTATTTTCATGAATAATAAAATTCTGTGATAAGGAATTCAATTATTTTCATAAATAATAAAATTCTGCGATAAGGAATTCAATTATTCTCAAATTTTTTGACAAAAATTCTTGGCAAGAATTCAATGAAGAATTCAATGATTTTCAAAACATTAATTTTAAAATTGAAAATATTTAAAAAGAAAATTTTTTAAATAAGTTAAAAAACAAACAAAGGCAATCAACAATAAATTTCAAACTGCGAACAGATTACTGGAATACAACGATTATTAATATAGATTATTAATTATAGATAATTATAAGTAAAATAAATTCTAATTATAAATTAACGATTCAAATTATTGAATTATAAATACAAAATATGAATCTATTTTCTTTATGTTGTTGACAAGAAAACAAAGAACACAAAGAAAACGTTTAGTTTAAAAAAATTACCTCGATACCGATACCAGCTTCTAAATCGAGGAAAAAGTCGACCAAGGACCTTACGAGTTTGGCAGCTTTTGCCTTACTGATGAGACTAAGGAAGGGTCTAGTAGCTTTTATAAGATCAGCCAATTCTTTAGCCTTGCCTTCCTTTTTGTAAAGTTCTCCCAATTGCAAGATTCCTTGCTCCTTGATACGAATATTATCCTCATCATCGTCGGCGATACTTGGATCGGAAACAATTGCATTGAGCTGGTTGATACCTTCGTTTCGATTTGTCATAGACACCGCCAACATCGTTGCACCGGCCATATTTCTCTTTGAAAAAAAATACAAGCTCTATTAATAAATTCACTAAATGCAATCCAAGAAGTTATAGAAACTTTTATAAAAATGCTTTACTATTATTAAGAGTTAATATTTTCTATTGTTTTGTCACTTTCTTTCAATCACTGAGCACTCGATTTCACTCGATCGCTAGCAACTGTAAAACTCGTGTCATGCTTTGGAAAAAAATGCTGACGAAGATGAGAAAACGGAGTAAACAGTTTCAATTTCTTTGTAACGATTTTCAGTTGGGTGTAAGGGGCATCAAGACTTTGAATTCAGTCAATTTTTATCGTTTTCTACTTGATTTGAATCGAAAACAAAAAGTAATTTTTATTCTACAAACCTCGGTTAAGAAATAAAAGTCCTAGAGTGTCTATTTTTCTGTAAAACAACCCAATTTGTAAGTACTTTACCTCCTTGGACGAGAAAAACTAAACAACTTTTGTGAACATTAAGTAGAAAACACTATTTTTAGGTTAGTTTGTCAAAACACGAATTGTGATTGGTCCTTGTTGTTTGTTTCCGATTGGTGCAAAAATAGCGCTGAATTTAAATTCCCCACTCATTGATTATTAATAACAGATTAATTTTACTTTAAATTTTCAATTTTTTCCCAAAATTTACAATTTTGATTAATTTTTTAAAATATTTTAAGTCAAAAATTGTTGAAAATGTGAAATTTTGGTGAAAAAAAGTGAACAAGGTAAGACAGCTGATAAACATAATGCGCGTAATGGATGCGCATTAATTTTTTGAAGGGAAACGTCAAAAGTGACAGCAATGGAGTGGAAGACAGTTCGACCATAAATTCTCTCATATAATAAATAATCTCTCTACCTGACAGTTATTGTTACTTAGTGAAACATTTCAATAAAATTACTTGTACTTTAACGCTCAAACGTTTTCCCTTAAACAAAAACAAAAATATTTCATATTACATTGTTCCATATTTTTTTTCGCAAATAATTATGGCACTTTGCTTTTAAAATTATTGTCGTCTCGCGCCCAAGTGCCTTCTAGGCGTCGGCTATATTCCTCGGAGTTGGACTTCCGTTTGTACACTCGGATCGAACACACGTGTTATTTTTACTTGTGAAATTTTGTTCTGTTTTTCGAAATAATTCGTGCTCAGTGGTGATTAAATTGATTCTCAACCAATATTGGTTGTCTGTTGAGTCTTCATAGAGTATTTAATATTGCCTATTTTTATCTTGTGCGCTCTGTTTTAGGTTAACGCCAGCCACAGGGCTGTGCGTGTGATATCGAAGCATGGACTCGGATATGTCCGACATGCTTATTGACGGGGAGAATGATCATGAAAACATCGATCCGGAAGTGGAGAAAGCTGCGAAAGGTTTGCTTTTTATTCAAAATAACGGCAAAAACAGTAGATCGCGTCATAATTCAACGTCGTCAAATTCAGACCCCTCAGCAAAGCGCGTTTGCGATGCAAGCGATAAAATCAAGGAAAAAACCAATTCGACAAATGCGTTTAATAAAGGCGACGGAAAAATTCGAAAACCTTCGAAATACGAGAATTCAAATAAGGGTAATTGTCCGGTTTTTATTCAGCGTGATCCGAAATCACCTGATGCATCAAAAGATCTAAACCACGTGTCGGTAGGTAAGATGCTTCACACTCTTTACCCCGGTAAAATTGTAAGCATTCACCCGAGCGGTCGCGGTAAAGTTCGTGTCTTGCTAAACGGCGGTAGAGCAGCGAATCAAATCGTGTCTGACCCTTCTTTGAAATCTAAAGGCCTAATTGCCATAATTCCTTCTAGCTTTGTCACGTGTCAAGGAATTATTAACGGTATCGGAACAGACATCTCTATTGACGATATTCTCGAGAACGCGGAAATCTTGGGTCATATTAACAGAGATTGCAAAATTATCGACGCAATGAGATTCAATCGCAAAAAAATCGAAGAAGGAAAACCCACTTCCTACGAACCTTCGACTACCATCCTTCTCACTTTTCAGGGCACCACTCTCCCAGAGCGTGTTGCCATCTTTAAGGGCTCTAGCCTGGTTCGTCCATACATTCCTGACCCTCGCATGTGTCTTAAATGCCTGCGTTTTGGACACATTGCTAAACACTGCCGGTCCAAGACTAGATGCCGTGATTGCGGTAGCTTGACGCCACATGACGATGTGAATCAATGCACCAACGCATCAGGACCTCCGAAATGTGTGAACTGTAATGGCCCACACAAAGCGACTTCAAAACTATGCCCGGAATTTATCTTTCAAAAGGAAGTCCGCTATTACGCGACACTTCACAAAACCTCTTTCGATGAGGCCAAACAAATTCTGCGACCGAAGAAAAACTCGAATTTATCGGGTACCTTCGACTTCTCGAAATTTCCTGATCTAGGTGACTGCCCAACTCCTTCCACATCCCAGACTGACAATCACGATTCTCAAAGACGTACGTTCTCACAAGTATCTTCTCAAAAGAACTACACACAATCATCTTCAAAAGATCATAAATCTTCAAAAAACACGAAAAACACATCATCATCTTTTTTCGCCACCAACTGGAACAATGGCAGGTCGCAAAGTCTCCTACCCAATGGTTTTGCAATTTCCAACCCTGCAACTAGCTCTTCAACTCACACACCTCCTCCAGTTAATCCTTCTCCCCCCTTAGAATCCCTCTCCTCCTTCCTTTCTTGGTTGAACAACCATGTCACTAACCTTTCCTCCAAGTCCTCTCCTGAAACTGCTAAAAATAACCAAGCACTCTTCACAAAAATTACAGAAAGCCTCCGACTTTTACTTGAACCTACAAACCACAATCACAATAATGGACAATCTCCCTAAACTAAACATACTGCAATGGAATTGTCGTGGTGTCTTTAATAAGACACACGAAATTCACAAACTCAACAGTAAATTCGATATCCTTCTTCTCTGCGAAACATTTCTGAAACCAGATAAACGCGATAATCTTAACACTTTAAAACAGTTTAACATTATTAGATCTGACAGATCCGTAAATAAAGGTGGCGGCCTTGCTGTTGCCATCCGTAAAAATTTAACCTTTTCTAAAATTCAAACAATTTACACTCAGGAGGATGTACTTGAGACCTTAGCTGTCTCAATAGAGTCCTCTTTAGGTAAACTTTTAATAATCTCTATTTATAGAGTCCCAGGAAAGCAAACGCATGTTAACTGTTGGAAATCTCTCTTCAATTCTATTAAAAATTCAGGATTCAGATCCGTCTTCTTAGGAGGTGACTTTAATTGTCACAGTACTTTGTGGGGCGGTTCTCAGACTTGCTTTAATGGGAATAACTTATGCGATCAACTAGACACCACTGACTTCATTCTTTTAAATAACGGTTGCTTTACTCATGTAGGCCGTCCTCCGAACCCTGGTTCGGCGTTAGACCTAACTTTTGTTACCTCAGATTTATACACACTTTCTTCCTGGACTGTTCATGATGATGCATTGGGTAGTGATCACTTCCCAATTTTTACATCTCTAGGCATTTCAATACCAATTTCCACGTTTTCTTCGCATAAGTATAATCTTAAAGCGATAAAATGGCCACACTTCACAGAAAATCTTCGTTTATCAATAAACTCTAATCCTGATATTTTAAACACTTCAGACCCAATTTCTGACTATAATAATTTCACAGACCTTGTCGACAATTCAATTAACAGTATTTGTCCTCAACGTAAACCTACGCATTCAACTCAGCGTAACAATACTCTACCCAAAAGGTCCTTTGTCCCTGCGCCTTGGTGGGATAATAAATGTGAAGAAGCAATTAAAAAACGTAAATTAGCACTATCAAATTATAAAAAGTCTTCCAATTACACAAATTTTCTCGAATACAAAAAATCGGAAGCAAAAGTTAAGCGGACGATTAATGAAGCTAAACGCCAATCTTTTAAATCATTTTGTGAAACTCTTAATAGACATACTTCTCTTTCAAAAATTTGGTCAGTCATCAAAAGCTTTAAGCATCGCTTTACTCAACCACCAATAGCTTCATGCTCGGCAGATAAGGAAGTAATAAGTAAACTTCATTCCTTAATCGACGAACTCTACCCCCCAACGGTTTTCCATGAAAATTTTCCTAGCAATTTTGCTCACAGTCCCTTCTTAGAAGCTCCCTTTTCTTTAGAAGAACTTAAAATAGCAATTGCTTCAGCTAAAACCAAATCATCTCCGGGTCTCGACAAAATAGATTACAATATTATCAAACACTTCCCAGATGAAGCCCTTTCAGCCTTTTTATCAATTCTTAATAGAATCATTTGTAATTGTGTTTTTCCCCCCACATGGAATAGCTTTCTAATTTTTTTCCTTCCAAAATCAACACCTGGTAAATTCCGTCCTATCTCTTTAGCCTCCTGTCTCTTTAAAATCACAGAAAAAGTCATTTACAATAGATTAAGCTGGTATGTCGAACGTAACAAGATCCTGAGCCCATATCAATTTGGTTTTAGAAAGGGTAGATCGTGCACGGATAACCTTACATTGATTTCAACGGAAATATGGACCGGTTTAGCTGAGCATGAGTTTACAGGCGCACTCTTTCTTGATCTGAAAGGTGCCTTTCCAAGCGTAGTTCCTAACATCCTAGTCGAAGACCTACGATCAATAGGCATCCCCAAAACTATATCACACTTTATTTACAATTCTGTAAAATGCAAAAATATGTTTATAAAAGTTAATGGAGAAATAATTGGCCCTAGAACTAGCACTACCGGACTACCTCAAGGTAGCATCCTTAGTCCCATTAACTATGCTATTTACACTAGAAACCTCCATTCCTGCATTCCTCCAGATTGCATAATTTTAGAATTCGCAGATGACCTAACGGTCACTTGCCGATCCTCCAATCTGAACCAAATCATAACTTCACTTCAAACTAGTTTAAATTCACTCTCCACTTATCTGTTGGACAGAGGACTGGAAGTCTGTCCAGAAAAAACTAAGTTGGTTATTTTTGGCAACAAGAAAATCAACTTGGACGATCCCACACTCACTTTAACTTTAAATAATATTATCATCAAACCCTCACCTTCAGCTAAATACCTCGGTATTACCTTTAATCAATCCGGTTCATCCGATTCTCACTTTAGTCATTTATGCGACAAAAGTAGAAAAATTTTAAATGTCTTAAAGGTACTCAGAGGCACATGGTGGGGAGCGGACCCCAAACTGTTGCTTCAGATTTTTGACTCCTTAATTAGAAGTGGATTTGATTTTGGATCTGCTTCTTTCAACTTTAAATCTCATAAAAATTTTTCTCGTCTTGAAAAAATCCGCAACCAAGCTCTTCGACTAGCCGTAGGCTATAGAAATAGCACCCCAATCAACGTAATGCAGGCTGAATGTTGTGAACCCCCCTTAAGATCTAGATTTAATTTTCTCGCAAAGAAGTACCTTTGTAGAACTTTCTCTAATTCAAACCACCCTTTACCGGACAGACTCTCAGAACTTTCGCGCCTCATTCATAACTCGAATGTTAAATATAATTATCCTCTCTTAATTGCTTTTGAAAAAGCGAAAAATTACAGCGAACTCATTAGAAGTAATGACATCGATCCTTACTTCGAATTCCTCTATGAAGATCATATATTCACTCCCCAAATCTGTTTCGATTTGGGACAATCACTTAAAAACTCCCCTAATCCCTCAAATCTATTCAAAGATCTAACTAACCACAAATTCCCTAACAACACGTACTTTTTCACTGACGGCTCTAAGTCGGAAAGGGATCGTTTAGCAGGTTGTTCCTTTGTTTCTCCAACATTAAATATTTTCTCTAAAATTAAAATTTCTCACCATGCAACTATTTTTTCTCTTGAAGCATTTGCTATCTTATTTACTCTTGATTACATAATTGATTCTAATCTTACTAACACAATCATCTTCTCAGACTCACTTAGTGTTCTTCAAAATTTAAACTCTAAATGCACATATAAAATCAAATCCTACATCATTTTTGCGATTAGAAATCGCCTTAAAATCCTTTCTGATTTGAATCGACCGACAATATTGGCCTGGGTTCCTGGTCACTCGGGAATCGAGGGCAACGAATTGGCTGATGAAGCGGCAAAGGAAGCGTGTTCGAATCCTAATGAATTAGACATACAACTCCCATTTTCAGATTTTTATACCCACGCACGCAAACAGCTTGACGACAGCTGTAATTCTTTTTACATCGACGTTGGTAAAAATAAAGGTGTCCACTACACACAACTTTATTACAAACCCCAAAGAAAACCGTGGTTCGCGAATTTTGTGGCTCGTAGAGCGTGGATTGTTTCGCTATGCCGTGCGCGATCGAATCATTATAATTTAGGTTCTAGCTTAGCCAGGAAAAATTATATCCTCTCCGGTGACTGCTCTTGCAGTCCGGGAGTAGAGGAAGATCTTGATCACATCCTCTGGGCATGCCCCAGATTTGACGCGTTTCGCCCAAAACTTCTCAAAGCACTATCAAGAGCTCTGAAGTGCCCCCCACCCTTTTGTAGTTACCAATTTCTAATCAACCCCTCTCCTAGAATAGTTTACCATATCTTCAGATTTTTAAAACGAGCCAACATCCAGATTTAAATACTCTACGCGCTGACTTGCTCCCGCGGGCGCGATCAGGGGTTCTCGTGCCCCCTGGTTGCGCACGCGGGAGCAGGTTGGCGTTCGTGCCACCGTTCTTTTGTTCACAGATTCAACATTAAGCTCCACTCATATACCTGGTCATGGCCGAATATACACAGCGCAACGCTAGTATAGTGCCAATGTTAAATTCTACTACTACTACTACTACTTCCTCGGAGTTGTCGAGTCAACTTTTTCTCTCAACGACTCCCAAACAACATATTTTCTCCATCGTGAAATATGTAAGATTTTTGTTTCGCACATTTATTCCCTTGGGCGAAAAAAACATTGAAAGTGTTTTTTTTCTTCTTCCCGAAACGAATAGGTTATGCTTACAAGAGCAGCAGTCACTCTTCTCATCACGACGTTTAAGAATGAGTGGAACGACGTAAAAAGCGGCAGTTCGGAAATCGAGCAGTCGTGTTTGACCATAACGAAAGGAAATTGTAAATTATTTAAAGGTAAATAAATGCCCATTGAGAATGAAGCCATATATAGGAGAAAATTTATGCCAAGTGATTTAGTGCATTTGTTATATGCGATGATATAGTGTTTCTGGTGTTCTCTCCGAGAGTGAATCTAATTTGTCGCGCGGAGTGTTGGACTTCTGTACATTAACCTAGTTTTCCTGTGCGGGGGGCATGGACCCCCCAAGGTCTTCTCGTTAATCTCATTTGTATACCGTATTTGTCGATCCACGCCTCTTCATTCTTTATTCTTTTTGTATTGAAAGTGCCAAATGTTTAAGTGAGAGGAAATCCATTTTTGTTGCTTTATTTTAGCAAGGATACATTTTGCGATTAGATATAAATATTTGCAGCATTTGCAGTGTATTTCTCTGACTCATTGTGACTCATATGTGTGTGTGAGTGTTTGTATTTTAGTGCCGGAATTGTGACATGTTTTCTATTTTTTTTTTCATGACAAAAGACTTCTTTTTTCTAATTTAAGATAAATGTTTATAATATTAATTGTGTTGTGATTGCAGGAGTATTTATTAAAGAAAAATGCCTGCTCCACCGCCTCCGCCACCACCAGGATTTAGCTTAACGAATTCTGCTGCATCCGGGGAACAGGGCAGAAATCAATTGCTCCAATCAATCAGGGCTGGAAGAACATTGAAAAAAACTGTCACTAATGATAAGAGTGCTCCTGCAATTGGTGGTATTACTTTTACTTTCATTATTTTGAATTTCTTATAATTTCTTTTTTTATTTCTTTTAATTTCTTTTAAATTCTTTTTTTATTTCTTTCTATTTCCTCAAGTTTTTTAACTGTTCTTTTTTTTCGTTTAAAGAAAACTTGTTTTAGAATGTAGTTTCTGTGTATAAATGGCATTGTTAACAAAATTCCTTTTGATTAGCTGTTTTGTTTATCAATTCGTTAAATGTATGTGTGCGATGAAAGGTCGCATGCAATATTTACAGAAAAAACGTAAACATGTTTCTAATCACATTTCATAATTTTTGTTTTCAAATACGAAGACAATTCTCATTTTTTTTTTTTTCATAATAATATTGCAAATTATAAAATATTGTCGATTATTTTGTAAATATTGCAAGAAATTTATATCGTTAAATATAGGGTTTGCTACAGGTCAGGGACTTTAAGGAAAAGTCAGGAATTTTTATTAAACTGAAAAAATTAAATTTTTAGAATTCATAAGAAAATTCTGAATTTTTGTGTCTTTTTTTGTTTGACTCATAAACTATGAAATTACCACGAATTCTAATACAAAAAAGAGTTTTTTAATAATATATTTAATTAAATGTCAAAAATAACTGATTAATTAAAGAATATTAGTTAAAAACAATAAGAAAAATTGAATTTTAGATAAATTATAGGAATGATTGAAGAAATTCAATTATTTTCAACAGTAACAAAATTCTTCACAGAAATTCAATTATTTTCAAAAATTTTAATAAAATTCTTGGCAAAATTTCAATTATCTTGATAAATAATAAAATTCTTCTTCAAAATTCAATTATTTTCAAAAATAATACAATTATCCACAGGAATTCAATTATTTCAATAAATAATAAAAAATCTTCGTTAAAATTGAATTATATTCAAAAATTTCAATAAAATTCTTCACAAGAATTCAATTATTTTCAATATAATTTAAATTACATTCTTCGCAAAAATTCAATTATTTTCTTATTATATAATTTTTCGCAGGAATTCAATTATAATCAACAATTTTAATTAAATTATTCGTTCGAATTCAATTATTTCAATAAGTAATAAAAATCTCCATTAAAATTGAATTATATTCAAAAATTTAATTAGTTTCATAAATAATACAATTGTTTGCAAGAATACAGTTATATTCAATAATTTATTTAATAATAATAAGTAACAAAATTATTCACAGAAATTCAATTATTTTCAAAAATTTTAATACAATTTGTGGCAAAATTTCAATTATCATAAAAAATAATAAAATTCTACTCCAAAATTCAATTATTTTCAAAAATTTTAATAAAATTCTTTTTCAAAATTCAATTATTTTCAAAAGTTTTAATTAAATTTTTGTCAAGATTTCAATTATCTTGAAAAACATCTTTTTAAATTTTTTATTATTATAAACAATAAAAATGTTTTAGGAAATCAATTATTTACAAATTTTTTTATAAATTTCTTTGCAATAATTTAATTATTTTCTTAAATAATAGAATTTTTACAGGGATTCTATTATTTTCGTAAATAATAATAAAAATTAATAATAATAATAATAATAAAAATAATAATAATAATTAACTTATAGCAGAATTTCAATTATTTTTAATATAATTTTAATGTAATTGTTTGAAAAATGTAATTATACTTTAAAAGTTTATTAAAATTGGTCAAAGGAATTTTATTATTTAAGAATTTATTGATAAATTTCTTTATGAGAATTCAATTTCAAGAAACATTCAATTATTGAATAAATTAGTTATTTTTGTATTTAAATGATTAAATTCTCTTAAATGAATTTTAGTTGTAAAATTGAATTGAAAAACAAATCGATTTTAAAATTCTCAAAGAATTTTCAAAAATAGTTGATTTAAAAAAGAATTTCAGTTAAAAATTCTGAAAAATAGTTATTGAATTGAAATGATGAAAATAATTTTAAAAAAAGTTACAGTAACAATATTCTTATAACAAAAAATAATGATTTTATCACTCAGTCATCTTTTATTATTATAAAACATGATTTTGAATTTTTTTAAAATCTTAATTTCTATGGAAAAATAATAATGATTAAATAGTAATTTAAAAAAAGAAGTTATTGTTGTTTTCGAATAATTTTTCAAAATTAAAGAAATTCTTTAAGAAATGTGATGAAATATTCTTTTTAATTGAAGTTTAAGTGACAAATTATAATTTTAAATTACAATTTGAATTACAATTAGAAAATAAAATTAGAATTACAATTTTTCAATTAATTATTTTATTGTAGTCGAATAAATGGAGAAATATTCGCATAATTAAATTCTCTGTTTAAAATCTGTGTTACTTTCTGCAATAATAAAAACAATGCTACTTATGAAGCTCATAAAGTTAATCCAATAATAAATGGTGCTCCACATATTCGCTTATTGAATTTCATATGGAATATTTTATGGTTTAATGTGATTTTCGTAAAATGTTTTATTTATAATTGTTTAAACTATAAATTTAATTAAAGTGAACTTCTTTCTATGTTTTATATTATTTTTCTTTTCTATTTTTTTCTTTTTTCATTTCTTTTCTTTTCGTTTTTCTTTCTTATTTTCATTTCTTTTTTATTTTCTTTTTTCGATCTTATTTTCATTTATTTTTTCTTTTTTTTTTTCTTATTTTCATTTCTTTTTTATTCTTTTCTTTTTTCTTTTCTGTTTTTTCTATTTTTACTTTCTTTCTTTATTTTTCGTTTCTACATTAAATAATTTTTCGTATTATACCATTTTTTCTCTAGTTTTATATTTTTTAATTTTATTTTATATTTATCTTGATTAACTAATTTTTGAATTATTTGTGCACAGGGAAAGTGAAAGTAGGAAATTCAAATTTATCAAGCACTGGAGGAAACAATAATTCGAGTTCAAATGTGTCGAATAGCATCAGCAGCGGTAGCATTAGCAATGGAAGTCCAGCGGGACTTGGTGGCCTTTTCGCTGGAGGAATGCCAAAATTAAAACCCACTGGACTCAGGGGAAATTTAGAGGAGAGAAGCAATGGGAACAGTGTAAATAATACTAGTAGCAATCATCAGGCTCATAGCACTCATACAATTCCAAGTGTGAAACGAGGTCCTCCACCTGTACCACCGCCAATCACGCAGAAACCACAGGTTGGAGAAAAATTCTTCTCTCTTATTATTTTTTCTTTATACATGTATAAAAATCATGAATCACTTCTCAGTCAATAATTTATTATCGTGATTCACTTATTCTATCTCCTTGTCAATACAATAATAATTAATCACTTCTATCTTATCTAATAACTCGCACAATCATTTTTTTTCTCTCAATATTGTTCTTTTTTTGTAAAATAATAATTTTACAAAAATAGAACAATATTGAGAGAGAAAAAAAATGATTGTATGATTTGTTATTTTTTAAATAGAAGAAGAATTTATTATTGTACACGAAACATCTTCTTCTGTAATATACTAATCGTTGTATTTCGGTAATCTGTTTTTCAGTTTAAAGTTAGTTGCTGTTTGTTTTCTTGTTTCCTAATTTTTTAAATAATTTCTCCTTTTAAATGATTAACATTTTAATTTTAAACTTTATGTACTGGAAATCATTCTATTCTTCTAAAGTATTTATAAAAAAAATTTTGAAAATAATTGAATTTTATGAAGAATTTAATTATTTTTAATAATTAAAATTTTTTTAGTCAATTTATAAATAATAAAAATCTTCGTAAAATTTCAATTATTTTTATATAAATAACAAAATTCTTATCAGGATTTCACTTATTTTCAATAACATTTTAATTAATTTCTTGAAAAATTTCAATTATTTTTAAAAATTCTTCGAGAAAATGCAATTATATAAAAAAATAATTTAATTTTTCACAAGAGTTCAATTATTAAAAAAACTTTAAATAAAATCCAATTCAATTATTTTTAAAAATAATGAAATTTTCGCTGGAATTCAATTATATTAATATACAATTCTTCGAAAGAATTCAATAATATCAATAAATAGTAAATTTTTCACAGTAATTCAATTATTTTAAATGATTTTTATTAAAATTCTTTAAAATAATTGAATTGTTTTGAAGAATTTATTTCAACATTCTTGAAAATAATTAAATTTTTTTTAATAATTTCTACAAAAAATTTTCAAAATAATTGAATTTTAAGAAGAATTTCTTTTAAGTAGTTAAAATAATCGTGTTTATTATTTATTGTAATTAACGATTTTCCTATTTAATTATATTAAAATTATTCATAGAGAATTAAATTCTTTTAGAAAATTTTATTAGAGTTTTTGTAAATAATTCAATTTTTTTTTTTTTAAAGAATTTCATTAAATTTCGTAAAAATAATGTAATTTTTTAAAATAATTGAAATTTGCAAAGAATTTTATTAAAATCTTTTGAGAACAATTGAATTGGTTAGAAAAATTTTATTACAATTTTTAAAAATAATTTAATCTAGTTAGAGAAATTTTATTAAAATTATCTTATTGAATTTTTTTCTAGAAATTTTATTAAAATTAGGTTGAAAATAATTGAATTTCTCAGAAAAATTTTGTTATTTCAAAAATAATTGAATTCTTGACAAGAATTTTACAATATATAAAAATGATTGAATTTTTTATCAGAATTGTTAAAAATAATTGAATTTTTTTTTAAACTCTTGAAAATAAATGAATTTAAATAATATTTTTATAAATAATTGTATTCTTTCGGAAAATTTTATTAAAATTGTATTAAAAATAATTGAATTCCTCCGAAACATTTTATTATTTATGAAAATATGTAATTGAATTCATTTGTAGAATTTTATTATTTATGAAAATATTTTAATTCTTACGAAGATTTATCTTATTTATGAAAATAATTGAATTCTTGTTGAGAATTTTACAATTCATAATAATAATTGAATTGATTCGAAGAATTTTTTTTGAATCTTTGAAAATAACTGAATTTTATGAAGGAATTTTATTAAGAATTTTGAAAATAATGATTTTTTTAAAGGAATTTCATCAAAATTGTCGGAAATAATTGAATTTATATTAAAATTCACAAAAATAATCGAATTTAGTTAATATTTTTAAAAATAATTGTATTCTTTCGGAAAATTTTATTAAAATTATAGTGAAAATAATTGAATTGCTCTAAAGAATTTTATTATTCATGAAAATAATGAAATTCTTGCGACAAATTTTATTAAAATTTTTGAATAATAATAAACAAAAATATTTAATATTATGTACTTAATAAATGCATTCTAATTTTAAATCTGTTATAATTCAAAGATTTGATGTTTATTCTTGAAATTATAAATTTTTTTAATTTTCTGTCAACTTTTATTCCACAAAATTTATTTTGGAGACCGTAAAATTCAAGTTTTGTGTAATTTCTGTCAACTTTTGCTTCTTATAGAGAAAATGTTATAATAAAACTTACTTCGGAAACAGTAAAATTTATTAATAAAACAGCAAATTTAAATTTAACGTATTAAAATGAATTGGTATTAAATATTTTAGAATAGAAAATGATTTAAATTATTTCTGATGTCTTTTCAACTAAATGGACTTCAAAAGAAAAAAACATTATTTAAAAATAAAAAAATTATTGCTTCCTTCGCTATTTTTTCAAGAACTGATAAATATTCTTTTAATTTCAGTTGAACACGGATTCGTCGTCGACGACAACAATCACGAGTAATGCGGAGGGTCACCAAAAGGGTTTCGGTAAATTGAGTCATGCGCCGAGACCACCACCGCCAACGGTTGCGGCCCCAAAGAAACCATCGCCACCGCCGAAAAAATTGGGTCTCACGGCGGGAACAGTGGCGAGGGCGCAAAGTATGCGACTACCACGTTCGCCACCGGTGTTGGCGCCAAACCCCTCATCCCTACATCAGTCGCAGGACTGTCTCAATGTCACGGAAATGCAGCAGAGACGAATATTGCGACCGCCAGTTGTTAGACCGCCATCGCCACCAATTTCGAGGGCGAGCAGTACAACAACAATAACGCGAGCAGCACCACCGCCACCGTCGCGTGTTCCCGTCACGGCGCCAAGTATACCGCCACCACCGCCTCCACTTCCACATCGCGTCGGTCAAACGCACCAGAGGATAGCGCCACCGCCACCCCCAACACCTCCCACGAGAGGCTCATCAATTAAAAATGGTCAACCAATTTCCATTGATTTAGAAGCGAGGTTCGGCAATCTATTTCACTCGATTGCCGAGTTTCCGTCACCCGAACCCTTTACCAGATGTCCCAAGGTCTACAATAGTAAATTAGTCGGTGAGGACAAAATGCAAAGCCTTCGGCAATCTTTAATTAATCTCACACTTAAACGTCATTCTTCTACTTTCGATGTTTAATGCAAAAAATTTACCATTATTTGCTCTCTTTTTTTTCTTTCTCTCTCTCACACACACTCTCTTTTTGCACTAATTTTTTCATAATGTTATGGATTTATTCTTTTCTTCGCATGTTGTGCACGATAATTTTGTATTCAAATAACATTATTCATACATTTTCCGAGAGTAATTTTAGTTTAGCTGATTATGAAAATAGTTCTTCGGCATGTCTTCATGGAGAAAATATTAGGAAATTTTTATTATATTTTTGTAGCAAAATTCAAATTTTGGGGAATTTCTGTCAACTTCCACAATTTACAGAGTAAATTTTAAGAAAATTTATTTTGAAAATAGTTAAAGTTTAATGTTTTGGAATTTCTGTCGACTTTTACTATTTGTAGAGAAAATTTCCACAAAATTTACTTTGGAAATTGTAAATAGGCCATTGCGAAATATTTAAATAGCAATTTATTCTTCCACAGGAATTAAATTGTTTCTAATTATTTCAATGTAAAGCCTTTTCGAAATTTAACTATTTCTAAAAATTGCAACTGTAATTCTTTCAAAATTCAAACATTTTTTCGTTGAAATTTTTAAATAAAATTATTCAAATCTTTAATCATTTTAATTCAAAATAAAAATTTAAATATGATTACAATTTTATGATAATTAAAATTTTCAAAGATTTTAATTTAAAACCTTTTTGAAATTCAATTATTTGCAAAAATTCACGTTATGTTTTTAATATTCAATTATTATCTAAAATTTTAACTGAAATTCAATTTTAAATCAATTCTTATTAGAAAGTTCTACGAGAATTCAATTATTCAAATACAAAAATAAATAATTTATTAAATAATCGAATATTTCTAAATATTTCATTCTTATTATTTGAAAATAATTATTAACTTCTAATAAACAAATTATATTACATAAATAATCTAATTCTTTGGAAGAATTTTAATAGAATTTTTAAGAATAATTGCATTTTTGTCGAGGAATTTATAATTGTATTTAAAATAATTGAATTCTTGCAACGAATTTTATTAATATTTATAAAAATAATTGAATTCCTGCGAAGAATTTTATTATTTATAAAAATAATTGAATTCTTGTGAAGTAGTTTATCAAATTATTTTTAAATAATTAAATTCATTTGGAAAATTTTTTATTAAAATAGTAGATAATGAAAATTGAATTTCGAAAAATTTCTGAAAATAATTGAATTTTTTGAAAGAATTTTATTAAAAATTTTGAGAACAATTTGTTTATTCCAGCTATTAACGAATAATTTAATTCTCAACAAATTTAATGCAAAATCTTTAAGTATAAATTTGAAAACATTTATTTAACAAAATTATTCAAGTGTTGAATAATTGAATTGAAAAGTCAGGGGAATAAAAAATTTAATTTTTGTAATGAGACTGAATTAAATAAACAATTATTTCGACTTTTTTTGCAATTTAAAGTTCATCCGAGGCCTGAAAGTATTACATTGAAATCAAATTAAATATTTTAAAATAGAAAACTTTTCACTTAAATGTATTGTGGATGTAGTAAAATTCAATAAATTAAATAGTAATATTTTTGTAGATTTAATGGTATTAATTATTATAATCAAAATAAGCATTAAGTATGCAGAAATAAATCAAACTTACTCTAGAAATAGTAGAAGTCACGATGGGAAATGTACAGAAATTTCCTAAAGTTTAGCTTTTCTACAAAAAATACTAAAAATTAGTTTCTTCGTTTTTTTCTTATTCTTATACAATAGGGAAAAATTGAAATTCTTTTTCTTTTAAAGTAATCTTTTTTAGTAATCGTCTTGGCTTCTTTACGGTCACTCCTGAGAATTTTCTCCTTTTTTTCCTTATTTTATTTTCTTTTGTAAATTGATATATTTTCCTCTAGACTTTCTCAATAATAATTATTGGTTCTCTTGATTTGTCAATAATTTGCGCATTTATTGGTTTTATGAAATATTTTCTTCTTTATATGAATTCTGCCGATTATGTCATTTTGCAGTTTATGAATTATGATTTTTATTCATTCTTGTTTTCCAGATATCAGAGATGGCACTTAATTTAATTTTCTTTTTGGAACTTTTTGCGGAGCAATTTATTTATATATTATTTTATTTTAACTTTATAAAAGTATTTTTGTAATTAAATATCCATAGAAATTAAGACAACTATATGTATAATTTTTTTTCATTACCTTTAAATTGAAATTCTCGTCCATTTTTTGTGATAATTCAATTTTTTTCGTTATTCGATTCTCCAATTTATTTTTTATTTTATTTTATCTTTAATTTTTGTGAATTTTTATTTTTTATTTGAATTTATTTTTAATTTTCGTGTGTTTTTATCTTTTATTTTCAATTTTTGTAAATTTGCAAATTTTATTTAAATTCATTTTTAATTTTCGTGAATATTAAAATTTTTTAATTTCATTTAAATTTATTTTTATTGGTTTGCAGTTAAATTTTTAATTTTTGTAAATATTTAACCTTTAGGTATTTGAATTGATTTCCAATTTTTATAAACTTGTAAATTGTATTTAAATTTATTTTTAATTTTCGTGAATATTCAAATTTTGTTTGAATTTATTTTTATTGGTTTGTAACTAAAATTCACTTTTAATTTTGTAAATTTGCAAATTTTATTTAAATTCATTCTCATATTTCGTTAATATTCAAATTTTTCAATTTTATTTAAATTTATTTTTATTAGTTCATATAAAAAATTTTGCTTTTTTTAAATTCTATTTCGAAAATATTTTTCAACTCGTTAAATGTTTAAAAAAAATTTGAGAAAGGTTTATTTTTTGGCATTATTTTAATTAGAATTTTGTCGATTTGGAAAATTAATTTTTTGGATGAAAATAATGGAGATATTTTGTCTCGAGAAAAATCATTTGGCACGCTTTGGTTGCATCTTCAGCTGCTTAATTAAAAAAAACACTCCACCCTCTTCTGTGCATATACTAAAAAAATTTAATTCCATTCTGCGCTTCGATCGCATGGGATTTTTTTTCTCAAAATGACGATAAGTTTTTTTTTTGCATACAGCATGGTTACTTATCTCTTGGTGTTAATTGAATGGTTGCAAAAAAAGAAATTTCTGGTTAAATGAGATGTTTTGAAAAATTACAGCATCCAAGCAACAAGCTCCACCACCACCGCAACGATCGGCGGCACCTGCCCCCAGTTCGATGGCCCAATTAAAATCATCATCTGGGGGTAAACAGTGGCAGCAGAATGCGGCTTCATCAGCATGTTGAGAGAGAGAGAGAGAGAAAAAAAAGAGAGAGACCCAATTTTTAATCTACGTGATATCTCGTTCTTTATTTATGAGTCGCCTAGTTAGCTTATAATTATAAATAATGTTCTTAAAACATTGCCAAATTTTAAGAAAATTGAGTAACAAAGAATACGGAGTAAGAAATATAAGGACCTAGGCGTCAAAGTTTCAACTAACTATAGTTAGAAAACTTTCCTTCCTCGTTGTTAAAAAAAAACGAAAAAAACAAGAAAAAAAATATTTATCCCCTTTTCAATTTTTAAATGCATATCTTCGTCATTTTATCCATATCAAAATTCAATTTTCTGTATAGAAGACAATTTTTTATTTATAAAATCTAATTTATTAGTTGAGGAGTGTTGGAGAAACGTTTTATTTCCTAACGATTCATTTTTTGGAAAAGTTTTCTTTTCGACAAAAGAAATTCTAAAAGGAAACAAGAAAGCAGAGGAACAAAGAAGAAAAGGAAAAATGAGTCGATTTTTCCTCCTCATTTAGAGAAAATAAGAAAAAAAAGGTAAAAAAAGTCTTTTGGACGAGGGAAAATAGTTTTCTTTCCTATGTTATAAGGACAGACCTATATTGTTATGCACACGGTGCACTGAAATGGAAGATTTACTTTATACAAGATGTGAAAGATGATGATGCACGTTAGCATTTCGATAAAGACAGAAACTTTACCTTTTTTAACATAATTTTTTTTTTTGTCTTTATTTAAATAGTATTAATCAAAATTCTCGGGAAATGAGAAATTCAATGAAATTGCCAAAAGACAATTTTTAAAAAAAAGTCGTTCTGTTTTTAAAAAGTATTAACACTATATGAAACGTATTCATAATTTTTTTTTGTGTTAATTATCTTTTTTTTATCGTTTAACAATATATTTTATTTTTAATCTTTAGTTTCGATTTTTTAATTATATGCTCCTATTTTTTTCCTGTCTTACATGTTTTAATGTAATTCGAAAGACACGATTCGAGCGTGTGTGCATAATCTTGTAATATTGTTGAAAATATAATACATTATATAATTTTACTTGTTCTTCCTTTTCATTTTTCGATTATTTATTCCTATTTACAAAAAAATGAATATTCGTATCTTTGAAAATTTTAAAGTCGACTCATAGTTTGAATTTTTAATCACAATCTAGGTGGTAAAGAAATACAACATGACGAAAATTTAACAATTATGTTTTTATTTTTATTAAATAAGACGTGGTCAACAGTAATATGATAATTATTCATTCCAGTTTTTTTTTGTCGTAATTAAAATTAAATTGATTCCATTAATCGAAATCATTTTGAAAATTTACTAATTGATTAACAATTTAAAGCACATTTAATTACATAGCTAAATTATATTCTACATCTCCAATTCCTTTTCTATAATTTTACGATATTCGTCAAATCCGCCTTCTATACATTTCACTGATCCACCTCCGCAGACCCAAAGTTCTTTACACACCATTCGAATCAACCTCTCGTCGTGGGAGACTAATATTACACCAGCCTGGCGAATAAAATTATTTTCATGAATAATTTTATAATTATAATTATATTAATTTATAAATAATATAAATTATCGAGTGCAAAGACTGAACTTAGAAAAATTAGAAAATAAATTATTGAAGCAAAATTAAAAAATAAATAAAAATTAAATTACTAAATTAGGAAAGCAGGATTGCCACAGGTCAGAAAAATCAGGGCATTCAGGGAAAGTAGAATTGGTCAGGGAAATCAGGGAAAAGAAAAAGATTTTTATTAAAGTTCTGGAAAAAATTAAATTTGCAGAATTCTTAATTAGTTTTCTTTAATTTTTTAATATATATTTAATTAATTATTAAAAATCATGGACTTATAGAAGAATTTTAGTTAAAAACACCAAAAAAATATTGAATTTTCGGGAAGTTACAAATGTTTGCAGAAATTCAATTATGTTCAAAAAATTTTTTTAAATTCTCATCAAAATTTCAATTATCTTTAAAAATAATAAAATTCTTCTTCAAAATTCAATTATTTTCATAAACAATAAAAATTTCACAGGAATTCAACTATTTACAACTATTTTATAAAAATTTCTTTGCAATAATTCAATTATTTTCATAAATAATACATTTTTTTTACCGAGATTCAATTATTTTCATGAACAATAAAACTCGTTATAGAATTTCAATTAATTTTAATACAATTTTAACCGAATTCCTCGAAAAATGTAATTATTCTTGAAATTTTTATTAAAATTCGTCGAAAGAAATCAATTATTTAAAAATTTGTTGATAAAATTCTGTATAAGAATTAAATTTTGAAAAACATTCAATTATTAAATAAATTATTTATTTTTGTATTTAAATAATTGAATTTTAGTAGAATTTTCTAATAAAAATTGATTTAAACATAAATTTTAGTTAAAAATACTAAACAAAATTGAATCTTAGGGAAAAGTTACAAATGATTTATAGCATGAATTTTTAGAAATAATTGTATTTTAAAAAGTTTAATTGAATTTTTTTGAAATTATTTCAAGTTTTTTATTTTCTAATTATTTAATTGAAGAATTGTCTGAATAATCAAAATTCGTAAAATTGAATTGTAAATGAATTTAAAAATTCTTTAGAAACTTTTGCAAAAATTATTAAAAATAATTGATAATTGTTAAATTATTTCCTTCGAAGAATTTTAATAGAATTTTTTTAAATTAATTATAGTTTTCAAAGAATTTACTTTAAATTGTATGAAAAATAATTGAAATCCTGCGAAGAATATTATTATTTATGAAAATAATTAAATTCATGCAATGAATTTTTATTACATTTTTTTTAAAATAATTGAAATCCAGTGAAGAATATTATTATTTATAAAAATAATTAAATTTATGCAATGAATTTTTATTACATTTTTTTAAATAATTGAATTCTTTTGAGAATTTTTATTGAAATAGTAAATTTTGAAAATATTTGAATTTCAGCGAAGAATTTCATTATTTGTGAAATGTAATTGAATTCTTGCAAAAAATGTTTGAAAATAATTACATTTTTCGATGAATTTATTTAAAAGTGTATTAAAAATAATTTAAATCCTTAGGAAAAATTTTATTATTCACGATAATAATTGAATTCTTACAACGAATTTTATTACATTTTTTTAAATAATTGAATTGATGTGAAAAATTGTATTTCTTATAAAAATAATTGAATTCTTGCGAAGGAATTTTATTAAAATTCTTGTAAATAATTTAATTTTTTTAAAAAATTTTTTGAAAGCTTAAATTATTATTATATAAAACATGAAGACAGCGATAACTCCGAGTCGAAGACTCGGAGTGCTCGATATCTTCATGTTTTATAATAAATATTCTTCAAAGTTATTGAATTTCAAAAGATTTAAATTTGAATTTTTTGATAATCTTAATTCCTATGGAAAATTTAATAATGATTAAATATTTATTTTTAAAGAAGTTGGTGATGTTTTTGAATGATTTTGTAATTGAAGAATTTCGTAAATGAATGTAGTAAAACATTTTTTTGAGATTCTTATAATTTTTAGAGTGAATCAGAATATCCTTTAGGGTCAGGGAAAAGGTCAAAATTTTGTCTAGAAATCAGGGAAAAACAAAATCAATTTTTTGTGGCTACCCTATAAAGCTTTACTAATTAAAAATTATTAAATTACTTGTAATACATTAAATTATTAGAACAAAATTAGAAATTAAATTATCAAAACAAAATTAGAAAGATTGTAAAAGAAAAAAAATTTGATAGAAAATGATAAAAAATTAATTCTAAATAGAGACGAAAGCGTAGTGATTGAGAATTTAAAGAGAAATTTCTAAATTAAAATAAAACTTACTTGACAGGCGTTAAGAGCTTTTCCCAAAGCTTCGATTGACTCAATATCGAGATGATTGGTCGGTTCGTCGAGAACCAAAAAATTAGGCATCGCGGCGCACATTAATGCAAAAGCAACTCTCGATTTTTGTCCTCCCGAGAGAGAATTAATTGTCTGAAGAGCGAGATCACCACTCACTCCAAAACTACCCAACATTCTTCTGTATTCTTCAATAGGTTTACCTGTATTTTAATAAAAATTAATTAGTCAAGTAAACAGAAGAATTCAAGTAACTAAATAAAAATAATTATTAATTAACTATTTAATAATCTGATAAATTTGTAATTTGCATAATAATAATAATCAAAAATCGAATATCACGTTCCGCGCGCTGATCCTCGTAATTAATAAGAAATAAAAAAGAAAATATGAAATTAAAAGTAAGAGAAAAATCAAATTGCACCTGGAAAATGATTCTGAAGTAATTCAACTGGACAGATCCTCATGTCAAGCTGATCAACATGATGCTGACTAAAATAACCAAATTTTAAATTTCGATGTATGTGCACTGAGCCTTTTGATGGACTCAAACCGCATGTAATAATTTTTAATAATGTCGTCTTTCCAGCTCCATTCTCACCGACAATGCAAATTCTCGATTCCAAATTTGCCGTTAAATTAACATTAGTAAATAAATCGACATTCTCCTGATAGCGAAAGGAAACTTCATTTAATTGAAGAATTGGAGGACTTAATGGTTCAACTTCAGGAAACCGTAGAGTCACTTCACTTTCCTTTTCCATTGGCTTCAATTCAGGCCTGAAATTATTTAAAAAAAAAAAAAAAAATTTTTAAAGGACAATTTTAAATTCAATTCATTCTAATTTAATTAATTCGAATTACTCTATTTTCTATTTTTTTTTTTTAAATTTTGTAATTAAAAACTTACATTTTGTCGAGCATTTTTATTTTACTTTGAACACTGGAGGCACGATTGGCATTATAACGAAACCTATCAATAAATTCTTGAACGTGAGCCCTCTTTGCTTGTTGTGCTTCATATTCCCTCTGTTGATTTCTTTCTCGTTCGCCTTTCGTTTTTGCAAACTGTTCATAATTTCCACGATAAGGCTCAATTTTCTGGGCTTTCAAATAGAGAATATCGGTTGGCACCTGTGAAAAGAAATAAATAATATAAACAAAATGTACAAGAATATTTAAATTTTGTATCGCTTGCAATAAATATTTAACTAAAACTATAAAATAGCAAGAAAACAGAGTTTGAAGTTAATTAAAATCGAAAGTTTAAGTTAATTAAAATCAAAAAGTTAAGTTAATTAAAAAGGTCTCTGAATGTAGAGTCGAATTTTTTCACAAAGCCGGAAAGAATAAATTTTTTTCGAAAGTTCTGGCAGAGAAGAATTCAAATAGAATTTTTCTTACAGTATCAAGAAAATTGCGATCGTGAGAGACAACAAGCAACGTCGTGGGCCAAGATTGAAGATAATTTTCCAGCCAGAGAATTGCCTTAATGTCCAACATGTTAGTAGGCTCGTCGAGAAGCAATAAATCGGGTTTGGAGAAAAGTGCCCTCGCGAGTGCGAGACGCATTCGCCAACCGCCAGAAAATGATTTTGTCGGCCAAGATTGTCGCTCGACGGAAAATCCTAGACCCGTGAGTATCATACTCGCTCTGGCTGGTGCTTTCTCCACTTCGGCCACTTGCATCGCCTCGTAAACACGCGCCAATTCCTCGCCAAGTGCTTCCGATTTTCCACCTTCCTTCTCCATGGCCGCTTGTAATTCGGCCTCACGACTCAGCAACGCACTGCGCTCGTAATCACTCTCCAAGACTGATTCCAATGCCGAAGTTTCGTCGCCCGCGACTTCCTGCTCCACGTGTAAAACTCTTATGTGCGACGGAATTCTTAATTGTTTACTGTGAAAGAAAAAAATTTCCTTTTTAATAAATAAAATTTATTATAATTTATTATTAAATTATTCCGGGAAAAAGTGAAATATTAAATTAAGAGGGTAATTTGTTTTTACCATGATATCATTCTAAGTAGTGTAGTTTTTCCTAAACCATTCCGACCAATTAAACCATAACGTCGACCAAATGCGAGAGTTATATCGGCACCTTGCAATAAAATTCGATCTCCATAAGCAACGTCGAAATTTTCAATTCTTATATCCTGGGTCTTATTTACAGAGCCTTTCATCTCCATTCTACTTTCCTTTTTGCTCATCATTTGACTTGCACTCGCTGCCTCTAGTGCAGGCACTAAATTATTAACTATTCGTATACCAGTTGAATCATTTCCTGTTCTTTTCTCTTGCTTCTGTTGCAACTTCGCCTCTGCCTTTTCCAATTTCTTGGCGTCTACTTTCTGAAAAATTTCGAAAATTAATAACTTATTAACTAATTAATGTCCTAAAATAACTAAAATTAATACAGGGTTGTCACAAAAATTTTACTTTATTTTTCCTTGACTTTTCCCTGATTTTCAGAAAAAATTTTCACTTCTTCCCTGACAATAAAAAAAAAATTCTGATTCACTCTAATAATTATTAAACGTATGAAAAATTCGGATTTTCAAAGATTTTAATTTAAAACATTTTTAAAATTCAATTATTTCTAAAAATTCAAGCTTTAATGCTTTGAATATTCAATTATTATCTAAAATTTTGACTGAAATTCATTTTCAAAACAATTTTTATTACAAAATTCTATGAGAATTCAATTTTTAAATACAAGAATAAATAATTTATTGAATAATTGAATATTTCTCAAAATTGAATTTTCAAAAGAATTTTATCAGCAATTTTTAAATAATTGAATTCTTTTGACAAATTTTAATAAAATAAATTAAGGAAATTATTTGAATAAAATAGTAATTGAATCCCTGTAAAATAAATTTTTTATTTATGAAAATAATGGAATTATTGCGAAGAAATTTATAAATTTATAAAAAACTGAATTCATTCGGAAAATTTTATTAAAATAGTAGATATTGAAAATCACTAAATTGTGGAAAATTTTTGAAAATAATTAAAATTTTGCCAAGAATTTTGGAAAATAAGTGAATTTCGGAACACAATTTTATAAAAAATTTTGAAAATAGTTGAATTTCGAAGAAGAATTTTATTGTTTATAAAGATAATTGAACTTATGTAAAGAATTTTATTAAAATCATTTGGAAAATAATTGAATTATTGTAAAAAATTTCATTACAATTTTTGAAAATAAATAATTCTTCAAAGAATTTTGATTAAAAGTGTATTGAAAATGATTATTAAATTCTAATAAACTTGTTATATCAAATTGTTTAAAAATATTTGAATTCTTTTGAAGAATTTTATTAACATTTTTAAGAATAATTGCATTTTTCAAGGAATTTATTTAAAATTGTATTAAAAATATATAATTGAATTCTTGCCAGGAATTTTATTAAAATTTTAAAAAATAATTTAATCCCTGTAAAAAATTGTATTATTTATGAAAATAATTAAATTATTGCAAAGAAATTTATAAAAAAAATTTGTAAATAATTGGATTTCTGTAAAATTTTTATTATTTCTGAAAATAATTAAATGTTTGCGTAGAATTTTATCAAAATTTGTTTTAAATAATTGAATTCTTTTGGAAAATTTGATTAAAATAGTAGATATTAAAATTCATTGAATTGAGGAAAATTTTTGAAAATAATTGAATTTTGGAGAAGAATTTTATTATTTCCGTAAATAATTAAATTATTGCGAAAAAAATTTATGAAAAATTTCTAAATAATTGAAATTCCTGTGAATTTTATTATAATTTTCTTGAAAATAATTGCATTCTTTTAGAGAATTTGATTAAAATAGCAGATATTGAAAATCATTGAATTGAGGAAAATTTTTGAAAATAATTGAAATTCTGACAAGAATTTCATTAAAAGTTTCGAAAATATCTGAACTTTGGAGAAAAATTTTATTAATTAGAAAAATAATTCAAATTTTAACAAGAATTTAAAATTTTTTTTCAATATAATTGAATTATTGCACAGAATTTTATTACTTTTGAAAAAAATGTAATTTTTACAATCATTTATAACTTCTTCAAAATTAAATTATTTTTTAAAGTCTTTAAATAAAATTATTCTCTAAATCCATTATTTTTAATAATTAATTAAACAGATATATGTATATTAAAAAATTTAACTAATTTCAGAAGAATTGGAATTATTAAAATTTATCAATGATCATAGCTCTTTAAAATTCTACTTATGGAAATTATAAACGCAACTCTTAAAATTCAATTAATTTAAAATCATTCAAGTAAAATTATTCATTAAATAATTTATAAGAAATAATTTTTTGATAGCTCTTCAAGAATTAAATTAATTAAAAGAAACTATTTTCAAAAACAGAAAAAAAATTAAGGTTTTGTATTAAAATCCTGGGAAATTTCAAAGTTTCATATCAAACAAAAAAAAAACACAAAAATTCAGAATTTTCTTTTGAATTCTAAAAATTTAATTTTTTCCAGTAGGTACTTTTAATAAGAATCCCTTATTTTTCCCTGAATTCCCTGACCTGTGGCAATCCTGTAGTAATTTATTTCTTTTATTTCTAATTTATTTTCTAAAAATTAATTTTGAAAAATATTTTTCGGAATTAGAAAACAAAGTTAATAAGAAAAATAATTAAATACGAAAGTAATTTACCATTCCATCGTCTCGTGTTGTAACCCAAATACTCTTTATTTGTTCAACTTGTTCCTCTAATGTCGCTGCCATTGATCCCAAATGAACCGGAGCATTTAAAACTTTATTCTCACCATTTTTTCTTTCTCCTGATCCATTTTGAGCTCCATTGGTCCCTCCTTTTAACATTTCTAATAATTTCTTGCATATTTGCCTGTGGAATTAAAAAAAATCCAAATTATATTCTCTTATTTCGAAATTTTCAAATGTTTCATAAATAAAAAATTTCTGCAAATTGAAAGACTAAACAGAAGAAAATATAGAAAAATAGAATTCTGTTTCAAAAATAGACAATTTTTGTTCTCTTTTGAACTGATAGATGGAAAATAAATTAGAGAACATCAAAGATAAATAATAATTAGAAATTAAAAATTACAAAATTTGCAAAGTTCTAAATCTGGGAAAAATTTTGAAAACATTTCTCTCATCCGGTTATCGCACATCTAAAACGATGAGATTAAACCAATGACCTTGATGGCAAAAAAAAAAAATTGCTTCCAGAAACAATTGTAAATGTCAATTATATATTCATTGAAGTCAATTGAAGTTTATAGGAGAAAATATTTATTTTAAAAAATGACAATTACCGACCTAACCACAATTTCTGGCTTCTCAGCTACTTCATGTAAAACTTCACCGATCGCCTCATAAACTTCATTTTCATCCTCGAAGTCATCTTTCGAACTGTCAAGAATTCCTAAAATTAAAAATCCATTTTCTTTTCAATCACATTCTTGCAAAAAAAAGTATATGGGCATGGCTCCTCGCGCGATATACAATTTTGAGGTTAGAATTGACAAAAATTTACCTTCCACATATTGATAAAGATCATCGTCAATTGTTGGAAACTGACTTTTAATATATTCACCACACACGGCCATTCCACGCACAATAAAAATTAAAATTACCAAAATGTACTTTAATAAAATAGGAGCCGGAAAATTTTAAAAATCTTTCCCCACTGAGCGGACGTCAAACGTTCAAAACTCATGAGAACACATGTTCACGCCATTTTGAAATTTACGTGTTCTTAAAACATTGAAATTAAAAAAAAATTGTGGACAAATTAAAAAAAATAAAAGAAAACAACTTTATAATTAAGGGACAATTTTTCACATTTAACAATTAAATTCACAGTGAAAAAATCCCATTCTTTCTAGGAATTGTATCAATTTATCCCTCAGTGGTATATTCTATTTTGAAAAATTGAAACAGATTGCTTTTCAGCGCCATTTTGGAGCTGTCAAAAAGTCTCTCATTCTTGCGTGTATTGACATTTGTTATTATATATTTCTTTGTGCAATGAAACGCTGATATCTTCAAGTTATTTTTTTATCAAAACAATCACCGCGTGTTCGAAGATGATTTCGTACATGGCATTTAACATCAAAGGATGATAAAAATGAGGAAAAATTAAAGTTAAAAAGACGTTAAGAAAGCAGGACAATTTCAAGGGCTTGGTTGCGACCGTCATTAGTCTTTTTTCACATTCCCCCCTTGTTATAACCGTTTAAGGTTAATCGAAAAAAGGGGTGTATATTGCTAATTACATATTCAAAATAGAAAGAATGGCGACCGATGTGGAAGAGTCAGATACTGATGATCACGATCGACCGGATCCTCCAAAACGGCAACGCACACGTCCTGTCACGAATGTTGTTGAACATAAGGAAGAATCGGTGATTTCCTTTCATTTTTCTCCATTGTTTACTATACCAGGTTAATTGGCTGGGTCATTGACCTTTGCTTTTAGCTAATAGAGATCGCAAATACTTATTAACTAACTAGGTCAGGGTTGAAAATACCTCGAGTCAATTCTCTTTCTATATTTATTTATTAGTGAATTAATTAATTTCTCCACATAACGACACAATTGATTTATTCTAATTAAATATATGCAAATAAAATATGTTTCTTTAAATTCTTTCGAAAATTTATTTTCAATAATTAAATATTTTTTCTTAAATTAAAATTAGATATGCATATATTTTCTTTTATTTCTGTCTTAGAATTTTCTTTTCTATTTTCGAAATGAAAAAGAGATAAATTTCCAGTGAAAGCAATTTTTTTGTTTTGTAAACAATTTTCTTTTCTTTTCTAACCTATTCGAAAAAGTTTTTAAACTTATTTTCAATATAGAAAATTTTTTTGTTTTGTAAACAATAGTCATAACCTTAGAAATGTTTTCAGAAAAATTTAAATCTTTTGAAATTCAATAACTTTTAAGAATATTATTATAAAACATGAAGATATCGAGCACTCCGAGTCTTCGACTCGGAGTTATCGCTATCTTCATGTTTTATAATAATAATTTAAGCTTTCAAAAAATTTTTAAAAAAAATTAAATTATTTACAAGAATTTTAATAAAATTCCTTCGCAAGAATTCAATTATTTTTATAAGAAATACAATTTTTCACATCATTTCAATTATTTAAAAAAATATAATAAAATTCGTTGTATGAATTCAATTAAGTATTATCATAAATAATAAAATATTTCCTAGGATTAAAATTATTTTTAATACAGTTTTAAATGAATTCATCGAAAAATGTAATTATTTTCGAACATTTTTTCCAAAAATTCAATTACATTTCACAAATAATGAAATTCTTGGCTGAAATTCAAATATTTTCAAAATTTACTATTTTAATAAAAATTCTCAAAAGAATTCGATTATTTAAAAAAATGTAATAAAAATTCATTGGAAGAATTTAATTATTGACAAAAATAATAATATTCTTCACAGGATTTCAATTATTTAAAAAAATGTAATAAAAATTCATTGCAAGAATTTAATTATTTTCATAAATAATAATATTCTTCACAGGATTTCAATTATTTTTAATACAATTTAAAGTAAATTCTCTGAAAACCATAATTAATTAAAAATTTTTTATTAAAACTCTTCGAATGAAATAATTGAACAATTATCAATTATTTTTAATAATTTTTGCAAAAGTTTCTAAAGAATTTTCAAATTCATTTATAATTAAATTTTACGAATTTTGTTTATTCAGAAATTCTTTAATTAAATATTTAGAAAATAAAAAATTGAAAAAATTATTTTAAAATAAAAATTTAATTCAACTTTTTCAAAATACAACTATTTCTAAAAATTCTAACTGAAATTCATTTTTAAAACAATTTTTATTAGAAAATTCTACGAGAATTCAATTATTTAATTACAAAATTGAAAAAATTATTGAATAAATGAATTTTTCTCAAAATTGAATTCTCATAAAGAATTTTATGGACAAATTTTTAAATAATTTAGTTTTTTAGACAAATTTTATCAAAATTTTTCAGAATAATTACATTTTTCGAGAAATGCAATTAAAATTGTATTAAAAACAATTGAAATTCTGCGATGAGTTTTACTATTTATGAAAATAATCGAAATTTTTTATGGTAATAATGAATTTATTGTGAAAAAATATATAAAAAAAATTTGTTTTAAATAATTGAATTCTTTTGGAAAACTTTATTAAATTTGTAGATATTAAAAAACATTGAATTTGGGAAAATTTTTGAAAAAAAATTGAAATTTGCCAAAAATTTTATCAAAATTTTTGACAATAATTGAATTTCGGAGAAAAATTTTATTACGTTTGGAAAAAATTGAAATTTTTAGAATTTTTTAAAATTTATTAACATATATTTGAATTTCTGCGAAGAATTATTATTTTTGAAAATAATTGAATTTTTAAAATCATTTATAACTTTTCCCTAAAATTCATTTTTTTTTAGTATTTTGAACTAAAATTTGTTTTTAAATCACTTTTTATTAGAAAATTCTACTAAAATTCAATTATTTAACTACAAAAATAAATAATTTATTTAATAATTGAATGTTTTTCAAAATTTAATTCTCATACAGAATTTTATTAACAAATTTTTAAATAATTTAATTTTTTGACAAATTTTAATAAAAATTTTAAAAATATTTAGATTTTTCGAGGAATTTGGTTAAAATTGTATTAAAAATAATTGAAATTCTATAATATGAGTTTTATTATTCGGTACCGATCTCGAAACGTTAAGATGTGTTAATATCTTATTATAGTCCTAAAAAGATTGCCAATTCTTTATAATTATAATATTAAATATATTGGGACATTCCAAATTATTATTTTCATAAAAATAATTGAATCTCGGTAACAAAATTTATTATTTTTGAAAATAATTGAATTATTGAGAAGAAATTTTTATAAAATAGTTGAATTCCCGTGAAATTTTTATTGTTTATGAAAATAATTGAATTTTGGAGAAGAATTTTATTATTTTTAAAGATAATTGAAATTTTGATTAGAATTTTTTAAATTTTTTTGAATTTTTGCAAACATGTGTAACTATTCTCGAAAATTCAATTTTTTTTCAGTGTTTTTAACTAAAATTCTTCTATAAATCCATGATTTTTAATAATTAATTAAATATATATTAGAAAATTAAAGAAAACTAATTATGAATCCCGCAAATTTAATTTTTTCCAGAACTTTAATAAAACTTTTCTTAAACCTGATGAGGAAACATGTTGTTGAATTTATTTTAATCATAAGAAACATGTAAAAAATATTAAAATGAAACAAAAAAATTTTTTTCGTTTGTTCGAAATAATTTTTAACCTTGAAAAACAAAATTTTCAGAGTGTGAGACGAGACAATGAATGGGCAGCAGTCGATGAGGCGGAAACGCAGGAATTCGACGAGGAAGAAAGAATCTCGAGGGAGAAGCTTAAGGGCTGGCAGGCTCTTCAGGTGGCCAAGGGTTTTGTGGACAATACAATTAACCATGTAATGGAACACTACATAATGGCGACAACTGGAAATTTTTTCTTGGAAGATCCCTGGATGCGTACATTGCGTGGCGATGAAATGGAAGACACTGCAGTTTCAATGGCAATAAGAAATCATGGATTAGTCCCCTCGAATAATTTATCTCAAGCAAATTCATTTTTTGCCGGAACCACCGTCAATTTTTTTAGCAGTCAAGAATGTGCGAATTATCCCACGACAATTGCGGATAATTTTTCCGGTTCAACATCATCGTCGTCGTCATCCTCGTCTTCGTCATCATCGACAACTTCTTCATCGTCATCAGCAGCTGTAATTACGTCAAAACGTGACGTAAATCTGGAAAGAAATTGGATTGACGAAAAAAATGATGAGAGCGATCAGGAACACGATTTTCTCGAGCGCGCCGTCGCCGAGGCAATTAAAAAGAAAGGACTCAGTACACTCAGCGTTGATTATGGATAAATTATTATTCCCTTAATTTCCGTCCAAATATTATTATCGTCATAATTCAATTATTGGTTCGTATTCACTTTTAATATTTTACATTTTAATTCTTTTTAATCAAAAGCAGTACCAAGTTTCTATTTTATGCAAATGGGATCCAATTCGTTCCAGTATTCAAAGTCTTCACCAAAAGTAAAAATCAAAAACAGAAAGAAATATTTTTAATTCGATAAATTTGAATTTTGAATTTAAACTTTAAAATAAACGAACATTGATTGAAAAACCGCAGGATTAAATATACAAAAATAGAAAGTAAGAAATAAAACGAAAATAAAAGTGGTGACTAATTATTATATAAAAATAGAGATAAAAGTATAAATATAGAATTTAAATATAGAAATATAGAAAAATAAAATATAAAAATTTCATTTTTAAATAATGAAAAAAGCAATTTTGAAAAAAATGTTCGTTTATTTTAAATTACATCGTTAGATCTGATACTTTTTTCTTTGTTTGAATTCAAAGAGCCTAGTCTCCTCTTCAAAATGTGCAATTGGATAAATTAATTATAAGAAAATAGAGATTTTTGTTTTCTTTTTCAAAGAAAAACACATCTTTAATGATAAATATTTCCAGTTTAATAAATTATCCAAAGGGATATATCAATCCAAACGCACATTTATATAATATTCTCTTAATAATATTGTGAATGAAACACGTAAGTTTCATCGCCTTTTTCCTATTAAAAAAATAATAATAATAATAATTAGAGTTGTCTCTATGCCAAGGGCAGTGCCAGAACAAAATAAATTTTAATCCTATAATTATCAAGATTATTGCGCGATAAAAAAAGTCGACAGCTACGGTATTAATAAATAATAACAAATAATAATTAAAAATATAACAATAATAATAGGACAGTCGAAACTGGTTCAGTCAGATCTGTTCCTTTTCATAAAAAAAAATTTATCTATCGAATCATTGAATTCACGAAATTAAAATTCGTAATTAATTTCAATCTTTTGATTTTAATTCCAATTTTTTTGTTTCTATTTCAATTCTTCATTCAATTTTTGTATTTTTATTTTTATTTCAATTTTTAATTCATATTTTTTTTCTTATTTTAATTTTTATTTCTATTTCAATTTTCAATTTAAATTCTTTTATTTCTGCTTCAATTTTTTTAATTCAAGTTTTTTATTTTTATTTTAATTCTTCATTCGAATTTTTATTTTTATTTCAATTTTTAATTCGATTTTTTTTAATCCCAATTTTTTTTATTTTAATTTTTAATTCAATTTTGTAATTTCAATTTCAATTTTCAATTCAAAATTAGATTCGAAAGAAAAAATTGGCGGAATTCCTATTTAATTGATTTCAATTAAATTATTTGATTAATTAAATCAATTGATTAATTTGATATTTTAATTTCAATTTTCAATTCAAAATTAGATTCGAAAGAAAAAATTGTCGGAATTCGTATTTATTTATTAACAGATCCGAACTGAACGAGTTTTGACTGTAATAAAATAATATTATAATAAAAACTCAATGTTCCTTTAGCGAACTTGCTTCGTATTGTATCGAATATAAGACTTCAGCTTTGTCGACATTAGTATAGTAAGAGAAATTTTGAATATTGAACAAAGATTATTATTATAAAAAAGAAAAAAAACTAAAAATGATTTTCTAGAGAGAAAAAAAAGACAATTTTCTAAAGCGAATATATATCGTATAACCATTCCAGTAGTTTTTAATAATTTCAAATTTTTATAGACAGTTCTATCAATTTTTTTTTTCATTTTTTTTTACTTTGAGAAATTTTTTTCTAAATAAAAATTATTCACGGAATAATAATAAGTTTATTAATAATTATTATTCGGTACGTAATTTTTATTTTCCGAAAATATGTCAAATTATTATTCAATGTCTATAATATTCTATTTACAATAATTATCCTAATAAATCTATTTACAAGAGAGTAAATATATATATATTCGTATTAAGATTTTAGTATTCGACGAATTAGTTTGTAGTTGAAAAAAAATTGAATGTTAATTAACTAAACGAATTGTTAAGTCAATTGTAGTGAGAAAAAAAGTCTTTTTTGTAGAATTAATTGATTTTAACAATTTTAGTTAATTAAATTTAATTCCGAGTATACAAATATATTATTCCAATTTAGATATTATTTCTTTAAATAAAGAAAAAAGACTTTATTAAAGTATTGCTCTCATTTCTATATAAGGGAAAAAAACCTAGTGTAGTAATTTTAAATTAAAAATTATAATTCTTAAAAAGAAAAAAAAACAATAAACCCCCGGTTAACAGTAACTATTTAAATTGCCTTTAAACTAAAAGGATTATCAGTCTCGATACTGCAAAATATTAGCAAAAAAAATATATATATTTATGAAATGCTAGCTTCTTCTATTTGAAGCGAAAAAAACAAAAGACACATACACTGTGTAAATATTTTCTAAAAATGAAAGAAAAGAAAAAATTTGACGCTGAATAAAAACGATTTTTTTAATTCAATGCGAAATCTCTGTGTAAAAAAATGAGAATTCTATAATATTATTATTGATTAAATTATAAAAAAAATTGTATCTCATAACACATCTCGTATAATAACTGTGATCTATATTGTTTAATATCAAAAAATAAAATATTTACAAAAATGATCTTACGTTTTTTCTTCTTGTTCAAAAAAAAGAAAAAAAATTCGAAATGAAAAAAAACATAAAAAAAGAAAAATATTTATTTTTTATAGTACAGTGAAACTTGACGGAATGCAACTCGATTTTTAAAATTTTATTACAGTTAACAATCCTTAAGAAATTGTTAAATAATTTAATTTTGTAATATTTTTGTAATATTTTCACAATATTCTGGAAGTAATTTGTAATAATTTTTGTTGGATATTTTTTAATAGAAAAAAATTTTGTAATAAATAGAATTGCATTCCGACAGGTTCGACTGTATAAAAAATTTTATTTTTCATCTATATTAATTAAATTGAAATTTAATTATTTTTATATTAAAAAATATATTTAAATAAATTATAGCAATACGAACTAAAACAACAACAAAAGCAATAATAGCAAATTTAATTAATTATTTGTTCATGAAAATATAAATATAATTTTTAATACCTAATTAAATTTACAATAATATTTTCGTTTATTTTAAATTGAAATTATTTTTATACTAAAATATATTTAAATAAATAATAATAGTAATAGAAATAACAACAATAATAATAATAATAATAATAACAAATTTAATTAATTATTTATTGAAATATAAATTTAAATATATTAATAATATTATATTTATAAGAATAATTTCGTTTAAATATGAATTTTAAATTTGAATTACTTTTATATTAAAATATATTTAAATAAATAACAATAGAAACGGTATTAGAAACAACAATAATAATAATAATGCTTTGCTTTTTTTTCCTAAGTTTTTTAATAATTTTTCATTTAAAATATTTTTAATTTAAAAATTAATGTATTGAAAATCATTAAATTCTTGCAAAGAATTTTATCAAACAATTTCAGAATAATTAAATTCCTTCTCTCGAAGAATTTTGTTATTTATGAAAATAATTTAATTCTTGTAAAGAATTTTATTAAAAATTTTGAAAATCATAATTAAATTCTTTTGAAGATTAAACATTTAATTATTCAATTTTATTAAAATTTTTAGAATATAATTAAATTCTTCTCCGAATTTTATTACAATTTTCTAAAATAATTTAATTCATTCAAGGAATTTTATTAAAATATAGAAAATAATTAAATTCTTGCAATGAATTTTACTACTTATAACAAAAATTTAATTGTTTCGAAGGATTTATTAAAATTTTTAGAAAATAATTGAATTTTTGCAAAGAATTTTACTATTTATAAAAATAATTGAATTGTTTTGAAGGATTTATTAAAATTTCAAAAAATAATTGAATTCTTTCGTGAAATTTTATTGAAAATAATTCAATTCTTGCGAAGAATTATATTCAAATTTTTGAAAATATAAACAATAATAATTAATTTTGTACTTAATAATTAAATTTTTTAAATTTTGATTATAAAATTATTCAAAAATTTATATTTTAAAATAAAAAATTTTGTAATTTGCATAATAATTTTAATAAATTGAATATCACGTTCCGCGCTCATAACATAATAATAAATAATAATAATAAATTTAATTAATTAATTATTATTTATTAGAATATAATAATAATAAATTTAATTTACGAAATAATAAACAATAATAATAAAATAAAAAATATTGTTTATAATAATATTTTTATTTTAATCTGAATTTCAAATTGTGGAAACATTTCTCCAAAATTTACAGTTTTTTCTAAAAATAAAAAAAAATTGTAACAAAAGGGAAAAAGATAAAATATTTTGAACCAGTTATAATGATGAATACTGAGAAACTAGGGAAATAACTGTATCATCAATTATATGTCATTGTCCTCTAGAAACTAAAGATTTGTAAATATAGATTTTATTAAATATTTAATTTTCACTTTGCATATAAATCTGTCAAAAATTGAACAAAATTTCTAATTAATAATCGATGAGAAATTCCTTAGAAACAATAATAAAAAGACTAGCTTGTAAATAATTCATAATAATTATTATTTTTAGTAATTAATTAGTTAACAGTAATAAAATTATTAATAATAATAACAATATGTAATAGAATTTTGAAATAATTATCAAGAAAAAAAGATTACAAATGGAAACAAAAAATAAAAATTTCTCATTAAAAAGTCGAAATTAAATTGATTTCTCCTCTTGAAGTAAAATATAATGACAAGTTTGAAACAAAATGGAAATTTGATACGTATATGGCTTCTTCATTAAATTAATGAAAACGGAAGTAAAAGGGAATGTATTGATTTTATTCGAGTTCAAGAAAGGAATACATGTGCAGAAGCGAGTTTGCCAGAAATAATTATATTCATTTCATATATTTTTTTTTCCTTGAAAAAAAGAAAAATTCCCCTCTTTTTATAAAATAGCGAAATAAATTATCAAAATTACAAAAAAAGAAAACATTCACCTGAAAAGAGTAAATAATTATTGTAAAATTAGCAAAAAATATTATTTATTTATATTTAATTAGTAAACGAATATTCTCAAAATTATAGTGTTTACGACAAAATTGATTCACTTTTAGTAAATAAATATACGATATTTTGTGTACGTGGAAAAAAATGGTCTAAAAGTAATTAGAATATTTTTTTTTTTTTTGCAAATATCAATATCTTTTAATATCGTCATTGCGTGAACAAGCGTGGAAGGGAGAGGGCAAAAAGAAAGAAAAAAGAGCATTTACCGGGGATAAAGGACATGAGAAGGGGAAAAGCTCATCCTGGAGGGGTTTTCAACCCGAAAAATAAAAAAAATAAGGGGTGAAGGAAGGATTGGAAAAAAATTACAAACGAGTAGTGGTACTTTTTTTTATTTCTCTAATGAGGTAGAGAAAGAAAAATTAATTCTTTCCCAATTTTCTATTAAATTACTATTTTAATTATTATTATGCAAATTAGTGGAAATATTACCGCGAATTTCTAGTCGAGTCAAAGTCTAGCTTCTAGTTTCCGGAAAATTCGAAAAAAAATCAAGATTTGCGTCGAATTATATATAGAAAAGAAATAGAGATCAATTTAATTTCCTCGTTATTCTCTTTTTTCTTCTACGTTACTAGTTTTCTACAACAATGGAGAAAAGTAAATAAACAAACCGTAAGAACAAAAAAATATCCGCATCTTATTTTTGCCCTCTTCCGGAATTGAAATAAATGGAAAAAAAAGAAGTATAAGAAAATTATACTTGTTCTCTCTGAAAGTGGTATGAAGAAGTTGAATCCTTGAGAAATGAGAAGCAAAAGCAAGCAAAGTGAAGCAAAAGTTCTTGTTCTTTAAATGCCTTTTCTTTTCTGGTAAAATTACCTTTGTAATATAACCTCAAAAAGCAGGCAGGCAGGCAACAGCAGCCAGCAAGTGCTTGCTCTCTGTTTAAAAAGAAATGGTGGGGATAAATCGGGTGTGCGAAAATGTGAAAGTGAGGGTCGAAGGGGGCAGCTGTTTTCTATAAGGTGGGGGGGTAGAGTGAGAAATAAGGGGAAATTTTCAAGCAGCAGCGACGACGGGGAAATAATACACGAACACGAAGGCAGAGTAGTTGCAAGTGACGGCGGCCACGCCGAAGAAGCGCGAGTGCGAGCACACATCGTTTATAGAAAACGTTAATGTCGAATTTCCGCGCTGATTATTGTGTTAAATTTGATAATATCAGTGAGTGACTCCCGTTAAAACCCGGCTTTTTCACAGCTGGTGAAAATGGCGTCCGACGAGGAAGTTGACGAAAATTATGCGGGTAAGTCGTGGGTATTTTCCAAGGAGATGAGTGAGAGAGAGAAGAGCGGGTAAACTATGCCGGAAAGTTGGCCCGCACGCAGGACGCGCGCTTTTTGTATGATGGCTGCCATGTCAATTGGTCCCGTGCAATTTTTCGTCACCACTTGCCCACGATAATAAATGAAGGGGGAAATTTTTTCCTATTTTCATCAACTTTTTTCCCTTAAAATTCATGCATTGTCAATGTTTGGAAGTGGAAAATGATTTTTAAATACATTTCATTGTAATTTGGGGAAAATTTTAGGGTTAACTTTTCTTTCCTTTCATTTGTTATATAGACAAAATTATGTATAAGTCATTTAATTTGACGAGTAGGCAAATTATTAAAATGAGTCATTGATTGCACAACTAGACAAAAAGTTGATTTTGTTATTTGTTTTTTAGCCGGATGAAAATGTCAAGAAGCTTATTCGTTTTTTGCTTCACGTGTTTATCGATATTCAAAATTCTTTGTCTCTACGTGGAAATTCTTTGGGAAATGTTTAATTGATGGAAATGAAATTAGTATTTGGAAAAGAAAGTTTCTTTTCTACTCTTTAGGGACAATTATTGTCGTATTTTGTTTTTGAGCAACGAAAGAAAAATTTCTGAAAAAAGGGACAAATTTCGGTGAATTAAAAAGAAAAATTAGAATGAAAAATAGAGAAGGTACTCGGCGTTCAGCCATCTGGTAGCGTTGTGTACGTTTCATTTATTAAGCATTACTTTTGTATTTGTATATTATACGAATTCTTATTCCTTCGCCGGTTATAGATGTATAATGCAAGATTTGTTTCTTCTTTGAATAGAACTGAATTCTTTTTCTTTTTGTTTCAATTTTCGTTAATTTGAAAGGATGGGGAAAAAATTTTCTATCAATTGAACGATATAATGATAAGATTATGAGTAGAGCGTTAAAAGATAGGTATCGAGAGTGCGGTATGCCCTTCCAAAGAAAATGGCGGCCGCACACTCTCACAAAGCATTCACTGTTGAGCGGATTAGTTCTTGAGAGACAATTTTTCATGTTTACGTAAATTATTCTCCCTCGTCAGACGATCGGCGTCCTTTCGCTTTTCATTCAATGGAATTTCCATCGAATCTGATGAATTTTGGCGGTTTTTTTTTCGAATTTTGACAATTTTTTCACGAAATTCGACCTAATTCCATCTTTTATAGGTGTCTACGTAATTCATAAATAATTCTATGAATAAAAATTGTATTCGGTATATGTAGTGGATATATTTTCTGCATCTATATTGTACTGTACTCTTTTCATTTATACAGAAGCGACGCGAGAGACTTTTACCCTTTTAACTTTGAAGAAACTAATTTTTAACTTTTCTTTTTGTTTTATATATTTATAAGGGGAAAAAGTACTTTTTTTTCTCTTTTGGTTGAATTCTCTCTTCTTTGAATTTTTCCTCGAGTCGATGTTTATTTTTAACTTTTTAGTGATGAAATATTTCGGAATTTATAATTATAAAATAAAATACTTGGTTTGCTGAATGTCATGCGAGGAAAATCTCTCATCGAAAGATTGTAAATTATTGACAATCTTTCAATGGAAGATTTTCGAAATTATTTTCTTTAGAGTAATCTTTCTTCGGTGGGTAATTTTTTTGTTTATTTTCAGGAGAAGATGATTTAGAGGAATCAAGTGGACCAGTGGCTAAGGTTGGACAACAAATTGACGGTTCTTCCGATGCCGAAGAATCTCAACGACAGGTAAATGTTGTACATTTTGTTCGTTTTCTCTTTGGAATGAAATAATTTTTTTTCTGCTGAAATGACATGTTTTTTTTTTGCTTAAAGGAGGAAGATGACGATTATGAGCCGGAAGAGCGAAAAAAGAAGAAAGGAAAGAAGCGAAAAGCGAGGAGTGAAGACAAGAAGGGCAAGAAGAAAAAGAAAAAGAAAAAATCCGACTCTGGCGACGTAAGTGAAATTTTGTTTCAAGTTTTTCCAATTTTCTTTTTTATTCTTATTAGTTATTTATTTATTTATTTATTTTGCAGGAGAGCGATTTCGGCGGAGGAGACAATGCAGACGTGGCGGGTGATGACAGCGATTTTGCTAGTAATCAAAAGAGCAGGAAATCATCATCGAGAAAATCGTCGAGCCACAATACTTCATCGGCTGCTCAAAGTCAAGAGCCATCAACGGGAATGCCGACAATCGATGAAGTTTGCAATACATTTGACTTGACTGACGTACATATCGATTATTCGGATGCTGATTTTCAAAATTTAACCACGTACAAACTGTTTCAACAGCACGTTAGGCCTCATTTAATAAAAGAAAATCCCAAAGTACCAATGTCGAAGCTTATGATGTTGGTAGCCGCTAAATGGAGAGATTTCTCCGAAATGAATCCGCACACACAGCCGGAAGTTGAAGTGTCGTCTGGTAATTTAGAGGAGGAATGCAAACCAACAAGATCGAGTCGTGGAGCAGTGGCACAAGAGCCAGATGACGATGATGAGGACGAGGAGGACAGTGAATTTTATAAGCGAAAATCACGAGGATCACGCGCCCGAAAGGGGAAAAAGGCGTCGAAAGTTCCCACTCTCAAGATTAAACTTGGAAAACGCAAACGAGCCAGTTCTGTAAGTATTTAAAAAAACAAGACTAACTAGGTCCGTAAATCCCGTAAAGGTCCGTAAATTTCTTGATTTACGTAGAAGTCCGTAGAAGTCAGTTTTTTTTAAATCTCCATAGAGATAGTAATTTGATTTAGAAAAGACGAAAAGTTCGTAAATTGTACGATATAATTTGGAGAAATTTAGAGAAATTACAAATGATTGCAGAAATTCAATTATTTACATAAAATTCTTGGCAAAATTTCAATTATTTTCAAAATTTTTCCTCAATTCAATGATTTTTAATATCAACTATTTTAATAAAATTTTGCAAAATAATTCAATTATTTAAAAAAAAATACATAAAATTTCACGCAAACCTTTAATTATTTTCATAAAATAATAACAATTTCACAGGAATTCAATTATTAACAAATTTTTTTTATAAATTTCTTCGCAATTATTCAATTATTTTCATAAATAATATCATTTTTACAGGGATTCAATTATTTTCATAAATAATATTTTTACAGTGATTCAATTATTTTTATAAATAATAAAACTAAGAGCTGAATTTCAATTATTTTTAATACAATTTTAATGAAATGCCTCAAAAAGTGTTATTATTCTTTAAACTTTTATTAAAATTCATCGAAAGAATTCAATTATTTAAAAATTTGTTGATAAAATTCTTTATGAAAATTCACTTATTCAATAAATTATTTGTTCTTATTTAAATAATTGAATTCTAGTAGAATTTTCTAATAAAAATTATTTCAAAAATGAATATCACTTAAAATTTTAGATTATAATTGAATATTAAAAGCTATTAGCGTGAATTTTTAGAAATAATTGAATTTTGAAAAGGTTTCATATTAAAATCATTGAAAATTATAATTTTTTATACTTTTAACAAACAATTTTGTAGAGGAATTAATTTTTTTGAAAAAGTTTATTTCAATTTTGGAAAAATTACAAATGATTGCAGAAATTCGATTATTTACAAAAGTAATAAAATTATCGCAGACCTTCAATTATTTACAAAAATTTTTAAAAATTCTCTTCAAAATTTCAATTATCTTTAGAAATAATTAGAATTCTTCTCCGAAATTCAATTATTTACAAAAATTTTAATAAAATTCTTGGCAAAATTTCAATTATTTTCAAAAATTTTCCTCTGTTCAATGATTTTTAATATCTACTATTTTAATAAAATTTTCTAAAAGAATTGAATTATTTAAAAAAAAATTTATAAAATTCTATGAAAACTTTTAATTATTTTCATAAATAATAAAATTTTTACAGGGATTTAATGTTTTTCGTAAATAATAAAATTTTTACTGAGATTCAATTCTTTTCGTAAATAATAAAATTCTTTTTAGTAATTCAATTATTTTCATAGATAATAAAACTCATTGCAGAATTCCAATTATTTTTAATACAATTTTAATCGAATTCCTCGAAAAATGTAATTATTCTTAAAAATTTTATTAAAATTCGTCAAAAGAATTCAATTATTTAAAAATTTATTGATAAAATTCTTTATGAGAATTCAATTTTAATAAATGTGGACGTCCGCATGAAAAGGGACCACTTTGTCGGTTCTAGATTCCGAGATATTCGCAATTTACTAATTTTGAAGAAAAATATCGAAATTTTTTTTATCTTTTTTTCTTAATCTACAGGGTCTACCACGTCGATTCATGCAGTTTTTATTAATTTATTGACACTCTAAGTATTTTATTTCGTTGTTAGAAAAAAAAAATGAAAAGGGACCACTTTGTCGGAAATCTGTTATTTTTTCATTGTTTCAAAACGAAGGGAGGGAAAAATTCGAAACCTATTGATTTTCAATCTTAAGGGTGTACTAGACTTAAAACAACTCTTATCTGAATAACTTCCCAGAAGAGCCGGAGAAATTCGCATTACAATTTTTAATTTCGTGTTTTTAGAAATGAAATTTTTAATTTTTTCTAAGATTTTTTATAATAAAGTCGCTTAAAAAATTTTTTTGGTTACTTTTCTTTTCTTTGCTTGAAATAACTCTAAAAAATAACACCGAACCTTTAAATTCGTTAAATATTCCACTTTATTAATTAATAACCGTATTTTTAGAAAAGGGACCACTTTGTCGGAAATCTGTTATTTTTTCATTGTTTCAAAACGAAGGGAGGGAAAAATTTTAAACCTATTGATTTTCAATCTTAAGGGTGTACTAGACTTAAAACAACTATTATCTGAATAACTTCCCAGAAGAACCACAGATATTCATATTACAATCTTTGAATTCGTTTTTCTGGAAATGACGTATTTGATACTCCAAACTTTAAAATTCTGTAACTCATCGAATTTTTCACCAAAAAGGTTGTAAGACCACTCAAAATTTTCCAAATTTTGTCAGGAATTCGCCCATATAGATAAGTCCAATAGTGCCAAAGTGGTCCCTTTTCATGCGGACGTCCACAAATATGCAAATATTCAATTAATTTTTTTTGTATTTAAATAATTGAATTCTAGTAGAATTTCCTAATAAAAATTGTTTGAAAAATGAATTTCAGTTAAAATTTTAGATCATTGAAAATTGAAAGTAATTTAGAGTGAATTTTTAAAAATAATTGAATTTTGAAATTAATATTTTTGTAAAAGTTTAATTGCAGATTTTTTTTATATTATCTGAAGTTTTTATTTTCTAATATTTATTTAATTGAAGAATTTACGAATAATTGAAATTTCGTAAAATAAAATATTGTAAACAAATGGATTTGAAAATTGTCAATGAACTTTTTCGAAAATTATTAAAAATAATTGATTTAAAAAAGAATTTTATTTAAAAATTCTTGAAAATAATAATTGAATTGGTGATTTTATCACTCGGTCTATAAAACACGAAGAAATCTATTTCTTCATGTTTTATAGTTATGAAAAATTTAGTTTATAGTTTTAAGTAAAATGTTATGTTATTTGACTCGGATTGATTATAATTATTTTAATTATTACTTGATTTATTTTTTTCTTCAATTAGGATGAGGAAATTGAGAACGCAAGTGCGGGATCTTTGCGCGACTCTGACATGGAATTTGAGCAGATGATCGCGGATGATGAGCCAGCGACGGAGGGCAGCACAAAGGGCGCCGAGGAGGCGAGTGTCGACCCACCGGCCGATCCGCCAGTTCGTAGAAAGGCGAAGACAAAGATTGGCAATAAGAGCAAAAAGAAAAAGAAGACGAAAACAACGTCGAAATTCCCGGATGGAGAGGCAGGTCTCCAGGTAGAGTTAAGCTGCTTATGGCTTGTGCGTTCGTTGCTGATTCAGAAATTTTTCGCTATTTTTTCATGATAATGATGATAATAATAAAAAATAATTGTCTCTCTATTATCATATCTTTTGAAAATTATCAATAGAAGTCAGAAATTTTGAAAAGCTTCTTGCTTTTACTAATTCTTTTTTATCTCTTACTCTCTAGCAATTTGAAAATTGCATGAAATGAAGTAAAACGAATAAATAAAAGATGTAAAGATAAAGATAATGGAACGAAAAGATAAAAAAAGAAGATTTTTACAAGAAGATGTAAAGAAAATAGGAAGAAAATTTAGAGTTGAAAATAGAAGGTAAACGTAAAGTTAAAGAAAATATAAAGACGAAGATGGAAAAATATAGAATAAAATTTCATTTCTCGGTAAATTCGATTATAAAAAGAAAATACAAAAATGAATAACAAACGAAAGAACGCATATCCTTTGTTGCTTAGCTCTGCCTTAAATTTTATCACTTTTTTAATTACAACCACATTTGCAAACTGAAAAATTAATTTTCAGTTTTGTACATTATGGTATATTTCCAATATTGAGATTTTGCTCCAAAATAACCGATATGTTTTGTTCTGTTCTTTTTTTTGGTTCTTTTTCTGCAGACTGATCATCAGGATTATTGCGAGGTCTGTCAACAAGGCGGTGAGATTATTCTCTGCGACACTTGTCCAAGGGCTTACCATCTTGTTTGTCTTGAACCCGAATTGGAGGAAACTCCCGAGGGAAAATGGAGCTGTCCCCATTGCGAAGGAGAAGGTAATTTCAATTTTTTTTTTATTCTATTTAGAAAAAACAAAACCTGTAGAAATAATGTATAGCAAGTGTAAAATATTTTCCGTTGTGTACACTTGTTTTTTTTTTAGAATTTTTTTTTTGTGATTGTACGAAAATTTTTAATTTTGATTTTTTTTATGTCTGATCATAATTACCTATATTTTTGATCGTGTTTTACTAATTGTATTTTTTCTATAATTGAAATCGCGAAGAAGTTACTTTAAATTATTAAATATTATTGATTTGGCGGAGAATTTTAGTTAAAAATTCAAATATAATTTATTATTAATACTCGCTTTTTGTTAAAATCGTTTTATCAATTATTTTTATTAAAAGAGTTAAAGTTGTCGTTTTAATTCAATTTCAAAAATTGTTGAATATTTGAATTCATATTGAGAAAAATATACTGATGTATATTTCAATTATTCAAGTATTAAATAATTTTATTGAAACTAAAAAATTTGATTTTTATTTTAAGCTTTCATGCAATCTTTTAATCTTATCAAAAACCTTTTCTTTAGAAATATTTATTATCTATATATGTAAATATGTATTTTAATTATTCTAGAATTAATTTATTTTATTAAAACTCTAAAAAATTCGTTTTTAAAAATTTTTATTTCAAATTGTTTTAATAATAGAATTGAATTTTTGATACCTACTATATAATTGAAAATTTTTCATTAATTTACATTTTCATAAATTATTTTTTTTAAACTAAAAAATTCATTTTTAAAAAATTGGATTTCAAATTGTTTTAAAAATAGAATATTATGTTTGATATTATATAATTGAAAATTTTTCAAATTATTGAAATTTTGTAAAATTGAAAAAATATTATTGAGTTTTTTTTAACTTGCAATTTATCTTTTGAATTCTTGAAAATACAGAATTGGAAAATTCACAAAGAATTTGTAATTTTAGAAAATTTTATTGAAAAAATTAATGTTTTTAAAACTTTTGTTAAAATTGTTGAAAATCTATATTTTGAAGAATATTATTTATATTATGTATTTAAAATATTCGAGTATCAAACAAATAATTTTATTTAAACTCCAAAAAATATGATTTTTAAAAAAAAAATTATTTCTAATAATTTTGAAAAGAGAATTGAATTTTTATAAGTACAGTGGAAACTGTTGGAATGCAACTCGATTTTCTAAATTTTATTATAGTAAATAATCATTAAAAAATTGTATTATAATTTAATTTTGTAATATTTTTACAATATTCTTACTGTATTTAATTTGAAAATTTTCAAGTAAAAGAAATATTGTAAAATTAAAAATAATTGTATTTTTTGAAGAATTTTACTTCAATTTTACACAAAAAATTTTAATTTAAACACTGTCTAGATTTTTTATTTTCAATTTTAATTCAATTTTTTAAAAATAATTGTATTTTTAAATATATTTAATTGAAAAATTTCCAAACCTTTGAACTTCATAATTTGAAAAACAATTGTAATTCTTTCAAGAATTGTATTAACTTTTTTTGAAAATAATTGAATTTTCAAAGATTTTTAATTTAAATATTCCAGTATTTTTACTGTAAATTCTAATTCAATTTTTTAAAGATTGAAAAGTTAACCTATCAACATCGTTAAAATTTTTAAAATTTATGAAAGTTTTTGGTAAAAATCAAACAACATCTTCTCGATATATGAATTTATTAAAAACAATGAAATATTTCAAAGAAAATTATTAAAAATCTATTTTTTTTTATTATATTACGATGTTATTTTGTTTGGATTTGTAATTTTAGTGAGATCTTATTTTGTTTTATTTGTTCTCTATTTTTTTTATTGTTTTTATTGTTGTTATATTGCAAATGAGAATAAAAAATTAAAATTCTTTCTGAAAATCTGTGAAAAGAGAAACAAAAGGAAAGAAAAAAAAAAGATAAAATCAAATTTTTGTGACAATCCTGACTAAAAAAATTGTTTCAATTTATAAAAATTATTTTCCTAGATTAGTTTTAAAAGTTTAAAACATTTTCTAATTTTCCTTTCCCCTTTTTTTGTCAAACAGGTGCAGCGGAAGATGACGACGAACACATGGAATTCTGTCGCGTTTGCAAGGACGGCGGTGAATTATTGTGTTGTGACAGTTGCACAAGTGCGTATCACATTCATTGTCTGAATCCCCCACTATCAGAAATACCTGATGGCGATTGGAAATGTCCACGTTGTTCCTGTCCACCGATTTATGGTAAGGTGCAAAAAATTCTCACCTGGAAATGGAAGGAATGCACCGAAACACCATCCGAGGAGCCATCGACAAGTAAAGCAGCGCCAAAAGTTCACAAAACACGTGAATATTTCGTGAAATGGTCAGAAATGTCCTACTGGCATTGCGATTGGATATCCGAATTACAACTCGACGTATTCCATCCTCTCATGTTTAGAAATTACATTCGAAAATATGACATGGACGAACCGCCGAAACTCGAGGAACCATTGGACGAGAGCGATACACGTTACAAGCGACTTCAAAATCAAGAGGGACAAAATCAACGTGAAGAATTCAATCTCGAGGAGCGTTACTACAGGTACGGAGTACGTCCCGAATGGTTGATTGTCCATCGTGTCATCAATCATCGATTGCAGAGAGACGGTCGCGCGACTTACTTGGTCAAGTGGCGTGAATTGGGTTACGATCAAGCGACATGGGAGGAGGACAGCGACGATATTCCCGGTCTGAAGCAAGCAGTGGAGTATTATTTGGATCTTAGAAACGCAATTTGCGGCGATGGTTCTTCATCGTCGCGGAAGGGAAAGAAGGGCAAGGGAAAGAAGTCAAAGACACGGGAGATTATCGACGACGAGGAGAAGGCACCGAAACGTTATACACCACCGCCCGATAAGCCGACAACGGATCTGAAGAAGAAATACGAACGACAACCGGATTATCTCGATCAAACTGGAATGCAACTTCATCACTATCAACTCGAGGGTTTGAATTGGTTGAGGTACTCCTGGGGTCAGGGAATCGACACAATTCTTGCCGATGAAATGGGTCTCGGTAAAACGATCCAAACAATCACATTCCTCTATTCTTTGTATAAGGAAGGACATTGTAAGGGACCTTTTCTAGTTTCCGTTCCCCTATCGACAATCATTAACTGGGAACGTGAATTTGAGACCTGGGCTCCTGATTTCTACTGTGTCACATATGTCGGCGATAAGGACAGTCGTATCGTAATTCGTGAGAATGAATTGGCTTTTGAGGAGAACGCTACTCGAGGGGGGAGAGCGACGAAAATTCGTTCGGCGAACATTAAGTTCAATGTACTGCTGACGAGTTATGAATTAATTTCGATAGACTCGGCGTGCTTGGGTTCGATCGATTGGGCAGTGCTGGTTGTTGACGAGGCGCATCGTTTGAAATCGAATCAGTCGAAGTTCTTCCGACTCCTAGCCTCTTATAATATTGCCTATAAATTATTGTTGACCGGTACACCATTGCAGAATAATTTGGAGGAATTGTTTCATCTTTTGAATTTCCTGTGTCGGGATAAATTCAACGATTTGTCCGCTTTTCAGAATGAGTTCGCCGATATTTCGAAGGAGGAGCAGGTGAAGAAGCTACATGAGATGTTGGGACCTCACATGCTGAGGAGATTGAAGGCAGATGTGTTGAAGAATATGCCGAGTAAATCGGAATTCATTGTGAGAGTTGAATTATCGCCGATGCAGAAGAAATATTACAAGTATATTTTGACGAGAAACTATGAGGCATTGAATCCAAAGGGTGGGGGACAGCAGGTGTCGTTGTTGAATATTATGATGGATTTGAAGAAGTGTTGTAATCATCCGTACTTGTTTCCGGCAGCGTCGCAGGAGGCGCCTACGGGACCGAATGGAAATTATGAGACGTCGGCGTTGATAAAGGCGGCGGGGAAACTTGTTTTGTTGAGTAGAATGTTGACGAAGTTGCGTGTCGATGGACATAGAGTGCTGATATTCTCGCAGATGACGAAAATGTTGGATATTCTTGAGGATTATTTGGAGGGCGAGGGTTATAAGTATGAGAGGATTGATGGTAATATTACTGGTACACAGAGACAAGAGGCTATAGATAGATTTAATGCTCCTGGTGCACAGCAGTTTGTATTCCTGCTCTCGACACGTGCCGGAGGTCTAGGAATCAATTTAGCAACAGCTGACACTGTGATAATTTACGATTCCGATTGGAATCCGCATAATGACATTCAAGCGTTTAGCAGAGCTCATAGAATTGGTCAGGCGAATAAGGTGATGATCTATCGATTTGTCACGAGGAATTCGGTTGAGGAACGTGTCACGCAAGTTGCTAAGCGTAAAATGATGTTGACCCATTTGGTGGTGAGACCGGGAATGGGAGGAAAGGGTACGAACTTCAGCAAGCAGGAATTGGATGATATTCTGCGATTTGGTACCGAGGAGCTGTTCAAGGAAGAGGAGGGAAAGGAGGATGAGGCTATTCATTATGATGACAAGGCGGTGGCGGAACTTTTGGACAGGAGTAAGGAGGGTATTGAGCAGAAGGAGAACTGGGCCAATGAGTACTTAAGCTCGTTCAAGGTCGCCTCGTACGTGACGAAGGAGGGAGAGACGGAGGAAGAGGCCGACACGGAGATCATCAAGCAAGAGGCTGAGAATACTGATCCGGCTTACTGGATTAAATTACTGAGGCATCATTACGAGCAGCAGCAGGAGGACATCGCGAGAACTCTAGGAAAGGGAAAACGTGTTCGTAAACAAGTGAATTATAACGACGGAGGCGTCACTGGGGATCAGGGAGCGAGAGATGATCAACCCTGGCAGGAGAATCTTTCCGATTATAACAGCGACTTTAGTGCACAGAGTGACGATGATAAGGAGGACGATGACTTTGATGAGAAGGGCGAGGGCGATTTACTCTCACGTCGCAGTAGGCGTCGCCTCGAGAGGCGTGACGAGAAAGATCGTCCACTGCCTCCACTTCTTGCTCGGGTCAATGGAAACATCGAGGTTCTTGGATTCAATGCGAGGCAGAGGAAGGCTTTTCTCAATGCAATCATGCGTTATGGAATGCCGCCGCAGGACGCTTTCAATTCGCAGTGGTTGGTGCGGGATTTGCGTGGGAAATCTGAGAAGAACTTCAAAGCCTACGTCTCGTTATTTATGCGTCATCTCTGTGAACCAGGTGCTGATAATGCGGAAACATTCGCTGACGGGGTACCACGTGAGGGTCTCAGTCGTCAACACGTTTTGACCAGAATTGGTGTCATGTCACTGATTAGAAAGAAAGTTCAGGAATTCGAACACATTAACGGTTATTATTCAATGCCGGAAATGATAAGAAAACCAGTGGAACCGGTGAAAAATGTAGAGTCTAGTGATGCCACGGCTGCTGCTGCAACTTCTGCTGCCACAGGAACAAGTAGCACCAGTGCAACTCCCGCCACTTCGAATGCGCCAAGTCCAAGTCCGGCTGCAACTCCAACGCCAAATAATGCCACGCCGGTTGTTAATAATGACACGAAAATGGAAACAGAGACAAAGGACGCCAAGGATGAGGCTAACGATAAAAAGGTATAATGATTGTTGATTTTCTTTTTAATTTTTGCTATTTCTATTCCTATTCGTTTATTTGCTAACGTTGTTCGCTATTTGCTAGCCGTATTCGTTATTTATTCGCTGAATTTCCTCTTTTTTCCAAAAATTTTAGTCGGCTGAAACGAAGGACGTGAAGGAGGAGGACAAGGAAAGTAAGGAATCGAAGGAAGATGATGCGACATCAGCCGAGAAGGATAAGGAAAAAGAGAAGGAAAAGGAGAAAGAAGGTGCGGACGTAAAGAAAGAGGGTGAAGACACAGCAATGGATACGAATGAAAATGATAAGGACAAGGAGAAGGAGAAATCAGAGGGTGTTAAGGATGAAAAATCGCCAGCTAAGCCGGAAGAAAAGACGGAGAATGCTGATGCTAAACCCAAAACGGAAACAGAGGAAGATGTCGTTATTGTGAAAGACGATGAAGAAGAGGGCGAAAAGAAAGACGTACGTATTTCAAAATCTTTACAACAAATTGGAAATATATTTTAAACAATTTATTTGTTATTTCAAATTTATTTGAAAATTATTTCGAAAATAGTATTTTTTTTTATTTATTTGATTTATTAAATTTATTTGTAAATGGAAAAAAGTTCTTCATTTGAGAAAAAATGTAACAAATGTATTCATCTTCGTTTTTTAGGAGAAAGACACTAAAGAGAAGGAAACAAAAGAAGCTGAAGCGGAAGTGAAGCCGAAACGTAAATTCATGTTCAATATTGCCGACGGTGGATTCACAGAATTACATACATTGTGGTTGAATGAAGAAAAAGCTGCTGTACCTGGACGAGAATACGAGATCTGGCATCGAAGACACGATTATTGGCTTCTTGCCGGAATCGTCACGCACGGCTACGGTCGTTGGCAAGATATTCAAAATGATATTAGGTAAGTTGATCCAAATTAATGAGAGGTTTAATTAAATTTGTTTCTTAAATAAATATTTGACTTTCCGGTAAAAGAAATAGAAAAAAAAAATACAAAAAGCCGCTTCAATAAAAATTGATTAGTAAATACTTATTATAATATGTATAAACAGGGCTCGAACAAGATCCATAAATTTGCTTGAAGTCTGTAAAAGTCAGTTTTTTTTAAAAAAAAAAGGTCCATAAAATCCGTAATTTGACTTAAAAAGAATCAGGGTTCCTACAGAATCTGGAAATCATGGAAAAGAACTAGAATTTTTAAAAGTTTCTAAATTTTTCCTGTTTACAATTTGTTCTCTTGAATAGAAATTCAAATAATAAAAAAGCTAAATGGCATAAAAGAGAAGAAAAAATGTTGAATTTTAAGAAATTCGGATTTTTGAATTTTCGATAATTTTAGATTTTTTACCAAAGAGTCGAGACTATTTAATAAATAAAGTATTTTCCAAGAGCACAAAAATAATAAAGCTAAATCCTATAAAAGAGAGGGGAAAATATTGATTTTTTAAAAAAATAGGCTTTTTGAATTTTTGATAATTTTAGATTTTTTACCAAAGGGTGGAGACTATTAAATAAGTAAAGTATTTTCCAAAAGCCCAAAAATAATAAAGTAAATCCCATAAAAGAGAGGAAAAAATGTTGAATTTTAAGAAATTCGGATTTTTTAATTTTTGATCATTTTAGATAATTTTAGATTTTTTACCAAAGAGTGGTAACTATTAATTAAGTAAAGTATTTTTCAAGAGCCCAAAAATAATGAAGTAAATCCCATAAAAGAGAGAAAAAAAGGTTGAATTTTAAGAAATTCGGATTTTTGAATTTTTGATCATTTTCGATAATTTTCGATAATTTTAGATTGAATTTTTAGAAATAATTGAATTTTGAAATTAATTTTTATAAAAAAGTTTACTTGAATTTTTTTCTCTATTATTTGGAGTTTTAATTTTGTAATATATATTTAATTGAAGAATTTACGAAAAGTTGAAATTTCGTAAAATTGAATATTGTAAACAAATGGATTTGAAAATTGTCAAAGAACTTTTTCGAAAATTATTAAAAATAATCGATTTAAAGAAGAATTTTAATTAAAAATTCTTGAAAATATTAATTAAATTGATGATTTTATCACTAGAAATCGATCACTCCGAGTCGAAGACTCGGAGTTATCGATATCTTCAAGTTTTATATTTATGAAAAATTTAGTTTGTAGTTTTAAGCAAAATGTTTTCTTATTTGACTCGGACTGTTTATATTTGTGTTAGTAATTGGTCCGTAATTTTTCATTTTTGGTCCGTAAAGTCTGTATTTTTAAATACTTTCACTGGTTCGAGCCCTGTTGATAAATATAAATGCTTGTTATATTACGATGTTATTTTGTTTGGATTAATAAATGTTAATGTTTATAAATGTTTGTTGTTACAATTTTAATTAAAATATAATTTGTAGAGAATAGGTTTTTCCAGACTTGGAGAATTAAATATTTACTTTGTTTATTTTGACAGATTCGCGATTATCAATGAGCCCTTCAAGATGGATGTTGGCAAAGGCAATTTCCTCGAAATAAAGAATAAATTCCTTGCCAGACGATTCAAACTTTTAGAGCAAGCTTTGGTTATTGAAGAACAACTCAGAAGAGCTGCGTATTTGAACTTGACACAGGATCCAAATCATCCGGCGATGAGTTTGAATGCAAGGTTCGCTGAGGTTGAATGTCTTGCCGAGTCACATCAGCATCTCAGCAAGGAGAGTCTTGCTGGTAATAAGCCCGCAAACGCCGTTCTTCATAAGGTTCGTTGAAAAAAACCAAATTTAAAAAATATTAATTATTTTTAATAAGATTTGACGAACAAAAAACGTTTGTCATCGCCACTAAAGGTGATAATAAAATTTGATAGCGATTTTTTTAAATTTTGCTTATTGGATTCTTTTTTTTAAACACAGGTGCTAAATCAATTGGAGGAATTGCTCTCTGACATGAAGTCAGATGTGAGTCGATTGCCAGCAACTTTGGCGAGAATTCCACCAGTTGCTCAACGTCTCCAAATGTCGGAGCGTTCAATTTTGAGTCGTTTAGCTGCAACGGCTCCAGGCGGCAGTAATACACAATCCGGACAAGCGGCATTATTGGCTCAACAATTCCCAGCTGGCTTCCCCAGTGGACAATTGCCAGCCTCATTTGCTGGTGCAGCTAATTTTGGTAATTTTAGGCCAAATTACGCTGTTCCTGGTCAAGCACCACAAGGTTTCACGGGTAAGGGACAATTTTATCGATTTTTTAAAAATTAAACAACTTGAACAATAAATTAGAGATAGAAAATAGTAAGCAAAAATTAAACGCAAAGAAAAAGTAATCAGACTTCGCACTCGATAATTAATTTTAAAAAAGTAGCTTTCAAAGTAAAAAAAGTAGAGTAGCATAAACAGAAGTGGGCCACCCGCCGTTTTTGGTTTTGCAAGTGACATATCTGTCAACCGAATTTTCTTGTTGTTGTTATCAACAGAAGGTCATTGAAGTGTGCGACGTACAATTGTTTTCTCCAGCCATTAGTGCCAAAAATCATCTACTTTTTCCTTTTTTTTCATTATTATAAAAATTATCGTTGTTTACATAAGTGATTCGTCGAATACAATCGGGTAAGTAGCCTTTATTATAGTATCAGACCTAACTTTAAAAAATTTAAAAAGACTGTTGCATATTGTCGCGAGGTGCAGGGCTCGAAGTAGGTCCGTAAATCCTGAAAAAGTCCGTAACTTTGCTCCAAGTCCGTAAAAGTCCGTTTTTTTTTTGAAAAAAAGGTCCGTAAAGTCCGTAATTTCATTCAAAAAGGATGAGAAGTTCGTAAATTGTACGATATAATTTTGAGAATGTTAGAGAAGTTACAAATGATTGCAGAAATTCAATTATTTTTAAAAGTAATAAAATTCTTCGCAAAAATTCAATTATGTTCAAAATTTTTTAACAAGTCTCGTCAAAATTTCAATTATCTTTAGAAATATTAAAATTCTTCTCCGAAATTCAATTATTTTCAAAAAATCTAAAAACATTGTCAACATCTCAATTATTTTTATAAATAAATAGCAAAATTCTTCTACAAAATTCAATTATTTTCAAAAATTTTAATAAAATTCATTAAAAAATTTCAATTATTTTCGAAAGTAATAATATTCTTCGCAAAAATTATATATTGTTCAATATCTACTATTTTCATAAACTTTACCAAAAGAATTTAATTATTTAAAAAAAAATTTAATAAAATTCTACAAAAACTTTTAATTATTTTCAAAAAATAATAAAAATTTGAAAGGAATTTCATTATTAACAAATTTCTTTTATAAATGTTATCGCAATCATTCAACTATTTTCATAAATAATAAAATTTTTAAGGGGATTCAATTATTTTCGTAAATAATAAAATTCTTATTAGGAATTCAATTATTTTCAATAGAATTTTAATCGAATTCCTCGAAGAAATTCTTAAAAATTTTATTAAAATTCGTCCAAAGAATTAAATTATTTAAAAATTTGATGATAAAATTTTTAATAGGAATTGAATTCCAAGAAACATTCAATTATTGAATAAATTATTTATTTTTGTATTTAAATAATTGAATTCCCGTAGAATTTTCTCTTAAACATTGATTTAAAAATAGATTTCAGTTAAAATCTTAGATTATAATAATTGAATTCTTTCGAAGAACTTCATTAAAATTTTAAAAATAATTGAATTTTATCGAGACATTTTTTTTAAAATTGTCTTAAAAATAATAATCGAATTTCTACCAAGAAAAGTTTTATCAAAACTTTTTAAAATGTTTGAATTTCTGTTAAAATTCTGATATTTTTGAAAATAATTGAATTCTTGCAAAGAATTTTATTAAGACTTTTGAAAATAATTGAATCTCTGCAAAGATTTTTATTATTTTACGAAAATATTTAAATTCTTGCGAAAAATTTTATTAAAATTTCTGAAAGTAATTTAAGATCTGCTAAGAATTTTGTTATTTTTAATTTATGCCAAGAATTTTATTAAAATTTTTAAAAATAATTGAATTCCTGTTAATTTTTTACAAGAATTTAATTATTTTTGAAAATTTTAATTTAAATTCTTCGCAAGAATTCAATTATTTTCATAAATAATAAAATTCAATGCAGAATTTCAATTATTTTTAATACAATTTTAATAGAATTTCTCGATAAATGTAATTATTCTTAAAAATTTGATTAAAATTCGTTAATAGAATTCAATTATTTGAAAATTTGTTGATAACGATTTTTTATGGGAATTTGTATTTTAAGAAACGTTCAATTAAATAATTGAATTTTAGTAGAATTTTCAAATAAAAATTGATTTTTACTTTATAAAAATTTATTCCAGTTAAAATTTTAGATAATAATTGAATATTAAAAGCAATACCTATAGCGCGAATTTTAAAAAATAATTGAATTTTGTAATTAATTTTTTTGTAAAAGTTTAATTGAGTTTTTTAATATTATTTTTAGTTTCAATTTTCTAATATTTATTTAATTAAAGAATTTACGAATAATTGAAATTTCGTAAAATTGAATATTGCGTAAAGAAATGAATTTGAAAATTGTCAAAGAACTTTTTCGAAAATTATTAAAAATAATCGATATAAAGAAGAATTTTAGATAGAAATTCTTAAAAATAATAATTGAAGTGATAATGATTTTAATTATTATAAATTATTTTTATTAATAATTATTATTAATTATTATAAAACATGAAAAATTGAATTTCTAGTTTTAAGTAAAATGTTCTCTTATTTTATTCGGCCTGATTCTATTTTTGTCAGTTTGTCCGTAATTTTTAATTTTTGGTCCTTAAAGTCCGTATTTTTAAATACTTTCACTGCTTCGAGCCCTGTTCTCGTGAAATTACGCTTGTGGACAGAAGTGGGCCACTGCATTGACGTTCCGTTTCGACATGTAGTGATTTTGTATAAACCAATGAAGTGGTTTTATGAATTAATTTGAATATTTTAGCAATCATGCCACCAAGAAAGGGTAAGCCGACTGGCTATGAAGCCGTTGACTGCGACAAATTACTTCATTGTATAAAACAAATGAAAATTAATAAAATGTCGGAACGCACTGCTTGTGCTGCTGCCGGTATGAGCCGATCAACTTTTCAACGTCAGCTGAAACGCCTTGTTACCGAGTTTGAGGATTTTGCAAAGGCCACTGATGAAGAATTGTTGGATTTCCTCAAAGGAAGACCAAGACACGGTGGAAAAACGGTAGATATTTTTTTTATGAGACTTTTATTTTTTTTTTGGTTTATTTTTTAATTCATTTTTCATTATTTCTGATTAAATTTGTTTGCTTATTTTACAGATCTTGACTGATGTTCAAGAAAAAAATCTTGCCCAATACATCATTGAATGTGCGAAAATCAATAATGGTCTCACCATCGATGACGTGTGCAAGTTGGCGTTGCAATTTGCACAAAAAGTTGAAGCTGATTATCCATCCAATTGGGATGATGCCGGAAAAGCTACCAGAGATTGGTATTACGCTTTTGTGAAACGTCATGGTACCCCTTTGATTGAATGTTTGGTTTTGGAAAAAGAGCCGGCTAGGCCTAAAGAGGTCAGCTCTGTTGCATCTACGTCTCATTCAACTGGATGAAATCGGTCCACTTCGTCATGTCACCCCGAAGAAAAAATCGAACTGAGGACGAAAACCAAAACGGTAACGTCATCATCAAAAGAAGATCGTGACTTTTGTTTGATTTGCACTTAATTAATGGCACATAAAATGACAAGGAAGAATTCAATCGAGTGCAAGCGATTTTACGTGTCAAAATTGTAACTGTTATAGATGTAACCGACAAGGAATAACTTTACGGTCTTTTCATTACATTTTTTTTACTTTTTTTTGTGTATATTTGAGGCAATATAATACACAGTATTAGAAATAAAACTTGGTTTTACAAAATTATTTATTGAAAATATTAATCATTTAACATAAACAATCATACAGGGTGGCCACTTTTTTCATAAAACGAAATTCACGGTCATTTCCCGGTCATAAAGAATAACTCTGAAAATAAATTATTCCATGAATAATTGAAAAAATTCCCTGATTTTTAGACAAAAATTTTGACTTTTTCCCAAACCCCAAAAATATTTTAATTTACTTTAAAAATAATTGAAACTCCAAAAATCCTTTAAACTCGAATAGTTTTTAAGAATTGCTACTTTAACTTATTAAAAATTATTTTCAAAATTTCAATTCAATTATTTTCTAGAAATTTTAACTAAAATATTTCTAAAATTCACTTGTTTACAAGACAATTTCATGAAATTTTGAATAATTTGAAAGTTTTTCAATTAAATATTAGGTATATATATATATATTTAAAAATATAACTAATTTGAAAAAAAATGTGAATAAAAATGTTTCAAAAAACTAACTTATTCAAAATTTTTAATTAAAATCTTTTTACTATTTTTGAAAATAATTCAATTCTTTATAAGAATTTTATAAAAATTGTTTTAAATAATTAATTTGTTCGAAATATAATAAATATTATGAAAATTTTATTTTAAATAATTGAATTCTTGTGAAAACTTTATTTGTGAAAATAATTGAATTTTTCCATTTTTCAAAAATAATTCATTTCCTGAGAAGAATATTATTATTTATGAAAAATTTTATTAAAATATTTAAAAAGATTTGAATTTCTGTAAAAAATGTTGTTATTTTTGAAAATAATTGAATTCTTTTTAAGAATTTCATAAAAATTGTTTTAAATAATTAATTTGTTCGAAATATAATAAATATTATGTACATTTTATTTTAAATAATTGAATTCATGTGAAAATAATTCAATTTTTCAAAAATAATTGAATTCTTGAGAAGAATTTTATTATTTCTAAAAATAATTGAATTCTTGCAAAAAATTTTATTAAAATGTTTAAAAAGAATTGAATTTCTGTGGAAATTTTTGTTATTTTTGAAAATAATTGAATTCTTTATAAGAATTTTATAAAAATTGTTTTAAACAATTTTTTTGTAATATAGTAAATATTATGCAAATTTTATTTTAAATAATTGAATTCTTGTGAAAATAATTGAATTTTTCAATTTTTCAAAAATAAATTCCTGAGAAGAATTTTATTATTTATGATGAAAATAATTGAATTATTGCGAAAAATTTTATTGAAATGTTTAAAAAGAATTAAATTTCTGTTAAAAATTTAGTTATTTTTAAAAATAATTGAATTCTTTATAAGAATTTCATAAAAATTGTTTTAAATAATTAATTTGTTCGAAATATAATAAATATGATGAACATTTTATTTTAAATAATTGAATTCTTGTGAAAATAATTCAATTTTTCAAAAGTAATTGAATTTTTGAGAAGAATTTTATTATTTCTAAAAATAATTGAATTGCAATGCGAAAAATTTTATTAAAATGTTTAAAAAGAATTGAATTTCTGTGAAAATTTTTGTTATTTTTGAAAATAATTGACTTCTTTATAAGAATTTTATAAAAAATTGTTTTAAACAATTTTTTCGTAATATAGTAAATATTATGGAAATTTTATTTTAAATAATTGAATTCTTGTGGAAATAATTGAATTTTTCAATTTTTCAAAAATAAATTCCTGAGAAGAATTTTATTATTTATGATGAAAATAATTGAATTATTGCGAAAAATTTTATTAAAATGTTTAAAAAGAATTAAATTTCTGTTAAAAATTTAGTTATTTTTGAAAATAATTTAATTCTTTATAAGAATTTTATAAAAATTGTTTTAAATAATTAATTTGTTCGAAATATAATAAATATTATGAAAATTTTATTTTAAATAATTATTTAATTTATTTATAATTATTCAAATAATTGAATTTATTTAAAATAGTATTAAAAATAATTGAAATTCTTCGATGAGTTTTATTATTTATGGAAATAATTGAATTCTTGCTTAGAATTTAATCAAAAATTTTTTTAAAAAATAAATTGAATTTCCATAAAAGTAGTGTGAATTCTCAAAAAAACAGAAATAGTAGGTTTTAGTATCTGAAATTTTAAAAAAGTGCCCAAATAGTAGCATAACATGAAAAAGTGGTAAATAATAGGTTTTAGTAGATGAGTGCGAAGCCTGCGTAATTGAAAAAAAGTAAATAAATAAAATTAGTGAGAATAAAAAATAATTCGAGAATCGAGAAGTGAAGGAAAAAATTAACAATTGTTTTGTTTGTAGCTTGAACTTATTTATCGGAGCAGCAGCAGCAGCAGCTCAAGAGAGGAAAACTCAATGGCGCAGACGACATTCCCACCTGAATAAAATGCGCTGTAATATTATTTTTCGTAAATTACAATTTCTAGCTGAATTTTCACTAGATAAGGATCTAAGGTTAATTAAGCAAAAAAAAATAATAATTAATAATAATAAATCGCTAAATATAATATCGTATGCTAAGAAAAGGAAGGAATCACATACATTTCTTGTATTTATTATGTGTACATTCGTCGTCCGAGAATAACGTGATTATCATGTTTTTGTTTTTTTGTATCGGATTTAAAGGCGGGTTCGTTAAAATGCAGGTCACCTTTTGTTTTTTTTTTATAATCGAGAGGATCGCGATTTTTTTTTATATCCTTTTGGACATTCGACGTCTGCATTATAATTCATAATTCTAACTATAGCAACAATTTATAATTAAGAAACATTTTTACTTAAATTTATTTAAGAAAAACTCGCACATTTATATTCGTTGGGACTTGTCAGTTAAATGAATTAATAATTGATTTTTATTGATAATATAATTTATTTGTCGATTTTTCAAATAGCAGGTTTTTTCTTTTACTCATTTTTCGTTAATTAATTAATTAATAAATAAATAATTCATTGCCATTTTATGGCAAAAATAGAAAAAGTTTACGATACTTGTTTATATGTTATTTAAAAAAAAAGAAAAAATGCCTTGAATAATTTTTAATTAAGACTGATGCTTAATTAAAGTATCGAATCAAATTTTTTATATTTAAAAAAAAAATACCTGCAACAAAACGAAGAAAGCACAGTTTTTTTTGTGCTCTAAAAATTTTTTTAAACAAGTGTCGAGAATGGATATTAAAAAGAAACACACACACACTACACACTCACATATACACAAAAAAAATGGGATTTTTTTTTAAACTTGATGTGTGCTCTATGAAACGAGAGCAAAAGAAAATTTTGGAATAGAAATAAGTTTTTAAAAATCTTCTTTTTTTGGAGAGGATTTTAGCTTGCATTTGTGAGAGAGCATCACTATTAGTGTTTTTATTTTGTTTTTTAAAAAACTGGACGAGAGAATGTTGGGCGAAAAAGAAAACTACAATCAAGTACATTTGATTAATAAAATATAGTAAACACAGGTAAAGAAAAAAATAAAATAAAAAAAAAAAAGTTTGGAGACAATTTTCAAATGCTTATTAAGGCGCAAATTATTTCTCTGTAATATGTAAAGTTTAATATAAAAAAAAAATGGTAAAGGGGATTTTTTATGACATTTCTATTTACACCTCTTTCGAATGACTATCATTCATTAAATATTTGTTCTTGAGCAAAATGCAGCGATATTCGTACATGTATCTAGATTATTCGGTGCGCTCTGACTTAATTTTTATTTCACATCTACCAAACTCTGTACATACACAATGTGTTGCACTGGAAACTCTGAAATATAAATGTTAAACTGAAAATAATGCTTTTATATTTTCAAAACCCTAAGTAGAAATGTTTTTTTAATAGCAAAATTTATAAGAAAATTATTATAAAACAAGAAGAAATCGATCACTCCGAGTCTTCGACTCGGAGTGCTCGTTTTCTTCATGTTTTATAATAATTAATGACGAGTGATAAAATTATTTTACATTAAAAAAAAAATATTGTTACTCTGACTTCTTCAAAATTAATTTTATCATTTCAATTTAATTATTATTTTCTAGAAATTTTAACTAAAATTCTTTTTTAAACAAAAAAAATTCACTCTATAATGCTTTTAATATTCAATTATTATCTAAATTATTTTTTTTAAATACTAACATAATTCTTTGAAGCAATTCAATTATTTTCGAAAATTTTAATAAAATTCTTCGCAAGAAATCAATTTATTCTGCGATGTGTTTTATTATTTGTGAAAAAAAATTGAATCCCTAAGAAGAATTTTATTATTTTTAAAAAATATTTAATTTTTGCGAAAAATATTATTACTTTTAAAAATAATTTAATTTCTGCAATAATTTTTAATTTTATTAAATTAATTAAATTTCTATGAATATTTTGATTAAAATTTTTAAATGTATTTGAATTTCGGAGAAGAATTTTATTATTTATAAAAATAATTTAAATTTTGAAGAGAATTTTTTAAAATTATTTAACATTATAATTGAATTCCTGAAAAGAATTTTATAAAAAAAATTTTAAATAATTGAATTTCTGTGAAATTTTTTATTATTTTAGAAACTAATTGAATGTTTCTTCAGAATTTTATCAAAAAGTTGTGAAAATAATTGAATTCTTTTGGGAATTTTTATTAAAATAAAAAAAGAAACATTTTTGAAAATAATTAAAATTTTGCCATGAATTTTATTAAAAGTTTTAAAAATAATTGAATCCCTTTAAAAAATTGAAGAACAATTTTATTATTTATGAAAATAATTGAATTATTGCGAAGAAATTGATGAAAAATTTATAAATAATAGAATTCCTGTGGGATTTTTATTATTTATGAAAATAATTTAATATATGAGTAGAATTTTATTAAAATTTTATTTTAAATAATTGATTTATTTTGGTAAACTTTATTAAAATAATTATTAAATATTATTAAATTGAGGAAAATTTTTGAAAATAATTGAAATTTTGTCAAGAATTTTATTGAGATTTTTGAAAATCATTGAATTTTGGAGAAGAATTTTACTTTTGTTAAAGATAAATGAAATTTTGACCAGAATTTTGTATTAAATATTCGAACATAATTGAATTTCTGCGAAGAATTTTATTACTTTTGAAAATAATTGAATTTCTGTAATAATTTCTAACTTCTCCAAAATTCAATTTCCTTTAGTTTTTTGAACTAAAATTCTTCTGTAAATCCATTATTTTTTACTAATTAATTAAATAAATATTATTAAATTTAACTAATTTCAGAAGAATTTAAATTATTAAAATTTGCACGTGAAAAAACATTGACAGTAAACAAACATCAAGAAAAATAAGAGCAAATTATAAATTAAAAATTTCTCTTAATAATAATTGATAGTAAATAAAAATAAAAGAATAAAAATAACATTAGAGATAAATATAAAATTAAAAAAGTTTATGAAAAAATAGAATTCAAAAATATTTTTCCAACATAACATTTTGTTTCTTAAAAATCATTTATTGTATGCGGTGTCAATGAAAAAACGAGTAATAAATTACAGTGTAAATACAAAATATTGAGTCTATGTTAAATCGAAGTTAACGAAAATGAATAATTTCAAATGTGTATGTATTTTTTTATAACAAAAAAAGAAAAGAAAACATTTTGTTTTTATCTCACATTCCTCTCAACCAGATGATTCTTTCTTTTGCTTCTGCTGCACCATTTCGCGAAGATTATTTTCACTTTCTTTTAAACTATTTTGAAGATAATTCTTATTTGTATCTAGAACTTTAATTTTCTCATCAGCATTCACTATTCGTTTATCCAAGCTGACTTTAATGTTATTAATATCATCGAGGAGAAACATTCTGCCAACAGATTCGTAAGTTCTTGTAGTTGGAGGAAGTAAGACTATTTCCTTGGTGGTTAATTCTGCTCGTTGTTTCGTTCGTTTTAATGATTCAATTTGAACATCAGCAAGTTTTAATTTATGTAATGTGTCCACTACTTTGAGATGGAGTTCAGAGAACGCTTTTTTTAGCTCTTCATCAGGTACTCGTGCCATTTTTTCCAATGAAATCTTTATGGAAAAAAATTGAAATAAACAATTGGTTTTTAAATGTTTGACATATTTAATTAATTTCACGAATTTTTGCATTCGATTTATAAATGTTAACTTACCGTTTGACTTTTGTTAAAATTGCGTGGGTGTTATTTAAATCACTCGTTTTTAAATCATGTAAATCGTTTAAATCTAAATAAGGTAATTAGGTTATGTTTCTATTTTGTGTTCAGTGCGCATGCGCATTGTGAAACAACAGGGGAAAGGGCAGGCCCAGGCTTTAAGTTATATTTTTAAAATAATAAATATAAATTTTATATAAGTACTTTTGAATATTGCAATTTAAAACGTTTAAAACAAATTAAATTAATTTTTCTTTTTAATAATCGAATAAGCAGTAGGAAAAAAGAGAAATTTTATAATTCTGCTTGTGAACTTGACTTTAATGTCCTTGAGTGTACCTTCCCATCCCTGAAATAGTTCAATAAAAAAAACAGTGTGATAGGACTTTTACGTTCCTAACCTAATTTAACAAAAATACAACATGGTGTTTTTGGAGTATTTTAATTGTTCCATATCATTCCTCATAAAGAATACAATTAACCACTGTCAGTCTTGTAAATTAAATCACTAGTTAAAAGAAAATTCTAATAAATGTGAAAAGCGAGCAATTGCAAAAATGTTGAAAATATTTAGTAATAAATTTGGCAGTGGAAATCGGTTCCCAGTCCTAACCAATAAATACTTTTCTCAATATAAAGGATTACTGACAAATAAACCTGAAAATAAAATAAAAACACCACAAACAGCGTTTGAAAAAATGAATGAATTACGTGGAATGAAGAACATGAGTTTTATGCAAAAATACAAAAGTTACATCAATTTTATGATTCAACATTACGATAATAATATGACAATTGTTGAAAAAAAATTTCCAAAAATGAAAGTTATGAGGGTATTTAATACGGGACTCAAGGATTTGTATCAGGATGTAAAGAAGTATATGTCGATAAAGAAGAAGAAGAATCAAGTTGGAAGTCAAGGATTGACTAGAGAGGAACTTGAGTTAAATTTTAAATTACCGAATGATTTGATAAAAGTATCGCCAATCTTGATAATCTCCGCTATTCCATTCACAAATTACATTGTATTTCCATTAATTTATTTCTTTCCACGAGTATTTCTAGTCTCTTACTTTTGGACATTGCAACAGAGACTTGATTTTTTTCTCTACAACTATAAACGAAAATTGAAGTACAATAAACCTGTTTTTCGATGTTTACAAGCGCAAAAAAGAGATATTAAACGTTTACCATCGGCTGTGCGATGGAATAGTGTTATTGCATGCATTGGAAGTGGTACACATCCAACAACGTCGGATATTATTGCTTGTAAGGATTTATTCACAGGATATCCATTTTCGATAAATTCTCTCAAACAAAATCACGTAGTAAGTAAATCAAAAAATAATTTCTGGGTTAGCACTGTTCAGGGAATTCAGGGAAAGTACAAGGAGAGAGAATATATATTAAATTTTGTAAAAGTATTCTAAAAATTGGGGAAAAAGTGAGCCAAAGCGAATTTTTGATATAAAAAATACTAAACTTTAAAAAAAAAACTTATTACAAATTTAGAGTAATTATATCAAATATTAAGAATATTAATTAAATTCTAATATAACTTTACTAAATTTCACAATTTTTTTTTAAAGTTTAGTATTTTCTATATAAAAATTTCGCTTTGTCGCACTTTTTCCCCAATTTGTAAAATGCTTTCACAAAATTTAATATATATTCTCTCTCCGTGTAGAATTGGTCAGGGAAGTCAGGGATTTTTATTAAAAGTACTAGAAAGAATTAAATTTTTAGAATTCATAAGAAAATTCTGAATTTTTGTGGTTTTTTTTGTTTGACTCATAAACCATGAAATTACCAAGAAACCTTCAATTTTTTTCTATTTCTGACAATAATTTCTAATTAAATAACTTCATTCATAAATAGATTAAATTTTTGTAGCAACCCTGAATTTCTTTCGTAAAAAAATTTTTGTAAAGATGAAAATCAAATTTTTCATATCTTCTTTTTTTTGTAGAATGATTTATTAAGTTTGCACACAATGCCACGATGGATGCCGTTCAGAAGAAAAAGACTAATAAAGAGGGGATTTTTATTAAAAAATATGGATAATGCTATTCTAAAGGAAGGCGGTGTTACGAAAATTTCAACTGAAGCTTTAAAATGGGTAACGTATAGAATTTATTTTTCGTTCATAAATATTTTTTAATATTCACTCACAATTTATGAAAATAAATGTCATAAATTCATTAATTTATTGATTAAAGGTTGTATCATTTCGAGGTTTAAATCCAGTAAATATGTCAAATGAATCAATGCAAGAGTGGCTTGATCAATGGCTTATTGTCTCGTCTGCAGTCGATAAAGAGAGCATTTCATTACTTCTCCATTGTCCCGTACTATTGGCATACAATCATCCCACAAACTGGACTTTATTGTATCGTAAAGTGTAAATATCACAAAAGAGGAAAAAAAAATAATTTTGACATGGTAAACCTTTTTTCTTAAATATTGTAAAATAATTTCCATTTTCTTCTTCTTCTTGACCAAAAAAAAGTCTATCGCTGACAAAAATTAAGTTAAATTATTGTAAATAACTAAAGTAGAATTTTAATAAATACTTCTATGTATCAACTTTAATATAGAAAAATTTAATTTTCCCCTAGATTAAAAATTATTTTACACAAAAAATTCTATCAAAAGAAATAGGAAAAAGTATAATTTATTTTAAAAATTTATTTTAATAACTTGACAGACCTAGGTTCGAATTTAGGGCGCAAAAAAATTGCTTCAGTCGATTAAAAAAAAGAAAAAAAGTCGTTTATTTAATTCAGTATTGCCACAAAAATTTTACTAAACAAAAATTTTGCTAGATAAATATTAAAATACTCATTTCCTTTTTCCCGGAAAATAAAATGAAAAAAATGTCAACTTCTGAAATTTAATAATTAATAAAAAATACAACTAAATTTCATATCTAAATCATTTATTTTTAATTATTTTTTCGAAAGTTCGGCAAGAATTCAATTATTAAGATATAAAAATTCAATTTTTTTGTAATAATTGTAATCTTAAAATTAATTTTTTTTAAAATAATTTTTGAAAGCTTTTTTCAATTATATACAATTGAAAACTTTGCTTTTATAAAATCTCTGAAAAATAATCTAAATTTGGTAAAATCTTTGAAAAATAATTGAAATTTGATCAAATATTTTAAAAATAATTGAAATTTAGTAAAATCTTTAAAAAATAATTAGAATTTGATCAAATATTTTAAAAATAATTGAAATTTGGTAAAATCTTTGAAAAATAATTGAAATTTAGTAAAATCTTTAAAAAATAATTAGAATTTGGTAAAATCTTTGCGAAATAATTGAAATTTGGTAAAATGTATGAAAAATAATTGAAATTTGGTAAAATCTTTAAAGAATAATTAAAATTTTATAAAATCTTAGTTGAAAAATAATTAAAATTTTAAAAAATATAAAAAAATAATCGAATTTTCTAAAGAATTTTAATTATAATTATGAACACGATTTCTTCGAAATTTGAATAAGTGTAAAAAAGTAATTTTAAAAAAATGTTAATTTACTTTGTTCGAAGATAATTTAATCTTAAAAAAAATTATAATAAAACAATTCTAAGAATTAGTTTTCTAAAAATATTGTAATATAATTTTTCGAAAATAATTGAATTCCTCAAAAGAATTTTTGTATAATTATCAAGAAAATAAATTCTTCTTTCCCCTAAAGAAAGGAGTTATTATTATTATTATTATTTTAGTAAAAAAATTGTTTCATAAAAAAATTTCATTAGAAGAAATAAGCAGAAGAGTAATTTATCTGTAAAATTTACTTTATTAACGAAATCATTTCAGATACACGTTTATCACAGAATATTTAGGTACTGTATTTTAACACTTTCTTTAAAAAATAATTCTTATAAATAGAAATCAATCTTTTTTTACAAATAATTTGTAGTTACACTCTAAAAATTTAGCGTATAAAAAAACGAAAATTAAAATTAATGTATTTCACACAAAAGTGTTAGGAAAAAAAATATATAATTTACGCAGAGGAAAAAAATATAAAAATTCACGTAAAATATATAAATATAAAAAGGATAAATTTAAATAAAATATAATTAAAATATAAACGTAAAGAAAACGTAAATTAAATGAAAATCAGATAAAAATGAAAAATTGTCTAATTAATTGGTATATAAGATGGTAAATTACCAACTGGTGGTCTTTTACGTGGCACATAGACAGTCGTATCTATTTCAACTCTCACTTCTGTTTCTTCATTTTTATCTTCATTGATAATAATTGTACTCTCTTCATTTTGATTTTGTGCGGCTTTGACGATTTTCAATTTTCTCAATAATCTCTCACGTTTCTCCTCCAAATCATCATTTGAACTATCATAATAACGTTTTCTGCTCTCTATTATTGTACAAGTGAGGTCATTCTCATTGGAAGCATTCAAATTCGTTAATTCCTTGTTTACATTATTTAAAGTGCGTGGCGTATTTTTCGTTTTCGATTTATGCGGGTAGGGGCACTGTTTACCTTTACTACACTTTCCCTCCTTTTCGAATTCGGGACACGCGAAAATATGACGCTCCTTACACTGTAAATTAAATACGAAAACACGAATAATTTACAAAAATTCTTTTCGATAATAATTTGCAAAAATTAAAATGAATCAGAAAAGTGAAAATTAAAAAAATGAAATTGTCAATAAATAATTGTATTAATAACAATAAGTAAATATAAAAAAAGTAATAAACAATTAATTGCTTAGAAAGTAAATAATATTGAGTAATAAATAAATATTAATAAATAAAAAATCTAAAATAGTAAAAAAAGTAAAATAAAAAAATCTGATATAAAAATAATAATTAAAAATTCTGGATTAATTTAAATAGAAATTTCTGTGCAAAATTCTCACCTCAGTGCCTTTTGCGCAGTAGCCTTGGAGAAATTCTCGGCAAATTGGAGTTTTTTCCGAAACTTTGACATGAAGATAGGGACATTTGTCGCGTGAGCAACAACCTTCTAAAAAATACTTACATGTCGGCATTTTTTCCGGGCCCACATCGTGTGAAAGTTTACAATTTTCCACTAAACATTTGCCTTGCAGGAAACTATTGAATGATGGAAAAAAAGAAAATTTTTCGTTCCAACGAAAATTTTGTTATTATTTTTTTTGAAAATTATTTTATCTTTTCAATTAATTCAAAGTTTAACAAAAACAAAGAAACAATTACTTACTTTTTACAAAGGGCAATTTGCTTTTTGTCATGAACTTTATGACACGTTCCTTTTGCTTGATTCGCGCAATAGCCAAATTTTCGGAAAAATAGACAAGGCTGATTATTTTTGCGCATTTTGTTCCGCAAAAGTTGTATACTCCTTTGCTTCACTTTGTTGCTGTTTGGAAATGTAGAAAAAGATTTTTTTAGAACAATTATTATTTAATTTCCTACACAACTAAATTAATTTCAAAATTAGAACTTTTTAATTAATTAAAAGTATTTTTTAACTAACAATATTTTATTTATTAACTGAAAATATTATTTTAGTAAAGAAAAATATTTTTTATTAACTAAAAATATTATTTTACTAATGAAAAATATTTTTTGCTAACTAAAACTATTTTGCTATTAGCAAAAAATATTTTTTTTTTATTAACTGAAAATATTATTTCTATTTGTCAGTTTTTTCTATTAATCATAGAATTATTTCGGAATATTAAATTGTTAATTAATAAATTTGATTCCCGTTTTTAGAACTTTTCAAAAATACAGTAAACTCCAAGGAAATTAATTTACCTCATATTGCTTTTGATGGTTTGCTTCAAAGAAACGAAGGATGTTCTTTTAATAATTGAATTTCGATTGAATGCCGATGAAAATCGAGCAGAATTATTCGCCGGTGTATTTTTCGTTGTTGTATCAATTCGACGAAGTGCTTTTCCATTAGACGCGATGAAAAATTGATCTTTCGATTTACTCGAAACTGTTCGTTTTTCTGAAATAATTTATATCCCATTAAATAATGTTTACATTATTGAAAAGCAATTTTCTCTGATAATTTAATAAAGTAAAGAAAAATACTTTTTGTCGGACTAGTACTGTTTCTCCGTATCAACTGATTCTTTGATGAATTGTAACGAATTCCTTCAATTGAAACTAACTTCTTAAAATTACTCCTGAAAAAATTTTCACAGTGAAATAATTTATTTATTAAATAAATAAATATTTTTATTGCATTTTTGAAAAAAACTCTATATGATTAATCGTTGATTAATTTTAATTGATTTCTTCCAAAATTTCAATTATTTTTCAATATCTTGTAAAAATTCTCCAAAAAAAAAAATTCAATTATTTTAAAAAATAATTGAATTTTTCACAGGAGTCCAATTATTTAAAAAAAGTTTTAATAAAATTCAATTCAAGAATTCAATTATTTTTAAAAATAATTCAATTTTCGCTGGAATTCAATTATTTTAAATACAATTTTAATTTAATTCCAGGGAAAATTAAATTATTTTTAAACATTTTTTTTAAATTCTTCGAAAGAATTCATTAATAGCAATAATTGCGATTAATATTTTTTCTATTAAATTATATTAAAATTATTCATAGAAAATTAAATTCTTTTAAACAATTTTATAAGAGCTTTGTAAAAAAATTACATTTTTTAAAAGAATTTCATTAAATTTCGTAAAAATAATTACATTTTTTAAAAATAATTTTACTTGAAAATAATTGAAATTTACAAAGAATTTTATTAAAAACATTTGAGAACAATTAAAAAATTCAATTATTTTTAAAATTGGAATAAAATTTTTCTAAACAATTCAATTGTTTGAGAAATTTTATTATAATTATCTTGAATATAATTGAATTTTTTCCTAGAAATTTTACTAAAATAATACAATTTATAAAAATAATTGAATTTTTTCGAAGAATTTTTTGTCAGAATATGTTTTGAAAATAATTGAATTTAAATAATATTTTTTTAAAATAATTGTATTCTTTTGGGGAATTTTATTAAAATTTTGCTAATAATAAAATAAGTTTGAAAAATATTTGAATAATTTACAAATATGTAAGGAAGAATTTGACAAACAATCGGAAAAAAAGTTAGCCCAATGTTATAATTTCGAATTTGAAAGGAAAAAAATAAATTTTAAATTCATAAAGCAAAAACGAAATTTTTTATCGCAATTAAAATTTAAACTTTGAAGAAAATTGAGTAAATTAAATCAAATTCGAAGAAAAAAAATTTTGTTCACAGAATGAAAAATTCAGAAAAAAGAAAAATCAAAATAAATAAATACTCACGTTGATTTTACACCAGCAGAAGAAGAATTAGTTTTGTTCTTTCCCTTTGACACGGCAATTCTATCGAGTTTATACGCGCTTACTTTAGTTTTCGATTTAACGAATTTCAAACGATTATTTATTTGAACGGAAGGACTGGTAGAGGGCGATAAAATATTTCCACTAACTCTTTTCAGTACTTTATTACCAAATTGTCTCGCTTTAATTGGAGAAACTGTTAAACTATTCGTTTTGACGATATTTCGTTTCACTACTCTTATCAATTTTCTACGTGAGACAATTGAATAATTTGGATTAATAAATTTATTATTATTTGTTCCCGTACTTGTCACATTTGACTTTGAATAAATATTATTGTAATTTGTTGATTGATTGATAGATTTTGTTTCAATAGTTGTTGGAAGACTTTTTGTTGATTGTGAATTTGTAATTGTTTTCATTAATTTTGGATTCACGTGCACCGATTTTTTTAAATAGTCCTGCGTTGACGTTGAGGGTTCCAATTTTTTTGCACTATTTTCATTATTCTCTTGTAAATTCTTGACAATATTCATGTCACGTACAATTTTTGGATTCACATAAATTTTTGCCTCTGCTTTTGAATTTACAGAAGTTGTTGTTGTCGTTGGTTTTGGATTGACGTAAATCGATGATTTTGGAATAATTTTCGGATTTATCGCTATTGTTGGTTTCGGATTTAAGGGAATTGTTTTTGGCTCCAATTTTAAAGTGACAGGTGGTTTTGAATTTAATTTCGGATTTATGTAAATTGACGTCTTCGGGTTGTCGACTTTCGGATTTATGTGTATCGATGTTTTTTTATGTACATTTGGATTGACGTGAATTAAGTGCTTCTTGACGGCGTAATTTGGATTTACGTAAATCTTATTTGGAATTTCTGTTTGTCCCCTTGAACTTTCAGGTACACGAACATTTTTTGTTGGAATTTCGAGATTATTTGCTAATAATTTATTTTCACTATTTAATGTGTTAGTATCACACTTGTGAAATGATAGTTCACCCGTCATTTTTGGGTGTTAGTTAAATTTAATTACTTTTTCCTAATTATAAAGAGCTTTCCTAACTGTAATAAAGAAAATTAAAATAATGATAAACTGAAGAGAATTAAAATTTTCATTCGATAACATGGATAACTAATTCTACTTTGTATAATTTTCGAAATGCCCGATGGAAATTAATATATTAACACTTTATTACACAATAGCACAGAGAAAACGTTTTTTGCGTCACAAAATCTCAAACTTTTTTTTACACAATACGAGGAAGAATGTAATAAACAAGGAAATGAGAAAAAAACGCAACACTTACAATCGTCAACTCTTTCTCAATTGTACTTTTCAGCTTATTTATAAGAATAGAATAGATTGTTTGGAAAATATTGATAAATATTTGACAGAAAAAAATTAAGAAATCGTAAACATCACAGCAACATGTTCGCAGATATCAGATTATCAGATATTCAAGATGTCTGCCCAATAAATGTCTCTGATTGGTCGTGGACTTTTTCTCCGTTTCTATGAATCACAATTGTAAAGCTCGCTTCACAGGCTGATTGTCAGCCCTTATGGTTCATACACAACTGTTTCCTCTACACAAATTCCTCCGACCTTTATAGAAAAAAAGTTTGACACCACCTTCACAACCCTGTCGGGGCCGATTCTTAAAGTAACGTTCACATGGTTTACATATTGACAAATTCCCGAACGAGTAATAGACGAAAAATAGTGTCAATTCCTACTCCAGGAAATGATATTTTATTGACTCGTAATTTATAAAAGGTGAACTGTCAGTTTGACAGATTAATAATGAGACATTTTGTCGTTCTATGAAAATTGTTTTTAGAAAAATTTATTCTGTCTATTTTAGAGAGAATATTTAAGTGCAATTTACATTAAATAAATACTTGATTAGTTTAAGTTACGTTTTAGTGAATATTCCCCTTTTGCAAAGAGGTAAGTATAACAATGCACTGTCAACAATTGTATTACATTTCTTGTCAACACAGCAATTGTTTTTTCTAACACTGCAATTTATTATTTTCAAATAATAATTAATTGTCGTCAACATTTTGTTCATCACTATTTTTTAACGTAAAATCAATTGTTAATTAACTTAAATTCTATTCTTATGTGGGTTTAATCACCATGCATATGTTCAATTATTTCCATGTTCCTAATTCTTTATATTTGAAACATAAAAATTAATTTTAAGTTTCGTACTTATATATGTAGATATAAATATCGTTTAATTCGGGTTTGTTCTTTTCTTGAATTGGTTTTCTACTTTTGAGTTTTAAATATACCTATAAAATTAAATCTTGTGAACTATTAAGAAAATCTATTTAGTTATTTGAATAATGTTCTATTGTGTTTCTAATGAGTTGCTGACCAGCAACTGGTGATTGTAAATTATTCCAGACTAGACTAAAATTAGGACTACTTGAAAAGTACTTAAGGCAGTTTATGATCGTTTGGTATTTTATTTTTAAATTTAAAAGCACTCTCTAAGAATAGTATTTAAAATGGATTTTATTCATAGAATAGGCAGTGTTTAAAAAAATTATTTTTGTCAAAAAAAAGTTAATATTTTTGTGAATTAGGAATTATTTTGTAATAATTTGTATTTAATTTCAGCTCTCAGATTGGGAATGCATAGGAATAAAGTATAAACTAATTACAGTAAATTTTTAACAAACACGGATGAAGAATAGGTTATGATTTATTTTGACTTTGCAATAGAACGGGCATTTTATTGCAATTTACCAACAGTATTCACATATTCCACAAAAGCAAAAAATCTACTTTTAGAATTTTTTATATTCCTGGTAATCATAGCTACTAACGAGCTGGCTCTATTAGCGAAGCTGGAAGAGGCCAATAGGTGAGTAAAATTTTAAATTAATTAATTCTCTATCTATTTCGTTTATTAAATAAAAATAATTAAATAATTAATTTCATTTTGTTTTAATTATTACTAAAATAGAAAATTAATTTATAATGCGAAATTAGGTAAATTCGTACGGTTAGAATCTATATTAATAATCGTTGTATTCCGGTATTTTTTAACAATTTGAAATTACTTGTTGATTGCTTTTTTGTTTCCAAACATTTTCAAAATTATTCTTTTTAAATATTTTCAATTTTAAAATTGATATATTGAAAATCATTGAATTCTTGCAAAGAATTTAGTCAAAAAATTTGATAATAATTAAATTCCTTTGAAGAATTTTTTTATTTATGCAAATAATTGAATTCTCGCACAGAATTTTATTTAAATTTTTAAAAAATCTAATTAAATTCTTTTGAAGAATTTCTTTGAATTTTATTAAAATAATGCAGTTTCTTTAATAATTTTAATTTAAAATTTCGAAAGCAATTCGATTTTATGAAGAAGAATTTTATTAAATTTGTATTGAAGATAATTGAATTTCTAAGAAGAATTTTATTGTTTACAAAAATTGAATTTTTAATTCAATTTTTATTAGAAAATTCAACGAGAATTCCATTATTTAAATACAAAAATTAATAATTGAATGTTTTTTAAAATTAAATTCTGATAAAGAATTTTATCAACAAATTTTTAAATAATTGATTTCCTTTGACGAATTTTAATAAAATTATTATTAAGAATAATTACAATTTTCGAGGAATTCGATTAAAATTGTATTAAAAATAATTGAAATTCTGAGAAGAATTTTATTACTTATGAAAATAATTGAATTTTGAGAATAATTGAATTATTTCTAGAGAATTTAACTATTATATTACTATTTATAAAAATAATTGAATTGTTTCAAAAGATTTATTAAAGATTTTAGAAAACAGTTGAATTTGTTTGAAATGTATTACAATTTTTTTAAAATTTAAATTCTGAAGAATTTAATTAAAATTGTTTTTAAAATAATTGAATTCCTGCAAAGAATTTTACTATTTACAAAAATAATTGAATTCTTCCGAAGAATTTTACTATTTATAAAAATAATTGAATTGTTTCAAAGGATTTATTAAAGATTTTAGAAAACAGTTGAATTTGTTCGAAATGTATTAACATTTTTTTTAAAAATTAAATTCTTCTGAAGAATTCTATTAAAATTGTTTTTAAAATAATTGAATTCCTGCAAAGAGTTTAACTATTTATAAATATAATTGATTTCCTTTGAAAGATTTTTATAACAAATTAAGAAAAAAATTAAATTCTTTCGCGAAATTTTATTTGAAAATAATTTAATTGTTTTAGAAGGATTTATAAAAATTTTAGATAAAATTTGAATTCTTTTGTGATATTTTATTAAAATTTTGTTAAAAATAATTGAATTTTTGCAAAAAATTTTACTATATTTATAAAAATAATTGTATTTTTCCGTAGAATTTATTATTTATTTTAATTTATTATTTATTGAAAAATAATTGAATTCTCGCGAAGAATTAAATTAAAATTTTTGAAAATATAAACAATAATAATTAATTTTGTACTTAATGAGTGAATTTTAAAAATTTTAATTATGAAATTATTTAAAAATTTATATTTAAAAATTAAAAATTTTGTAATTTGCATAACAATAATGTTTTAAAATTTTAGGCTGATTGAATCAGATGCCAAATCGCTGAATTCACTGCAAAGTAATCATAGTAGAAAAGGTTCTGATACGTCGCAAACATCATTAACAACGGGATGTAGTGGCGAGGGTGCACCGCAACAACGACGTTGCTTTGGCGATGGAGATGAGAATATTTGGAATCTCTGGGGTAATATAGCGGCCGATTGGGACAATCAATGGAAGAAGAGGAAAGACTTTATTAAGGATTTAGTTCGACAGGGTGTCCCTCATCATTTTAGGTAATTTTAATTTTAATTTACTATAATTACTCGAAAATAGATTTTTAATTAAAATTCACTCTGCAAATAGAATAAAAATCTAGAACTAGAAATTGAAAATACACTCGATTTTATAACCAGTTGTGTATTTTGTTTAAACAGAGGGATAGTCTGGCAACTGCTGTGTGGAGCACATGATTCTCCGGTGAAAAAACAATTTGCCGAGTACATAAAATGTACGTCGGCATGCGAGAGAATAATTCGAAGAGATATTGCGAGGACTTATCCGGAACATGATTTTTTCAAAGAAAAAGATGGGCTAGGCCAGGAGAGTTTATTTAATGTCATGAAGGCCTACAGCCTTCATGATCGCGAAGTAGGATATTGTCAAGGCTCAGGTTTTATTGTAGGATTATTGTTGATGCAGGTTTGTTAAAATTAGTTTTAGTTAATTAATAGGGTTCTATAATTATTGATGAAGAGAAAAAATAAATTTTCTTTTTTCAGCAAATGCCGGAGGAGGAAGCATTTGCAGTGCTGGTTGCTCTAATGCAGGAATATCGTCTTCGCGATATGTTTAAGCCAAGTATGGCTGAATTGGGAGTTTGTATGTATCAATTGGAACATTTGGTGGCCGATACACACACTGAATTGCATGCTCACTTTACTGCCCAAGGTTTTCACACTTCAATGTACGCGTCTTCGTGGTTTTTAACTCTATTTACAACAACACTAAGTCTTCCCCTCGCTTGTCGTATTTTCGATGTTTTCCTATCCGAAGGAATGGAGATAATTTTTAAAGTCGCACTCGCCATGCTACACCTCGGCAAAGAAGATTTACTCAGTCTCGATATGGAGGGAATGCTAAAGGTAAATTATTCCAAGAGAATATTCCAGAATGTTCTTCTCTCTTCTTCCCGTTTTTCACAATTTACTTATTCATTACGTATTTGATTCAAAATATCTCCGTTTTTTTAAAATGTATTTTCAAAAACTATCACAGGTGAATATTTTTACATTTTCGTCTCATTTTAGATTAACTATAATAATCTGATAATTCTATCTTTGATTCATTCTTTCATTCTGCAATTAAGATTTTCAAAATATTCAAGTTCAAACCTCTTTGAAATTCAATAGCTAATAAGAATATTATTACAAAACATGAAGAAATTGATTACTCCGAGTTTTCGACTCGGAGTGATCGATTTCTTTAGGTTTTCTAATAATTAAAGATGACCGAGAGATAAAATCATTATTTTATATTATAAAAATATTATTACTGTAACTTCTTCAAAATTATTTTCATCATATCAATTCAATTATTATTTTCTACAATTTTTAACTAAAATTCTTCTCTAAATCAACTATTTTTAATGATTTTTGTAGAAGTTCTTCTACAATTTTCCAATTCATTTGTTTACAATTCAATTTTATGCAATTTCGATTATGTATTCGGAAATTCTTTAATTAAACATAGATTAGAAAATAAAAACTTAAAATTATTAAAAAAAAAATTAACATAAACTTTTTCAAAAAAATTTCTATTATTAGTCAAAAGTATGAAAAATTCAAAATTTCAGAAGATTTTAATTTGAAACTTTTTCAAAATTCAATTATTTCCAAAAATTCACACTATAATGCTTTAAATATTCAATTATAATTTAAAATTTTAACTGAAATTCATTTTTAAATTGATTTTTATTAGAAAATTCTAATAGAATTCAATTATTTAAATACAAAAATAAATAATTTATTGAATAATTGAATTTTCATAAAGAATTTTATTTGATTTGTAAAATTAATTTAATTTTTGAAACGAATTTTATAAAAACTTTTGAAAATAATTAAATTCTTTCGAGAAATTCAATTAAAATTATACTAAAAATAATTGAATTCTTATAAAAAATTTTATAAAAAGCTTTGGAAATAATTGAATTTCCCTGAAGAATTTAATTAAATTCCTGGAAATGTTTTTAATATTCAATTATCTCAAATTTTAACTGAAATTTATTTTTAAATCAATTTTTATTAGTTCCTCAAAATTGAATTCTCATAAAAAATTTTATTAACAAATTTTTAAATAATTGATTTCATTTGACGAATTTTAATAACACTTTTAAGAATAAATAAAATCCTCCGAAGAATTTTATTATTTATGAAAATACAGTAGAGACTCCATTATCCGGACCCCTATTATCCGGATATTCGATTATCCGGACAAATTTAAAATAAAAATTTTTTTTTTAATATAAAGTTTATAAGGTCTCAAGCCGTTAATTAACTTCTATTTTAAATTTATTTACACGAAATGTTGCGTTTTAAAGTGTTTTAATTATTTTAAGAAAATGGTTATGTAAATATTTTGAAATATTTCTAACTAAATATTTATTAATGTTGACTTTAAAAGTTTAGTTTGTTTCTGTCTTATTTTAATACATATATGCAAATAAATACATAAAATTATGAATCAAAAATTTGTTTAATTCGTACTTTACTCGATTATCCGGATTTTTGATTATCCGGACAAGTGCCTGCATCCATTAGTCCGGATAATGGAGTCTCTACTGTAATTGAATTCTTGCAACGAATTTTATTAATTTTTACTTTAAATATTTGAATTCGTGTAAAAAGTTTTATAATTTGTAAAAATAATTCAACTTTTAAGAAGAATTTTAATAACATTTTTGAAAATAATTAAATTCTTTCCAGGAATTCATTTATAATTGTACGTAAAATAATTGAACTTTTTTTAAAATTTTATAAATACTTTTAAAAATAATTAAATTTCTCTGAAGAATTTTTTTATTTATGAAAATAATTGAATTTTAAATATTCAATTATAATCTAAAATTTCAACTAAAATTCATTTTAAATTCAATTTTTAATAGAAAATTCAACGAGAATTCAATTATTTAAATACAAAAAAAATAATTTATTGAAGAATTGAATGAATTCTGCGATGAGTTTTATTATTTATCAAAATAATTGAATTATTGCTAAGAAATTTATAAAAAATTTATTAATAATTTAATTCCTGGGAAATTTTTATTATTTATGAAAATAATTGAAATTTTGCCAAGATTTCTATTAAAATTTTTTTTAAATAATTGAATTTTATTACTTTTGAAAATAATTCAATTTTTGCAATTATTTCTAACTTCTCCAAAAATCAATTTTTTTTAGTGTTTGTATTAGAAAATTCTACGAGAATTCAATTATTTAAATACAAAAATAATTATTTTATTGAATAATTGAATGTTTTTTAAAATTGACTTCTCGTTAAGAACTTTATCAACAAATTTTTAAATAATTTAATTCTTTCGATGTATTTTAATAAAATTTTTAAGAATAATTACATTTTTCGAGGAATTTAATTAAAATTGTATTAAAAATAATTAAAATTCTACAGTGAGTTAAAATTTTCCAAAAATCTAAATTCTTTAAAATTTTGTAATTAAATTCGTGCAAAATTGAAATTTTCTAAAATTGCAACTTCAAACCTTTTGAAGTCTATTTATTTATGAAAATTGTAAACACAATTCTTTTTTCAATTCAATTAATTTTGTAATATTTAAGTAAAATTATTCATAAATTAATTTCTAAGTAATAATTTTATGATGAAGAATTAAGATAATTAAAAAGAAATAATTATTGTTAGAATAGAAAAATTTGAAGGTTTTGCATTAGAATTCGTGGTAATTTCTTAATTTATGAGGCAAAAAAAAATTAACAAAAATTCAGAATTTTCTCATGAATTCTAAATATTTAATTTTTTCCAGTACTTTTAATAAAAATTTCCGTATTTTCTCTGAATTCCCTGTCTCAGAATATATGATTATTATAGTTATAATAGTATTAAAACTGTATTCCAATTCGTATTTTATTTTTATGAAAACAAATTTTGAATTAAAAATTTTTTAAATTCTATTATTTTTAGTAAGAATTTGATGTAATCGATCACACTGAGTCAAGGAAGTTAAAAATTAAAAAAAACTCTCTTTTTACGTTTCGACAGCGCTGCCGTCCTCATCAGAAACAGAAAAAAGAATATATTTACGCGTTCACATTATTGAAATAATTTTATTTTCCAAATTTTCAGTTCTTCCAGAAAGATTTACCGGGTCGCGCCGAGGCCGATCCAAATGGTCTAATGAACCTCGCCTACGAAATGAAGATAAATCCAAAGCGAATGAAAAAATTAGAGAAGGACTATACTATTCTAAAAATGAAGGAACAGGAGGAAATGGTGGAATTGCGTCGATTGAGAGCTGAAAATCGTTTATTACGCCAGAGAACAGAACTTTTGGAGGCTGAATCAACGGAACTTGCTGATAGATTAGTGAGGGGTCAAGTGTCACGCGCCGAAGAAGAGGAAACTGCATTTGTCGTTCAACGTGAATTGGCAGCACTTCGTCATACGCATCTTGAGACAAGTCATCAATTGGAGCAAGCACACGAGGAATTAAGATCGCTGTCAATTTTATTAGAGGAAAATCTCACCTCGAAACAATCGTCACTCGATGAAATTAATAATAAGCAAGAAGCTCTCTGTCAAAAGGAGGAAATGGTGCAATGCCTGCAGGAAGAATTGGTGAGAGTGCGATTACACGAGGCCGAGAATGATGCAATAATTCGTGATCTACGTGCGAGAATTCAGGAATTAGAACAGGATAAAAAAACACTTCGGGAAACAACACCCGATAATTCTGTCGCACATTTACAGGAGGAATTAATTGCTGTTAAACTTCGAGAAGCCGAGGCTAATTTATCATTGAAGGTAAGGTGACAATTTTATTATTTTTATTTATTTTCTATTTTCTTTATTTATTTTCTATTAGTTTTATTTATTCTCTATTATATTTCTTTATTTTCTATTATTTTCCCTTTTATTTTCTACTAATTTCATTTCTTATTAATTTAACGCTATTATTATTACTTAAAAAATTATTTAAAGAATAATTTTACATAAATATTACAAAATTAATTGGATTTAAAAAGAATTGCATTTACAATTTTCATAAATAAATAAACTTCAAAAGGTTTTAAATTGTAATTTTAGAAAATTTCAATTTTGCACGAATTTAATTAGAAATTTTAAAGAATTTAGATTTATGGAAAATTTTAACTCACTGCAGAATTTTAATTATTTTTAATACAATTTTAACCGAATTTCTCGAAAAATGTAATTATATAGGTACTTAAGAATTTTATTTAAAATTGTCAAAAAAATTCGATTATTTAAAAATTTGTTGATAAAATTCTTTATGAGAATTAAATCTTAAAAAACATTCAATTATTCAATAAATTATTTATTTTTGTACTTAAATAATTGAATTCTCGTAGAATTTTCTAAAAAAAAAATTGAATTTTGGAGAAGTTAGAAACAATTGCAAAAATTCAATTCTTTTCAAAAGTAATAAATTTCATCGTAGAAATTCAATTATGTTCAAAAATTGGAAAAAAATTCTCGAAAAAATTTCAATTATCTTTATAAACAATAAAATTCTCGTCAAAATTTCAATTATCTTTATAAATACTAAAATTTTTCTCCAAAATTCAATTATTTTCAAGAAATTTAATAAATTCTTGGCAAAATTTCAATTATTTTCAAAAATTTTCCTCATTTCAATTATTTTTAATATCTACTAGTTTAATAAAAACTTCCAAAAGCATTCAATTATTTTTAAAAAATTTTTAATAAAAATTTCAAAGGAATTCAATTACTTACAAATTTTTTTATAAATTTCTTTGAACTAATTCAATTATTTTTAATTTTTGAATGAAGTTTCTCGAAAGAATTCAAATATATTCAGAGATTAAGAAAAATAGTTCTGAGAAATTCAATTATTTTGAAAAATTTAAATAAAATTCTTTTAAAAATTCTATTATTTAAAAAAATGCTGAAAAAATTCTTTACATGATTTAGTTATTAAAAATTGCAATTTTAATAAAATTCTTCCCAAGAATTCAATTATTTTCAGTACAATTCTTCTTAAGAATTCAATTATTTTCACAAATAATATCTACATTTTTTATGGAAATTAAATTATTTAAAAAAATTTGAATAAAATTCTTCGCAAGAAATCAATTATTTTCATAAATAATAAAAATTTTCTCGAGAATTCAATTATTTAAAAAAATTTTGATAAAATGCTTTATAAATTTGAAAAATTATAATAAAATTGATCATAGAATACAATTATTTTCGTAAAATATAACAGGAATACAATTATTGGCAAAAATGTTTGTAAAAATCTTCAAAACAATTCAAATATTTTCGTAATAAATAAAATTCCTGGAAACAATTCAATTTTATTTAAAAAATTTTAATAAAATTCTTCCCAAGAATTCAATTCTTTTTACAAATAAAATTCTTCACAGAAATTCAATTCTTTAAAAAAATTTTTTATAAAATTTGTTTGTAAGAATTCAATTATTTCCATAAATAACAAAACTTATCGCATTATTTCAATTATTTTTGTATAATTTTAAATAAAATGATGGTAAATTGCATTTTGTTCTTAAAAAATTTTTTTTAAATTCGCCAAAAGAATTTTTAATTATTTTAACATTTTTTTATAAAATTCTTCATAATAATTCAATTTTAAAAAATATTTAATTATTTAATAAATTTCTTATTTTTGTATTTAAATAATTGAATTCTTGAAAAAATTTCCAATAAAGAAATTGATTAAAAAATAAATTTCACTTAAAATTTTAACTTACAATTGAATATTAAAAGCATAGCGTGAATTTTTAAAAATAATTGAATTTTAAAAAGGGTTTAAATTAAAATCTTGGAAAATTTGAATTTATAGTTACAATATTCTTATGAATTGTAAACAAACAAATTTGAAAATTCTCAAAAGACTTTTTCAAAAATTATTAAAAATTATTGATTTAAAGAAGAATTTCGGTTAAAAGTTGTAGAAAATAATAATTGAATTGATTTTATGAAAATAATTTTGTATAAATTATAGTAACAATATTTTTATAATATCAAATAATGATTTTATCACTCAGTCATTTTTAATTATTATAAAACATGGAAAAACCAATTTCTCCGAGTCGATGACTCGGAGTAATCGATTTCTTCGTGTTTTATAACAATTTTTTATAAGTTGTTTAATTTAATTTTGAATTTAAATTTTTTAAAAATCTGAATTCTTATAGAAAAATAATAATGATTAAATATTTATTTAAAAAAAAAGTTTTTGATGTTTTCGAATAATTTTACAATTAAAGAAATTCGTAAATAAATATAATAGAACATTTTTTTGAGTATCTAATAATTTTTGGAGGGAATCAGAATATTCTTCAGTGTCAGGAAAAAAGTCAAAATTTTATCTGGAAATCAGGAAGAAACAAAATTAAATTTTTTGTGTTAACCATGTTAAATAATAAATAATAAATTGTTTTTCTAATTATTATTTTAGGATCTTCGATTGAGAGTGACGGAATTAAGTGCCGCCTGGCAGAAGCATTTACAGGAACATCGTTCGTCGCATACGGCGCAAGCTGCGGATTCAACGCCGAAAAAATTATTATTTTGGGAGAATCGTGGACATGAGATACAAAAACTCGAGGAGGATTTGATGACAACGCGAATACGTGAAATGGAGGCATTAACTGAAGTCAAAGAATTAAGATTGAAAGTGATGGAACTTGAGACTCAGGTTCAGGTGGCGACCAATCAACTTCGTCGACAGGACGAGGGCAGTAAAGTACTTAAAGAAGATTTAGAAGCGTCCTCGGGAAGGGAAAAGGATTTAATCGCAAAATTACGTGAACAACAACACAAATACACTGATTTAGAATCGAAAATGAAGGACGAGACGCTAATGTCAAAAATTCATGACGCTGAGCATGCACAGCAAGTTGCGGAATTATCACAGAAAATTTCAATTCTGGAATTAAAGGTTTCTTTCGAAATAGAATTTTTAACGTTAAATTTAAAATAATTAAAAGCTAGAGTGAATTATTATTATTTAAATTTTTAATTTACTTTTTTTGTCCATTTCTCTTTTGTAAATATTGTTTTCGTTTTGTTTACAGAATGAGGAAATGTTTACCGAGGGTGAATTGAGAAGTAGTTTGGAGGATTGCGAACGCGTGCGAGAATTGCAGGATAAAATTGCGGATCTAAAAGCTGAGGTGAGAAATTAACCGATGAAAATTCAAAAATTCTTTTTCTATATATTTGTTTACTAGCTCTGATGAAATGTTACTCCTATCTTCAGTTAGCCTTTGACACGGTTACCGTTTTGCTCCCAAAACCTTCACCCCCCACAGCAAATACTCCGAAAGAAGTGGATAAAAATCTTTTAAACTGAATTTTCTCTGACGAAAATTGAAAATTAAACAAAAGAATTTCGAGAAAAAGAACTTATTTAAAGAAAATTCTGACATTTCAAGTGAATTTACAATTCATGAGCATTCATGAGGAAAATTTACAATATGTGGAGTGAATTTACAATTCATAAACTAAATTTAAAATATTCAATACAATTGTGTGAATTTACAATTCAGAAAAGTAATTTGCAATTTAAAGTTAAGTAAATTTACAATTTTCAAAATAAATTTGACAGTCTTGTAAACTGTACTTATAATTTTTGAAAAGTTTATTTATATTTCGATGTAAATTTACGAATGCAAAGGAGATATTTTTAAATTAATTCTTCTTCAGAAAAAAATCTTCTAAAAAAAAATTCTTCTTTAAAAAACACAGAAAATACATAAATACTTACATAAATCAATAATTTGAAAATTGATGAAGAAAATTCTAAAGAGAGAACTAACGCACAACTATTGTTATATTTATGACTTTAGTTTCCTACACCCATCACGAGTCCGGAGACTGAGCCGTGGCGCTGGCTCGAGTAAGTTTCAATTCTAAATGTTTAGCATTTCTTATAGGCATGTGTAAAACTTGAACTCGACTCATTTTTTTATTCAAATTCTCATCATACGAGAAAGTATTATTTTCCTTTAACTTTGACTCATCAACGATGAGTATTTTTTATTTTTATTTATTTTTTTTTGTCCAGTAGTTTTGTGATTTGTAGTAACGAGTTAAGTTTTGCCCGAAACGAGAGTTTTATTTTGGAGTGATTTGAACCCTTTGGTAGTTAAAATTTAGAACGATTTTGTTTTGTCAATAGTTAAAAAAATATTAATAAATAAATAATTATATAAAAATGTAAATATATTTAGTTTGGTACTAATTAGAATGAAATTAATTCCAATTAGAAGAAATTTCAATATTTTTAATTCTCGAAAGTATTTGAAAATACAAAAACTAAAAAAAAGTTAAAAATCTATAATTTGTTTTTTGTTTTCTTACTTTAAAAATTTTTTTTGATATTTTTTCTTTTTAATGCTTTTTTAATTTTAAAATTAATGAAATAATAATTTTATGCTTTGAAGTTTAAAAAACACTAAAAATTAATTAAACCAAATTGTTTTCAATTAAAAATGTTTCATTTATATTTTTTTTGTAATTTTGAAACTGAAATAATTAAATTGTTATAAAGAATATTATCAAAATTTTTGTAAATAATTAAATTCTTTCAAGAAATTTCATTAAAATTTTTGAAAATAATTGAATTCCTCCAAAGAATTTTTAATTAGAAGAATTATTAATACCTATTTATTAATTTTATCAAAATTTTTGAAAATAATTGAATTCTTTCGAGAAATTTTTTAAAAATCTTTTTAAATAATTGAATTCTTTCGAAAAATATTTTTAATTATAAAAATAATTTAAATCTCGGTAAGAATTTTATTACAATTGTATTAAAAATAAGTGAATTTTTATAAAGAATTTTGCCAAAATTTTTAAAAATACTTAATTGAATTTCTACGAACAATTTTATTATTTAGGAAAAGAATTAAATTTTTCAACTTCATTTAATTAATTTTTTTCTTATAAAGAATTTTATTGAAATTTTCCAAAATAATAACATTTTTGTGAAATTTTCGAAAATAATTGAATTTTTTTCGAGTAATTTAATTGAAATTGTAATGAAAACATTTTAATTGTCATAAAGAAATTCAAATAAAATGTTTCTAAAAATTTCAATTTTTGCGACGATTTTGATCGAAATTTTAAAAATAGGTAATTGAATTTTTTCGAGAAATTTTATTGAAAATAATTGAATTTCTTGCGAAGAATTTTATTGAAGTTTCGAAAAGTTATTTTCTTTTTGTTCCTTTTTTGTAAATTTCTTTATTCTTTCTCTACTTTTCTTTTTCTTTTTAAAAAAATTTTTTTTATTTAAATTGAATTTTTTATTTGAATTTGAACTTTGTATATTTAATAAGTAGAAGTAGATATTGCATCATGTAGTTTTGTAAAATGAGCTTCGATGTTGTATCCGAGTTACGAAAAAATTACTGCATGTTACTTTTAATAATTTTACTTATTTTTTCGTTTAAAATACTTCAAAATTTGCTATTTTGGCAAAAAGAAAATACCAATCACGTGTCAAAGGCAAAGGAAAAGCAGAATATTTTTAATCCTCTATTTTGTTTTATTTACCTACTCACATTTTTTTATAAAAAAAAAACGTTTTCTTTATTTATTTTAATTTATTTTCAAAATTAACAAATTATTTTCCTTTTGTTTTTTTCTATTTGTTCATTTTCAGTTTTTCATAGTTTAGCAAAATTATTAACTTTTTATAATGCTTTATTTTATTTTATCGTATTTTTTGTAATAATTTTTTATAAATAAATATTTACATATTATAAATATAAACATTATGAATAATAATAAAAATTGATAATAATTTTTATAATAATAAATATTTTGCAACAATATTTTGTTTTGAAAATAGCAAAAAAATATTTCGCTGAAAAAAAATATCACCGACAGGTTTTGTAATTTAATAAATAACAATTTTTTTCTTATTAAAAAATAAATAAATAAAAGAAGTTATAAAATCTGCTGTAAGAAGCATAGAATATTATTTATTATTCGTAATTAGAATCACGCCTTGGACTTTGAACAAATTGAAAAGATAATCATCAGAGTGGAAGATATGAGAGAAAACACAACTATTGAAAAAAAATCAAAATCTTATATTTGTTACTTTGGAAAAAATGTAACAAATGTAATTAAATAAAAAATATTTCTTTCTTGAAATTGAACAACATTTTTCTTTTTTTTAGGTCGTGAGGCTTGAGTCTTGGAAACAACGATGGACAGGGAAAACTGTAGAATCACCACGAAATTACAATATTGAGAAGGAAAGTGAATTAGATGAACGAGATCTCAGAATTTGCCTTCAGGACCATGTCAATATTGGATCGCGAAGTCCTCCCGAGGTCTAGATTTGTATACACATCCTTTTTTTACTGCCTTGAATTTTGATTACTTATAATGTTTTTAATTATAATCTAAATAACATTTAGTGTTATCTATCAAGCAATTATTACTGTCGGAACATTTTATTATCAGTTTGAGAGGGAAAAAAAGGAAAAAAAATTTTTGGTATCAGTGTTTTCTATGTAGTACATAAACACTGTAGTGTTAAATACTTTTACACAGAAAGAGAGAGAGAAAAAAAATTGATAGATACGCTTCAAGTAAAATGCATAATATAAAAGAAAGGAATTCCCCCAGTGTTGGACAGTTTGTTACGAAAAAAAAAAAAATATTTATATACGTTTTTTTGTTTCTATAACTTCAGTAACTGTTACTTTATATTTTTTTTATTCTTTTTATTTTAGAGAATTGCTTTTTATTTTAAAAAATTGCTTTAAAAAAATTGTTTTAAAAAATTACTTTTTTAGATTTAATCGCTTTATGACGGGAATTAATAATATTAACGAAAATTACATTTATTTACGGTGTAATTTTTTTTACTCTTCCATAAGTTACTTTTTAAATAATAATTTAAAAAATTAGCGTTAGTAATTTTTTTTACAAAAATTTGTAACATAATTTAGAGAATTTATTAACTAGATAATTTAAAAAAAAATCTAATTGAAAAGAAAAAGACAAAAAATTTAAGTGAATAATTTTTACTAAAATTACTATTTTTAGGAAACATTTTAAAAATATTTCTCTACTGAATAATTTTGAATTTAAAAACAATTCGTGATAATTTTAAATTCTTAAGAATATTTGTAACTTTAAAATTTTACTACCGTCACATTTTAATTAATTTAACTTTAAAATTAAATTTTTAATTTATTCCTAATTTTTTTAAACATAAAATTTTCATACTCTATTTGTTCTAGAAATTTTTTCCAAATAAATTCGAATTTTTCTAAACATTCAAATCTTTTCTAAATAAATTCGAATTTTTTTCAATGAAATTTTTATTTTTTCTAAACGAATTCGAATTTTTCCAAAAAATCTCAAATTTGTTTCTAAACAAATTCAAATTTTTTTTAAAAAAATTGTACTTGTTTCTAAACAAATTTGAATTTTTTCCAAACAAATACGAATTTTTTCGAAACGATTTCGATTTTTTTCCAAATATTTAAATTTGTTTAGAATTGAATTTATTTTAAAAAAATTTTGAATTTTTTCTTAACAAATTCCGAATTATTTCTAAACAAATTAATATTTTTGAAGAAAAAAACTCTTTTCCTTAAAAAAAAATACAGAAAGAAGAACAAAAAAAAGTAACGAGTTAATAGGTTTAAAAAAAAAAGTTACTTAAAAAGTAACATATCCAACACTGGAAAAATCATTCCGATTGATATGTTAGAGTAGCAAAGTTGTAATCAATTTTTATTAGACGTCAACAAAAAAAAGCGTTTAGATTATGTGGAATTTGATACATTTTTTTTTTTTTTTTTTGATAAAATCTCTACGTTAATTTACGAAATTCCTTTTTCCTCGGTGTTATAATTAAATCGTATTAATAATGTACTTACATGGCAGAAAATTAACCCACAAGTTGAGATTTTATCAAAAAAAAAAAAAAAGAAGGAAGAAAAAAATATATATAATTAAAATTTTTGATATCATGATTGATTCTAAACGAAAAGAAAATGTTTTATAATTATTATAATTTCAAGAGTATTCAACTATTATTATTATTTTAATAATAGTTTTAAAGGGCATTTGACTATTTGTTGTAAACATTTAGATGAAGAATGTTCTTTTTTTATGTTTTTAAAGGTTTTATTGTAACTTTTTTTTTCTTATTTAAAAGTGTAACTTATTTTTTAATTTTATATTTATATTTTATTCAAAATTTGTCTTCAGATTAATGTTGTTTTTTTATTTTTAATTTTACAGTTTATTTTAATTTTAATTACAATCTATATGTTTGAAAAATATTGACAAGAAAAATAAAATTCTTGGATTTTACACATTCGGACAAAAATTTATCTACTTAAAAAATATATTCAATTTTTTTTTTACTTTTATCTTTATTTGAAATTTATTTATTTGTTGAAAAAAAAATGTTTGATTTATATGTTTCAAAATCATCGATGTTTTAGATTTTAATTTTTGAAATGTAAAACTTCTTTTATTTATCTTTATCTAAAATTATTTTTATTTGAAAATTTAATAATTTTATGCGTTGGTTTGAAAATCGTCGATGTTTTAGATTTAAATTGTTTTTAAAATGTGAATTTTTTTTTTGATTTTTCGAAAATTATTTTTATTCAAAGATCTAATTGTTTTATGCGTTTGTCAATATTTTCTGCGTGCAAATTATTTATTTATCAAATAATTTTATAAGACAAATATAATTATTATATATTATATTATTAATATAATATATTATAATGCAATATTATATGTGTAACGAAAGAAACGATTTATATATTTCTTTGCAGTCTGATATTTAAAAACAAAAAAACAAAAATTGACAATTTTCATCGTAATATGAACAATGTTTTTCTACCAATAAATCGAGAATATATCATCAGGAATGCGTACTATGTTTTATTTCTCATTTTTACGTATTCTTCCTGATATAAAAAAAATAATGAAAAGCCGAAGCGTTGTTAGTATTATTATCGATAAAACGTCTACAATGTTAAAGGTTTATAGCATTTTCATATTTTTAATATTATAAACATTTATATTTCCGTCCTGATTTGATTAATTATAATGTTAATTTCAAGTCGAAAATAAATTGTATTAATGAAATTTAAATATTCATTTAATTCACTTTTTGAAAATTAACTTATTTCAAACAGTATTTCTTTGTTTTTAATCGTATATTTTATTGTAAAATTTAAAACTCATTATTTCTTTTTAAAAAATGTTAATTTATTCAGATTTCTTAAAAAATGGAAAATACAGAAAAAATTCTTTAAGAATTTTTATTTCGATCAAAAGTAAACAATAATATTGAAATTGAATATAATAATAATAATCTCCATATTTTGTGGGTGTACATATTAACATGCATATCTTTATTCCAAAAAAATAAGATAATCGTAACATTTTTTTTTAATTTGCAAAAATTTCAAGAGAAAAAGAAAATAGAAAACAATTTATATAAATACTTTTTTATAAAATATTTAATATTGGAATAATTCATGAATTTAATTTATAGAATAAAAACATGCAGAATTACTTAACTAATATTTTAAAAAAATAGTTTCTCATACGGATTGTATAACATAATTATGGGGCAAACTTTTTGAAAACAAATCACAGATTATAAATTGATTTTAACATTCAAAAAAAAGGTATTCTAAATTTTTGTCGTATGGAAGTAACTATATTTGTACGTCTAAATATTCTGAAAAAGAAAATTAAGAACGGAATGAGTTGATTAAAATCTAAATGATAATGAGCAATTTTTGGCCCATTTGGATGTTTTTTTTTATAATAATTTGTAATTGAATAATTGAAAATCACCTTCTTCTCACGTTTATAATGTAAATATTGACAAAATTTACAATTCCTCATGAAGCTTCTTATCGTACAAAAATTCCCCAAGCGGTCCATGCGTTGACATCATTTTGCCAAGAGTTGAAACTTTTCCTGCTAGATCACGTTTTCCTTTATATTGTTCGTCCAGGAAATCTCCAGTGAGATAATCAACCAACTGAAAATGATTAACGTTTATTATTGAAGGAAGCAAATAACTTGAATCAACAATTTAAAAGCAAAAAACAAAAAAAAAACGAGGAAATGATAAAAATAGAAAATGAAAACAAGAAACTTCTTTCTTGTTTTCATTTTCTATTTTTATTTGCAATTTTTATTATTTCTTAAATAAGAAGTTATTTAAGAAATAATAAAAATTGCAAATAAAAATAAAGAATGAAAAGAAGTAAATAATAAAAATAGAAAATAAAAGAAACGAAGTGAATAATGAAAATAAAAAATAAAACGACGGAGAATTTCACGTTTCTTATCAACGATTATAATTTATAATTATTTTTAATTAGAAAAAATATATTTCTCACGAGGAAAACAATAAAAATTGCTATTTATAAATTTTTAAATTATTGATCAAGAAAGTATATAAAATATTTTAAAACAAAAGTTTATAAAAATTTTAACAGGAAAAATATTTGTTCTTCTAAATCGTTGATTTATTAACGTTATGAACTTAATCGTCACAAAATAAAATAAAAGTAAGTAATAAAAAAAGAAAATAACATAAAGAAAGTAAATAAAAAAATAGAAAATAAAATGAGTAAATAATAAAGATATGAGGCAAAATAAAGGAAGTAAAACAAAGAACTAAATAAAAAAAGAAATAACAAATACAGAATAAAATAAAAAAGTAAATAACAAAAATAGTAAATAATAAAAATATAAAACAAAATAAAAGAAGTAAAACAAAGAACTAAATAAAAAAATGAAAAAAGAAATAACAAATACAAAATAAAAGAAGTATTTAATAAAAATAGCAAATAAAATAATAGAAGTAAATAATAAAAGCAGAAAATAAACTAAAAGAACTAAATAATAAAGAAAAAATAAAAAAAAGGGCTTGTCTCGTTAATATTGTAAATAAATAAATAAAGAAATAATAAATAAAATAAAAGGTGTAAATAATAGAAATAGAAAATAAAATAAAAAAAGTTAAACAAAGAACTAAATAAAAACTCAAAAAATAACTAACAAATACAAAATAAAAAAACAAACTAAATAAAATAAAAATAAAATCCAATACAATAAAGATAAAAAAAATTCTAATCGGAAAAATTCGTAAAAGTTGAATAAACTTTCAAGACACTTACGTGGTAGTCGTTGACAACATTGCCAAGATGAGTCTTCGAGTGTTCACAGACACGAATAACATTTAAAATACTCTTTGTTACATTGGCTTCCAAATAAAGAGCTTCGGTAAGAGCGTCAACGCCACTTGTCCATTCCTCACGAACAGTTTTCTATTGTAATAAGAAAAAATAATTTGATTACATTTAAATTATAGTATAATCATGATTATATTATAGTCAATAGTCATTTCTATTCTATATTGTAAATTAAAGAAACTAAAAATAAAATGTCATGAATATAATTCGTACATTAATTTATTAACAATGGAGACTTACCAGTGGGAAATTCAAAAGTTTGCTCACATCATTTGTCAGTTGACCGCGCATAAGTAAATATTCAATAACTTTAATTGCGTGCTCTCTTTCTTCGCTTGCTGCTTTGATAAAGAACTTACTGAATCCCGGTCGATTCACAGAATCGCGAGCAAAATGTGCTCCCTGAAAGAAAATAATTATTGTATTTTTTTTATATTTGTTTGAAAATTATTTTCTTTATTTAAAAATTCATTTCTATTTTCTCACTAATTTATTTTAAGGAAATAATTAAATTACTGTATTTTTCTATTTGAAATCTAATTATCATTTTAAAAAATATTCCATTTGTTCAATATTTCAAAAAAAAAAAAAAAAAATAGGAAAATAATTCTTTTAGAGAACAAAATGTGCGCCCTAAAAAAATTGAGATATTTCTTTTATTTATTTGAATATTATTTCCTTCATTTAAAAATTAATTTCCATTTCTCAACTAATTCTTCTTTTTGAAAAAATAATTACTATTCTTTTTATTTAAAATCTAATTACTATTTTTTTAAAATTTCCATTTGCTCGAAATTTTAGTAAAAAAAAAATAGAAAATAATAATTTTTCCCTTCTTGAAAGAAAGAAAATATGGAAAATTTCGAAAGGATTAAAAAAAATACATAAATTCAAAAGGACGGAAAAAATACAGAAATTCGAAAGGATTTGAAAATATACAAACCATAGAGAGATAAGTCATGGCAGCATTAATTTCAGTTTTCACTTGATTTTCCAAATATTTTATACATGGATCTACCATATCGATCCATTTGGTTGGATCGATATCAGCCGGCTTTAATGTACCTGAAAGAAGAAAAAAAATGTTAATTTTAATTTTTTTTATCAACATCATTAAAATGATTTATATGATTTACAATGTATTATTCTTGCGAGGATTCCATTATTTTATCTCTTATACGTGCGAGATCGGATTTTTACAATTTTTCACGTACTTATTATCACTAATACCATCTACACTTTGCATTACGTTGACTTTGATAAAAAAAAATAAAGATGATACATTCCCCAACAATATCTTATCCTACTTTAATAGAAATCTATTATTATCATCGGTAGTATTATAATTTTCGATTATTTCTAATTTTTACACTTTTCAAGTTTATTTAGATAAAAAAAATAATAAAATAAAAAAAATTACAATAAAATATTTAAATATTAAAATATAAAAAAAATATTAAATATTTAAATAAAGTAAATAAAAAAGGAATATTAAAATATAGTAAATAAAAAATAATCAAAAATAGAAAATAAAATTCTCTTGCTTTTCAAGTACAAAATATTCTGAACGTTCGAATGAAATATTTTTTAATGAAATATTCAACGAAATACTCTTTCCATAAAAGTATTTATCAATTAAGTCTTCAATTAATAAAGAAAATTAAATTAATATTTAATAAATTAGTAAAATAATTGTAAATAAAATAAAATTAATAAAATAAATAAAAATAAAAACTAATAAAAATAAATAAATAATAATAAATTTATATTAATAATTAAATTGAGTTAATAATTTCTTAAACATTTAATAAAATGTCAATGAAATAAAATATAATAACAAATTTTATTCATTGTATATAATAAGACAAAAGATTTTATTAATAATGTAATGAATAGGCAATTTTTAGTTATTTTAGTTTAGAAGTAGAATAATCATGATTCGTAACTAGAATTAATCACTCAATGTGACTAATTCTCTTTTGTAATGTTATCAACAAGAATAATAATTATTATATCTCATGGTCTGCAACTTTCCCCACATCTTTATATTATTTCACATTATCTGGAATTTGTTTCTGAATTGAAAATAAATAGCTAGTTCCAAAAACATTGACTTTGTTTCATATTTTCTAATATTTTCAATTACTTTCCAATAATTATTCTACAAAAACAAAAATTACCAGTATTATTAATTTTTTATATAATAAATTACAAAAATCATTATTTATAATAATAATAATTTAAAATAAAATCATTTTCGTAATTATTAAGACAAATGTAATGTTAATTTTTGAATTTTCAAATTTTTTAGTTTATTTCCAATCAAAATGATTTCAGTAGGAAAAAATTCTTACAAAATAAAATGTTTAAAATTCTATTGTAAATTTTCGAATTTTTAAATTATTTCCAACTAAAATGATTTCAGTAGAAAAAAATACAAAATAAAATGTTTAAAATTCTATATTATATTTAAATATTCAAATTTTTTAATTTATTTTGCTCCAAAATGATTTCAGTAGGAAAAAATTACAAAATAAAATGTTTAAAATCTATTCTTTACTATAATTTAAAAATTTATTTCGCACCAAAATAATTTCAGTAGGAAAAAAATACAAAATAAAATGTTTACAAATATAAAACAGTTTTCAATGGATAAATTTTGTGAAAAATATCATAAAAATTATTCGAAAAAACTCAAAATATTCCGCGAAACTTTTCCAAAAATTAATATTACCGGTAGTATTTTTTTTGTGCAAAATTATAAAAGTAGACGAAAACAATTAGAAATCGTATTTTTGTTTGTAATTGTCATAATTGTTAAAATAATATTGATAAAATAAATAAAATTATTAAATTGTTAAATTAACTTTTTTACTAAACTTCAAAATTTGAAATTATTTCGAATAGAACCAAAATACTTCAATAGGGAAAAAAAAATACATTTCAAAATAAAATTTTTACAAATGTCGAACATTTTTTTCATTTGAAAGTGTAAATTTTATGAATATAATGAAAATTATTCAACAAAAGCTCAAAATATTCCGCGAAACATTCCTAAAAAAATTAATATTATCGGAAGTATTACTTTTTGTGCAAAATTACAAAATCAGACAAAAACAGTTAGAGATCGTATTTTTATTTGTAATTGTTAAATTAACTTTTTTTAATAATTTTCAAAATTAGAAATTATTATTATTAAAAAATTAAATTCTTGACAAGAATTTTATTAAACTTTTTGAAAATAATTTAATTGTTTCGATAAAAATTACAATTCTTTCTAAAAATTTAGTTAAAATTGTATTGAAAATAATTGAATTCGTCTAAAGAATTGTAGCAAAATTTTTTAAGATAATTGAATTTTTTTTTCTACGAATTTTAATTTTGAAAAAAATTCAATTCTTTCAAGGAATTTTTTAATAAAAATTTTTTACTAATTTTAAAAATTTGAAATTATTTCGCATAAAAATAAATAAATACTTCAATAGAAAAAAAATACATACAAATGAAAATGTTTACAAATGTAGAACATTTTTTTCATTTGAAACGGTAAATTTTGTGAATATAATGAAAATTATTCAATAAAAACTCAATTTCCATATTCTGCAAAACATTTCCAAAGATGAATAAATTAATAATAATAATGGCTTTAATAGAATAATGTTCAAGAATCAAAGTAAAAGGAAGAAAGAAAAAAAATATTCGCGAAAAGAAATTACGCTTTAGTAAACACACACAAAACGTATAGTCAGATTTTCTACGAGAGGCGAAACAAAAATACAAAAAATAGTTAAAATATAAAAAATTGGACCAGTTGAAAAGTTTAATAATTAAAGTAAAAAGAAAAAAACAAAAAAATAATCGCGAAAGTAAATTACGTTTTAGTAAACACAAACGAAACGCGTAGATTTCTTACAAGAATCGAAAAAAAAAAATACAACAAAATAGTTTAAATATAAACAATTGAGAAATTATACTAGTGGAAAATTTTACACTTACACTTGAGACCATCGCCGTAAGCAACGCTAACGCAGGATAGTGCGAAAAAAATGGAAATTAGCAATTTCATCATGTTGATCAGTTGGTATTTGTAATGATGGAAAATATTTTGTGTATTTTCTAATTGACGTTGATTATTCGAAGCAACCTTTATACACACTGGTATAGAAGGCTGTTTTCTTCAATGCTTGATGAAAAAAGATTACAGGCAACTATCCACAATGTACAATATCATTGGCCACTTTTAAAATGAAAATCAAAAATGTACGTCGTTCCTTGTGATTTAATTCTTCGACTGCAATTGACGCGATATTACTATTTGATATTTCAGTGTGAAACTTGGTGAAACTGAAATGATTCTTTGTACTTGCTTTAAGAGCGCAAGCGTATAAACTGGTCAGCTGACCAATATAATGTATATGACTCAGTGAATATTCCGTCGTTCGTCGTCGTCGTCTTCTAATGCTTTGTAGCTGATATATATTATAATACGTTTAGTGAAAGACAAATTTTATTCTTGAATTCATGCTCATTGTTTAGCACAGCGTCGAAGCGAGAGTATTCACGCTATTTGCTAGATATCTGCAAAAAAAACGATTTAAAAAATAAGGTACGTGAACATTAAACATTATTTTATAAACATACACCTCATTTTTTATACTCTATATTTCTTTTCAAGCTCTTGTTTTCACTTTTGTTTTTTTCCAAGAATTATTCGCGCAAACTATTTTTTCACATTGAATAGTAGTTTGTTTATCGTTTGTCTAATTTCCGTCAGATAATTTACGCAACGAATTAATTACGTCTTGTCTGGTGCTACTCTATGTACATTAAAATGAAGAGAAAAGCAATTGACATTTTGCATTGCAAATATATTCACACTGCGGTTAGAAATTATTTTTAATATTTTTTTACTGTGAAAAAAATTACATTTTTCATCATATTGAGCAAACGGAAGTATTTTGATTTTGACGATTGTTTACTTTTCGAATATTTTTCATGTTTCTATTGTTTTGAAGATTCATTGTTTTGAAGAATTTTTAGAAGAAAGACTTTTTTTCATAAATTAATAATCAGCATAAATTTGTTTCTCTGAATGATTCAATTATGAATCATAATTCGTGCAATTTTTATAAAAATGTGTTTAAAGTACAATCTGTAATTATAGAGAAAATTAGTCATTAATATTAATATTTTAATATTATTTTAATAATTGTGTTTTATTTTAATGATTGTTTTAATTTTATAATTGTGTTTTATTTTTAGAATCATGTTTTTTAAAATCATGAATTTTAAAATTATGTTTTTAGAATTATGTTCTTTTTAATTATTCATTTTTCTAATTATGTTCTTTTTAATTACGTTTTTTTCTAATTAAGTTTTATTTTTACAATAATTTTTACGAAAACTTATATTGTCACTTTGTAGTTAAGTTTTTATATCATAAAAGTAGGTCATAAATTCTGGCAATAAATTAATTGCTTACCTCTCAATCGGGAAGAGTATGTGTTTCAGTTGCGATATTTATCTGATAAGTTCTCACGCACAGTGGGGATCGGTTTTTTTTTATCTGATAATAAGTAGTTACATTTTTGTCTCCGATTATTCAATCAATCTCTATCATGTCAATAAATTTTAATTCGATTATAAAGTCAATTCACTGTGCGTATTGCAGCTGAACAAATAATTATATATATAACTTGTTGTTCGATAGATAATTACTGTTTAATTTATTCTTTTGAAATTGTTTTAAATAATTTGTTATTAAAATAGGTATGTTAATTTTAAACAAACCACAATATTGTTTTTCATAACCTTCGTTTGTTTACAACCGTCAAGTTTATGTGGACTTTAAATTTAAGGGTTTTTTTTACAATTCCGGTAATTATTAATGAAATACGATTGGTCCGCGAGATTTTTTAAGGGTGAATTCACTTTTTGGAAATGACCAATCAAATTTTTCACTTGTTTGTTGCGTTCGATAGTATCGAACTTTTGCAAAACGTTGTAAAAAAGACCATTAGTTTCAACAATGACAGACCTGTCAACAATCAGTAATTGTTTGTTTACAAAAATGTAACGAACAAATATTTATTGTAAAATATAATATTTATTATAATTAATATAACTGTTACTGTTAAAAGACAACAGTTCTGATTTTGCATTTCATTATTAATTAATTTTTAATGCTAAATCAACAAAATGTTTACTGTATTTATTTTTTTAATGCTTGGAACATAAAAATTACTATTTTTAAAACAGTAAAACATACTTTACTCACTTTAATACTTTTATTAATTAATACCAACTATATTAATATATTAACTTCAATAATTTAATTATTATTTGGATAATTTATTTGTAAAAGGCGTAAAAGGTCATTAAATAATAAAGTGTATAGTTAAAAATAATTTTTGAGGTTAGAATCAACAAATAGTCGCCGATTATAAAAATTGTTAAAAAAGTGAATTGTTTCCTTTATTCATAATGGTGTTTTTACTAATTAGAGTTGTTAAAAATTTAGTGTCTATAAAGTATAAATAATAATAATAATTAATAAATACTAGTGTTTTAGTGTCAAATTTGCAAAAATCTAATATATTCGTTCTTTTTTTTACAGAAAAATGTTTGCTTTTGTACTATTGAGTGCTTTACTCGTCTCTGCATCTGCAGAATTCTGTTATCCTGAAGTTGAAGCTGCTTGTAGCACTGCTCCAACAACAGGTATAAATAATTTCTAATTAATTATTAAAAATATAATAAAATATAATATAATCGTACTAAAAATATTATAATTTTTTGAATAGAAATAAGAAAAATATTACTAATAAATAAATTGATACATAAAATATGAATAAAATTCTTATTAATAATAATATTAATAAATATTCTTATTAATAAAAATATTAATAAGTTTTCTTATTAATAATTTATCTATTAATTTCTATATCGGGGAAAATAATTTTTTTGTTTCTTAATTTAAAAATATTCTAGATGGAGCATTACTGAAAAATTGTAACGCGAAATATGGATCATTTGAAAATATGCAGACTGATCTTCAGGCGTATACGAACGCACATATTGAATCGAGTTTCGAGTACTTATTAATGTCATCGCATTTTGGAAATTACGAAGCCAATCGAGAGGGTTTTAAAGGATTGTATCGAAAATTGTCCGATAATGCTTGGCAGAAGGCTATCGATATGATTCAATTTATCACCAAGCGAGGTGGCACAATGAATTTCAATCAATTGCCACATTTCAAGAAAACCGTAAGTGTCGTTCTTTTGCATATTTGTGAAAAGGAAATTTTGAAACTTACAATTTTATTATCAAGAATTTTATTACTAACTTTAATTTTTTTTAAACGAAATTAAAAGAAACTTTAAATTTACTTTTTTTGGAGAAGTTTTTAGAAACTTTTACAAATTTAATTTCTTATTTTCCTTTTCTTGTTAAAAGTAACAAATTTTTTGAAAAAAATTAATAAAAAGACGCATAAAGTGTTGAACATTCAAATGAGAGAAATATTCTTTTAAATTTCAAATTTTTGGGAAAATATTGAAAATTTCGTTTACAAGAAAAATTTAGAAATTGTCTTATTTTGCATAATTTTGTGGTAGATATTGTTTAATTTTAAAAGATAACTTTTGTTAACAAAAAATGCTACCCTAGTTTTTTTTAACTTTTATAATTTCTTGCCTAGAATTTTATCAAAATTTTTTAAAAGAATTGAATTGTTTCAAATAATTTTATCGAAAAAAAACTTGAAAATAATTAAATTCTTTCAAGGAATGTAATTAAAATTGTTCTGAAGTTAATTAAAATCTTATAAAGAATTTTATCAAAATTTTTTATAATAATTGAAATCTTTCAAGAAATTTTATTGAAATTTTAAAAAATAATTGAATTCTATCAAGAATTTGTATTAAAATTCTATTGAAAATAATTGAATTCGTCTAAAGAATTTCATTAAACTTTTTGAAAAAAATTAAATTCTTTCAAGAAATTCAATTAAAAATTTATTGAAATTAATTTTATCAACATTTTTTTTAATTCACTTCTTTCAAAAACAAAATTTAAGTTCCTTCAAGTAATTTAATTAAAATTTTACTAAATTAATTAAATTCTAAACAAGTTTATGAAAATTATTTCAAAATAATCGAATTCTATCGAGAAATTATATTTTTGAAAATAATTGAATACTTGACAAGAATTTTATTTTAATTTTCTAAAATAATTTAATTGTTTCGATGAAAATTAAAATTCTTTCAAAGAATTTAGTGAAAATTGTATTAAAAATCATTGAATTCTTTCAAGGAATTTTATTAAAATTTTTAAAAATAATTCAATTCTTGACGAGAATTTTATGAAAATTTTTTAATTTAATTGAATTTTAGCGCAGACTTTTATTATTTATTTAAATAATTGAATTCTGGCGAATAATTTAATTAAATTTTTTTAATGTAAATGAATTTCACCGATTTTTATTGAAAATAATTGAATTCGTCTAAAGAATTGAAAATTTTTTAAAAATAATTGAATTCTTTCTATAAATTTTATTTTTGAAAAGAATTGTAAGTATTTCAAGAAATTTCATTAAAATTAAAAAAAATAATTGAATTATTTCATGGAATATTATTAAAATTTTTTTTAAATAATTGAATTTTTCTCTAGAATTTTAGTAAAATTATTGTATATAATTAAATTTTAGCGAAGATTTTTATAATTTATTTAAATAATTAAATTCTAGCGAATAATTTAATTAAAATTTTTAACTATAAATAAATTTCTACGAAGAATTCTATTATTCTTGAAAATAATTGAATTCTTGCGAAGAATGTTATTTTTTGAAAATAATTAATTTGTATCATGGAATTTATTTTTTGAAAATAATTGATTTGTTTTAAGGAAGTTAGTTTAAATTGTATTGAAAATAATTGAATTCGTCTAAAGAATTGTATCAAAAATTTGAAAAATAATTGAATTTTTTCTACGAATTTTATTACAAATTTTTAAAAATAGTTGGACTTTCCCTAGAATTTTATTAAAATTATTGAATTTAATTAAATTTTAGCGAAGACTATCATTATTTATTTAAATAGATTAGATAAATAGAATTCAATTATTTAAATAAATAATGACAGTCTTCGCTAAAATTCAATTAAATTCAATAATTTCAATAAAATTTAGGTAAAATTCAATTATTATTTTTAAAAATTTTAATAAAATTCGTAGAAAAAATTCAATTATTTTTCAAATTTTTGCTACAATTCTTTTGACGAATTCAATTATTTTTAATACAATTTAAACTAACTTCCTTGAAACAAATCAATTATTTTCAAAAATAAAATTTTTCACAAGAATTCAATTATTTTCCATAATAATAGAATTCTTCTCAGGAATTCATTTATAGTTAAAAATTTTTTATTTAGTTACATTTTTTTAATATAATTGAATTCTTGCAAAGAATTGAATAATTTCCTGAGATGAATTATACATTTAAGAAAATAATTAAATTCTTGCATAGAATTTTATTACAATTTTCGAAAATATTTAAATTCCCTCAAAGAAATTATATTAATGTTTGAAAAAAATAATAAACACAAAAAGAAAAATTGTACATTTAATTATTTCCATTAATTTCATTTCGCAGGCGTCAGATTCTCGTGTTTTGGAATTAAACGAAATCGGCAGTTTGGCAAAGGCTCTTGACACTGAAAAAGTAATGGCCGAAGAAGCATTGAGACTTCACGCACAAACGCAAAATCATCCCAAACAAGACGCAGCAGTGGCACATTATTTGGAGGAAGAATTCATGGAAGCACAAGCTGATTGTATTCGAAAATTGGCAGGTCACTCCAATGATCTCAAAAATCTTCTACAAGATCGCGATGCATCTCTCTCCATCTTTCTATTCGATGAATATCTCCAAAAAACTCTCTAAACAATTCGCTTATTCTTTTCCAGGAATTTTTCCTCCCCACAATTTTTTTGATAGACATTTTTTTTCATGAAATTCAATATAAGAATTAATTCAGAACTGTAAATTAAAATTCACTGCTTGTGATTTTGCCATTAAAATATTTTGGTTAATTAATTTCTCAATTAATGTTCTTCAAGTTTCGAACGATGAAATGAACGAAATCCACGTTCGAAAGAACGTGAATTTCGTTTATTTCAACGTTCGAAAATTGGGGAAATTTTAATTAAATATATCTTAGAGGATTTAAAAGACAAAAAATATATAAAAAGGTACGTATTTCGTATTATAATTATAAATTATAAAATGTTAGTGTAAAATTAAAAAATGAATTATAATCATATTTACTAAATTATAATTATGATTTATTAGATTACAACAATGTTTTGATTTGAAAGAAATATTCTAATTCCGAGAATTTATTATCTATATACAGAATTACAATTATAAATGTAAAATAATTATAATTTTCAATAAAACTTTTTATTTTTCTTTGTAATTTACAATAAACGTTGAAATTAAAAATTTATTTACAAAATTATTATGGATTCCTCATTTCTAGCTTTAATTTACTAATTTTCAGTGGAAGTAATTTAACGAAATCTTTACAAACACTCAATTCAACGTGCATCAATTCCTTGGCGTTTGAATTGCGTTCGCAGTAATTCACCAAAAATGAATAGGCATTGTAACTTTTTTCCACATTCTCGAGTTGTTGCTGTTTATCGGGTGTTATGAATTTATTATACAATCTGCCAACGTGAAAATAAGCGCTCAATACAGCTCGTACCATTTCATCGGGAAATTTATTTGTGTCGACAAATATTTTTGAACTTTTTAACGATTCGATGAATTTTTCGAAATTCTTTATCGACGATCCAGTGAGATTATTAATTTTCTTCAACATATTCGGCGTCGGTCGATCGTCACTCGCCTGTAGACGATCTAATTTAATGTCGAGAATTTCCGAATATGTCTCGCCGAGTTCCATCCAAATTTGTCGACAACTACTTTGATAGTAGGTCTCGTGTAGTTCCTTGAGGACATCCTCCAACATGTCTATTCGTCTTTTGTGCATTTTCGCCTGTTGCGCCTCGTCGTTGTGAAAAAATGCCAAGTCCTTGTAGGCTTGCGATTGATCCTGAATTAGTTGGACATAATCCGAGGCGTGATTCTCGAGGGAATAATATTGTTTCGCACTGTCGATCCATTCGTTGATTTTGAAGAAAACTAGTTTTGCGTCGGAAAAATCGAGTAGATAATTATCAGTTATTTCGTTTGCGATCGATTCGATATTCTTCTCGATACTTGTGAATTGTAATTTTTCCAAACAATCTTTATCGATTTCGGGCTTCTTCTCCTCTTGTTGTTCGTTTTCGCTTTTTAGTAAAAGACGTTCCTTGGAGGCGGTGAGGAGTAAAATTCCATATTTCACCCAACAGCGGGAAATATCGGCACTTCTGTGCTTGTAGTTTTCTAATTTTGCCGCTGATTCTTCGTCGTTCTCGACGTCAGTCTCGATTGCCGTCAGGGTGTTTTGATAATTTCGAAGAACATAACTTGCAGCTGATAAATAGTGTCTCGCTTGTGAGAAGCATTCCTTCTCGAGAAAAAATTGCGACAGTGTCGCGGCATTCAGGGCCCAGTCGATACTCTCAAAATCCTTGTACTCCAATTGTCGGGATAATGTCATGTGACAGTAGATTGCCGATTTGAGATAATCCTCCAAAGTTCCGTAAATTTGTGCCAAATAATACAAGGTTAGTGTGTGTAATTTTTCCAAAACTGTCTTTGCTTCCTCTTCGTTGACAATTTCGACAAGAAATAATTTTGACATGTTAATTGGTTCTTTTTCCCTCATCATAAATTTTTTGTAAATATCTTTAGCTCGTTCTAAAAATGTCTTGGAGACTGAGGCTTGATTCCTTTGTGACCAAAGAATTCCCAGTTGATTTAGAGCACTTATCATTGGTATTATTCTTTGCGGTAGGGTTTCATTTTCACTTAGATTATCTATGCAGTTCATGAAAAATTCCTCGCCGAGTTTCAATTCCTCTGTTTCGACGTAAACAATACCGAGATTTAGGGATATTATTGCTAGCAGTGTATTCACGTCGTTCTCTTCTTTAATTACATTGCTGGAGGTTTTTAAAAGGGAACTTTGCATTTCTTTTAAAATTTCAATTGCTGCATATTTGTTTTTGTAGGGTTTTGTCTCGTCTACAATTTTATCGTCGGAATCTAGTAGTTTTCTCACTTGGGCATATTTGTCCTTTAATTCTAATAATAAAGCTTGGAAATCCATTTTTGTTCTTTTTAATCGAAAATTGTGTGAGTTTTGAACTTCACAATCTGGAAAATAAAGTGAATTGGATTATTAGTAAAAAATTGTTAATATAGATAAACAAGGTTGCCACAGGTCAGGAAATTCAGGCAGAAGTCAGGGAAATTAATTTTTTCTATTTCAGACAATAATTTCTTTTTCAATAACTTAATTTTAATTCTTCAAGAACTATCATAATTATTACTTAAATTATTTAATGATTAATTTTATTTCAATATTTCAAAATTGATTGAATTTTAAAAGAGTTACGTTTACAATTTTCATAAAAAGATGAACTTCAAAAGATTTCAATTTAAAATTTCACAAAATTTCAATTTTGAATGAATTTAATTAGAAAGAACTGAAATTTTCCAAAAATTGTAATAATTCAAATTCTTCTGAAATTAGTTAAATTTTTAAATATATATTAAATTAATTACTAAACATAATAGATTTATAAAAGAATTTTAGTTAAAAACACTTAAAAAAAATTGAATTTTGGAGAAGTTATAAATTATTGCAGAAATTCAATTATTTTCAAAAGTAATAAAATTCTTCGCAAAAATTCAATTATGTTCAAAAATTTAAAAAAAATTCTCGTCAAAATTTCAATTATCTTTATAAATATTAAATTTCGTCTCCGAAATTCAATTATTTTCTAAAATTTTAATAAAATTCTTGGCGAAATTTTAATAATTATTTTCAAAAAATTTCCTCAATTCACTGATTTTCCATACAGTACCGTCCGCAATTGTCAGTCCACCCATTTTTAAAGGAATGACAAAAATTTTTTAACATAAAATTCATGAAAACTAAAATTTTTTTTGGTTTATATTTTGAAAGACGATAAAATTTTGAAAAGAATAAGACCTTACAGAAGTCATTTGGCCAAAATTTGTAGAAGATATTCCTAAAAATCGTCATTTTCAATGTTCTACAAAAATTTAAATAACTCCTAAAATAATGAACGCTTTTTAATAATTTTAGGCTTATTTTAAAGGTCTTTTTCTACGGAATAAGAATTACTTATAGGCATTAACCTGTCATTTTTAACTTGGAATAAGCATGACGTCAAAATTAGACAAAAAAATTGGAAAAATTTGAAATCAATTTTTTGTACTAAAAACTATTCTAGAACATATATAAAACATGATATGGTGTAGATTTTTCAAGAAAATTTAATAAAAATGTATGTTTTAATTTCAAAAATTATTTTTCTTTTAATAATATTATTTCAAATTTTTTGAATTTTTTTGTCCAACTTTGACGTCATGCTTATTCCAAGTTAAAAATTACAGGTTAATGCCTATAAGTAATTCTTATTCTGTAGAAAATGGTCTTTAAAATAAGCCTAAGATTATTAAAAAGCGTTCATTATTTTAGAAGTTATTCAAATTTTTGTAAAACATTGAAAATGACGATTTTTAAGAATATCTTCTACAAATTTTGGCCAAATGACTTCTGTAAGGTCTTATTCTCTTCAAAATTTTATCGTCTTTCAAAATATAAACCAAAAAAAATTTTACTTTTCATGAATTTTATGTTAAAAAATTTTTGTCATTCCTTTGAAAATGGGTGGACTGACAATTTCGGACGGTACTGTATATACTATTTTAATAAAATTTTCCAAAAGAATTAAATTATTTAAAAACAATTTTTTTTAAATTCTACGCAAACATTTAATTATTTGCATAAATAATAAAACTCATCTCAGAATTTCAATTATTTTTAATACAATTTTAATCGAATTCCTCAAAAAATGTAATTATTCTTAAAAATTTTATCAAAATTCGTCAAAAGAATTCAATTATTTCAAAGTTTGTTCATAAAATTCTTTATGAAAATTTAATTTTAAGAAACATTAAATTATTCAATAAATTATTTATTTTTGTGTTTAATTAATTGAATTCTAGTAGAATTTTCTAATAAAAATGGATTTAAAAAATGGATTTTTGTTAAAAAGTAAGATAATAAAATCAAGTTCTTTCGAGAAATTATTATTCTTGAAAATAATTGATTTCTTGACAAGAATTTTATTAAAATTGCAAATAAAATTAATTAAAATTTTATTAAAATATAAAATATAAAAATATAAAATATTAAATTAAAATAAAATTGAATTCATCTAAAGAATTGAATACAAGTTTTTGAAGATAATTGCATTCTTTCTACGAATTTTGTTTAAAAAAATTGAATTTTTTCAAGAAATTTTATTAGAATGTTTAACAATAATTGAATTTATCTAAAGAGTTGAATCAAAATTTTCAAAGATAATTGGATTCATTCTACAAATTTTTTTTTTTTTGAAAAAAATTGAATTCTTTCAAGGAATTTTATTAAGATTTTTAAAAATAATTGAATTCTTGCCAAGAATTTTATTAAAGTTGATGAATATAGTTGAATTTTAACGAAGATTTTTATTATTTATTTAAATAATTAAATTCTAACGAATAATTTAACTAAAATTATTGAATATAATTGAATTCCTGCGAAGAATTGTATTATTTATGAAAATAATTGAATTTTTGTAAGAATTTTATTTTCTGAAAATAATTAAATTGTTTCAAGGAATTTAATTTAAATTGTATTGAAAGTAATTGAATTCGTCTAAAGAATTGTAGCAAATTTTTTTGAAAATACATAATCAAATTCTTTCGGAAAATTATATTTTTGAAAATAATTGTAGTCTTGAAAAGAATTTTATTAAAATTGTATTGAATATAATTGAATTCTTTCCAAGAATTTTAGTTTAAAAAAAATTGAATTCTTTCAAGTAATTTTTAAAAAATTTTTAAAAATAATTGAAATCTTGTTGTGACTTTAATTAAAATTGTTTAAGATAATTTAATTTTAGCGCAGACTTACTATTTATTTGAATAATTGAATTCTTACGAATAATTTGATTCAAATTATTATAGAATATAATTGAATTCCTGCGAAGAATTGTATTATATTTATGAAAATAATTAAATTTTTTGGAAGAATTTTATTTTTTGAAAATAATTGAATTGTTTCAATTAATTTAATTTAAATTGTATTGAAAATAATTGAATTCCTCCGCGATGAATTATATATTTAAGAAAATAATTGAATTCTTGCGAAGAAAATAATTTTGAAGAAGTTATAGTATAACAATATTTTTATAATAATATATAAAATAATAATTTTTTCAAATGATTTTATCACTCGTTCATCTTTAATTATTATAAGTTGTTGAATTTCAAAAAGGTTTCGATTTTGAAATTTTTGGAAAATTTTTATTCCTACGGAAAAATAATAATGATTGAGTGAATCAGAATATTCTTTAGTGTCAGGGAAAATGTCAAAATTTTGTCTGAAAATCAAGGAAAAAAATAATCAAATTTTTGTGGCAACCTTGGTATAGTAAAAAAAATAGTATTATTAAAGGAATTCTATTACAAATTAATCGTACATCTGAATACAATTGAGAGATTCTAGATTCGACTTGGGAAAATAAATACGAATTCGAAATAAATCGGGTTTACTTCAAAATGGGAATATTGGAAAAAATATTGGTTTTAAGTTGTAATTTTATGTTCTAACTTACCGAGGGTAAATTCTAAATAATGTAGACAGCTATTAAACTCTTTTGTTTTATCACTTATTAATATTATTTTCTATTTTTTCTATTATTTTATTCAACATGTCACATTTAAATACCTCGTTTATTTTGATTGACTTTATCAGGATTGAGAAACTAGTCTCTTAAGTTCAGGGTTGAGAAGATAATGCGCCAAACCTCTGTACTTTCCAAAAAAGAGATGTGGTGGGGGTATAAAGGTGCAATCACCAAAGCAGTGATTTGTCACAATTCAAAGGTTCCCCTGTAGAAAACCTTAAGCTGCATTCAACTTCGAGAACCAAGTGTCCCCACCCTGACGAACTGTCAAAACACTGCAAAGGAAATAGAGAAAATAAGGTTAAGATTTCAACAATACTTTTTAAAAAACTTAAAAAACAATTGTTTAAATAAATAAAACATTGTTAAATAATTTTTTATTTTTAGAAACAATAAAGTAAGAAATAGTTAAATACCGATTGTTTGTAAAGTAAAGTAAAAGGACCAGACTATAGTAGAAAGTTAATCCACATTCAAATTTTTAGTTAAATAATTAAACAAAAAGAAATAATTCGAAGAAATTTAATGTAAAAATAGAACAAAAAAATTATTCATCCTAAAAAAAGGTAAATCAAACCAAAAAGCTTGTATATTAAAAATATCGCTAGCGTAAAAATTAAAAAAATACTTGTATTTAGTAATAAATATAAAAGTATAATAAACGTTTTGTATTTAATAAGTAAATATAAAAACAAACATAAAAGTATTAAAAAGTGAATATAAAAATAATAGAGTACAAATTTAGTAAATCTACTTACCCGCAGATTTATTTTTCTTTTCAGACAAAAAACAACAATGTAAATGGAAATAGAAAAAAACGAGCAATAAAATAGATGGATCTAAAGAAAATGAAGTGAAAAATTCCTTTTTTCAGAATGATATTCTCGTTAAATGAACTCGTTCATTGGTTGGGATTGACAATTTTTGAGATATGGGTTAATCTGGCATCACTTTCGGTGTTTTTTATCCTATTGGCCTTTAAATTAGATAATGACTATTTTTTAAATCACAAAGATTGGTGGATTGTTTTTTCGCCATTATTCATTGCCGATGGATTGAATACATATTTTTGTTGTATTATATTCATACGAATGCATATGGAAGGAATGGTGAAGGATGCTATATTGAGAGCACTTTGGAGTTTAATTCTATTGCTATTAATTTTTATATTCAAATATTTTCTCTGCCAAAAATTGTCGGGACAAGCGTCTTTGGAATATTCAGAAGTATTGAGTCCCGTATTCTTTTTATTGCAACTTATTGCCATTAGAGCTTGTCAATTACATTGAATTGTTTATTTATAAACTGAAATTTAAAGAAAAATTGTTCTGTTGAATATGTGGCAAAAAAATGACGTGAATGACTGAGAGTGAAGTAAAAAATAGAAAAGTGTCTATTAATATTTTTAATATAGATAATAAAATATTTCTTACGAGAAAGATAAAATTTTATTCTTTGGTAAAAATTGTTTAAATTAATCTTGGACTTGAAAACTAATCTTCCCCATTTCTACTACAATTTTCAAACTGTTCCAAATTTATACAAGAATTATATTTTATGTGAATAATCGTAATAACAGAGGTGAAATTTTGATTTTGATTTTAGTTTTGTTTTATTTATACAAATAGAAATGTGGTCGTTGGGTGTATTTTTATTGCTAATTTTAATTATACGAGTACAATCGGATGAGTATTGTTCGTTGAATTCTGAAAAATGTGAACAAACACATAATAAATATTCTGAAGGTAAATTTAATTGTTTCTCTTGTATCGAATTTCTCTTAACAAATTTTAAAAGAAGAAAATTAATAATGAGAATTATTTCTTTTGTAGCTTCCAATAAATATGGAAAATACTTGAGAGCCATTGAGATTGCCGAAGAAAATTACGTCGAGTGTACAAAGAAATGTGGATGTTATCAAAATATAATTGAAGAACAATTAGCACCTTTCGAGAAAAAGGGAATTGATGAAAAATTAATTGAAAGCGCAAGAGATCGGTGAGATTTTTTATTCATAAATTTATTAAGTAGCATATTTTTTATAACTTTTTTGTGCTTTGATTTCTAATTTATTCTTTACTTTATTTTTTACTTTATTTCTTACTTTATTTATTACTTTATTTTTTAATTTATTTCGTACTTTATTTTTTACTTTATTTCGTAATTTATTTTTTAATTTATTTCTTACTTTATTTTCTACTTTATTTTTCACTAGCAAATGTTACGCGCGAAACGTGATATTCAATTTATTATTATTATGCAAATTACAAAAAATTTTATTTTCAAATATGAATTTTGGAATAATTTCAGATTCAAACTTTAAAATAATTCAATTATTAATTAATTTACTAATTAATTATTCTTGTTTATTAATTTCAAAAAATTTTAATAAAATTCTTTGCCAGAATTAAATTATTTTACAAAATTTTAATAAAATTCTTCGTAAGAATTCAATTATTTTCATAAATAATAACATTTTTCGTAAGAATTCAAATAATTTTTATAAATAGTAAAATTCTTGCAAAAATTCAATTATTTTGAAAAAAATTTCACGAAAGAATTGAATTTTTTTCTTAATTCGTTATAAAATATATTTCAAAAGAATTCAATTTTATTTTCTAAAATTTTAATAAAACTTTCAAAACAATTAAATTTTATTTATAAATAGTAAAATTCTTTGCAAAAATTCAATTTTTTTAATTCAATTTTAATAACATTTTTTCATGAAAGAATTCAATTATTTATAAAAATTTTAATAAAATTCAGTTTATTCATTATGGGAATACAACGATTATTAATATAGAAGATTTATCTCGTACTTTATTTTCTACATTTTTTCGTACTTTATTTTTTAATTTATTTCGTACTTTAATTTCTACTTTATTTATTTATTTCTTTTTTTTATTATTTCTTACTTTGTTTTCTACTTTATTTGTTACTTTGTTTCATACTTTATTTTTTACTCTATTTTAGACTTAATTTTTTACTTTATTTTTCATTTTATTTTTTACTCTGCTTTTTATTTTATTTTTTACTTTATCACTTATTATCAATCATTGAATCACAAACTAGTCAAAGTTTTAACGAATTCAGAAATTTTTGTAACAAAATGTTTGCAATTTTTCAGAGGAGTGCTGTATCAAATGATTGATGGTCATCTTTATCGAGAAAAAGATTGCATGTTTCCTTCTAGATGCGCGGGAGTGGAGTATTTTCTCTTAAAAATTATTAACAATGTCTCAGATGCAGAAGTGCTTATCAATACTCGCGATTATCCTCAATCGAGTAAACATTTCGGAAGTCCACTACCTGTATTCTCCTTCAGTAAAGTAATTAATTTTTATTATATTTATTAATTGACTAAGTGAATTCTTATAAAAAATTATATCAAAATTTTCGAAAACAATTGTATTTTCGCGAAGAATTTTATTAATATTTTTAAAAATAATTGCCTCCTTTCGATAAATTTTATTATAATTTTTTTAATTATTTAAATTAATTGAAAGCATTTTTTTTTATAATTTTTAAAAATAATTAAGTTCAGTCGAAGAAATTAATTAAAATTCCATTGAAAATAATTGAATTAATTTAAAGAATTTTTTATTTTCATTTGAATAAAATAATAATTGAATCTTTGCAAAGGATTTTATTATTTTGTTAAAATAATTGAATTATTTTGAAGATTTTTACTTTAATTTTGAAAAGAAATTGAATTCCTGAGAAGTTGATATTTAGAAATAAAAAATGTAATTTAAATAGTAATAATAAAATCAGATTTTGAGTTTTTTTTTAAATTTCTACTGGATAATTTTAATATTATTAAAAATTGTGAATAATATTTATAAAAATTGTTTTTCTTGTTTAGACTTCGCATTATTTCGATATAATGTATCCCGCCTGGTCCTTTTGGGAAGGTGGACCAGCAATTTCCCTCTATCCTCGAGGACTCGGTAGATGGGATCAACATCGAATTTCTCTGAATGATGCCAATTTGAAAACGCCATGGGAACGTAAAAAAGAAATGGCATTTTTTCGTGGCTCGAGAACAAGTTCAGAGCGCGATAATTTAATTCTTTTGAGTCGTGACAAACCGAATCTTGTCGATGCGCAATATACCAAAAATCAAGCATGGAAATCTAAAGCTGTACGTATTTTGGAAAAAATTATCTTCTTTTCTTTCTTTGAAAATTAATTCATTTATTTTTAAAAAACATTAATATGTTTTCAATATTATTTTTTATTCAATGTTCAAAATATGATAATAATTATATAAGAATTTAATTCAATTTTCATAAATTGAAAATAAATAATAGAAAACTTGGATTTGAAAATAGAAAAATAGTGTTTTTTGCCAGTAAAAATTTATCAGTTTTTAAATAATCATTTTAACTATTTTTCTGTTTGGCAGGATACGTTGAATTTACCACCGGCCGGAGAAGTTTCTTTAGAATCGCACTGTGCCTATAAATACTTATTTAATTATCGCGGAGTTGCTGCTTCTTTTAGACACAAACACTTGTTTCTTTGTGGTTCGTTGGTTTTTCATGTAGGCGACGAGTGGCTTGAATTTTATTACGACTCCATGAAGCCATGGATTCACTATATTCCAGTTTCGAAAGATGCCAGTCAATCCGAAATCGAGTAAAATCTACTTTTTCAAACTAATTACAGAACAGAATTGAAAATAGTAACTAATTATTGAAAAAAATTGAGAATAATAGCTAATTCAATGATCTTCATAAAAAGTCAAATTCTTTTGAAGAATTAAATTATTTACTTAAATAATAAAATTCTTCAGAGGATTTCAATTATTTTCAAAATTGTTAATAAAATTCTTCCTAAAAATTCAATTATCTTCATAAAAAATAAAATTCTTCTGAGGATTTCAATTATTTTCAAAAATTTTAATAAAATTCTTTGCAAAAATTCAATTTTCATCATAAAAAATAAAATTCTTTGCAAGATTTCAATTATTTTCATTAATAATAAAATTCTTCGGAGGATTTCAATTATTTTCATTAATAATAAAATTCTTTTGAAGATTTCAATTATTTTCAAAAATTTTTATAAAATTCTTTGCAAAAATTCAATTTTCATCATAAAAAATAAAATTCTTTGGAAAATTTCAATTATTATTATTAATAATAAAATTTTTCAGAGGATTTCAATTTTTTTTTAAATTTGAAATAAATTCTTGTCAAGAATTCAGCTGTTTTCATAAATAATTGAATTCTTTACAGAATTTCAATTATTTTCAAAAATTTGAATAAATTCTTGTCAAGAAATCCTTTTGAAGTAAAATTCATCGTAAAAATTAAATTATTTTTTATAAATAATAAAATTTTCCTGAGAAATTCAATTATTTTCAAAAAATTTCAACTAAAATTATTCAAAAAACTACATTATTTAAAAAAAAACACAAAAAAATTCTTCAAAAAAATGAAATTATTTACAAAAACTCTAATGAAAATGGTTTAAAAGAGTTTAATTTTCTATCAATAATTTTAATAAAATTTGAATAGTAAAATTATTAACTACAATTATTCAATAATTAAATGTTTAATTTCAATTATTAAGAACAACGATTATTTTAAAAACTTAAAAGAAATTGTTCATAAAATTCAATTACTTTCAACATTTTCAATTAAAATTATTAAAAAAATCACATTATTTTTAAAAAATTGAAAAAAATTCTTCAAAAGAATTTTATTAGAATTTTTAAAAATTTTAATAAAATTCTTCGTGACAGTTCAATTTTTTTTTTCTAAATAATAAAATTCCTTGTAAAAATGCAATTATTTTCAAAAATTTTAATAAATTTCGTTGCAAAAATTCAATTATTTTTAATACATTAATTTTAGAATTAAAAATATTTGAAAAAAATTGATAATTGAAAGAATTGAAAATAACTAATTACTGAAAAGAATTGAAAAGAATAACTAATTATTAATTTAGAAATTAGTAAATTTTTTGATCCAAATTAAAAAACTAAAATAAATAAATTTATTTTTATTATAAACAATTTCTTTTTATTAATTTAAGTTAGAACTTGAAAAAACTATTTTATTTGAAAACTATTTTAGTTTCTTATTCTATTTTACTTTTTCATCTGGATAACTTTTCGTTTCCCTTTGCAGAGAATTGATTCAGTTTGCGAAAGATAACGACGAGATATCGAGAAAGATCGCCAATCGTGGAAGAGACTTTATCTGGGAGAAACTACGAATGACTGACGTTACTTGTTACTGGAGAAGATTGTTTAAAAGGTACATCAAACTTTTAACTTTTCAACCAACTTTGAAACAAGATCTTATTGAAATACATAAAAAATAAATTACAATTTAGACTATAAATAAAAAAAAATTGTGATACAATATTTACATATACTATTTTTACATTTTAATTGAAATAAAAGATTTTCGTTAAAAAAAAGATTGTTTTGATTAATCACGAAAAGACGAAAATAAAAAAAGTTCGCTAAAAAAATTGGATTTAGGAAAAATAGCGAAAATTGTATAAAATTCAAAACAATGGGCAAATTCAAATCCTAAAGTACAAAGGGAATTAAAAAATAATAAGGTACATAATTGTATTAAAAAATAATATTTTTATTTCATTGTAGTACATTTTTTTTCGCAATTTTTAGCACCTAAAGGGAAAAACTTATTAAGTACTAGATAAACATAACTTAAATTAATGCAAATGACAATTGTTATAAAATATTCCTAATATAACGGAAGTAGAATTGAAAAAAATATTTTTTTTTTACAATTTTTATTTTGTTGAATATTCTTTACAAAAGAATATTAATTTCTTTCGCAAGATAAGGAGGTAGTAAGCAATATTCTGTTTTTATAACATTATTATAAAGAGTGGACCAAAGAGTTTTTTGATATACACAAAGATCACACAATTTAAAATCAATAATATCGAAAATCTGCAAAAGGAGATGATTTATTTTTTTTAAATAATGAAACTTAAAAACTAGCTACTGAAATTTAATATGAATATATTTCGACTGGAAGATGCCAGTGATAATGCAAAATGAGTACGTTTCTTGGTAAATACTAAATTTAACTAAATAATAATATTTATAATAATACACACAATCGCATAAAAAAGCTAAATTTTTTTATACATTTAAACTTCTTACAAAAATACTATCTTAAGGCACTTGAGTTCAATTGTCTCTTCGTCGAAATCGCATTTATTCTAAAACATCGCATTTTCCACTTAATTTTCATTTTTTTAATTTCAATTTTCAATTTTACTTTATCTTTTATTTCACTTTTTATTTTTTCTCTTACTTTTTTTTTTATTTTCTATTTTATTTTTTATTTTACATTCTTATTTTTTATTTAATTTTTCCTTCTTCGAAACAACTTTTCCTCTTTTGGAACAATTAAAATTTAAAAACTAAACAAAAATTAATTACAAATTTTAATTGAATTTCTTTTCTCTCATCTATTAAGCGAATTGTTTTCCAATCTAAATTTTCGAAAAAACTAGACAAAACAAAATCAAGAATCTATTTAGAATAAATTTTATTTGAGCGGCAGTTGTTGCTCAGATGAGGAAATTGTTTTTTTTTATTTTTTACATTAAAACTATATTTATAGATTTATTTATGAATATTATTTATGAAATAAATTCGAAAGATATTTGCTTTCGCTAATACTTTGGAATGCTATCAAAGAGCAGTAAATAGGCAAATATCCATTTAACAAATACGTACACATCAGACTTGTCAATTAAAATTTAAGTTCCTAAATTATTGAGAAGCAAATGAATACTATATATAGTTGAAGTAACTTTGGTTATAAACCAAAATTCACTGTTATTACAATATACACATTTATTTCAGGCCTCGGATCGACTTTAAGGCGCAAAAAAAAATTTGGGACAAATTAAAAAACTAATCAATTCTTAATTAAAAATTTCGAAAATATCTGTTTTCTTTAAAATTTTAATAATATTAATTTTTGAGAATTCAATTATTTTCCAAATTTGCAATTAAAATTTACCAAAAATTGATTTTCAACAATTTTAATGAAATACTTGAAAAAAATCAATTATTGTCAATAAAATTTTACCAAACTTTCTATTATTTAAAAGCTTTTTAATCACATATTTCAAAAATTTAATTATTTTAGAAAAATTATTCAAAAATAAAATATTTTCAAATATTTAGCTACAGTTATTTTTTACACTAGAAAAATTTGAAGTAATTTATATTTTGTACCAAGAAAAATTGGTATTTTGTTGTAATATTTGGAATAAAAGTTGAAAAAGTCGCTTTTTTTGAAAATAAATCGAGAAAAGTAGCCTTTTTTTTAAAATAGTCGAAAGAAACTCCAAAAAGTCGAACTATCCGAGGCGTGACATTTAACAAAAAAAGAAAATTGCAAATCTGCAATTGACTCACTTTCTCTACTTGATAATTATTATTCAAAGACAATGACTTAATCCCTAGATAATGATTGCGCTTTCGTAGATCGATGATCACATTTCGTTAAAACTCGGAAAATCACAATTTCTGCGAATTAATAATCGGAGCGCTTTTATTGAAAATGAATTTTTTAGAGTGGAAATTATTAGGTTCATCCTATTATTGAAAATTATTTTTCGACAGTCTTTCTAAGCTGCCTTCGTGTTTCCAAAATAAAACAAAATTAATTGAAATTAATAATTTTTCTTCTGCAAAATTGATGAATTTTGCTATTAGAAAATAAAATTATATGTTTCTGAATAACTAATTATACTATTATTGTCATTAAAAAATAATCCATATCAATTAAAGCAAAAGCTTTTGAAAAGTAATTTTATAACCAAAAATAATATTTTACTGAAACAAAAATGATCAAAATTACAATTTCAAATCAAAACAAATATTGTTTTCTATATTTTTAATTATTGCGAATTATTTTAAATTTATTTAAATTATTAAATTATTAAATTTTAATTGTTTTGAATTAACTTTTTTTTATTTTGAATTCACTTGTTTTTTATTTTATTTTTTTGTTTAAACTTTAAAACTTTTAAATGAAACAAAAACAAAGTTCTTTAAAGTTCTTTAAAGAAAAGAAAAAAACAGCAAATTCCGAATCGCAAATACTGTGAAAAAAATTTCCGAGACTAATTATTCGGCTAAATTATACAAAAAAAAATTCTAACATAATTGTACACAATTGAAGAAACAGTCTTTCTGTTTTTTTAGTGCACTTTAATCATCGATTGAATTAATCGAGGGCAGTGTACCTATAATTGAATATAGGAAATGTTCGAATGTCGATGATAATGCTTATGATCTTAGAACATTTTCTCAAAAATTGTCACCAATTTTTTTTTCTCATTTCCTTCTCAAAAACATGATCGTATTTCATCATCACAAAATTTGTTTTATACAAGAAATTCTTTTTTCGTCTCCTAAAAAATTACTATGTGAAAACTAAATGTCGAAAATTGACAATCGCCATTAATATACTGATAATAAGATGCCATTTGATTCCACTTGTGATGATTATACTTTCTGCCGCAGAATCCGATGAATGTTGATTAGAATTAGTGACATGTTGCTCATCACTGTCTCCTATTTTGAGTTTTTTTTCGTTTTTGGAAAACAAAAACAAATTGTTTTTTTGTTGAAAATGTTTTTTTTTTTGCTCTTTTGTTGTTGGACACTTCGTGACACGAAGGTGCAAAATCGCGCTATTATTTGAGTGCAATTTGCAGAAAAATTTTCACATTTTCTATGTATACTTGACCTCACTTGATTGTCGATTGTTGTTGTTTGGAACATTTTATTTTATTTTATTTTTTTTATTTTTTGGTTTATTCGAATGGCACTAGAATGGAATCTCTATGATCCATAGGGGGAATTTCTGCTCTCCGCTGGAAACATTATTGTTCCAAATTATAATTGTACCGGTTTTGAATTGTTTAGAACAGATATTTTTTTCATTCCACTGCTAAACATAAATATAATAAAATATAAAAATAAGATTTTATTCTTATTACAATTGCTTTTTTTGGTAAAAATAATTATAGTGAAATAGGAAAGCGCATAATTGTTTTTTTTTAAATTAATTCTGGATTCGGTCAAACGAATTTTTACTAATTGTAAATTAAAGTTAATTAAATTAAAATTGGAAATTAGAGTAATAATGAAATATTTAATAATTAATAATTAAACTTAATAATCAATAATTAATCATTATAATTAATAATCAATAATTATTCAATAAAATTAATAATCAATAATTAATCACTAAAAATTCCAATTAATAATTAATAATTACAATTACGAATTTATAAGAATAATAATTAATTTAAAATAATTATGCGCCTTATAAATAAATATATTACATAAATAAAGTGTGCACTGCGTGTTCTTAAGTCAAAATAAATGAACAGTTTGAAAATCAAGTGAAATGAAAAAGTGAATTAATTAATAAATAAATAGACTAAGAAATATTTTCATATAAAAGAACAAAATATACATGAATTTCAATTTTTTCTCTCATTTAGAATTATGATTTTATTTATTTTTTCATTCTAACTATGAATTAAATTCTTAGATTTTATAAATTAAACTGCTAAAACCATAAGTTTTGTTCTTTTTATTAATTTTTACTCCGAATTAAAGAAGAGAAATATTACGTTACTTTTTTATTGTAAATAATAAATAAAAAGTAAATAAATAAATAAAATAAAATACATTTAATTTGAATCAAATAAAATTTCTTTCATTAAAAAAATGATTAAAATCGACATTTTTATTACAGAACTCTCCCAAATTGTAAATTAGCAAAAAGTCGTTTACTAATTAAAATTAACAGAAATTTCTACTATTTCAGTTATTTTCCACTAAAAATTTAGAAAAATAAATTTTAACTACAAAATAAAATAGTTAAATTCTATTTTCTTTAAAGATTAGTAAAAATGTTTACTAATATTAATTACTGAACAACGTTAATTTTTTGTAAATACTTAGTAAATTAAAAAATTAAGAAATCAAATATTTAAAATCAAATAAAATGTATTTCATTAAAAAAAATTACATATTAAATTCGACATTTTTATTACAAAAAACTATCTCAAAATTTGAATTAGCAAAAAGTCGTTAACTAATTGAAATTAACAGAAATTTCTACAAATTTTAATTTATTTTCCACTAAAAAATGTAGAAAAATAAATTTTAACTACTAAAAAAATTGCAATTTCTATTTCCACAAAAAATTAGTAAACATTTTTAATTAATTGTTGAACGACGGTAATTTTTTGAATTTAATAAATAAATTAATGAATGAAAGAAGAAAGAAATAAAATAATTTAATTCAAATAAAATTTCTTTCATTCAAACTAATTATTAAATTCGACATTTTTATTACAGAATTTTCTCAAAATCTGAGTTAGCAACTACTTTTCTACTAATTTTAGTTATTTTCCACTAAAAATGTAATTAATTTTGAACTTAATTTTAATTTAATTTTCCACTAAACAAATTTTAAGTACTAAATAATAATAGTTAAATTCTATTTCTACAAAAAATTTGTAAAAATGTTTACTAATATTAATTAGTGAAGACGACGTTAATATTTAGTAATTAATAAATAAATTAATAATTTAGAAAATTGAGAAACAAAATAATTTAAATCAAATAAAATTTCTTTCATTTAAAAAATTCGTAAGTAAAACATTTTTTAAAACTTTTTACTAAAATTTTTTTTTAGTACTAAAAAGTCTAAAATTATTAAATTGAATAGTAAAATTTTACTAAGAATTAGTGGGAACTTTTACTGTCTTGAATTAAAAATTAAATTAAAAAAAATTTAATTACAATTAATTAAAATTAATTAATTAAAATTAAATTATTTACTGTCTTGAATAAGTGGACGACTTTTCATTAAATTAAATTTAATGCGTAGTTTTAATTTTATAAAAAAAATAAATTTACAAATTCGACATTTCTATTTAAAAAAAAACTCTCTCGAAAACTGAATTAATAAAAAGACGTTTAAAAATTCAAATAATTAGTAATTTCCCACTAATTCTAGTTAATTTCCACTAAAAACTTTAGAAAAACAATTTTCAACAACTAATTATGAAAATATAATTAAATTCTACTCCCAGAAAAAATTAGTAAAATTTTGTCAATAATATAAATTAGTAAACGCCTTTTTACTAATTTAAATTTAGAAAAAGAAAAAAAAATGATTTTTTCAAAGAAAAAAAAATTCCTCTTTTACAAAAACTATGATTTGAGCAGTCTTTAAAAAAAAATTTTTTTTCTTAAATAGAACACGAAAAGATAAGGGTGTAATAATAAAAGTAAAGGTGTAATAAAATATCGTTTTAGTGAGTTGTAAAAATTAAAATCATGCTTTAAAATCGAGACTAAAACTAACTAGAACAAGTTGCAAGTGCAATAAAAAAAGATAAAATGCATTTTCTAACTAAAATGAAAAATGTACGTGCAAGAAAACTACATGCTTTATAACTTAAGTGAAACTAAAAATTGTATTTAAAAAAGAAACAAAAAGTTAACAGTAGTCAATTTACCTTCACCCAATAAAAAAAATAATTTTTGTGAAAACAGGAAAAAAACACAAAAAGATAGATTTTTTTTTAAATATTACCAATTTGTTTCCTTTTTTTGTTTGGACAAAACTATTAATTTGTGTGAAGGTAAAATAGTGCATTGGTGCAATTATTTCTACTCTACAAGGAAATCGGAGAGAATTAACTACAATTATTATATTATAATAATAGATGTAAACTCAAAATTGAGTTCCAAACAACAAAAAACCGCCAAATTCCAATAAAAATTTTGATCATGCAACGATCGAGATCAGTATTATCAGAATTTTTCCAGAATATTTTCTTCAATTGTCCACTACTTTTTTTTATCCATTACCATTATTTGTATAATGCACCTTCGTGTAATGATTTGTCACCATAAAAGTGTATTTTTTGTTCTATTCTTTTTTCTATTTCATGCAGCATTTTGTAATTAGAGACTAAAATCAAAATTTAATTATTAAATCCAAATTTCAAGAAAAGAAAAAAATAAAAAAGGTAATTTTAATAAAGTGCTGTAATTATTCCTTAAAATATTGTGAATTCAAATTTAAAACTAAAAGTGCACTGTGATTTACAAAAACCATAAATTTCTAATTTTTGGCCAATTGTATAAAATTATTTTTAGTAAAAATTTCCATTTTTGTCAAATTTATTGAAAACAATTAAAATTTCATTAGTTTTAAATAAATTTAATTTTAATTTCTTTCCATCTTCTGTAAATCTAATTAATTTTTAATAAAAGAATTTTAAATGTATGAGCTGCAATTCTATTTTTAAATTATCAACTAAATATTGAAATCTGTTTTCGAAAGGTTAATTAAATATCCATAACCAGGTTATTTTTAGTAGAGAATAAAGAGCTACAATAATAATAATAGAGGAGTTGCAAAAGCGTAAGAAAATTTTTGCTAACATGATAAAGAAATCCGCAACCATTGGAAAGCATTATTAGGGATAAATACTTACAAACAAGAAAATGAAATAACAATATAAAGAAAAGGATAATTTTACAGATAATATCAATAAATACTTTTATGATATATAAATGTAGGATTGAAAAACGGCGACGCTTTATAGCGATTCGTTAGAAATTTACTATTATTTCAAACTTGGACACACACCATAAAAATTCAAACAGAATTCTGCTTTTTGAGGATTACAAAGATTATGTAAATTAATTACTGTCAATAATTTGCAGGATATTTACCGTCGCCTGGCTAGAAAAGTTTACGTACCGCAAACTTTATGATCATTTTTACTCTCATTTATTAGAATTTATAATTTATTTACAAAATTTAATTATAAATTCATATTTTATCCCCATTTTGCAATTTCTTTGCAAATTAAATATTAATTATATTTAATATTAACAAAAAATTTAATCGAATTTATTCAAATTTTTTTCTGCGTTGAATAAATAAGCAAATAAATTTTAATAAATTAAGTAAATTAAATTAATTAATAATGAATTATAATACAAATAATAATATTAATAACAATCATTATTATAAATAATAATCATGATAAACAATAAATAACAAATACTTGAAAGTAAAGAAAATTTTAATTCAAATAAGAATTGAATCGTGAATTTCGAAAAGGGTTCAAATCGAAAAAGCGAAAATCGAGGGATTTTCACACAACAATTGATAGTGAAAATAATTCTTGCAGTTTTCGTAGATCTACCCTTTTCGAAATTTTTGATTCAATTAAAAAATTTCTATAAAAATTCATAACGAAACGTTAAGATTTTTTTCCAAAAAAAATTAGTTGTAAAAAATTAGTCTAAATAGCACCTTCACCAGTTGACATAAATTTAATGAAATTATTTCGATATATTTTAAGCAAACAAAAATTTTTCCTTTAGAAATAGAAATATTGAAACAAAGTATTAGAAAATAAAAAAAATAAATAAAGTGAAAATTATTGAAGAAGCATTTTCTTGTGACAAAAATAAAATAAAAATAAGTATAAATTTTTAACCCTTGAGTTATAAAAACGCACTTTTGAAAATCAATTTTTTAATTTTTTGTTTAGTATTTAAAAGCATTATAAATTGAAATCAAGCTAATAACTCATACTAGCCAGGGATATGCAATACATCACCACAAAGTAAGCAAAAAATTTAATAATCTCACACTGTATCAATCAAAATAGATAGTGAAACATGTGTTCAAAGTTTCCGATATAATTATTTAATTGCAATAATTTAATAGAGAACAACATTCATTATTTAATTAAAAGAAATATAAAGATTAAATAATATTCAAAAATGGAAATTATTCATTTAAACAAAATAGAGAAAATAAATATTCATATAAATAAAAAAAACTAATTACGTGTTACGAGAGAAGAAAAGTAAAATTAAAAAAATATATATTACAAATTTAATCTATTAATTACATTAATTTAATTTATTAATAATTTAATTCACTTAGTTGTTAAATTATTAAACTAATTGATAAATATATTTAATTGTTAAATTATTATATTTAATTGTCAAATTTTCCTTCTAATCTAAATTAGTATATTTAGTAATTACCAATTTAAGTCAAGGGACAAAAATGATATTATTTTAATCAGAACGAAAGGAATTTTAATTCATCCAGCGACCAAAAATGGTTCGCAGTTTGTTTCTTTTCTTTGAAAAAATTTTCGAAACTCTGAACACATTGTCTCTGCGATTCAAGTACCTGCGTCTAAAATGGTGTCGTCAACATCATCTCGATTACCAAAAGTGTCGCCATTCGGGAAATTCATGGAAGATTTTGCCAGATTGCCAGAAAAAAAGGGCAAAACACCATTATTTTGCCACTGAATATTACCTATCGTTCCTTTGCTCGCTCCCCTGCAGCCGAACCACCAATACGCAGTCGCTCTTGGAAATGCAGGATCAGCAGTATCCACCTAAATTTTTTTTTATCGTTTTATTAATCCATTGTTCTAGATATACATATATGAAAATTACTTAAGCAGAAAATATATAATTAGATTTTCAAAAATTATTCTGTTAAATTTTGAAGATGTTTAATATTATTCTTTACGAAAATTTAATGTTAATACTTTTATTAATTTTTCAAAATTTAAATTTGAAATTTAATTTCATCAATATTTAAAAATTAATAATATTTTTTCTCAAAAATATATTATTGTTAGTTTTCTAAACCTGAATTTGTAAAAATTTGAAATAATTAAAATTAATGACTGATTTTTTGGTTTTGAAATTTACTAATTTGAATTTACTACCTATATAATAAATTAATAGATTTTTAAAATATATTTATTGGTAAAATTTAAATTATTCAAAAGAAAAAGTAAGTTACTATAATTAAAATCCTTGTATTCCGGTAGTTTATTCGCATTTGAAGTTAGTTGTTTTTGTTTGCTATTTTATTTCCTAATTTTTTTGAGCAATTTTTTTTTTTAATATTTTGAAGCTTAAAATTAATAGAATTCTAATTTAATACATTAAAGATTAATAAAACGAAAATGAGTTAAACAAAATTGTTTAGAATTAAAAATCATAATTTAATTTATCATTCTAAAATATAAAAATAGTTACTTTTTAATTATTGCAGAAAAACTCATTTTTATTAGGGTAAAATACGGTTAATGGTTTTTATTTTATAAAAAAAAACTGGATTTTATTTATTTTTATGTCTTGTTCTATGTAAAATGAAAAAAATAATTTTCAGAAATTTCATATTACCTTTCTTCTAAAAAATTCAAATGTTTACTAATTCAGACTTATTATTTACTTATTTTGAAATAATTTACTTCTTGCGAAGAATTTTATTAAAATTTTTGAAAATAATTGAATATTCTATCGAGGAATTCAATTAAAATTATATTGAAAATAATAAATAATTGAATTCCATTGATGAATTTTATTATTTTTATGGAAATAATTGTATTTTTATAAAGAATTTTATCAATAGTTTTAAAATTAATTGAATTCTTTGAAGGAATTCTGTTAAATTTTTTTTTCAATAATTGAATTCTATAAAAATAATTTATTCAAATAGTATTTAAAAATAATTCAATTCCTTCAAAAAATATTATTTATGAAAATAATTTAATTCTTTTGCGACGAATATTATTAAAATTTTTGAAAAATTGAATTGTTTCGAAGATTTTCGTTAAATTTTTTGAAAATAATTGTATTCTTTCAAGAAATTTTTTTAAAAATGTACTTGAAAATAATTAAATTCTGATAACAAAATTTTATCAAGAATTATGAACATAATTGAATTCTTTCGAGAAATTTCATTTAAAATATATTGAAAATAATTGAATTCAAAGAATGTTGTTATTTATGAAAATAATTGAATTATTTCAAATAAATTCTTTGAATTTTTTGAAAATAATTTAATTACAACAAAGAATTTTATTCAAATTTTCGAAAATAATTTAATATTTTATCCAGAAATTCAATTAAAATTATATTGAAAATAATTGAATACCCAGTGATGAATTTTATTATTTTTATGGAAATAATTGGATTTTTATAAAGAATTTTATCAATAGTTTTAAAATTAATTGAATTCTTTGAAGGAATTCTATTAAATTTTTTTTCAATTATTGAATTCTATGAAAATAATTTATTCAAATAGTATTTGAAAATAATTCAATTCCTTCAAAAAATATTATTTATGAAAATAATTTAATTCTTTTGCGACGAGTATTCTTAAAATTATTGAAAATAATTGAATTTTCTCGAAGAATTTTATTAAAATTTTTGAAAATAATTGTATCCTTCAAGAAATTTAATAAAAATGCATTTGAAAATAATTAAATTCTGATGAACAAATTGTATCAAGAATTATGAACATAATTTAATTCTTTCAAAAAATTTAATTAAAAATATATTGAAAATAATTGATTTCTTTCAAGCAATTTTATTAAAATTATTAAAAATAATTGAATTTCATCTAGAAATTTTATTGAAATTGTATTTTGAAAATAATTCAATATTAGTTAAGAATTTTATTGCAATTGTATTTTGAAAATAATTGAATTCTTTTGAAAAAAATTAAAAATTCTTTTGACGAATTTGGTTAAAATTTTATTTAAAATAATTGAATTCTTATATAAAAAAATTTTTTTCAAAGTTTTTGATAATTAATTAGAATTTAGAAATTAATTAGAATCAATTAGCTTGTTAGTTAATAAGTGATATTTTTCAATTTTAAATCTGGAATCATTCAAAAATTAAAATCGATATTTATCAATGAAAACTTTTGTAATTTTAATATTAATAAAAATAATAAATTAAATTAAGAAACAAAAAAGAATACAAAAACAATTAATTTCTAACTGAGAACAGACATCAAGAACTGTCAAGAACGAAAAAATTATTAATACAGATGAAGAAAAAGAAGAAGAAGAAGATTTTCATTCTTTCTCTTCGGATCAATTGTCTTAAATTATGGAAGAGTAAAAAAAGAAGTACTTACAGAAAATGTTCTGTCATTAAATCGATAGTAAGTGCTTCCTTTGAAGAAATACGTATATCCATGATATGTTAGAGCTGTGTCCATATTATCCGGCACACCCTCCCAATTTGAAATCAATTTTGGATATGTACTCTTGACAGGTGGTCGTTGAGCTGGATCGAACCTCCAGAATTTTGTACCCTTGTAGAAATAAATTTTTCCATTTCCAGTCCAAACAGTTGCCGCATCAATGTTATCGGGAATTCCCGTAAATCCCTCGCTAATATCCTTAGGATAATCGCCGTCCATTTTTTTCCCAATATACCTCCAGTACTTTGAACCCTGTTAAATAATTTCAAAATTATTTTCTTTTCATTTTTTCTTTTTTAATATTAATTTTAATTTCTAATTACTTTCTTCTATTTTTCCCTAAAATTATTTTTAATACTTAATTTAATTTCAAACCCCTTAATTAAAATTAAACTCTCTTTACTGTTAAAATCGAACCAGTTTAAAAAACTGAAATATTTGCGAATCTATCGAATCCAAATTAAAAATGTGAAAAATAAAGAAAATCTCCTATGCAAAAAAGAAATTCATTAACATTTTCTTTTTGAGGATTTTTTCTGTACCTTAAAGAAATAAGTCTTCCCATTTTTGTACGTAAAAGCAGCGTCGATATTCCCTGGTAAACCTTTCCAGGAAGAACTAATGAGTTTGGGGTAGCCGCTAGCAATACCTTCGGCCGTTAACATCCAGTAGTATTGACCTGTAAATAGAAAATAAACTACATAGAACTTGGAAATCAAATTATAGGAACAAGAAACTGCTTTTCCCTGAAACGAGACTATAATTGAGAAAGAGAAAAAAAAGCGCCCACACACACACACACGCGGAATAAATATATTAAAATTTGAAATAAAAATATTGGTTAAAAAGAAAAAAAAAGAAATTGATAAATTTACCTTTGAATGCGTATGTATGACCTTCGGCCGAATTGAACATTGTATCCACTTTGGGATCAGAACACAACAAAGGATCCTCTTCACCAGGAGGAGCTGACGTTGTTCGATGATTGTAATTTGTTTCACTGCCACTATCGTCTGATTTTGTTCCGTAAAGTGCCTGAAATAAGTTGAAAAATTGTAATTCTAATCACTAATAATAACATAGAGGGTAAAATATTTTTCTTTAAAACATTTCATGTCTGACAAATTAATATTTAAAAAAAATTAATGATCGTTGTATTCTGGTAATCTATTCACAAATCATTGAATTCTTCCAAAGTATTTATCAAAAAATTTCAAAATAATTGAATTCATTTCCAGAATTTTATCAAAATTTTTTTCAATAATTGAATTCTTTCGAGCAAATGTAGTTAAAATAGTATTGAAAATAATTTAATTCTTTGCAAGATTTTTATTAAAATTCTTTAAAATAATTTAATTCTTTTGTAGAATTTATTTCAATTTTCTTGAAAATAATGGAGTTTTTAAAATAATTTCTGCTGAAAATTTTGAAAGTAATTGAATTTTATCAAGATTTTCTTTTAAGTTTTTAAAATAAACGTGTTTATAATTAATTGTAATTAACAACTTTCCTATTAAATTATATTTAAATTATTCTTAGAAAATTAAATTCTTTTAAACAATTTTATAACAGTTTTTGTAAATAATTACATTTTTTTTAAAGAATTTCACTAAATTACGTAAAAACAATATAATTTTTTAAAGTAATTTTAATTGAAAATTTCAGAAATAATTGAAGTTTACAAAGAATTTTATTAAAAACTTTTGAGAAGAATTTAATTGTTTAGAAAAATTTTATTAAAATTATCTTGAATATAATTGAATTTTTTCCTAGAAAATTTTATTGAAATTGTATTGAAAATAATTTAATTTCTCAGAAGAATTTTAGTATTTACAAAACTAATTGAATTCTTGACAAGAAATTTACAATTTATAAAAATAATTAAATTGTTTCGAAGAATTTTATCAGAACTGCTGAAAATAATTGAATTCTTATTAAAACTCTTGAAAATAATTGAATTTAAATAATATTTTTAAAAATAAATGTATTCTTTCGTGAAATTTTATTAATATTGTATTGAAAATAATTAAATTCCTCCGAAACATTTTATTATATCTATGAAAATAATTATTGAATTCCTTTGAAGAATTTTATAATTTATGAAAATATTTTAATCTTGCGAAGAATTTTCTTATTTATGAAAATAATTTAATTCTTGCGGAGGATTTTATAATTCATAAAAATAATTGAATTGTTTTGAAGAATTTTATCTGAATTTTTGAAAATAATTGAATTTTATTAAAAGTTTTGAAATAAATAATGATTTTTTTGAAAAAATGTCATGAAAATTGTCGAAAATAATTGAATTTATATTAAAATTCTTCGTAAAGTAATCGTATTTAATTAATATTTTTAAAAATAAATAATAATAATAATAATTATAATAAATAAATAAATAATACTATTTAGTTGATTTAATAAGAGGTTATGTTAGACGTTTTTCTTCTTTCTCAGTAAATCTTTCTTTTTTTTCCTCTAAACCCTCTAAACTTGAATTTCCCCTTCTTTCTCGATTCCGTCACCCTTTTTTGATTTTTACTCAATATTTTCCCCAAGCAGAAAATTAAAAATCGTCCCATTTTTTGTTTTCGTTAAACAATACACAAATATATACACTTTATTTTTCGGGGAAATTTAACCGTTTCTTGCAGAAAAATAGATTCGAATTCCAGAATTTGACAGCAACCAATCAGACAATAGCAGAGTTGGGAAGCAACACTTTACATATTTCGCAACTGCCATCTGATTGGTCGAGAAATTTGTCCCCTAATTTGCACTCATGGAGATGCGCCTTTATCACTTGCAAAAGTGAGTTGGCCATCCTGATTTTTTCATTGTTCCACGGTCTGTCTTGGAGGGAGAAGAAGAAAATTCGCGTGTCCGTTAAAAATTTATTATTTTCTCCAGTAAATTATCGAATAGTTGAGTAAAAGTTCGCCAAAATTGAAGGGAAAGAAGAAGACCTAACATTCTGCCCAGTATTTTATCAAGTTTTGAGTCTGCAAAATCCGAAGGAAATATCGTTCTCCAAGCGAGTGAAGAAACCATCGCATCCGTTGGTGAAAATGGCGGTAAATTGTCAGCGTCCCTCAGTCGAAAAATTCATCGAAAGAAAAAAGATGTAAGTGAACTTTTTTTGGGGGGGCGAATATAGAATCTATTTTTGTATATTTCTCAATTTTAGGTTAAGTAATTTTTTTTGTCATGAAAATTATTTTTCCACGTGAAACAAAAAAAATTGCAGTGCGTCTTTTGTTTACTCATGAAAGAATAATTTTTGGTCAAAAAAGGAGAATTCAGACCAGAACCGCTAGAAGTTCGGTACAAATTCTCCTATTTTTTTAAAATAAAACCGCTGCAAAATTAAAATTTTGCAGTTTTTTACTTTTTTTGTCTAAATGTGAAAGTTTTACGTACTTGAATTCCTTGGATGTCGTCGCTGTCTAGCATAAAGTTAGGGTCGTAACCTCGGTAAAAAGGTGCCATAAGTGCAGATTTGATGTCACTGTGACTCAAGCCAAGAGAATGTCCAAATTCATGGGCTGCGACTTGAAAGAGATTTGTACCGCGGTAGCTGTTTATGGACCAGTGTTCTGCCTCATCAAAATGTGCATCACCTCCGTAAACGGGGAAATAGGCGTGCGCCAGGGTACCACCTGGACCATCGAATGGATCTCCATCTCCATGTTCGCCGCGTTCGAATCTTATCTCAATGTGTACCTGAAAGACAGTAAAATAAAATTAGAAAATTCGATTTATGAAAAATGGTAATTTTTAAGATTATATTTACTATTTTTCGAGTAAACGTATAAGAAATAAATCAAAAATATTCGATAAAACCTGGTAATTTACATACTTTGAAAGCATTAATCGTTTTAATCAAGATAAATAATGTAAATAATTCAAACATAACCTTAAAATTTGTTTCTTTCTTGGAAGCGCGTCACAATTAATTTGTTTCCAGGGGATAACTTTGTATTTAATTAATTTAATAAATTGACAATTAGTAATTTATTTTATGGAAATTTACAGATAATAAATTTACAAATAATTTGTTATTAAATAATTAAATATTAAATTTCGTGAATTAATAATAAAATTTTTATTTATCTTTAAAATTGCCAATAATTATGGGAAATTAATTAGATTAAAATTGGCGAAAATGGAATTTTCAAACTTACTTGGCCTGATTTTTTCGGAGTGAACGTTAAATCCGTGTAATCCGACCAGACTGAAAAAGCTTTTGCAATTTCCTTATCGACTGCTCCTTTGTCTAAAAGTCTCGGGTACTTGCTTATTTTGTAAGTCAGTTTTTTAACTCGCCATCTAGAACCTGAAAGGAAAATTCAACAATTGAATCCTTCAAGCAAACTTGGTTTCTACGTGGTTTCTTTTTTCTTTATTTCGCGAAAAAAAATCCAGGATTTCTATAATTAAAAATTAAATATACAGGTCTAATAATATATACATTTTGGGAATAAATCGAATTTTTACTATAATTTTAAGTTAGGCACAGAGATATTGGAGGTAAATTTATTTATTTATAATAAATTTCTATTTTAACAAGTTTATTTTATTTTTTAAAATTTATATTTCTTTAATTAAATTAATTAAATTAATTTTAATTTTTAATTTTAATTTATCTTTAATTAAATCTATATTAATTTTTAGAAAAATTACAATTAATTTTAAAAGATTAATACATATTTAATTTTAAAAAGATATTTTATTTTACAATTAAAATTATTTATAATTTTAATTATAAATTTAATTATACATTTAAATAAATAAATTTTAGACGTTTATGATCCGTTGAATGAAAGAAAAAAATATTTTTTACTCAGGGAATATTTTTTGTTTACTAAGTTTTATTTTTTGAATTGTTGATGAATAATTATTGTTACAAAAGGTTTATAGACAAATATTTAAATAGAAAAATATTTTTTTATTCAAAGAACAATATTTTTTGTTTACTAATTTCGATTTTTTGAATATTTGATGAATAATTATTGTTACAAAAGGTTTATAGCCAAATATTTGAATAGAAAAATATTTTTTCTATATTAAATCGTTGATTATGAACTTCGTGAACTTGACCAACGATATTTTAGAAAATTTATATTTTATTTTAGAAAATCAATTTTATTTTAGAAGATCTATATTTTATTTTAAAAAATTGATAAAATAAAAACGTAGATTTATATTGATCGAAAACCGCTAAGTTTTGTGTCTCACACACATTTTTTCTCGACAGGAAAAGAAAAAGGAGTATGCTGACAAGCCAACGACACGTTTTTAGACATACATTAAAGATTGGTCATCTATATAGAAGTGGTGTGAAGAAATGTGACAAAGGCACGTCGGATTTTGGCCCGTTAAGGTTAGTGGTTCTGTTGTTACGTCTTGCAACAATAATGAGACAGAAAGTCAAAACGTTACAAATGACATAACATACACTTGACTTCGAAACTTTTTTTTTTCTTTCCTTTTGCTTGAGTCGAAATTCTTCGTGAAATACTGTTCAGTATCGACAAGTTTTTTAATTTCTTCCTCTGAACTCGTGATTCTAAAAATTATACAAACTTGAAGAAATTCACTTTATTTATTTACTTAAAATTATTTTTTCTTAAATTGAATTAATCACTTGGAACTGTAAATAAAAATTTAATTAAAAATTGAAAATTTAAATTATTTCGAAAGTTTTTTAATTATTATTAAAATTTAATTTTTAAAATTGTCTTGAACGTTCTTAAATTTAATTCAAAATTAAATTAGAAAATTGTCTTAAAGATTTTGAAATTTGATTGATGGAAATTCTCTTGAACGTTTTTAAATTTAATTCGAGATTAAATTTGAAAATTGTCTTTAAGGTGGTTTTTAAATTTGATTGAAAATTGTTTTGAAAAAAAAAAATTTAATTCAAAATTAAATTTGAAAATTGTCTTTGAAGGTTTTTAAATTTCATTAAATTTCAAAATTGTCTTGAACGATTTTAAATTGTGTCTTGAACGTTTTTGAATTATTATTAAAATTTATTTTTGAAAATCTTCTTGAACGTTTCGAAAATTTAATAAAAAATTAAATTTGAAAATTGTCTTGAAGATTTTCGAATGGGATTGAAAATGAAAATTTGAAAATTGTCTTGAACGTTTTTAAATTAAATTTTAAAATTGTCTTGAATGTTTTTAAATTTAACTTGCATTAAATTTGAAAATAGTCTTGAAGATTTTTAAATTTGATTGAAGATGAAAATTGTCTTGAACGTCTTGAAATTAAATTTGAATATTGTTTTGAACGGTTTTAAATTTTGATGGAAAATAAATTTGATAAAAATTGGAAATTTAAAATTGTCTTGAATTTTTTTTTCTTTGGTTTTTTTTTGTGAATTTATAAATATTAAGTAAATGGATGGAGAATTATTTTCGTGAAAATATTGGGAATATATATTAGATAATCGATTGCTTGTTCATTACGTCATTGTCAGTCGCACGTAATGTATAGTCACGGTGGGTAATAGGCTTTCCTAATTGTTGCTGAATTTGCTAATTGTTGTTCGGTCGCGCGAAACTCGTGAGAATCGACACAAATAAAAGCGAGTCTGTTGCAGCGTGTTCCTCGTAGATTTACTTAGGCGTGAAATGCAAACTAATTTCGACACCAAACTATATATATACGGGAGAACCGCAAGCGGAATAGGAAACGTTTCTATATGCACTCGACGAAGAAAATTCTCATATAATGTCAATAAAATCGTGAAACTGTTATTAATATCGATATTAAAATTTATATTATTATTAATATTGATATTAATTGATAACGTGAATTAGTTAAATTGTTATTAATATTATTATTATTAAAAGGGTTGCCTCAGGTCAGGGATTTCAGAGAAATCAGGGAAAAGTAAAAAAAAAAATTAATTAATTGAGAAATTAATGAAAATATTTGATTTCTTATAACGAATTTTATTACATTTTTTTAAATAATTGAATTCATGGGAAAAATTTTTTTATTTGTAAAAATAATTGAATTTTTTTGAAAGGATTTTATTAGAATTTTTGTAAATAATTTAATTTTTTTTTTACAAGGAAAAATTAGAGAATTTGGAAAAGATGGAATCAGAATATTTTTAACAAGGAAAAATTGAGAATTTTAAAAAGATGTAACCAAAATATTTGTTTAACAAGGAAAAGTAGAGAATTTCAAAAAGAAGGAATCTAAATATTTTTCTAGATTCAATAAAAAAATATTCTAAGAGAAAGAGTATTTCTTTCTAACTTTTAAAAAATGTGTCAAATGATAAAATTTACCTTGAAGTGCATATCTTTTGGATCTGCCATCAGAACTAACACCAACTTTATCCTTAACTCCACACCTTGGTAAGGTCATGGTTTCAGCAGTTTCTTCGTCCAATAATCCTGAAACAAAAATGGAATAATAATTTTAAAATTATTTTGTTTACACTGATTTAATTAAAAAAATTTTTTTTTCGAAATAAAAGAAAAGTATTAAGGAACTGCGCGATATTAAAACCAGACTGTATCTATTTAGATATGTTAATATGAGAGAGAAAGAGAAAAAAGAAAAATTCTTTTTCACGTGTACATAGGTAAACTTTTGCACGCTATTCTTATATCGATCCTCGTAAGGGCGGTATTTGCGTGCAGGTTGAAACGGTGAAAAAAAACAATAACAGTCTGCAATTTTTAATCTATTGTAAAAATTCTCTACTTGCATATTGTATACAATGGCATGTGGGTACAATTTGTATGTATATTAAATAATATAGCTGACACGTGAATGCTCTCAAACAGAAGTAAACATTGAATATTCAATTTTTGCTTTCATTTCTTTTTTTTTTTTTACTAAAAGATTTACATTTGTCATAATTTTTTGAAAGTCGAGGTCGCCGAATGTTAATGTCGTCTATTTTCACTGAACAGAAAACGAAACTGTTTGTTTATATTTTTACTTTTTTTTTCCTTCTCTTTTTTAGTAAATTTTTGTCTCTCTTTATTTTTTCAATTTTTTTAAAACTATTTTCGCTAATTCAATTATTTTTAAAAAATTTTAATTACGATTTTTTAAAAACCTAATTTTTCAGTATTTCTAAATGAAATTTTTCAAATTTGAATAATTTTTGTTATTTATCTGTCCAGCATGAATTCAAATTTCAAAATACTTTCAGTGTAAAACCTTTTAAAATTTAATTAAAATTAGAACTGCAATTCTTTCAATTTTTGAAATATGTTCTTAAATTTTAAGAAAAATTCTTTTTCAAATCAATTCTTATTAAAAAGTTCTACGAAAATTCAATTATTCGAATAAATAAATAGGTATTAAATTTATTTAAAAATTTTAACTGAAATACTTTTTCAAATCAATTCTTATCAAAAAGTTCTACGAGAATTCAATTATTTGAATAAAAAAATAAGTGATATTTCTATCATATTTTCCACTTTTTAAATATTCGTATACAATAATTTTTTTTAGAGTTAAAGTGTCAAAAATTTTTCAATAATTAAAAATTGTTTCTTGAGGAGCCAAAAAGAGAGAGAGAGTTAAGAGAAGAATTTTAGTTGAATTACTATAAAGGATTCTCTTTTATTATTATTTTTTTGTTTTGTTTTTGTTTATACAACTTTTTTCCCGGAAGTGTTGCACTTTACGACAGCAACTCGACGGCAAGAAAATTGTAATAATTGTTATATAGAAAAGTTAAAAACACAGATATAGACCGGCGCGATTAGATAACTCATCCGTTCGCCATCCATTTTTTATTGAGCCTCAATCGAAACTCTAAAAATTTCTATGTCTTTTTTATAATGTTTACGATTTACGATCAATGATGCTTTGGAGTAGTTTTTTTTTCCTTTTGCTTCTTCCTACATTTTGTCACGCTCTATGAGCCTCGCAATTTCCTTTAGGATGCTTTATAACCTTGACACAAATTCAAAAGTGTGTGCGACTATTTATTCAGTTTACCGAATTTTTTTAATTTTTCCTTTTTATTTCTAATCTTCCGATTTTCTTTATTTAATTAATTGGTGTTTATTGACGTATTATGTATTTATCGGGAAAATCGGAACAAAAAAGCTAATACAAATTTTAATAAAAACAATAACAATAATAACAAGAACAATAATAATAATAATAATAATAATAATAATAATAATAATAATAATAATAATAATAATAATAATAATAATAATAATAATAATAATAATAATAATAATAATAATAATAATAATAATAATAATAATAATAATAATAATTTGTATTGTTATTAAAAATTAAGTTGTTTCGAAGAATTTTTATTTAAACTGCATAGAAAAAAATTGAATTCTTTCGAATAATTTTATTAAAATTGTACAAATTCAAACAATTAAATTCCTGGCTAGAATTTTATTATTTACGAAAATATTTAAATTTTTAGAGGTATTTTATTAAACTATTTGAAAATAATTAAATTCCTGCTAAGCATTCTATTATTTAAGAAATAATGGTATTCTTATAATAAATTTCATCAAAATTTTTTAAAACAATTGCATTATTGAACAGAATGTAACTAAAATTTTTCATTAAGAAATTAATTAGTTAAAAAGTGAATTTTTTGTAATATTAAATCTGTAATTATTAACAAAATTAAAGTTCTTCTTTGCTTTATTGTTTCTAAATTTTTTTTTAATTTTTAAAAATAACATTTTTGTTAAAGAAAATGTTAGAATTTTCGCTACATTTACAATTTTGAATCAAAAATAATTTAATTCTTTCGAGCAATTCAATTAGAATTTCATTAAAAATACTTGAATTCTTATAAAGAATTTAACAAAATGTTTTAAAATAATCTAACTCTTTTCAAGTAGGTTTAAATAAAATTTAGAAAAACAATTGAATTTCCGCAAAGAATTTAATTATTTATGAAAATAATTGAATTTTTCCAGGAATTAAATTAAAATTTTTAAAAAATAATTGAATTCCCGCAGAGAATTTTATTAATTATTAAAATATTAAAATTTTTTCGAGGAATTCAATTAAAATTTATAAAAATAATTTAATTCTCCCTAAGAATTTTATTATTTATTAAAATAATTGATTTTTACCAGGAATTCAATTAAAATTGTATTGAAAATAATTAAATTCTTTCAAGGAGTTCAATTCAAATTGTATTGAAAATTATTAAATTCCTGCTAAGAATTTTATTATTTATAGAAATAATTGAATTTGTATAAAGAATTTTATCAAAAAAGTTTTAAGAAAAATTGAAATTCAGGAAAGAATTTTATTAAAATTTTTAAAAATAATTAAATTCTTTGGAGAAATTTTATTAAAATTCAATTAAAAGTATTGAAATTTCTGTTATTTGTTATTTGCTTATTTATGAAAATATTTGAATTCTTCCAAAGAATCTTTTTATATAAAAAAGTAAGTGAATTCCTGAGAAGAATTTTTTTAAAAGTTTTAAACATAATTGAATTCTAGCAAAGAAATTTATTAAAACCTTTGAAAATAATTAAATTCTTTCCAGAAATTTTATTAAAATTCTATTAAATAATTTCTATTGAAGTTCTGCGAACAATTTTGTTATTTATGAAAATAACTGAAATCTTTAGAATAATTTCTTTGAGTTTTTTTGGAAATAATTTAATTCTTGCACAGAATTTTATTAAAATGTTTGAAAATAATCCTTTTTCCAGAAATGTTTTTAAAAGTTTATTTAGAATAATTGAAATGGAGAGAAGAATAATAATTTAATTATTTCGAAAAAAATCATATTAAAACTTTTGAATTCTAAATTTCTAGGAGATTTATTAAAATTTTAAAAACAATTAATTAGTTAATTAGGAAATTAGTGAATTTTTTTTTCTAATTTTAATCTGAAATTATTCAAAAATCAAAGTTGATATTTAAGAATAAAAATTTTGTAATTTTCCTAAAAACTGTAAATTGAGAACCGCCTTTCTCTTGCTAGCGTGCGTAATATTTGCTAATAATAATGATAATACAAATAATGAAAATAATAATAGTAGCAATTTATTGTCCACAAATTTTAATTTTTGACGAAATGACACTTTCAATTATTCAAAATTGTAATAAATTGACCATATTTTTTTCTATTATTTTGATAATACATAGAAAAAAGGTTTCAGAGTGTCAAAATTATTATAATTGGACAAATTTGATAATGCGTCAACAATCACACAAAAGGATTATCAAATTACCATGTTATAAAAATTTTGAAATTCAGAAACATCAAAATTTGTCTGAGATAATTTGCAAAGCTTCCTCATGAGGAAGCAAAAAATATTGTTTTATTGCAATAATTTTTTGTAACTATCAAAAAAATTAATTATAGTTTCTAAATGTAAAATTTAAGTTTTTGATTTTACATTTAATTTTTACAATCAGTAATATGTGAAAATATTTTTAATTACAAATATTTTGTTCATTTGAACGTTCAAAAGTCAAAAAGGATCATTAATTCTTCAGTTTTCGATTCTAGTTTTTTTCGTTTAAAAATTTAATTTTAGTTCAATTAAACATAATCGTTTGTTTGGAAAAATATTTTTCTATATACACCTAGCATATAAATGTCTGTACATCATATAATTATAATATGCCTGTTATCATTAATTGATGTTTTTCTGTACACTCAAGGTTTTTAATGGTCCAATAGATTATATACTGTTATGTTAAAGTTAAAGTCTAAAGTAACTGGTGTGTATTATATAGGATGAGTCATTTATATAATTTGAAGGAGGAAGCTGGAATAAAACATTCCAATGATTCGCGTGAATGGAGAGAAATTTTTGTTTCTCAAGAATCAATTATTATTATTATTCATGTTTAGAGAAAATTTCGGTCAATTTTTATTTAATCAACACTTATATAAAATGCAAATATTACATTTTTTTCACATTGACAGTTTTTATTTTTATTTCACTTTTGTGCGTAATAGTTATTTCAAGAATCGATAAAGCAGAAAAATTATTTAAAAGTTTATACAATATCTTGTTTAGAAATAAAAAGTAGAAGAAAATTTCGTTATTTTGTATTTATTCAGATTTCTCAAATTGATTATGTCATTTATTTTTGTGTTTGATTGGGTAAAATTCGATTAAAAAAGAAATTTGTAATTAACTTCTGAAGTTAGTGTACAGAATATTGGATTTCATTCAAAAAAAAGGAAGAATTTGTAAAAAGAATTTTTTTTGAATTTTTTATTCCAGTATTCTTGAATAGTGCGGATAAAGTTTTTTTTTCGATTTTTGCATACTCTTCTGAAAAATGATAGGAATTTATTCTGAATTTTCTTTTATAGGAAGAGCTGTATAGTTGCTGTGTAGGAATAGCAATTGGAGATTGATATTGATGTGCAGTGCGTTCGTGATAAATTCATGGGGGAAACAATAGAGGA